AGTACCGGACAGCAAAACTGCCCTCGCTTGGGTTGTCGAAAATAGTACGAACATCGGGACCTGATTCCCTCTCCCGGGATCGCAGGTAGTCTTGGATGCCTTGGAGACGGTGCATGTCATCCCTCCAAGGCAGTTGGAGAACGTCAAGTGCTCCAGCCGATACAATTGGCGCGTAGTCTCGAAGCAGAGGTACCGATTTTGTTGCCCGCTTATCCAACACCATCCACATTTCCATAACAGTGAGAATCTTGATGCTCTGCAGCTCTGGGAAATCATCATAGGCGGAACCAGCCTGGTCGAGGTAGCGGCCAATGGCATTCGAAATACTCAGACATGCTTCCTGATCAGCCAGTCTATCCATACGCGTCGTGAATACACCATCTTCCACTTCTTTTTCAATCTCTCTGAGCTGAGAGTAGCAGGTAACAATCGCCTTTGATGAATGAGGACTGCCACACCAGTCAGGCAGCATTTGTCTGTCGCGAGCTTTGTCAGACAAGAAGCGATTGGCGAGGATGGATTCGAGAATTGGGCCACTGTTAGGAAGTCTCAAACGCAAGCTGCGAGAATCAGCCCGAAGTGGAAGTTGTTGTATGGGGCGCAGGGTTGCATCTCTAGCCACGCGCCATGTTCTGTCGATGCATTCTGTTGCGCTTCGAAACACGTTATGGAACAGTGGTTCAATATGTGGTAGGGCATCATCATAGATCCTGGCAGCGATTGGTCCGAAACTTCCTCTAGCGGTCTGAAGCTTCGCAATGCGTCGTGCAAGCTTCGCTCTGAGATTATGCAGCAGCTCCATGCTGACAGCATCAGTAGACTGGGAGAGCAACTGAGCAAACATCACGCAGAGCATGAGCTTATAGCATGCGTGCCCGGCCTCAGGTCCGAATTTTGCGTTCAGGTGCCTGGCAATGCCAACCCGGAGCACAAGCCAATAGGGAGCCCGTCTCCATGGAATCTCCGAACCGTGATTCCAGAGTACATCGTCGCGAACACGCTTGTGCAGCAATGGGGGATCCGTTCTGTGGCCGAGGGCCTCGAGGATGGTTATGAGCAGTTCCGATATCAGAGCAGGATTGGCCGTCTCTCGAGTCTCCACCAGTTCCGCACCGGCCTTTTTTGCGTGCGCGGCGAATTCAGGAAAGCTCTCGCTGCTACATTGCTCAAGTAGGTCGGCCAGGCTTTGCTGGAAAGATCCATTCATGAAGACGTCGAGGGAAATGGCGGCAGAGGCACCAGGAAACCACCATTGCAGCGCTCCTTCGGCCGCCAAGACATTCTTTGAAGAAGGAGATGCTTCGAATGCTTCGAATTCGACAATGGAGTCGCCGTTTCTAGAAATTTTCAAGATCAGCATTCTGCACATTGCAAGAGAGGCGGTGGATGTGGATGATACCTTTTTATGAGTAAACCGGCGTTCTGCTCTCTCACGTGTAGAATCAGCGATGCTGCCGGCACAAGCTGACGGAAGGATTCCAAAATTGAAGCTTTCTCGAGCCCCTCCACATCAGTATCATTGTTCAAAGTTCTGGCGACAATGAGTGTTTTCCGCACGTCTTCCCATATGCCTCTATCGGCATCTGAGGCCGTGTCGACCAGAGCCTCGGCAGCCTGGATTAGGCTATCAACAAGATCCATCTCCAGGGCACGTATATCGGCATCTTGCCTTGAGGGTAGCTGCTCCGGAAAAACAACATGATTGAGAAGGATCTCCAAAGATTGAATGTCCGAACGGTGAACTGCCATTTTGCGATTTGCGGGCTGGTTTAGACGTCACTGAGTTTCGCATTGACAGCGAAGAGAGAAACGTGAAATTGGCCTTGGGGGGGTGGGTATATGTATCCCTCGCATTTCTGCCGTTAGGTAGTACGACGAATACCGCTAGTCAAGGGCGAACGGTTGCAGCGAAGTTAATGCAAGGTAGGCCGATTGGAGTAACGGAGATGAAACTCGGGGTCGCGAGACGTACTTTATTCCAGTACCAGTAAAATCGAGGCTATAGAGAAGAATTCCAAAACGCGAGGAAGGTAACGCTCTCTAACTATACAAGTAAACCCTAATCAAGAGCGTGACTGCATTCGGTAGCAAAAGTTCATAAGACTTTCGCAGTTGGGATAGATTTCATTCCAAAGTTGGCTGGTATGGATCGACAGAAGGGGAAGATTATTTTAATATCGTTTCGGGCTAGCTCGAATCAATCTCGACGCCGGAGCACAGAGGGAAGGGCTACGCAGGGCGGATGATGCAGGAGGTGGGCAAACGGCAGTGGTAATCTTCTGTGGAATGTTTAATCTCTTTGCCAGTCCAAATCATTTAGTCATCGCAATTAAATCAACAAATTTACCTCCACCACCAACCTTCAACATCCAAAATGTCTCCTTTAACACTCGCCCAATCCTCTACTATACCCAAGCACCTCATCCTCGGCACCAACAAGTTCCGCCTTTTCACTGCGCTGTACCAGTTTCTATCGTCCATTCCTCACGGGTCCAGTATTGCCTCCAACATGACGCAGGACATATTCGCAGCGAAAGGCGTTCGCAACCCAAAGTCCTTGCAATAGTCTTCATCCAGACTCTTGCGGACTTGGGCAGATTTCGAGGTCTCCGTAGTCTAGCAAGTCAGGGGTAATGACCTTGTATCCTTCGGTCGTAGTATATCCGTTGTCGCCAGGGAAGTCTGTGATTAAAAAGGAGCTATAGGTTTTCAATTCGAGCTGGTGGCGAAAACGCATATTGGTAGGCCGTTTTAGATGGTTAAGACTCTAAGCCTTGGTCTATATTAATACCTATATAGATCATTTGTAGTTAGCAAACACTAGCTATTCCCATCTTGATAGACCTTAAAGCATCCGAGCGAAGGTCGACGGAATTATGGAATGGAGTTTAGCGGACCAGTGGCGGCGGACCGGAATTAAGAATAAGAACAAAATCCGGAGTGCAGTCCGTTAGTCCCGCACGGTCAGATATGGTTAGTCGGCACTGATGGACTTACTCGCTCACTTGCTGTTCGTGAATAAATAAGAAGTTGCCGATTTTTCGGTTTTCTCAACACCCGTTTGCCGCTGGTTGTGCAAATGAGCGTATGCGCGATTTAAACCCACCACCACACCAATGCTTGAGTCGTCTCCGAGAGCATCCGGAACATGTCCTTTAGGGCTTGTGCCATGGTATGGTGCGTTTCATTGACGCGTCACCCTCCAACCGATTGTCTAGAAAACATTGAAGTCGTCCCTTATTCTCGCAGTACAAGCACATTGGTGTTGGAGTAGCAAGCGTATGCTGGTTATATGTTCAAGCTTCACTTGTTTGTATTTTTATTTGCTTTCCGTAATTAGAATGAACCATTCTCCTTTCTTTTCTTACAGTCTAATATTCTTACTTACCTCTTTAAGTCGATCCTTAGCAATGACTACACTTAGTGTCGAACTACGAGCTGAGATGATCCTGGAGCAGTAATCAATGTATTTGGCTTCCATATTAAATAATATTTTCCATTCTACTTACGACCGAGCGTGCGATTGCTCTGGGAGCTTATACATTAGAATAGCGGAACGGGAGAGCTGTAACCATGTTGAGCCGTGAGACTTTCCCGGCTGGAGTGGGAATCCCTGTCAGAGGACCAGCCGTACCTGTACTATACATAGTTTGCAGAATCAATAAATCAATTGTAATCAGTGCGCCTTTTATCTCTTCATGTTTTAATTGTGTAGTAAAACGTGAAAGGTCCATTAGACTGAGCAGATCAGAGACCAATTGCCTTGGAAAGTATTGATTATCTTAGATACCGAGCAGGATTTCATGGTCCTGTTGTCTTCTCCTGCGGCGTAGGAGTTTTGTGGTACGTACCTATCGTGCACGGTTCATACTACCCCGCTTCCCACCACAGCCACCCCACTCTTGGAGCAATCTCTACCATAACAGCATCTTTCGTACTGTTTATGGACCTGAGCGGTGAGCTCCATCACGACACAACGACGTGCTGATATTTGTCAATGATGCAAAGTCGTGCCAGACTGGAACGGGTCAAAAAAGCTTGCGAGCCATGCCGGTAACGCTCATCGGCAAGCATCATGTAACCCCACGACAATTCTGAGATCTCATACAGGAAAAGAAAGGCAAAATGCTCGGGGGAGCAGCCTGCATGCTCGCTATGCGAGAGGCTTGGCCAGCCGTGCTCTTATAGGCCTCAGTATAATTTTCGACTGCACAAGGCAAACCGCGCCCGCACAATTACACGCGAGAAATCGTCCGCGCCTGTTTCGGGCCACGACGTACCCTTGAACCCCTGTCAAGAAGATGTGCACTCAACACCATTACAGCCAAGTGTAGACACAGAAGTTCATCTGCATCTGCCGTCAGAATCCCTCGAAACCGTTGTCGAAAATTATATCCAACATATTCACCTACAGCCGCTACCAATACTTCCATTATCGGTACTAAAAGATGCGGATCGACTTCGCTCCAGCCCAGAGCTCTTCCATGGAATGCTGGCTATTATGAACCGCTACTCCAGCCAGCCATCTGACACACATAACAAAACTGCCCGATCACTTGTATTCAAAGCCCTGGAGATATCTGAAAGTATTGGTCTGTCAGTGATTCAGGCGGCATGCATGCTTTGCCTTGCAGATTACTTAGGTGAATACCCACAATTTTGCACGCAGGGGTATATCTGACCTCAGTACAGATGGATTGCCGCAGCGCGCCAACCTTACTCTCGGCATAGGTATCCAACTCGCATACTCCCTAAAGGTTTTAAAAGCCGGAAATCTGGCAAATCTCACCGAGAGAGAGGATGTTGCCTGTTGCTGCTGGAGTCTTTTCGCGCTTGAGCGGCTTTTCTCCATCGCATCGGGCACCGGTCACATCATGATCCAAGAAAGTCACCTTCCGAGGTATCCCAGCCCTCCAAACTTGCCTCCACACGTACGGGCACAAGTGGAGGGAAACAGGGAGAGCCGCAATCCCAGCCCAGACTCACCGCTGGACATCGGAATGACAGGATGTTGCCTGCAGATCACTTCAGCCTGGGGTCGCGTGATGCGCTATGCAATCGAGTACCGGGACGCGCAGATGCCGGAGCTCCCTTGGATGGCGGATTCAGAATACAGCCGGATTCAGGCGCAGATCCAGCACTTCGAAACCATCTGGCCCGAGGAGCATCGATGGGCCAACGTGGGCTTCGTGGAACAAACTAGAGAGCAGGTGCAGGAGTTTCAAGGCTATTGGTCATCGTGGCTCTTCATGCAATTCGGCTTCCATTCGTCTCTCGCGCTGCTGAACCATCCTTTGTTTTCTCTGCACCTGCCGCCTGCGTATACGAAAATTCCACTGTCATTCGCAGATTCGACGTCGAACCAGGCCCGCTACCATACCAAGTGGGTTGCATACTTTGTGCGCCTCATCGTGGACAAGAAGATCAAAGTCACGGATCCATTTCTGGCATTCACGGCCGCCATCGCGGCGAGCATCATCTATTTGAACAGCCGGGTGGACGAGCAGGAGGCCTCTGAGCGGGGGAAGCTGAATGTAGAGCTGTGTTATCATTTTGTGCAGGGCATGGGAGCGTTGATGCCTGTGCTTGCAGACCTCGTACGTCATTCTCGCGGCTCTTCGTTCAATCCCCACAACTGACAGGTATGCAGGCTCGGAAACTGGCTGCGCTGATCCAGAACTATGAGTCTCCGATCGACACGGAGCTGATCTGGTCAATTATAGAGTACACGAAAACAATATCTCCTGGGAGCAGAGACCTCCAGTTTCAGGGGGTTTCAGGGCTAGAGTCAGCGGGCGGAGTATCAGGCGAGAACGATATTCCTCAGAGCGAGAGTTCGACGGGTGGGGCACTGACATTCCCTCCGCAAGCTTCCATGGCTCTGAATCTTGAGCATATCAGTTTCCCGACGTTGTAATCGGAGATGCCGGAAAACATGACCCTCAAATCCTTGCAATTCCGTGGTTTCTCTAACGTGGGAAAGGTAGGGAAACCAATCACACTTTGTACTTCAGTACGATGTTCTTCATGACGGTGCATTTCGTCATAATTTTAGCTATCGCATATTCGCGTGGGTACGATTTTTGCAGGCCATCAGCAATGACATCGCAGAGCAGGGCAATACGAACCATACCGAAATAGGAAATTAATGCCGTCGGCCCAACACCGTCCCACAGAACCATCTTGACTCTGCCTCACGAATGTTGTACTTCTCAGCTAGAGTAGATTCTACCGATGAACTGCTAAAGGGTTTTAGGGTTCATTGGGTATGGAGTAGAGGTGGCCCGAGGCGCAGAGCGTTGGATGTTGAGGAGAACGCCCGTCTCTGAGCTGGATGTCGGTGCGGATGGAAGTCTGCTGGTCACTCGTACAGTAGTGAATGTAATCGTATTGATAAATGTTCGGAAACGTGTCTCCACCTTATCATAGTCGAACTCCTCATTGTCTACTGGGTGACCATACAAAAAGAACTTATCCGTTGATCGGGATGAAATCTCCTATTCCCAGAACACTGAGAAAGCCTTCCCCCACCTCGATTTGTGCGCCTTTGGTGGCCTTTCCTCGGCAATGATCTCATCAAGACCCGTGTGCAAGTCGACGTCTACTGGATCACGCGCCCATGCCTCTCTCATGCAGTATACTCTGTGGCCAAAATATATGGCTAAGAACAGGGGAATACCAATGTAGGCGGTAAGAAAGGTAGACACATTCCAGTTGTGCGGCCAGAAGACGTAGAACCCGTTTATGAGGGCCATGAATGTAAATGCTCCCATCTGGAGATATGTGCCGTAAGGCTGGATCCACGAGCAACGGTAGGGAAGTTGCGGTTCAATGCCCTGCAGCCGTGCGGCTTTGCGAAAACGCAGGTACACAATACCGCAGCAAATCCAGGAGATGAACCCAGCCGTGTTGGAGAGGTTGACCTGTTTCCGGAAACGTCAGTCCCAATTTTGAGTACGCAGTAGGATTCGTGTACTCACAAACCAATTGAACACCACTGACGCAGACGAGGCAACGTTGATGTACGCAAGAAATGCGAACATGCTACTGGCCATCACGCAGCGATACGGGACTCCACTCTTAGTGCAAGCACTGAACCACTGTGGGGCAGAGCCCTGCAGTGACAGTGCGTATAAAGAACGCGAAGAAAGGTACAGAAACGAATTACCCGCAGACCATGCCGATATGAGAATGCCGGCATTAACGACTGAGTCGAGAGCTCGAATGCCGTTTCGTTTCATTCCTAAATAGCCAAGTGTCAGTATGGGACTTTGCAGATCCAATGTTGTGTTCATACCAATGACAAAAGGCGATGAGCCAGCGCCGGTACCGCCATTGGTGAGATCGGGGTCGTTGCTTGGAACGATAACACCGATACACAGGATACATCCAATGTAGAAAAATATCAGCCGGTAAACGTACCGACGACCGGCGATAGGAAGGTTCCGGCGGGGATTCTGCATCTCGCCTCCCGTGACAACAAGCAGTTCAGCCGCAAAGGCGAACGGCGCCACCGACAGGCTCAGCATCCGGAGCAGCGTCAAAAATCGGCCAGTACCTCCGGAAGTTAAGAAAGTCGGGGTCGGATCTTTCCAGTAGCGGAATCCAAGACGATCATGCGAAGGCCCGCCGCCGAAGAAGAGAACGACTGAGACGAGCATGAGGCCGAGCATCATGATTACTTTTGTTCCGGCGAACCAGAATTCTGTCTCGCCGTAGTAGCGAACGGGGAGGGCGTTGAGGGCGACAATGGCCACAAGCATAATTGTTATCCATACGCCGATATTGATGTCGACTGGCATCTCCCAGTAGTCGATTACGATGGCAGCAGCTGTGATCTCGTATGGCACCAGGATTCCGAGAGAGTAGAAGTAGAGCCAGCCCAGGGCGAACCCTAGTGACCGAGAGACGTATCGATAGGCGAAGAGGTTCATGGAGCTTCCCGGCGTGGGCAGCCACGTTGCGATCTCAACCACGGCAGTGATGACACAGAAGACGAGAAACGAAATGAAGCAGTAGCATCCTAAGACGAGTGCCGGTCCACCCTGGGCAAGTGTCTGGCCTGAGCCGACAAACAGGCCGGTACCGATCGTGCCGCCCAATGCAATCATCTGCGCATGGCGCGACTTGAGTCCCTACATCGTGTTTCAGCACATTACATAACATTACAGTACAAACAGAGATAGCCTTACTCGATGCGTCGATTGTTTGTTGCCTTCAAACACTTCGCCAGTTAGAACCAAACCTGGGCTGGCGCCACCCTCGGTCGTGGGCAGCCCGTTACCATCGGCCTTCTCGCACATTTTCTCGATGTCGGTGGCCATGGGGGTGGGGGACGGAAGACCGAGTCAATTGCTGAGAGAACACTAGAGTTTGCGTGAAGGCAGAGAGCGTGGTAATGGGATGAGAGGAGGAAGAGAGATGAGAGAAGCTGGCTGTCAAATGATGGCCTGGTTGCTCGTACTCTGTACTGTAGAAGATGATAAGAAGGCAGGAACGACGGCAGGCTACTCTGGTGCAGGTGCTGAATTTGCATGGAGACAGGCTTATAAAGAGACAAAGGTTAAGCCAAGATTGAAATGCGGGGAAGCCTGTTGATGATAAGGTCTACGGGACGCTATGATCTGGTGAACAACTGTGCTTACCTTCCATCCAACAGGGTCCGTGGACTCTGGATAATGCTATAATCAACTCAACGCAGTATTCACCAACGATCTGGCCTATATCATCACTATTAGGAAATTTAAATCCCTTTATATAAATAGTAGATTCGTGTAAGTGCTGGTGAGTGATTTGGAAAGTGGCAAGCGGTTTTCATCCCGAGTGCCGAGGTCAGACTAAGCGATGGCTAATCCCAGATACGTTAAGCAAGCGCCTACTAGATATCTTCATGACAATTTTAAAAGAGATAAGATAGGCTTCCAGGTCATAACCCCGAAGAAAGAGCACCCTTTGAAGGTTGAGTTACTACAGCTCAGTCGTAGACACTTGGAATTGCCAGACTGAGTCATCTTTGAGATCATTCGGGAGGCGCGAGGCGTGCGAACTCTGGGCAGTATGTACACTCTACAGCAAATATCTTTATTTTCACTTTGAATATGTCGTTTACGGAATTCGGGAGATGTGGTAAAGATGACAAGTATTAACTGTCATTTACTGAGAAGTTAGCATGCGAAGCAAATGACTACCAAAGCCACAAAACCAGCCGTCTAAAGCCCTTTGTCATTTTAAAAATAGACTGGAAGCGCAACAAGCGTGCCGACGTTTTATTTTATTCTTCTCAATAGCAGTCAGTGACGGTGTACGATGGGATGGCTGTGATGGTCCGGCAAAGCTTTCCTGTTTAGGCATGGCTCAATTTCAAAAGATCCGACGGATATTTCTGCCTCTTTGGCGATAGCGTTGCTCACGAGGGTCATCGGAATTCACGTTTCGGTTTACCATAGCATCCTTAGGCCTGGGCTTAAAATTGGTAATGTGCACTCCGTTCTAGAATTGTGACTGCATTCCTACCGTCTATTTCACAGTGCTACAAACTCTCATCCCAGCCCCAATGCCTCCCCAGACAACCACCACTGGCGACGCTCCTCTAGTTTCTACTTCGATCGCAATAGGCGCAGTCAGGTTATGGACCTGGAAGACATCTACGTACGGCGGAGGAAGGCCGAAAAATTGCAATAGAGAACCGCTGCGCCATCGCGAAGCGAGGATTTTAAATTTTTCTCCCGTGCTCATAAGCCATTAGCACAGAAATAGACCGTTGAGTACTCATATCACTTCATTCAGCAGAGACACCCAATCCATTCGTCATAGACCGAGAAATCCTCCAGCGAAAAAACCAACGAAACAACCCAACAGCCAGACTCAGCCCTGAATCGCCTCGCCCGCACCGCCCTCCCGCATCAAAGGCGTCTCCACCCACCTCAGCCAGCCTGACACCATCTCCCTCGGCGGCCTCTGTGCACCAGAATACTTCCACTTCGACGACCCCACCTTCATTGCGCCCTCCCCCGGCCATTTCGACAGCACGACACGGCCGCCGGCACGTCCAACTACAACATCGCGACCGCCTTCAACTACCCACCAAGGCCGCACTGGCTTGCCGAGAGCACAACGGAAAGCGTGCACACGATCCGCCATTACCGTGATTGGGAGGTGTCGCCATGAGCGCGCGTCGGCAGCACGTCTGCGCTCGAGATAACGCTGCGCATGCTGGCTGAGAGCATGGATGTGGATGGTACGGGCTGTGCGGCTCGATTCGTTCTCGAAGGTCGCCGCGCCGGGGAGTCGCGTCCGGGTGGGTGGGTGGTGGCGTCGGACGACGAGCTGGTTGAGCGGTGTGTGTAAAGCATGCGGAATTGTCGACGCAGGGGGGCCCAGCCAGCTGATGCTGTTTAAACTGCTGGATGAGACGTGGGGCCACGAGGGCTATGTTGACTGGTTGATCCACATCCGGGAGGAGTATGCGAAGCGGCGGAATGTGATTGTGGGTGCTTGTGAAAAGTATCTCCCCAGTGTTGTCAACCGGAACCCGCCCATGGCCGGCATGTTTGTGAGTTGGTCTCTTTCCGTTTGGATACATACTGGTTACTGGTACGATGATTCCTACAGCATTGGGTGGAGGCTGACTGTCGCAAGCATCCACATACGTCGAGCAAGAGCATCACAGAACTGAGGGAGGATTTGTTCCTCAGATCTGTAGAAAAAGGCTCACTGATCATCCGAAGCAGCTGGATCCGCCCTGAGGCAGGCCTTGACCTGGGTAATGAAAGGATGCTGCAGCGCCATTCGGGAGCATTGAGGAGGCTATTTGCCGATTCGGTTTGGCAGTCAAAGAGAGCTTCCAGCTCTAGAAGAGCAACACGAACAAGCAGTTCGATCACAGGATAGGCTAATCCAGGAGCTCAAAATGCCGTTCGCAATCGTGCAGACAATGTTCGCGCTGGACGAGGTATTCAATGGGGTTTTCGTTGAAAGTGCCGGTCCAGTCAAGCCGGAAGGACGTTCGGCAGGAGCGGCACACTAGTGGTATGTCGCGGCATGAGCCGTCAAAGGGGCTGCCCTCAGGCAGCGACAAGAGCGGTGATTGTGGGACTCGGTCTCTTGACTCTCAACATTCACTTTGGTGGTGATAAGGTACTACATTTTCTCCATCTGTTTCCCTGATTTTAGCGTTGTGCCGCTTCTCCGACTCTCCTTCTGGCGATCAATGAATCATCTACAGATCCACACGCGGTTGTCTCGTTGAGTGCGAGTAATGCGGGGGTGGATCCCGTTGAATCTTGTTCCATTTGTAGACTAGAGCCAGTTCTCTAAGCCAACCGTCAGCCTTTGCCGAAATTACTTGGGGCAGCACAGTACGCCTTGTAAGGAGAGCTCCTCGTGGTATAAGGATGTGTACGTCATATTTCTTGGCGGTCGCTTCGGGTTGTGGATGCCTGTCTCCACCGTAAGTTTGATATGACTCGCTGGTTTGAACTGGGACTTTTCACCTGCGGAACCACCTCTCGCCTTAAACAACGTGGAAGTTCCCCTTATCAATGAACGGAGCGCAATTTAGCTATTATTAGGCCAAACGCTGGATCTAAGAGATAGCGTTTAGAAAGGACCCGTGCATTTGACTAACGTGCTTGATCGGGAGCTTCTTCGGTAGTCGCCGCGCGGGAGCGAATGATCGGCAGCGGAGTCGTTGGTAAGCGGGCGCCCTAGTCTTGGCTCTGAAATTCAAGAGTCAGTAAGGAATGAATAAGGCTACCAATTTGTTCGAGGTTCAGGGGGTTCTACGCTGTGCCTGCAACTTCGCCTTCTCTCGTACTCGGCAAAGGCGTTCCGGACTAACGCTAGTGAGCAATTGTTTGACCGCAAATCGAAACAGGCCACCACGGATCAACAGATCCGCACAGCAGAACACCAATGTTTCCCTGAATAAACCGCGCTATTTGACTCGCTGAATTGGTTCCTGGCCAGCTGGCCGCAAGGCAGAGCACCACGTCTTGTGAGACCAAGAGATATGATATCTTGGCGTACCCCAAGAAATGGTTCATCCCACAAGCTCTGTGCTTTCAGGCCCTACATCAATAGTCACACTAGGTTGAAGCTAACTTGTCTGCCCAAGCCTAACGGTGAGGCCAACGACATTCCGAGAGAGCGCGAATTCTATAAAGCCCTGCATCCAGCCTGCAGTGACGGATCAGCATCCATCAACTGCACACCCTCTTTCCACACACTCCGCCACGGAAAGCCACTCTTTGCAAGCAACCATGAAGACCTCCAACAACGCCGTCCTCCTCGCCATTGCGGCTCTGGCCTCGCAGGCCGCCGCCGAAGTTCAGATGGATGTCCGCTACAGCGACAACATGATCGACGTCGGCAACATGGACCTGTTCGCCGCCACCTGGCAGGTACGTCTGCCCCCACCTCGACCTCTGCACGAACCCAACTAACCCCCCATCAGACCATCTACGACACAGCCGGCAACGAGCGGTCCGTCATCACCGACAAGTCGACGGGCACGGACAACAACCCGTGCACCTCCAAGGAAGACAGCGACCCGGACCTGACCGTGTCGATCAAGATGAACGGCGCGTGGGGCCAGACGCCCGGCCTGGAAGTCAACCAGATGCGCGACGGCCTGGTGCAGTCGATGTGGGAGGTGCTGCGCAACATCGCCGACCGCAACAAGTACGACGTCTTCGGCGGCTGCACCGGCTTCACCTGGCAGGAGGGCACCGCCGGTGACGCCAATGCCGCGTGCGGCCCGGCTGCTGCCACCAGCTGTGAGAACGCGTGCAAGGACGCGTCCGACATCGCCAGCCAGGTCGAGTGCAGCATCAAGACTACCGGCTACAAGGTCCCCTCCGAGATGCGCGTTACTGCCTACATCGACAACCAGCTGCAGGCTGATGATCTGATTATCAGCATCAGTGCTGCGAAGAACCCTGAGACTGGTGGTTGCGGTATCCAGGGTGAGATTGCGAAGGCTGTTGCTGGTTTCATTCCTGTGGCTGGCGGTCTGTTCGCCCAGGGTATTGCTATTGGTTGCACTGGTGTCCCCCAGACCACCAGCTAAATTATGAGTATGGGATGGATTGCTCAATAGAAGATAACGGCCGAACAAATATTGATAGCAAGATGGAATCAGTTAAATGCATTCTGGAAGGATTTGTGCAATTACTGGGCTTGAAGAGTAAAAGCAACCCTCCACCTCCTTGCACCACTGAACTGGGATACTTCCCGCCCCCACGTGGCTCCCCAGTTGATTCCCGAAAGCATGCACACAGAAGGGCCATCACTACGTTGAAAGCTGATCCCGGGACACCGCTGTTTCATCTGTATCGGCCCCCAGCCTCGGAGCTTTTTCTATCCTGGGTTGCAGTCTGTGGCAAATCTGGACGTCCTTAACCACCAGGATCATGCGACGTTTCCCCGCATGAATGCAAGGCCACGCTCAAAGGCCGATCTCTGTTCAATCCTAGGTCTGGTTTTGTGGAATGGCGAGTCGTTAGATGTAATGTTCCAGAATAGTCCTAGATAAGCACTGAGCAGGAGGAGACGTTTATGAGCACCAAAAGCACAAACGGCATCTGCAGAAGATGAAAGAAAATAAGACTTCATAGGGAATGTATTCTGATGCAGACTATGAACTGTGACATAGAGTTGCGGGCTGCCCTTTGAAACATGGTTGATTTCTGGACAGATATTTCCACCTGTTTCAGACTTGGACCAGAAGTCCACGACTGCATACCTTGGCCCATAACACCCGATGCAGGGTGCAAGTGCTCTATCATTTCTCAATTCGGTGAGAGTCGTCATTCGATGCAAGCGGGCAGAGTAGTTGCAGGACTCTAACCACGCGACACTTCATCCGGGGTAATGACGCCGTCGTCGTTCTTGTCGTGCCTGAATCATTTAGCAGCAATCCAAAAAAGATCGAATATTTACTTACTTCAGGAACCAGGCGATGTGGCTCACGGAATCACTGCCAACGTTCATGTAGTTGGTGTACTCTTGCAAGGTGATGTTTCCAGACTTATCAGTATCGGCAGCAGCAAAGGCTTCGTCGGAGCCATTTGATTCAGGGTCTCTGGGGGACATGTCGCTTCTGCGTCCAGCTGGCGCGCCTCCAGCTCGGCGGCATCCTGTACCATGTTAGCGAAAAATCCCGATGCAGCCTCAGGTTGCGACATACCGCCGTCGCAGTTGCAACAGAAGATGTTGCAGCTGCCATAGCCGCAGCAGGGGGTACCCTGCGTGTCATCGTCACATGCCCACTTGGCGCACCACCCTTCGTCATCCCATCCCATTTGTTGCAGACACTTGCCGGCACTACAGCAGTCGGCGCTGACCAAGGGGAGGAGGGCAGAAGCGGCAGCAAAGATGGCTGAATAACGCATGTTGAAGTTTGTTTTGTGATGTAAGAGCTGGTTTTCTTGGATTGATGGTTAATGAGTGAGTGAACGCAGGCCTCTCGACCATTTATATATTCAATAGCTGAGCTCGATTTTCACGTTTCCGTATGATGGAAGACAGGATCTCTAAGGGATGAGGTAGACCTTCTGCAAGAGATGGAAAAAGAGGTCGGTCAAGGGGTGTCTCAACTTCGCATGGAACATGCGCGTCACAGACTAAGCACTAAAAATAGCAGTCCCGCTGGTAAATGCCTTGCATGGCTCGTTTTTCTTGCGCTTTACTATCACCATGACCTACTCAGGCGACTCTAAGCAACAATTTTCAAGCCAATTGCGAACTGATAGCTATGTTTCATTTAAGAGTATGTGTCTGAATAAAGTCAGGCTTGCGTGATGGCGCTAGAGCAGTCACTAGAAAGTAACAGTCCCTTGCCCACTACCCGCATGAGGGAATTTACCCCGCATAAAAATTAAGGTTCTGCTGGCTGACGCAAGCGGCTCTGGAAGAAAGGGTGATTTGCAGCCGGGGTCTCGATTGAACCCGCTTGCAAGGACAGCGGGGTTCCAAATCGATCCAATAAGCAGGCCTGTTTGCAGGTGCGGACATGTCGCGCTAACAACAGATTCAGCAATTTCACTTACTAACAGTAGCTTTAGCAACTCAATTTTCATCTAGCCCCAACACCAACTCGAGTTAGCACTTTTCGTGTGCGTCTAGATCCAACATCAACTACAACCAGACATTGATTTCCGCTCAAGAAATTTCACTCACACATGTAAGTGCTTGTGATTGTGGAAGCAATACAGCGCGCACGGTATAGCCAACCAGCACTGATTTCAATATTCTAATGACTGCCGGTGTTGGTAGGGACGATCGTCGAGGGGGTATTTCGCGCTTTGTTTCGGGTAGCTCAATACATCACCCGTTCACCTCCTCAGCTTCGCGCCCAGTCCAGCCGCATCACCAGTAATTTTAATAATAATCAAGCTCCTTTTCAGCAGCGTGCTTTTCCCCGCCGTCCTTCCCCGGGTAAACCCAGCCCCCAGTCTCCCCGCACTCATCAACCACAAGCCCCCTCTTCACACATTCGGCGACTGCACCAGCCTCTCATACCCCTGCGCCCCGTCGTGCCCCTGCCTTCCCTTACCCGGCCGGTGCTCGATGCACTTCGAGAAATGCAGCAAATGTCCCCTCCGCACGCGCACAAACGACGCATACAGCCCGCCCGCACTGAACACAGCCACACAGCTCAGCAAGACCGGCCACTGGAACTGGTCCGGCCGCGCCCAGACGATCGTCGACGCGTACGAGCACAGCTCGAAGGCGCTCTGCCAGGACGCTTCGACCGACGAGAAGGCGCCGCGGCGGTCGGCCTCGACTTCCTGTTGTGGTGCCAAAAGTTAACAACGCCCGCATGAAAGGGGAACCGGGCAACGTACCTCCTGGATGATAACCTGCGCCGAAAGATCATACCCCCACAACCCCACCCGACTCAAAATCGACCCCGCGACCAAGCCCCCCGCCGCCACCAGTGGCCTGTCCTGCACGCCCCAGAACACAGACGCACCACCTGCCAGACACAGCGACTGCCACGTGACGAACCAGATACCCGTCCGGATCGGCCCTATGCGGGCCATCACGCGCGGCGTTATCCACGTCGCGGAGAGCTCGAAGGCGACGGAGACGGTGCGCGCGATGGCGATGTGGATCGAGTTGAAGCCGGCGGAGAGGAGGTACGTGACCATCTGGCCCGAGAAGGAGAGCACGGTGAGGTAGAGCAGGGCCCCTGCGAAAGAGGGCAGCACAGCGCGGTGGCGGAAGTAGGTTGTTAGGTCGTGGGTGATGGTTTGGAGGAGGCCATTGCTGCGGGGGCAGTGGGGAGTGGAGGAGGAGGAGGAGGATTTGGGTTGTTGGAGGGCGGGGACGATTTGGTAGACCTGCGGTGGTGGTGGGTTAGTGAGGAAGGAGGAGGTGTGGTTGGGGTGAGGGCGGGCTTACTCGGGCGATGGCGAAGTACTCGATGAGGATGGAGGCGAGGTTCATGCCGAGGTTGACCAGGATGGCGATTTCGGTTGATACGCCGTCGAGGATGGAGATGAAGAATGGTCCGGCAAGTTTGCAAATGAGGTCAATTCGGCGCATCTGTGCGTTCAAGACTGGCATTGAAGTTAGTGTGGTTAATGTGTTGTTACAAGAGGGCACCGTACCTCTCAGAGCTCCTTCATTCTCTTCGGCAATCACAACGACCTGCAGCAGCGGTGAGCAAACGACATGAAATTTGGGAGTACTGTCTCCAACATACCCAGTCCCTCTCAACTGAAATAAGGTTCATAATAGCGCAAAGCTTCTCAATGCAAGCAAGCACTGCCAGAATAGCCAGTGCGCCGGACTGCAGAGCCTTGACCCAGCTCCATCCTGTGGCCAGGAACCAGAAGAGGGCGCAAGAAGTTGCAACGGTAAATCTTTGTAGGACTGCCAATTATATCAGAATATGAAAAATTCACCAATTAGTGGGACACTCACCAATTGACAGCCTCACGACCTTGAGCCTGTTGCTGTTGTCGATGAATCGCCCGATGACCGGAGACAAGACTATGGCCGATGCTTGCCGGCTCAACGCATACACCGACATCGGCAGCAAGGTCCCAGGATAGATGGACGCGAGGTAAAGCACGGCACCGAACTCAAAGACGCGCGAATTCCATGTTGAGAGGAAATGCGAGACGTAGAGGCGCTTCCGCACCGCCATTGGCACCTCGACTTCTGTGCCTGCCGGCGGAGTTGCGGCAACGTCATCTTCGGCCGGCGGATTCTGGCTGAGCGTGTTGTCTGGTGGGGAAGGAGTATTGGACAGAAGGGGAGTGTGAACTGTATCCGCGTCGCTCGGTGCCATGGCGGGAATGTTGGGAAGTTGTGGCGGCGAATAAAGCGACGGTGAGGGAAAGAAAGTAGCCAAGCGATGGTGTGACAGGTGGTCCATCTTATCGACAATGCTGAGTCATTCATCTCGCACGTGATTGCACTTTTCACTCATTCTTTTTGATCTTCTTATTTGGTAACTCGGCTGATCCCAGGGAGTACCATGACGTTTTTGTACAGCGGCTTGAACGTGGTTGCCTTTTCTGGTGGTGCAATGTCGATTTTACATGTTCTGTAGGTTTTGGCCGGCCCTCCGCTCGTAGGTTTTAGCCGAGCATCCGTTGTAGGGTTGACCCGAGAACGTGTTGCTTAGGAAAAAGTATGGACCATCCTGTTACAATGACATTGAATGTAGCTCAAAGATATTCGTCAAAACCAAATAGGTGTATCCAAATCTATCCCACAGTTTCATTCGAAAATGTGATGCGCCCTGCGTTCTTGCTGACGACTGTCGCCCTAAATTCAACGTCATCGCAACTGGAAGAATTTGATGGGCCTGGCCCCAACGATAAGGAATGTCAGTTCAATTTTAAGCAGTTTAACAGTCTCGTTTTTGGAGACATGTAACTTACCCGAAAAAATGAAACGACAGAGACATGCTGCAAATTTGGAACTGCTTTGCAATGCCTGGAAGTAACGGGCATGGCTGCATTGTAAGTATTGAGACATCCATCTGCTCTCTTGCAATCAAGTTATTACTGCAACCTATTGCCATTATTAGACTAAACAAAAAATCCCCACTCTACTACAACGAAGTTCCGGTTCAAAACAAACCGGCGACGATGAATATTAAATTCCAGACTAGGACATTTCATCACTTGTCTCCATAGCCCCACGTATGGGACTTCAGATCTTTTGAGGTATCTGATGACCACTGACTTCTTACTGCAGCCGGGCGAGATGAACGACGCACCCGCCATGCATGGGAATTTCCATACAGACACCTGGAATCTCTGCCACTCTAGGGAAACCCGTCAAGGCTAAGGAGTTATCGACCAAAAACCTGTTTATTGAAGACGCTAAGTGTAAATGCAGCGCTAAATCATCAGGCTACAACATATGCTCGAGCGAGAACGTATGTCGGTGAATTGGTGCTTCAGCCAGCCACGATGCAACCAAACATGCAGCAAAAGAGAACTGATCCTTACGATCAAGACCATAACCATTTTCCTCTTTGAGAAATTCAATCCTGCCGGCTGTGGGGCCGTTCAGCTTGGTGTTACAACTTGGTCCCTCCATCAAACGGACTGTGATTCCCCGACACTTCTTCGATCTCGACGGCGCCATTTACGACCCAGTCTCGGCTCGTCTTCCCTCTAGTTACAATTCTAATAACTGTGGCGCCAGCCCGAAGCCCCAAGCTCTTTCAAAGGAGTCTGACAGGAGGTTCGAGACATCCAGCAAGCCTATGTATTCCAGCGGGATGTCAGAGCTATCAGCCGCAGCTGAAAGGCCAGTGATGGCCACCATCCAATTGATCAGGTGGCAAATCGCATGTGGTGCCTTCGACTGGTCGATCCTGGCTCAGATGAGCACTCCTGGGCTGTTTACTACAGGGAGAAGGAATGGCACCGAATGCCTTTACCACTGAGTTGACTGACGACCCGGGGCTCATGATGCCGACATAACCGAGTTGGAGGAGAGAAATCACGGCCTCATGCCTCTTAGAGATTCGACAAGTCCGGCAGACAGAACCACTAGCGACGGAGGAGAAGCCATACTGGGAAACGATGTTCTGGCGGACCCCGCTCCGAATGTCTTGCAAGTCGACAGACCAGCTAGGCTTAGAAGATCCATATCTTCAAGTGGCGTTCACCTGGACAACCTTCTAGAAAACTCATCGGAGCTCATTTTCGATGGAAGGATTCATCATCTTGGCAAATTGCCCAATTAGCTCTGCAAAGACCGCTTATCAGGAAAGCGGTGAGCACCAAGAAGGACCTGGGAGATGACCTAGGAAGTGGGCTAAGAGGAAAGGATAGATGGCACCGACGATCCAAGATTTAGCAAAAGTTGTTGGAACTAGAAGCACACTTCTTCGTAGTTGTGACGGCATTGATCGAAGTCCCGAATATTCTCACCCGGTAGAACCACAGTAGGAGCTCTTGATTGCTTATGGACAATTCTAGAACGTATCTCCGACGGAATGAAGGCCTTTTCGGACGTCGAGCTATTGAGGATAGCGGTGAAGCGGTGTTCCAGCTTCAATAATTCTGATGTCGTGTCAGATAGGTAACAGCACAGCAGATCAGAGGATGCCCTACCAAGCAAGAAACGAACGGTGCAGTGCAGCTGAGCCGTCTCACAGGTCAATTATTGTCAAGTCGTTGGCTGGAACGAGTAGATTCTAGTAGTAAGACCGCAAGGTGACGACAAAGGCTTGGCGCTCTTGGCATAAATGTCATAGGAGCTGGCCATTACCACATTCGCACTCCGCTAGAGATGGGGAACATTCAGATTTTTAATTGATGCATTACGGCAGTTTGCTATAGGGCGGAGCAAAAGGCCGGGGATTTAACGAACCTGGGCACGCTAGAACACTTTCCACAAGCGGCTTATCAAGCTACTGAGTAAGTTTCCGACAGACGCTCTCGTTCGCCCGCTTAATAGCTCCCGCGCTTTGTAAGCCACCATGAAGCGTTAGTGCTACGCTATTAAGTAAGTCAAGCTTTGCCTTCCCCAAACCTTGCGGTCTCGACCTTGGCAAGCGGAAACTTCCGCTGACACACATCGACGTCAGACATGCATTGAGAACACCTCGAATTCATCTCTTGAGCCACGGTTTGGCTTTGGAGGATGCAAAAGCGAGGCGTGACACTGCTGCGTTCTCGTTGGCCGTCTATCTATACTCGCCCGTGCCTAGTCGCCTTCATTCCGATCTGCCTTGCCGTCTCATCGTGATCGCTACGGCAAATAGTTCGCCCGTATGCCATCTAGAACACCTGTGACGCTAACACGATGGAAAGTGGAGACGAGAATGCGGGATCGTGAACCTGATCTCAACAGCCAACAGTGGCATCGCAGCACCACCAGCACTTTACTGGAAATGCGAACCACCGATTGGGTTTTCAAGCACATTCTGACTTCACTCTTCTACTCCGGGGCTCTGCTGCAGACCGTCTGCTAAGGTGTACGTACACAGCGACTGGAACATAAAAGGGAGGCGCTGCACGCTCCGCCCAGAGTTTGAAACCCAAACAGACAAGCACCTCCTTCAATTGAACAAGGCAATCTATCTACTATAACCATGTATTTCCCCACCATCATCACCATCTTTGCTGCCCTGACTCCGTTCGCCCTGGCGGACTGCTGCTACAAAGTTAATGGCAGGTGCAGGGACGGCACCGTGGGCACCCCGTACTGCGGCAAAGGGGGGTGCAATTGGCTAGGCTGTGACTGCGCTGGCGGTGCGTTGCCTAATCTATAGTGAGGAGAGACCCAACACTAACATTTCATCCTAGGCTGCCGCAATACTCGGTCACGCGTGATGGAAAGGCAGGCTGCCGATGCTGAGACCACCGACGCTTTCAACAAGGCTTCCGGCGGCACCGGAAAGCTTACCGAGCCACAGTTTGCGGCATTTGTCGGTGTTCCGGCGGATGATCCGACAGTCACTCAGCTGTTCAAGGAGTCTGTTGATACATTGTCCCGGCGGTGGAAGTACAGTGCTAACTCAATGGTGTAGGCACGACAAGAACAACGACGGTGTTGTCACCATTGACGAGATCGGCGGTTAAGGGAATTCCATTATTTTCGAAGCTTTGACACTCGTTTATAGGATTATTATGCTTTGTTCAATAAGTATGTTAAAGTAACGTAGGGGGAAAGCAGCGAGGAGATGGGTCTGAGCTTTTCGGAACACCTGGGATATACCTTCACTCCTTAATATTTGGTAAAAGTCCGTCAATTTATGTAGCTGAGGACATAAAATCCTTACAGCAGGTTTTGAAGTATCACATAGCACCTACACCAACGTTCAATCAAGGACGAAGGTGCAATCCCGTCAGTGAAGTGGTAATTGTGAGCAAAGTTTCAAAATCTTGAAAATAAGGTACGCAGAGGGCGTTGGGGGACATTCTTTATCATTTACAATCTACTTGATTGTCTGATAGTGAAAGCCGTGCTGAGGTATGCGCGTGGTAGATCGAAATGATTGGATATACGACGTTGAATCGCGGTATTTGAGCATCGGTGTTGAGATTTACTCAGCCACCTAGGCTATGTCCGGCATCATGCAAGGATCTTAATCAATAGAGAGACAAGAAGCGCCGAAAGCAACCCTGTATTCGTTGTCAGACAATACCCACACTTAATACTCCAAACTCCCCGACTCACCCAATGCAAATCCGAACACGTGTTCTGGTGAAATGGATATTAACGGAACCCATGTCGACCGGACCTCGCCTGCATTCGATTCATCCAAGAGTTCGAGGATGTGTCCGGAATCCTGGAGCTCTTTCTCAGAGTCTGAGACCCCTTCCGCATCTTCTAGCATACGGGTATTCTTGTCAATTAGCTCTAAGATGACATCTTTGTTCGGTGTCTTGAGGCTCTTGATGATGTCCTCTAGCGACCAATTCTTGCGAATTCGCCCCCACCCCCGCGGACTGCGGAACTGAACTGTGACTGTCGTTTTATCTCTGCCAATTTCAAAGTTTATTTCGCCATTCACCCCCTCAGACGTTTTCCTTCCGGACTCTTCGCACTTTGTGACATTGACTGAGATATGAGGATCGGCACCAGCTTTGAGAAAGCTCTCAGATATCAGAGCGAAGTTTTGGTCGAGTTTTGAACGATCAAAATACTCGACAGAACCCGCAGGTTCGGCAACTCTCGAGTCGGTTTCCGCAAGCAAATAGTGCTGCCATATGCTCAAGTCGATGTGTTCCGTCTTCCTGACCTTGTACTGAGTAGTAAAGTCTAGAAATAACGGTATCTTCGTCTTCAAATGGCTTCGACCTTTCTTTAGCAGCAGATCGAGGAAGGCTGAATCTGAAGCCCCCAATAATCTGAAGCGACTGTTCCGAAAGTACCGAAATAGGAGCATCTCGAATTCTGAGATGGTCTCAGTGGCAGTTGGATCACATTCCAGCCTCCAAGTTGGGTAAGAATAGTCGTTTTCCTCAAACATGTAATCAAGAGGTGTCCAAAGGCTCGGCTTGTAGTGAATGCTGCGACGTTCGGGCCCATATTTGGAAGCGGCCTTTTCGATAACAAAATGTAAAGCCTCCAAAAACTCGAATGGTCTACTGTCGAAGAGTTGCTCCAGTCCTAGACGCGTCAATGCTTTGTTGTAACTGTATCCCCATCTATTTCGTGAGATCCTGGATCGGACCTCGGCGATCAGCAACTGGATGAGTGCGTTGCCAGCAGCATGATGCCCAAGCGTACGAGAACGCTGCTGCTTAGTAACAGCTGTTTCAAGGTATTCCCGGATCGATCGGTGGGTGAAAGTGATATATTCCTTCCCGTACTCGTCGGTTTGTGGCTCGAGCAGGCCTTTGCACCATCCATAGAGCTGGGTTCGTGCCGATCCAATCCTTTTCTCTACAGCACCATCATCATCCTGCTCCCATGAGCCGGCATCTTGTTTTGAGAACTCCGGATTTCTGCAGTAGTCCTCGAGAAACGAGTAGGCGAGGATTGGCAGACTCCGCATAGCGAGACTGTTCTGCAACAGGAGTAGCATGTCGAAACTGAGGTACGCTTTCAACCTGTGCTGCTCAGGGATAGATTCAATGGTGCGATCCAGAAGGGGTCTTAGACCTGGTGGGAATTGTTCAAGAATATCTTCAGGTGAGCCGCCAATTTTCGTCTCCTCGCGGACACCGCGGGTGACGAGAGCCACCCACAAAAAGACTCCCTGGGCTTTTTCCGGTATGATCTTTGCTAGTCGGTTCTCCATGTGCGAACTAACTTTGCCGTGTAGCCTTTGCTGAACAAAGCGCCTCATGTCATAATGCGTGAGATCGTGAAGCCTAAGTGTGGTCTCTGGAGAAAACTTGAATTCGGGCTCCTCCCTACTGGCAACACAGAGCTTGAGGTTTCCCTTCGAATCCGTGATCCACTTGTTTAGAAGGTCAACCAGGTCCTGCTTATCGAGACCGTCTTCATCGTAAAACTCATCGAGCCCATCGATGAAGAAGCAGAAACATGTTTTTGAGGAATGCGAGCGGCGGATGACCTGGCGGAGTGCTGCAGATATATCTTTGCTGCGAATCTCAACCGTGGTACCCAGCTGCCAGGGCAAGCTGATTGCTTCTTCCCAGGCCTTACTCAATACCTCGGGTGTCATTTCGGGGCATTGCTTGAGGATCTCGTATAATAAGGTGCGGCGGAGACCAGCAAGCACCTGTTGAAGCCCTCCGATCAACGTAGAGAAGAAAAAATTTGCCCTTACAAGACGTCTATCTCCTGTTAAAACCTTGTCAGTTTGGCATCATCGCATACGATAGTGGACCGGAATATCTCACCTGCCCACACTTGCAAAATTTCCTCCGTGCGTGGACTATCGCTCAGGAACTGCATCAAAGTTGACTTGCCGGAGCCGAACCTCCCCAATATGTGAAAAACGTTTTCTCCATCTGTTGACAGCCACTTTGTAAAGCGTTCTCGTGCCCTGTCCCTTATCCACTTTTCACTCTCTTCAGCCTTTCCATCATCACTATCCATCTCGTCATCGTCATCGAAATTATTTGCCGTTTCTTCGCCTTGGTCGAGTATCCACCGGAATGTTACACCCGTTTCATCCTGCTCTTCATTGATCTCCTCCAGTCTCTGACGGATATTATCGCTCCTTTTCTGCATGTCACTGTACCTCAAGCTCTTTAAGACACGCTCGTGTCCAATTTGCTTGATTGTTTGTTCCTGTACGCTGACAAGACGTTCGATACGGTCCCGGGTTTCCTCATCCATTGCGCGTTTCCGAAGCTCAATATTGAGCTCTCTGACATTCGTCTGGAGCTGTGTAAATCTCTCGCCGTTGTCTCTCACTAGTCTTTCCAGCTGTTCAAGCTTTGTCCTGCATTCAGGGAGGGGGAAATTTCCCACGTGTTAGCAGATGAGAGAAGCTGAAGGATGGCAAGGCTGAACACATGGGCCGTAACCAACCTCGTGAGAAATGCCAGGACGGCTGTAAGGCGCTGATGGCACCTCGCAAGCTCTTCTTCTAATTGCTGCTTGTCCTTGTCGTGGATGACACTGTTCCACGTCGCGCTTAAGGTTTGCCATTTCGCACGGACGCCGCGCTTGGAGTCAGATGATTTCATCTTTCCCAGCAGTTCGAGAAGCCGGTTTGAAACCTTCTGGCAATCTTTGGAAAGCTCGCACAGGTTTTTCGCGTCACTTGAGAGTGATTTGGTATCATTATCCGGCGGGATCAATCTGGAATGGAGCGTTTCCATCCTTCTGATGATGTCCCCAAGAGAGGAATTTTCTTCCAAGCTGCCAGACTCATGGATTTGTTTCCAGCCTTTGATGAGGCTTCCGCTGAAAGTGACGAAAGTCAGAATGCCGGAGGCTACCCCTATTGCCGTGACAGGGTCCATAACGGAGGTGGCGTGCGCTGGGCGGTGGGAGTTGTCTGAAGCAGATTGCTTTGCGAAAGAACTAGAATAGAATTTGAGGAGCTGTGTCGGCGGCGCGCGACAGCTGGCACAAAGTGGGGCGCATTGAGTTCAAGCTGCGGCACTTCAAATGATTCGTCTTACATGCATAGTGTTGGGGGCCAGTTTCGCATCGGACCAATCAAAAACGGTGATATCAGGCAACAGATCAGGCGCCATGCCGGCCCCTCTATCGTGTACTTTAAAAATAGAGGCGAAGGAGAAATGCGACGATTCTTCCAACAGAAAACTGTCAGCATATTTCAAAGCTCTTTCACCCGCCCACTTCAGTTGTATCCCTGTATGTACATGCTTCTTTGAATGTAGTAGTCACTAAGGATGAACGGAACCCTGGACCCTTCGAATAACGCAGTCCTATTACCTTTTATAGATGTGTTTAGCATGGCGCTCGCGAATGTTCTCTCTATCTGTTGGTCAACGGTGATTAACATAATATTTACCCGCTATCTTCTTGGAAGGCAGCAGGAATCTCGGGTTGGTGGTGTTATCGAATATATAGTTTTAATGGTGTGTAACGCAGAGGGCATATGTACCATAAGTATAGAATCTTGAGACTGTTTACGCGCGACAAATCACTGTCGAGATATATACATCCTCTCCCAATCAGGTTGGGTATACGCAACAAAGCCGCAATACTGGGGCCATCAATAATGTCAACAACCATTGTCCGCTCCGATTTCAACCCCGGGAAGACAGCATCAAGACAATGAGGGCATAGAGTGATGGTGGGGCAGACATCTTAGATGCTGCGCTCGCGGTGACATGGTTTCTCGGGCTTCTGAAATGAGGAAAGGACTGAGAACTTACCGGAATAAAATGTCACTGAATCAGTCTCTGCCATGTCAATTCACGATCGTTGTCACTCACTAGATGCCTGTCGATGGATTGAAAGAATGTCATTTTTGAAGCTACTGAGATACCTTCGATGCAAATGCAGCAGAGGCTGCAGCCTTGCACTGTTCAGCACGATTACATACCAGCGCCGATTTCCAAAGCCCAGCCATCACCCTTCGGGATGATCGTGATGTTGTCGACGCCCATGCCCTGGAGCTGAGTGGCCATGTCCTGGATGGATGAAAGGCTGTCCTCGCTGCGTCCGTTGTCACTGACAAGGTAGTCCGGGAAGGCTCTCTTGATGCCCTGTTCGGCTCCGTCGTACCAGATCTTCGTGGACCTCTGGAAGATCTTGAGGTTGTCCCACGGATTCCGGTACCACTTGTCAGCAGTTCCCTTTGCCACCTTGATGAAAAGGTGGACGCTGCCTTGGAAGCCGGTGAGGGCGGTGCACGCATGCCCGAAGATTTCGCCGACCTTGTTGCGGTATCTCCCGTCAACGGAGTTGATGCGGTTGATCGCGAACCTCTTCATCTCCGCCATTTGGTCGAGTGCCTTGTGTTGCATGAGGTCTTCGGCGTCGTCGAGGGCCTTGACCCATTCCTCCTCATTTCCACCCTTGTTTGCCAGCTGCTCGAAACTCTGCGAGATCTCATTCGTGTCCTGTCGGATCAGCTGATTGGTCTTCAGGAGAATATCCTTGAGGGTCCTCAAGACATCATCCTTGTCTGCGAGCGTGGATGGGCCACGTAGGCCGTTTGATGAGAAGGCGTCCTGGATGGTATTTCTGGAAAGCTCAAATGCATTCTTCGAGGTCTCCTGGAAGTCCTTCACGTTCTTCCGCGGCTCCCTGGTCCAGTTGCCAATGTTTTGTTGTGCCAGAATAAGATAAATCGCCATACTGGTCTGGAAGCCGGTGGGTGCGATCCATGCCTGGTTGAAGATCTTCGTGACAGCGATCCGGTCGTCATGGCTTAAGCCTTCCATCTCATTGTCTGCAAATATCTTCATTTGTGTCAACTGATCAAGTGCCGTGTTTTTCATGGTCCCAATGGCTTGGAGAAGGAGATTATTCCAATCCCATGTGCTGGTATCCTTTTTGTTCGCGAGTGTGTCCATGCTGTCTGAGATACTCTTCGTATCGTCTCTGAGCTGGTCGTTGGTCTTCAGGAGATGGTCCCGTAGGTTGTTCAAGACCTGACCCTTGTCTGCGGCCGTGGATGGTCCCTGGACATGGTTGTGGAGCGTGGCCTGCCAATCTACCGGGCTCAGGCGGTCGTGGGCAACCACAGCGGCCAGAAGTTCCTTGTCGCTGTTCTCGATGATGGATCGAAGAATGCCGAACCTCTGCTCAATGAGCTGATCCCAGCGGAGGTAGACGAGGTTGTTGGTCGACGACATGATGATACTTTCTTATAGCTTTATTAATATATGAAAGGGACATTTTAAATATCAAAAAGTCTTACCTGAGCGTGGATTGTCACTAGATGTAGTTCAGCGAGGTCGAATGGATGTTGTTGACTGATCGATGTGACAAGGGAGTACTTGTATTTATAGGTGTTGATTGTAGCAGAGTATTTTTCATGTTTGAAGTTCTCCGCCATGTGGGGTAGTGGAATGACAGGGAGAAATCGGCACCGACTGGATAGGGATTGAAACTGAACCACAATAGGAAAATAACGCGTATCCATGTGAACTCTGACGAAATAAGAATGTCGTTGTGGAAGACAAAAATCTGGCCCAGGTTGGCTCGAGTCGTAAATCTCACGACCTTTGGGTTTGGATTCCTGTCTTAGCCTGTCTTAGAAATTCTCCCGCCCTTCATGAAACGGAAACAGACAGGGAAGCGAAAACGGAAACCGCAGTCATTCAAGCTGAAAGAAAAACCGGAATGTGGGGGCGGGGGAATGCGGGGAGAGGATACTAGACTGTTCGTTGACTTTTGCGTGCCTCTGCTTAAGCCCCAACGGGTACGCTTAGTCTTTAGCGGAAACATTAGCTGTTGACGCACATGAAGCCCATTGATCACCACAGCGAGGATTGTAGACAGATGCGAGAACCCAGAATCGCCCATGCTCGCGAGCTGAACTTCAAGTGCACCCATTCGGAATTTGCTACCTTCTGCAACATGCCATCACCGCGTATCGGAAACATATTTTTACACTTCACGTCCGCCATCATTATCAACATGTTTATGCATATTTCCTCTACACTCCCCATCACTTTCATCATTAGATATTGCCACCATGCGTGTATACGGCTGTACACGCTCAAGACATGGAAAAGGGTTGTTCAGCCACCATGGGACGTGTTCAGGGGTCGCTTACGCGCGCATCATCGGCATGTGACGGATGACGCACACAGTAGTGGCATCCACTTCTCTCTGACACCGAATGCAGATGGCATTTTTTCATTGCCAAGTTGTGCTGTGAGCTTTGTGCGGTCTTGCACATCTGAGGTGCCTTGTCAGTCAAGAGTCGTAGCACTTTTTCACGTGTTAGGATTTTATTTACAGAGCGTAAACGGCGAATGTAGAGTGGTAGTGGAATGTTGTTCTCTGAGTTTGGGCTCTGGGTTTGCCATTTTACAGTACCTCCAGCCCGAAGCCGATGTCATGAGTGAAACGGGGGTGCATCTAGTAGCCATCCGGAGCATAGGTAAGAGGCGGACCAGGATTACCGAAATAATATTGTTACAATGTCCCTATATCTAATATACGATTATCTAGGAGAGCAAATATTGAGGATTTGTAGTGAGTAGAGAGTTTGTAACTGGAGTAGAGGAAAGGAATGGATATTCCTGAAACAAATCTATAAGATGCTTTGTCCAGTCAACCCCGCTAATTTAACGCTGAAGTCCCATAGCTCCTTCTGTTTCGCCTTATCGAAAGACTCCTCCAGTGGCTTAACAATCTTAGCGCCATCCAAATAAAGATCTTTCGGATACCTCCCTAGCTCCGGATCCTCAACATCGAACGCCGCTCTCCGCACATGCGCTGCCGACTTCTCCACCGTACGCATGACACCATCCGGATTGACCCGTGAAACTGCCTTGAAGACGCCAGACGCCACCGGTCCCACAACATACTTCATGAACGGGTTCATCTTGTTCATGATATTAGGGTGTATCATGGCGCCGGGGCTGACGGCGAGCACGCAGATCTTGTTCAGGCGCGGATCTGCGTCGAGGCGTGCTTGCAGCTCGTGCCTGCGTAGCTACGTTAGCGAGGGATTTCATGGGGTAACGGATACCAATGTAGCTGTCAACGATGAAGCCGGCGGGAACACCTACATGAACATGACCTGACACAGCTTCGACATGCCATACCGCCTCATGACATCGTTCCATTTATCACCCGCGCCCGGCACCTGCTCGCCCCGCGAGATCTCTTCAAGATTCCACTCCAGCTTCTCCATGCGGTGCGCATCGCTCGATACCAGCACGATGCGGCCATGCTCCGGGTCCAAGCTGGGCAGCAGCAGCAGAGTCAGCAAGAAGTTGGCCACGTGGTTGACCGCGAACATCATCTCCAGATCCCCTGCATCGTTCCAGTTGATGAGCTGGCGCGGGCCCATCATCGGTATGGCAGCGGCGTTGAGGATGAGTGCGCGGATGGGAGGAAGCTGTTTGTTGGAGACTTTGGTGTTGATGGCGGCGGCGAAGGTGCGCACGGCGTCTGCTTTGGAGAGGTCGAGCTCGTGGATCTCGACCGTCTTTCCTTGAGTGGATTCGCGGAGGGTATGCAGAGGCTTTGCATTGGCGGCTGACTGGTTGCGGACTGTGAAGATGCAGGCTTCTGCTTCGGGGCGGTTGACGATACTCTCTGCGAGCGCTAAGCCGAGGCCGCCTGCTGCGCCGGTGACGATGACAGTGCCGGACATTGTTGATTGTGAGGATCTCTGAGGATTAGACTGAGGTTCACAGCAAGTTCGAAGCCTTCCTGCCTCTTTATATCAATCTAAGCATATATCTTGAATACGCGGTCATGCTGACTGGGTTGGCTGGTCGTCGGCTTACCTGGTTGTAGGCTGATTCAATATTTTGGATTTGCAATGCCTAAGCCAACCTCGCAGAACATTCGCATGAGAGAAATTATATGCGATTCTGTAGGAGGAAATTTCCACATGCTATCGTGCTACGGCAAGTGGCTTCATCCGTATCCGTTCCGGTCGCAAGCATTGCCAAATACGGCCGTGCACGGAGCATGCCAAGCTTTCTACTACACTAACAGCCACTGGGAATACGCTTAAGTGGACTCGGTTGTGAGTGAAACAGGGGATGTCTTGTGGGGATCCGATTTATCTTCGCTGTCGATCCTCGATATCCAATCAGAGACGAGCAAGTACGAGCTGTATACGTGAAGATAGTCCATGCACAGAATATACTGGTTGAAAAGTATTATAGAACTATTGTCAGGCAAGCCTCGAAGGCGGATGCGGGATCAGGTTCCATCCGAGCTGCAGGGTAGTGGAACGGTGGTAGAAGTGCTTATAAATCCTGCAACGTAGATACGAATGAGGCCATTGCATGACCAAAGGCTGAGATGGTGCAAAGGACAATAGAGGATGAACACCGTTCAATCTCGAATTTAATATCAATGAAGCCGCAATATTTATTCTGTTCGACATCTCTTTTGAATACAATGCTTGCATGTTCCACACCACACGTTTGATCTTTTTACAACCATGGAAGCCTCCGTTTTTGGAAATCCGCTTCTGTTCACCCTGGAAGGCTGTTACAGCTTCTACGGAGGTTCCATACTTTTCGTGCTATCTCTCATCTTTCTCATCACCACTCTTCCAATTCCGCCGGAGAGCAAGCCATTCCCTGGTTTCAAGCTGTACGGTAATCTGCCTGGAGACCCTTCATTCACGAAGACAAAAGCACAGTACTCCACATATGGTGGCACCTGGATCAAGAACGCCTATGAACAAGTAAGCAATCTCCAACCATCTACCTACCCAATGAGCAATGGAGCTAAGCCAGGGACCAGGCACGCGGCAAGGCATTCCAGATTATCACAGGTACCGGACCAATGATCATCCTCCCACCTCCTCTGATAGAAGAAGTCCGGAATAATGGGAACATGACTTTGAGCGGCTTCCTCGAACATGTACGCTCTTGAATTAGATTTCCGTGAGAAGCTTCTGGGTGCTGAGACTGTTTCAGGAGTTTCTTCCAAATTATCCGGGATTGGAACCTTGGAAGGGTCTGAGGAATAGCATCTTTCAGGACGTGGTCAAGAGGAACTTGACTACCGCCATAGGTGTGTGCCATTGGAAGGAAATGTGGATGAAGAGACACTGATAACATATCCAGGCCCGCTTACACCTAGTCTATCTTCGGAAATGTCAAAGGCACTCAAGCAATCAATCCAGGGAATTGGTGATGGTACGCATGCCCGTCAGAAATCCCCTTCGTGCTGCTCTAACGAAGAGGCATAGAATGGGCTCCGATACCACTTCTTCCAACCATTCTTCCGATCGCAGCTCGAATGACAACCAAAGTCTTTACCGGCGACGCACTTTGTCGCGATCCAGATTGGCTTTCGATTTCGATCAACTTCACAATGGAGGCATCTGCAGCTGTGCATGCTTTACGTTCCTGGCCATCTTTCCTGCGTCCAATCGTCTGCCGTCTCCTTCCCGAGATGCGTCAGACCCAGCAGTCATATTCTCATGCCGACAAGATAGTGAAGGCAGAGCTCGAAGCCCGACAACACGCCAAGAGAGTATCAGAGGAAGACGGCAACACAGCGACCAGATTCAACGATGCTCTCGAGTGGTTCTCGGAAACAGCCATTGGCAGGGAATATAACGTGACTGACGGCCAGCTGCTCCTCTCTTTCGCGGCCATTCACACAACAAGCATGACTCTCTACGCTTTCATGTTCGACATGCTCTCCTCCCCTGAAATCATTCCCGATCTGCGCAAGGAAATGATCCAGGTGCTGACCGAGGACGGTAGCCTCACAAAGCAGAGCATGTACAAGCTCAAGCTACTAGACAGCTGCCTGAAGGAGAGCCAGCGAATCAGCAACTTCGGACCAAGTAAGAAAACCAACACTCCGCACGCCAACCCGAACCTCTTGCTAACGAACCCGCCAGCATCCCTCCACCGCCGCGTCGAGCGTCCCGTGACGCTTTCCGATGGCACACACCTGCCAAAAGGCTGCATCACCGCCTTTCCCACATTAGTGATGCACGACCCAGAGATATACGGGCCCAACCCGCTGAGGTTCGACGGACGCAGGTATCTGCGCATGCGGCAGCAGCCCGGCCAGGAGAACAAGGGACAGTTCGTCACGACGAGCGCGGATCATTTTGGCTTCGGCCACGGCAAGTTTGCGTGCCCGGGGCGGTTCATGGCGGCCAATGTTTTGAAGATCATGATCGTGCATCTGCTGCTCAGGTACGATTGGAAGCTGGCCGATGGGGCGAGGAAGAGCCTTGTGGAGTCTGAACTCAGGCCCGACCCTTCGACGGCGGTCCTATGCAAGCGTCGGGTCTCCGAGTTTGAGACGTTCTGAGGGAAGGCGAGCTTGATTTGTGACAGAGCAAAGTTGATACGTATCAGCAGAAGATAAAATGCAATGCTGATGGGTGGCAAAGCTGATCTTGACGGGTGTAGCACTGTAATGTGTCCAGTAATTAATGACTACGTGAAACAACGTGGCGAGGCTGTTTCGTATTACCCATCTGCTGACATGGCGGTTTGGAAACAATCAATATGAATCATATGCCTGCCATGTGTTTCAAGTCCAAAGCGTTCGGTAAATAGAGCAAAAGGGACTAGTGCATGTACATGGAAGTGGGGCGTAGTGTGTGTAACAGTTCTGTGTAAATAGTCTCCTTCTCAAAACTAACCATGAAAGTGACAATCCATGAATTGAAAAAAGTGTTATGACCCCTGTAGCACGAAGGCTATATCACGCTAAGGATAGAACACCAGCACGGATCGAAAAGCTCTAAGGCAGAATGCCTCAGGCTGAAGCAGGTTTAATCAGCCTGCAGCAGGGGCCAACACGGTCGGCACGGCTATAAAAATGTGTGGCGGGGAATTAAATAATAGCGGCATTGGTAGATAGCGGTAACAGTTGATATTTATTGATTTACGGTAAGCCCTACGGTTTAACGAATCCGCTAAGCTACTCTGAGTTTGGGTGCAAGGGGCCTACCATTATACTAATTTAGTTAGTATTAGAATAGCGTCTGTTCTGCTTTTTTGAAGTCACTCACCTAAACATCGCTTAGTTTCCTGGGCCGCCCTCAGCAATAATGACGTCTACAAGACGATTTCCCCGCTTCTGATCCTTCTTCTGCGTGTAGATGTAGTCAGGGTGCAGCGGCTCATCACGCTTCTGGTCCTTGTTCTGCGTATAAATGTAATCGAGGTGGATCGGCTCGTCTCGTTTCTGATCCTTCTTCTGGGTATAGATGTAGTCGAGATGGATATCCCCAGCCGGCTCGTCGGCTCTCTTGATGGCGTCCTTCTTTTGTGTGTAGATGTAGTCGAGGTGGAATTCGTCGCTCTCCACTGCGATGGGTGCAGCGGCAACGGTGCCGAGCAGAAGGGCGAGGGCAAGGCCGGCGGTGGTGGAGAAGCGCATGGTGGTGTGATAATTGGGATTTGTCGGTCGGGAATCTAGATTCGAAGTGTTGGCAGGGGATCGCTTATATACTGAGATTTTCGGCCACGAGTGATCCAAGAGTTATATACAGGTGGCCAAGATAGATGACGATATCTATTATTGTATACGAGGGGATTCCCGCACGGACAGTTCAGGACTGCAGAAAGGCGCGGGTGCGGCACTACTTCAGATTAAGTGGCTTCGGAAACCACAAGTTATCGAACTCGGATTCGGATCGGGCCTTGTACTATATAATTTAGACCCACATTCATGACATGTGTAGTACGTTATGACGCGTGTTGTAGACTTGAATCATTCGCCAAGATAAATCACTCGGTAAGAGATGATCCATAGTGCAGAGCACGACTCAAGTGCACGCCTCGCGTGGAAATAGCTGATCAGATGACAGAAAGACGGTCCCTTAAAGGTGCAGGCATGACTAAATGTCAACTCCACAGTGGTGTCCAAGATGTGGTTGGTTTCTTTTTCCATTCTGGTGTTCACGTTTCTACTAACGGGGCCAACGGCTTCCGCCATGCCAGAATGCGTGTCGTATCTTTCAGTAAGGAAACATTATCCCCAGCTCTGAGCGCAGAGACTGACCCGTTGAGCAGAGACCGGACTTATACGTACCAAGATTAGACATTCGTTTGAACGAAGTGCAAACATCCACGGTTGATTCCTTTCTATTCTCAACTTGGGGAGGGGCCTGCCAGTTTGCGCCCTACATCTATGACGAAAAGGGGGTAGGTTTAGTCCGATGATGTGACGCTAGTCGCTAATCCGAGATAAAGCAGTTAGTCTGGTCAGGCTACCGACCTAATCTTGCCGACATAGGTTATTTCAACCTGAAACGTCATGAGCTGGCGAACGGCTCTCACATTCTCTCGGTTATTCGAGGCAAATCTGAGCGAGGCCGCGGCCAAGGACACATCCTCCTCCTCGACGATGCCTATCGGCCAATTCGAACTATTGAAGCGGAGAAGCCTGGGACAGCTTTAGACTTCCATGAATTCAACCTTCTCGATGGAGGCTCTAAAGCAATAGTTGTCAGCTTTCAGCCTGTGCAAGGCGATCTCTCCGCTTATGGTATCACGCAAGGACTTGGTTGGATATTGGACAGCGTCTTCCAAGAAATCGACCTGGAAAGTGGAAAGGTGCTCTTCGAGTGGAGAGCCTGGGATCATGTGCCTCTTCTGGAAACCTCCCTAAGTCCCGATACCAACGCAGGCGGTGGTCGGTCCTCGTTCGTTGCATTTGATTATTTGTAAGTAAGAATATGGCCGTAACGATCAATGCCTAACAGAACTCGCAGCCACATAAACTCTGTAGACAAGTTCTCAAACGGAGACTATCTAGTATCTGCGCGACATACAGACTGCATCTACCGGATTTCGGGAACGGATGGCTCAATACTCTGGCGGATGGGCGGACGAAACTCTACGATGCAGGTTGCAGGCTTCAATTTCTCTGCCCAACACGATGCTCGGATCCTATCAGAGGAAGGGAACCAGTTGCGCATCTCATTCTTCAATAATGGTTGGAATGGCATCGCCCAGACCCGAGAGGTCTCCGCGGCGACGATCATCACGATTGACCACCCTACTTCACCCACTACCGCCCGATTGGTACACGAAAGATTCCCATTTCAGGGTGGTCTGGCTCGCCATCAAGGTACTGTACAAACTTTGCCAAACGGCAACACATTCGTGAGCTGGGGCCAAGTCGCTGAGTTCAGCGAATTCACGCCCAATGGTGAACGCATCTTGGATGTTGCCTTCGTTGACGTGGAGGCACACGTTTACCGGGTGGTCAAAGCTCCATGGCAAGGGTCTCCGAACACTCTACCAGATTTGTACCTTTATGCACGGGCCAAAGGGGAACCGGCCCATTTTTACATGAGCTGGAACGGGGCTACTGAAGTCGTAGCCTGGAAGATATATTCTGCAGAAGGACAGCGGGAAAGCGATACTACGGGCAGCTTACTCGGAAAGGTGGACAAGAATGGGTTCGAGGCGCACTTTAAGAGCCAAAAGTATGTTCCTGCAGGCTTTGTGGAGGCATTGGACAAGGATGGACAGGTCCTTGCCATCTCCAAAGTGCAGCGTGTACTGGTTCCACCAGCATCTATGGCAGATGTCTGCGGCCCAGCACACTGTACTATTCAGCAGATACTTCCAACGCCTGATGATGGCCTTCCACGACAGGAAGTGGGGCGCGCAGGAATTTCAACAGAAAGAACACGGGCATTCCCGCTTGCTCTCATCCAAGCGTTCGTCATTGCTGTGGTTGCTTTCATGGCGGGAAAATTCTCACGGACCTCAGGCGTACGGCTACTACGCTGACGGTAGTGCATAGATCGGGGATTAACATAAAAACGAGACAATCTTAATTATCGTGCCAGCGTAGGCCCCCGTTACAAGCAAGTATGTTAGTCTCTAAATTATGGACCTAAGCGTGATCCAAGACGAGCTGTGGCCGCGGATGTTCGTAGTGGACCAGTAGAACCATGGATATACTGGCGCTGCAGTACATGTTCAAGACTGTGTAGATGGGAGAGAATATCCCTGTGCTCGCCACTGGGCAAATTCCTTGAGTGAGCCAATCAAGACTGTGCTGAGTGAAATTCACACGGCGCATGAGGCCCACAATTACTCTACAAGTCCTGGCTACAACGGCATGGAAAATGGCACTGTGGTGATTGCCGTGCGTTCAGAAGTTCTTCAATGTGGATTGTTTTATGGTTTAAGGAACATGACTGCTTGCTTACAGTTTGCTTTTAGTTACCGGTGAAGCCTATGATTCGTGGTTTGGCTGGCATAGTATCGAAGCTGTAGGTTCTGTCTGCACAATCCATCAAACAACCACGGGAGTGTCCAACTTTGTCACGACCTTGCCGTCCACTGTAACTCCAAAATATAAGTATAGCTACGGGAATTACTCCGGGCACTAACATTCGCCATTCGCTCGCTTTTGAAGTCATGTTCCAGTTAGCACGCAGCCGATCGACACTAGTGTGCGCCGATCTAAGCATCGTAATTGGGTTGTGGCCAGGGCTGATGAATGGTGACGATTCAGACCCACAAGGCCGAAAAATTTCTTACAAGAAGTGGGGTAGGCAACAATCATCTCCAGCTAAATCTCACCACCGTCTTTCCATCGACATTCGGCTCTACTGATCTTTATACGTCTCTTCCTCTTACAGAAGTGGAGACGTTCAGCCTCTTGAGGAAATTACTCCGGCAAGGGGAGTCGTCACACAACTCCAATTCCAGACAAGCTCGAACCTGTACTTCTGCCAAGATCTCTGTCCAAGGGGCCTGAGAGGTGGACTTCGAGTCTCACAGAACCCGGAAAAACGTTACCTGTCTGCGCAAAATCTTCTCAGCTTTCTGCTCAGCGTATCATCAATACGTCTGATTCCGTTCTTTACTCTCGACAATCGTTTCCGTCTCCAATGGGTCCACCTGTGAAGCCATACGATCTTTTCCGCCACAAGCCGTTGAACCTAAGCGAAAACTCTTTCCGACTGCTCGATATCAATGGTGTTTCTCCAGAAGGCCTCATCGAATGTACCATCAATGAATACAACCGCGATGACTTGCATCAATCTTACCGCGCTCTATCATATACCTGGGGTCCTGAAACGCCGGCTGGGTGGATCCTCCTGAACGGAAAGGCGTTTCGTGCCCGAGAAAATCTTATACGGTTCCTCGAAGCCACCTCCTCTCACCGCGAGGCGCGCAAGGGCATCTGGATCGACGCGATTTGCATCGATCAGGACAATACAACTGAAAAGATGCAACAAGTCAAGCATATGGACGACATCTACCGCAATGCCGCTACAGTTTTCGCCTGGCTTGGAGATGCCACTGGGGATTACCAGGAGCTCCACGAGCTTCTGAAAAAGTTCGAAGAGACACCAGAAGGCGGGGTGCCTAACAGGTCCAGTGCCATATTTGGGATACTGAGAGGTTCATCTGCTGTTCGTGAGCAGATGCTGGACGTGCTATCACGACCATATTGGACGCGTATGTGGATCATTCAGGAGATTACTCTTGCACAGACCGATGTGCGCCTGCTCTTTGGAAAACACACCTTATCATGGAAGACGGTCAAGCCCCTATCTGTAATGATTAAGAGTGACGTCAAATACCGGCTTTTCTTTCGCACAGTGCCAGCATACCAAGTGGCCAAAGCAGCGGACCTCCTGCGAAGTAAATCCAGGCCTTTGACTATCCTTGGGTTGCTCAAAGAGCTGGATGGCGGTGGCCTTTGCGCAGACGCACGCGACAAAGTCTACGCACTCCTTGGAATGGCCAGCGATACCGGAGCCCTGGAACCGGATTACACCATCACGGGCGCGGAACTGTTCTTTCGGGTGCTGAAAAGCGAGACCTCTTTGGTGAAAACAAACACCGTCACCATTGATGACATCGCTGTTCTGTGCAAAGCTCTCAACGTCGATTTCGAAGACCTGAGAGCGCATGCAGACGCTAAAGGAGGCCATGGGCATGCAGAGGAATTTTTCCGGTTTAAAGGAGACGGCCTTGCAGTCAGAACTCTTCATCAGCACTGGAATCCATTGGGAAGTGGCGTAACCCTGCACTGTGATTATTCTTATAATCTTGGCTTGAGCGGTGCACTTATAGATCCTCTTGACATTGCGTTCAGCTTTACAGAAGGATCCACCAAAGAAAATCTCAAACGGGCCGTTATAATCCGGCCGACGCACGATGGACAATATACGTATTTCGCGATGGCTGAATGGTGGGATTGTCACGAACGCATGTACCACCCTTGGGAGGTATCCGACGCATATGTAAAGCAATGCTTTTTTTACGGTTTACCAGTGCTTCAGAGTGTACAACCGTTCAGATTCCATGCAGAAGATGGCTATATTAGCCTTTCTGCCAACGCGGTCTTGTATCTCACCAAGTTGTCGGAAGTTCTCTCGGTCGAAAAGGTCCGGAGCCTTGGGCAGTCTGACATGCGTTCTCTGGGAATCAAGAGTGAGGATGGGTCCTTTGATGATTTGAATCGGATAAAGCGTCGCAAGACCTTCCAAATCAAAAGGGTTGAACAGTCTGGAAACGGTACACTTTTCGAGACTGTCACAGACGAAACAGTCTCATGATAGCCTTATTTCAAATGATACGACGAATCCGAAATATCTTCCACAACACATCAGAATCGGGTGAGGGTGATCCAAAGCCTCATAAGGCGTGTTGCCGCACAGTGAGGTGGATGGATCGCATTCAGGTGACGATCCGATGTGTGACCATACTTTTCCAACTACATACAGCCATGTACCCACTTTTGGCTGTTACCATTGTTCTACCCTTCATTCCTGGACCAAGCGACGGGCATGCAACCTCAAGTGAAACAGCAACGGTGGCAGTGGGCGGAGTTGCCGATTTGATTTTCGTGCTGAGTGATTGAGAGATCACGGACTATTCTTGAACTCTCCAGAGTCCTTTGCCACGGCTTTAAGATTTTAGAATTTAATACACATTTTCCTTTTTCTCCAGATCCCTTTGCATACTTACGACAGTAACATTCCCCGTTCCTCCTCGGACACCTCCTGACCTTAAGCGTATACGACCCAACGTCCATGACATCGTTCGAACCTGTTCAAAGCAACACCTTTCTCGAATACCATACCCGATAACTATACGACCGATTCAAATCAATCACTGCATCACTGCTGGCCGTAAGGGCGATATGAATGACCATGAAATCATTGAAACGCCTCCCTGAAAGATTTCGTCATTGGGCCAAAAGGGATCGTCATATCCATGTCGAAAGCAGAGTGTCTTCTTGATACAAGCCAGCGTCTTCTGCGTCCCTCTCATCCCAGCACTCCCAAACTTTGCCATTCCTTTTCAGAATTCGCCGAGCAGATGCGGTAGTTCCACGACTAGCCCCCGGACTCGTTGAGCAACCGGCCGCTGCTGCCACGCTAGGCGAGCCTTTTCTGCAACTGAGGAACCGGAGCTACGGGGGCAGGCAGTCGACCGTAGTGACTGCACCCGGTTGTTTCTCCGACTTTTCGACGTGAGAGTACGTGGGCGCAGCAGCAGCGGAATCGGGCTGGGAACGAAACCGCTCGGGGGGCGCCATACTTTTACGGTGCTTGGTGCCGCAGGGGGTGATTGGCTTGCAGCCGGTCAGGACCCAGAGAGGGAGGCAGATGCAGAATAACACGCATACAGCGCCCGCGGTTTCTGCGATTTCCCGAACACGGTCCATGGTGGGTGGAGGATGGAGAACGTTTGACAATGTAGTGAGAGCTGTGGAGATGTTGTGGTGATGCAAAGCGGGAGAGAAGTAGGATCGCGAGGCTGAGGGGTTGCTGCCTGGAGAGAAAGAAAAGTGGGGCAGGCCCTGGTCCGCAGCACAACCGAGAAGGCATTCGCGCACTTTCGAACGCCGTTTCTGGGGCTGGAGAGCCTGTTTTCAAGAAAAGTCCTTTTTAAATGGGAGATTATCATCTTGAACAACGGGTCTTGCTGATTCTGGGTTCCCTAGCCGTAGGACGTAGTCAAGAAGGCTGAAATTTGCGGTTGTCGGAGAGCAAGCTGTACAAAGGATAATAGAAGGCTTACATGGAGCAAGCAACTTAATCAGCATCAGTGCATCGGTATACGGATATTTACTGCATTGCCATGCATCGTCATGTGGGACTTCGTCAAATGTAGAGTAGTATTGTGCGATTTTGTTTTTGTATTTCTGCTTGGTCTCATCTCAGTTGCTGCCCTACGATATTCTTCCATTTTCGTAACAAAATTCGCCGGGTATTAATACCGTGTAAGCACGGGCGTATTTGAGGACCACTAAAGTCTTTAGTATCTTTCTTCACGTATGATTACGCAGCAAAAGCGGGACTTATAGAGAAAAGTTCAATATTATAAGATAGAAAGTTGACTCTTATAGTATGTGTTGATTTCATGTAGAGTGATTGTAAAGCTACCCTATTCTCGCATGTGGAGTTACGTCGGAGGGCACCCCTTGCCACGTATGTATTATTTTTCCGAATAAAACCCCTCGTTCAACCTTCATCAAACTTTACCCTCTTCACCTTTCCAGCCTCTTTCCACGCAAAACTCCGGCGAAACATACCCCGCACCTCCATCTACAATCTTCCGCAGCCTTTTGCAGCCTCGACCACAGCTTAGCAAGCTCCACGTAGACGAACTAACACGCAAAACAATCAGGACCACCATGGCCGAACCAACAGAGAAACCGGTCGTCATGCTACTCTCTCTCAAGGGCGAGCCGCACTTTGACACGATGTACAGCAATCTCCTCGCCCATCTCAGCACCAACGCCCGTATCAAGGCGTCCAACAGCGCATCCGCAACTCTCGACCACCTCGCCGCCAACCAGCCGGCTGCCATCTTGATCACCGATGCCGCGTTAGTAGGCGGCGCCGCCCCCAGGAGCGACGCGTTCGCGTCTGTCCTCGAGAAGCTCAACGGCTACGTGCGGGCCGGCGGCACGGCCATCTTCTGCTGCCATTTCGCCAGCTACGCTCCTCCCGTGGACGGCGCTCTCGACGGCTTCTTCGCCGACGCCTTCGGGCTGCCCTGGCGGCGCGGCAGTTACTATCGCACGACGTTTGCGCTGAATGCGGCTGCGGCGAGACACGTGGGCCAAGCGCAGCAGCGGCGGCGGCGCTTGGCGGCGGCGTACAGCCAGAAGGCGGTGCATCTGCGGGATGTGGAGAGTGCGCAGGCTGTGTACTTGCCCACGGCGGAGAGTAAGCTCGAGAGTCTTGTCTTCACCGCGGAGAGTATTGAGGATCGCGAGCAGACGCCTGTTGCGTGGGCGAGGGTGGGGGAGGGCTGGGTGGGGTATGTTGGGGATGTCAATGCGGAGGAGGAGAGTGATGAGGTTATCCTCGCTATGTGCGGCTTGTAAGCGGCGAAGCGAGTTGGAGAGAGACGGGATCGTAGCAACCTTGAAGTTAAGTACATCTTCTAGATGGATTCTGAGGTTAACACTGCTAGCATTAATGCCGAACATCTACTAGCTCTTCAGGCTCCCAGCTAAAAATTTTGCTTTTCTTGGATTTAAGCTCGAAGAATGATTATTTAACATCAGAGTAAACGCCACAGTTACGGTTACGCATGTCAATTTCCTGTAAAGGAGTTGCGAAGGACCACCTGGACATAGTGTCGTTGTTCACGAGCATCCTCAAATCAATTTCATAGCGAAGATCCATCTAGAATTCAAGCATCCAACGCATGATTCTTTTATCTACAAGTCTCTCCACCCGACAACCCTGCCTCACACCTACGACAACACCATCCCCCACTCCCACTTTCCGGTATCGCTGAAGACGGTGATGATGATATTAGGCACCGTCAAGTCAATATTTTGCCGTTGGGCTAAGAGGGGGGCGCCATACCGATGTCGAAAGCAATGTGTCTTCTCGATACAAGCCAGCGTCTTTGGCATCCTTATCGCCTCAGTGCTCCTCGTGGTCCCAGCGGCCCTTTTCGTCTCCCCCCATCAGGATCCGCCAGGTAGAAGAGAGTGCTACGGCTAGCCCCTAGCCTCGTTGAGCAACTAGTCGCTGCCACGGCGCTGGCATGAGAAGCAGATGCAAAACAGCACGCATGCAGCACCCACTGTTTCAGCGATTTCCCGAACACAGGTCACGGTAGGTATAAGATGAAGAACGTTTTCGACAATGGAATGTGGACGCTCTGGAAGTGCGCGCCTTCTCCATCTCCATATATATATATATAACCACATCTATCTAGCTCCAGCGTACAAAATTCTCTCAAGCATCAGCCCACAGCTCCTCGCTCAGATCCATCCAGCGCCGACACCTCTCCGCATCGACATGATGATCCCGTGCCACACCGAAGGCCGTAGTGGAGAAGTTGAGCACCACCGCAGGGCCCGCCGCCGCCGCCGCCGCGGGGAATGGGACGGGCACGGGCAGGCCACGATCGGGGAAGCCAGAAGAGGCGAAGTTGACAAAGTAGCGCTGCATGGTCGCGGCCAGAGAAGTGGCAGCAGCAGCCGGCGCGCCGTCCAGTGGTGCGCCGCCGTCGTCATAGAAGGTGTAGGCCTGGTCGAGTGAGTGCCAGCCGGGCGGCACGCTCCACACATAGGCGTAGTGGTGGTGCGCGCCCGGCGGTAGTAGTAGCAGCTGGCGCGCTGCGCACGTCACGGCCAGCTCGGCGTAGGCGGTTGCGTAGCGGCGCAGCGGGCTGGCATAGTACGCCGGCGACGGGCCGCCGCCGTACGTGGCTGGGTAGAGCTCGGTGGCGAGCAGCGATAGCGTGGCGGGCGAGGCTGCGGGCAAGACTTGGGCGAGCAAGGGCTCGAAGACGCGCTCGTCCAGGGCCTGCGGCGGGGTGAAGAGGATGCCTTCGTCCGAGTTGTGGCCCACCATCAAGCGGACGGGGAATTTGGAAGAGGCTTCTGCTGCGGCGAGCAGGGAAGAAGCCGGGGGGCTGCCCTCTACGAGCACGTGGTCGACGGTGGGGCCGAAAACGAAGGTCCCGTACGGCGCGTGGGAAACGAGCATTCTGTTTGCTGCTTGGAGGGTGGCCGTGGACGCGCTGCGCAGCTGGAGCAGTGTCGTTGCGTTGGCTAGACGGAGCACGGCGCCGTACAGTGCGTCCTGCTGTGCCTTTGGTGGCGGAGGGAGCAGCCAGGGGCTCTGCACAATGGCCTGCTGGAACGGCGGCGGACGACGACCAGCAGCAGCAGATGCGCTGCTGGCCATGTGCAGCACCGTCGAGCCCGCGCCCGCCGACTCGGCCATGACGGTGACACGGCCGGGGTCGCCGCCGAACAAATGAACGTGCTTCCGAACCCACTCCAAGGCGAGCCGCTGGTCGAGCAGGCCGGCATTGGGCGACCCGGACTGCTCCTCGAATGCCGTGCCGGCCAGCCATCCCTGTGGGTTTTCCGTCAGGGGCCACGCCCGTCATCGGTCCGGGTGCTTTCACTACTCACAAAAAGACCGAGCCGGTAGTTGATGGCGATGTAGATGATTCCCGCGTTGCCCTGCTCCATTGAACGCGCCACCAGGCCGGCGCCGTTGCCCTGCTCGCTCTTGTCGCCGCTGACGAAGCCGCCGCCGTGGATCCAGACCAGCACGGGGGCGCCCAGCTTGTCGTCAAACACGGCCCTGGGAACCACAAGGTCGAGAAGCAGGCAGTCTTCGCTCGTGCGCGGGTCGACGACGTCAGCTGCGCCGGTGCTGGTGTTGGCCGGCGTGTAGTTCAGCCCGGCCGCAAAGCTCGTGGCTACATCGAGCCAGGCCGGCAGCGCGCCGGGGCAGACCTTGGCCGACTGCCCGTCGTTCACTCGCAGCGGTCCTGGCGGCCGCGACGGCGGCCGAGGGGGCGCAAACCGCAGACGGCCCGCAGTGCTCGCGCCGTAGCGGATGTTGGAGAAGTTGTAGTAGCCGCCCGTTACCTAAAGGGACATGGTCAGAGACAACAGTCGCAGGGCGGCAGCCAGATGCGCGTACATTCACGGTAGCTTGGTGCAGCTCGTAGCTCAGGTCGACAAGGGGGCTGGCGGCAGGAGACAGCGGTACGGCGCCCGCTGTGAGCACAAGCAAGAAAAGTGCGACGAAATCCATTGGAAAAGTTCTGGTGAGGCTATTGCTACTGGGTTCGCTTTGCATGTACCATGGGAAAACTCGGCCTTCTCCCTGCAACTCCGGATTAGGCGCGGCCCGAGCCCGAAGCCATTACTCGCACGCCTTCCTGCGGCGAAACAACAGCTGCGCCTTATCGTCCGGGTTGACCAAGTCCATCTCCTCCTTGTTGGCGGGGCGGCGCGCATCCGGGCCGCCCGCCAGCTTGAAGTCGTAGGTGCGGAGCAGGTGGGCGAGGATGCTCTTCAGCTCGTGGCCGGCAAAGAAACGGCCCGGACAGCTGCGGCGGCCGTGCCCGAAGTGCATGGCGTTCGGCGAGGTGCTGACGAACTGGTGCTTGTGCCCGTCTTCGGCGCGGGCGGTGCGCAGGTCCGCGAAGCGGAAGCCCTGGAAATCGTCCGCCCTCTCCCACACTTCGTTGTCGAGCGAGATGTACCCGGCCGGCACGATCAGCTGCGTCCCCTCGGGCAGGAGCGTGCCGTTCGAGAGGGTAATGGGCTTGCGCACGAGACGCGGGAACGTTACTGTCCAAGTGTCAGCCGTGCGGGGAGCAGACTGAGAGAGAGGGGGGGTTACTTACGAAGTCCTGGCGGGTTCAGCCGCTGCGATTCCTTCATGAAGCTGTCCATCCTGGACAGTTGGCTCAAGGCCTGTTTCGTGTGGAGAGTGCCGAAGCGTGCCTCTACAGCGTCGAGCTCCTCTCGAAGCGGCTCTATGTACTCGGGCCTGGCAGCCAGGTCAAACAGCACATGCGTGCAGGTCAGCGAAGTAGTGTGGATCGCAGCGAAGCTTGCCAGGAGTTGTAGCTCCGCGAGACGTGCGAAGCTCGTGGGCTTCGTCTCCTTGGCGGCATTGTCCATCAACCACTGGATCAGGTCGTTGGGCTTCTTGTAGCCGGGCCTCTTCTGGGCCGCGGACCGCTCCTCCATGATGGGCACCAGGAAGCGCCGTGCCGTTTCCTGATGCTTCCAGACCTTGCGAATCTCGGGGACCAGGAAGCGCGCCACAATCGGCCGCAGCAGGTAATTCCATTTCCTCAGCTTCGAGCCGCCGATGTAAACGTCGTGTGTAAAGTCGATTGTCGCCTCGAGCCATTTTTCGTTGCGGTTCAGCGGCGCGCCCACAAAAACTCGTCCGGTCAGGATCGCCGCGACGCGTGTGAGACACTCGTATACGGTGACTGGCGTGAATTCTGGGGATATCAGCTCCATCGGGCGCGCGGTTGACCACAATCGTCTCACCTTTGCAGCCGGGCATCTCTTCATCGAACGTCTTCGCAATCTCGTCGGCCATGATCGGCAGGAGCGCAGCTACCCAATCGTCAGCGCCGTTGTCAGCTGAGTTGAGCGGCTTCGCACCCACAAGTCTGCTGCGTAAGGTCCTCCAGGATTGTATGCGCCAGCAAATTCGACCCCAGCGTGACCCATTCGTACTTGCCGATGAAATTCGTTTGCACGGCTGCATGGAAGTCCAGGGTTTCGGTGGGGAGGCTCTTCAACTCGTCGATGAAGCCTTTGCTGATGACGGTGATGTATCCGTCGGGCCTCCATAGCTGATACACGCCGTTCTTGAACTGCGTGTAGCCGGTCTTCAGCAACCCTCGAAGATTCTCCTTGTATTCGCGGCTCGCTGTGTCAAAGTCTCGGCCCTTGAGGTTGAGGACCGGGGCGTCGACGAGCTGCCGTCTGAGCTTACGCTGGTGCAGCCACTCCTCAACGATGCATATGAGGAACGTGAGAAGAGCGGAGCTGAGAAATCCCGCCAGGACATGCGAAGACACTAGTGCCTGTAACAAGACCATCTTGTGTTCTATTGGTAACTGACCAGACCTTGCGACCTTGAATCGCAAGATGATATAGCTGTTTGGGAAGTATGAGTACGAGGCTCGGATCCAGTGAATCGGGCGACGCCGAAATGGAGAGTCGTCGACCAGCTCCGAACTCCACGGAGAGGTCCAGTAGGAGAAAACCCGCTTTAGTGCCTCCAGGAAAGATCCTCTTTTTTTTTCTTCGTTTCAAATTGCTGGTGAAGAGCCGCCACGAGATCCAAGTGAGGCCGTTAGTTTTCAATGTGGAATCTGGCAGGATGACGCGAGTCGCAACCCGGACCGGACCGAACCCCGTTTAGGATTGCCGAGTCGGCGTCTTGGGCTCAATGCACATGAATGAGCAGGCTCACTTGGAGAAGCTTGTTGCCAAGGGACAAGACTGAAATGTTTGATTGACTGAAGAAGTGTACCACTGAGTGCGTTCACTTTGAGAAAATTCATATTGTAGGTAGCAACTGTATACAACCTGTCTACTCCCGGTATTTCCTGAGCTCCGGGTCCTGGAGAAGTGTTTCCATCGTGTCAGCGGCTAGATATATCTGAACGTCAACGCCATTGTCAGCCCAGTGCTTGGGAGGCTGCTGCACGCTCTTCGCGGGCGGGGCCTCCATCAGCTGCACGAGCCCATCCATGCGCGGCATGGCGGCATGGACGAGACGCGGGCGGCTGCCGGTACCAAAATCAACATGATACAGGCGCGTATGGATCCACGAAGTGACGAGCAGGTGCCTACGCCCCAGAAAGGCCTGCCAGAGACGCTGGGGGCTCTGCTCTTGCAGCTTAGCCGCCAGGTGCCCCGCGACGGCGGCGGGCGTAAAGGCGGCAACGGTTGCGCGTAGCAGCAGGCTGGCCTTGGTCGCCGCCGAGCACACGTCCCGCGCCGGTGCCGTCGCGGCGGCGATGACCAGAGGCGAGCCTACGAAGCGGTCGGGCAGTGGCGGGTCGAGCCGCGCCCGCACGCCCAGCGAGTAGTCGAGCGTCACCGGCTCGTCGCTGTCGGCCTGGCCCCGCGCGTGGCAGACGCGCGACCAGACGTGGCCCATCAAGGCGTCGAGGCGGCTGATACGGACGTCGCCGGCGTCGCGAGTGGCGGCTTGCCACATTCGCAGCAGCTCAGCGCCGCCGAAGTGGAGCACGCGGTGGGCGACGGGCGCCGTTAGGTCCCAGTCAGCCCAGGGCATGGGCGTACCGGGCGGGTCGAGCGGCCCGTCGCGAAGCTCGACGGGAGCTTCGACGGGCGGCAGGGGGCTGCCAGCATTGGAGATCCACCAGTCGAAGCGATTGCACGGCAGGGCTGAAGCGTGCGGCGCCGCGCGGGCGTCGAGGAGCCCAGGATTGAAGAGCGGGCCGGGGGCGGGCGGTGGAAGGCTGCGGGCTGCGGCGGCCCAGTCGTGTATAAACAGCGCGAGCGCGTGGGCGTCTGCGAGCGGGTGCGCGAGGCGGAGGCCAACAGCTAACCCGCCGCAGCTGAAGGTCGTGACTTGTACCAAGACGGCCGGGTGCGGCGAGGCGTCGGCCGGTGCGGCTAGTGGCGTAGTGGGCACCAGCTGGGCGGCCGGAAAGCTCGACGGGTCCCAAACGAGATCGCTTTCGGCTCGGGCCGGAGCGACGCTAGTGAGCGCGACGCTACAGCGAGCCTCGACGAAGGCTACGCCTGGGTCGTCGGGACGGCCCCAAGTTAGAGCTAGGCGGCCGTAGCGGCGCGCTACAGCGTCGAAGGGTAGAAAGTGTAGACGGCCGCACCACTGCGGATACGCATCTAGCACGTGGCGTAACGCTGCACTAAGAGAAGCGGGCGCTGGGGCGGGCGCGGCGTAGGCTAGCACTGTCTCGGTAGGCGTGAAGTTGGTGACGGTGGCGTCGAGGATCGAGAGCGGTGCCGTGTGCTCCTCCAGCGCCCCGGCGGCGCGCGACGCCGGAAAGACGCGTGCCTCGGCGACGACGGAGATGGACATGGCTGGGCGTGAGAGTTGCGTAGCTTCGTGCTCCTCCTTATTATAGCATTTGCGGCCCGCTCGGCGGCGCCCAATCGGGCAGGCCGACGGCGGCCGCTTGAAATATACGGCAGCGGCGCAGCCCCGTCCACACGCGCCCGCCATGTCGTTCCTCGCCGTCACCGCCACCCTTGCAGTCCTCCTGCTGTTGCTCCGCGCCAAGAGGCGCGTCTGCATCGACGTGCCGCTCGTACACTCGGACGCACCGCTCGCCGCCCGCCTGCAGAGCGGCTACGCGCAGCACAAGGGCCGCGTCTTCAAGCTGCGCTGTCCCCACGGCGAGCAGCTGGTTCTGCCGTCGGCCCATGTCGAAGAGCTCAAGCTTCTCCCCAAGTCGACCATCAGCTTTGCCCAATCCCTAATCGATGTGTGTCGCGTCCTCGCATTCGCCCGCTCGTCCGCTGACATGTCGTCGGGTAGCAATTCTGGGGCAACCAGACGTTGATCGGCCACCATGATGAAACCCTCGTTGCGAGTATTCGGGAAAGCCTGGCCCGCAGCATGAGCATGTGCTCTCCTTTGCTCTCCCAGGACCGCTCGCTGACTGCTTCGCAGCCGCTGTCGTCGCCGACATGCGCGACGAGCTCGCCTACGCCATGCCCGCCGCACTGCCGCAGGATAAAGGTACGCACCACGAGCCCGGCTGGCCGCAACTGCTAACGTGCGACAGAGTGGACGCCTTTTCAGGCCCACCCTGCCGTTCTCCGCATAGTCGCGCTGCTCTCCGGCCGTGTCTTCGTTGGCCAGGCTCTGAGCCGCAACGAAGAGTTTCTCAACTGCATCGTCATGTACACGATTGACTCGTTCTCTGCGTCCACCCGGCTGTACGACGTGCACCCCCTGCTGCGGCCTTTCGCCCGCTTCTTCCTGCCCGAGCTGCAGAGCGTCCGCCGCCATGTTGCCACCATGAAACGGCTCGTGAAGCCCCTGGTCGAGGAGCGGCTGCGGAAAGGAGCCGACGCCCCCAACGACATGGTCTCATGGAACCTGGAGCATTCGCCGAGCGCACTGCGGAGTGACGTCGACTACCAAGCGCTTCAGCAGCTGCAGGCAAGCTTCGCCGCCGTGCACACGACGGCACTACTCCTGACCAACATCATCTTCGACCTGGCCGCGCGCCCAGAGTACATCCAGCCTCTGCGCGAAGAGGTACAAACGGCCCTCGACGCCGACGACGGCGTCATTACCAAAGCGACCATGTCCAAGCTCGTCAAAATGGACAGCTTCATGGCCGAGGTGCAGCGTTTCAACCCTCCAGGCATCATGACATTCAACCGGGCGACCACCGGCCCCGTCACGCTGTCGGATGGCTTGCATCTGCCCAAGGGCACGTGGTTGGCCGCGCCGTCGAGCCAGATCGCCATGGACCCGGAAATTTGGGACGAACCGACCAAGTTTGACGGGTTCCGCTTTGAACGCCTCAGACAGCGCCAGGGCATGTCGGGCAGATACCAGGTAAGCCCAGTCCCTTGCGAAGACTAGCCCCCTGCTAAACACGTACAGTTTGTGTCTACCGGGCCCGACATGCTGCTCTTTGGCTACGGAAACCAGGCGTGAGTAATCTATCCAATCTTTTTTGTTTTGCACGCCTGACTCTTGCCCCGCAACGCATAGGTGCCCCGGCAGATTCTTTGTGAGCAACGAGATCAAGCTAATCCTCGCCACGCTGCTGCTCGAGTATGAGCTGAAGCTGCCCGGTGACCGCCCGGACACCATAATCAACGAGGTTTCGGTCAGACCCGATTCTCAGAAGGAAGTCCTCATCCGCCGTCGGGCCTAGTCGATTGTCTGTCACGTTTCGGATTTTGGCACAGGACCTTTCTCGTTGAGATTGCACATGAATGTGACTCTTGCACTTAGAACCCCGCCTCGTTGGCCGTTGTTTGCAGTCATATCTCAAGCCCTTGGGCGTCTGTCACTATAGAAGCAGTAGTGCATGAAGTACCACATTACATACACGATGAAATTTAATATTGCAGCCCATGTCTACGTGTCTCCTCCAAAACACTAAAAGAGTTCACATCCGGTAAGCTTAATACGTTGATGAAGCACGCCACTGGCTTCCCGCTTACAGCAGTAATGGGAGTCAAAAGAAGATGGCATGGCTGAGGTTATCAGTTCCTCGCTAATATTTGAGCATCATGCACCGGGACAATGGCAATGAAACATGTCGTATTCTTTCTTGAACACCAAGGCAGATACCACCCCCAAAGTATGATCCCGTCAAGTTACTTTGCGCAACCAATTGGTGTATATATTCAGGTAGTTTCGGCTGCATTCTGCATACAATTGAATCAGTTTGCACTGTTCAACAAAACACGTCCCACCCACCCCCCCACCCCCCCCTCCTCGTGTCACTGCACCAACACCCTGATGCCCTTGGAGTCAAGCTTCGGCGTCGGCACGAAGCGGTCGTACAGCAGCTCGACGTCGGACAGGTCCGTCTCGAAGAGGCGCAGGCGCGGGCCGAGACGGCGCATGAGACCGGCGATGCCGTAGTAGAGCTCGGCGTAGGCAAGGTTGATGCCCAGGCACTGGCGGCTGCCCTTGGAGAAGCTGAGGATGCAGCCCGCGAGCGAGGGCGGCGCGCCGAGCCAGCGCTCGGGCCGGAACGCGTGCGGCTCCGGGAACAGCTGCGGGTTCAGGTGCACCAGCGGGCAGCTCATGCCCACCGGCGTGTTGGCTGGGATCGTGTACGTCGTGTTCGTCGTCGTCGTGGGCCCGTTGCCCGTCGGTCCGCTGCCTGACGTGAATGACAGCGGCTCCGGCGCCAGCCGCTGCAGCCGCGTGCTCACCCCGTACGACAGCCGCAGCCCTTCGGTGATGACGGCGCCCAGGTACGGCAGGGCCTGGAGCACTTGCAGCGACGGCAGCTGCCCCGCGTCGGGTATCGCGGCGTCCAGCTCCGCCTGCAGCTTCGCGCGCACGCCCGGTGTCCACAGGATGTAGAAGAGGGTTGCCGAGAGCGCTGTTTGGATTGGCCAAGTCAGCGTATATCGTTTTCCTCACGGCTGGGGGGCAAAGTGTCACGCACACCAGGCCGTCGTCTCCGTGCCCGCCCCGACGATGATCTGGCCTTCCTGCCACATCCGCTCCAGTCGCTTCTCCTCGTCCGGGAGATCCCCGTCGATGAGCTCGTGGAAGATGGTGGCGCCCGCGCGCCCGGATTTGCGATCTTCCACTCGGGTTGCCTGGATCTCTGCAATCTGCTTGCGCACGTCCTTGCCTAAGAGTTAGCGACGGACGCGCAGGGAAAGAAGGATTGGGCCGCCAACTTCCTGGAATCTCAGGTACACGCCCATCTCGGGATCCAGTCGTGACACCAGGGCTCTAAGACATTGTGAGAAGCTGGCAACAAAGAATTGGTATTCGGGGAGGATTTCAATAGACAAGCTTACGACGGGAGACAGCGCATAACGGCCAATAGCCAGGGGAAGCGTTTGGTATAAGGTCCCATGTTGGAGCCGGCAACTATGGCACGATGGAAATTGGGCTCGAAAGTCGGGGAGTCGAGGAAGTTGTAGCTGCGCGCGAAAGCGTATTCTGTGACTACATCGGTCGTCATGCAGCTGTAGGCCATGTTGAGCGTCGCCGGCTGCCCCGTCCCCCCATAGTGTGTCTCAAGCTGGGTGCACAGCTTGTTGATCGTGTCCTTGATCAGCGGCTCCAGCTTCACCACCGACGCCTTGGAAAAGAAGCGGTTCATGGCACCGCGACGCAGCCGGTGCATGTCATGTGAAACGGTGCTGAAGACGCTCTGTTTTTTTGTTAAAAAAAAAAAGTCAGCACGTTGTTTGATGGCGTTCATGATGGGCGGTGGCCAAACCTGCGGAATGCTGCAATATTGTCAGCAATACGTCGGCGGAGAGCTTGTGTGGATGCTATGTACCCGAATTGACTTGTAAAATACTCATACTTGTCTCTTTTTTTGCCTCCTGCCACGTAGAGCTGGTCGATGAACTTGGGGTCATTCACATGCAGCTCGTTGGGGCTGATGCGGACGATTGGGCCTGAGAGACGGGCGGGTCAGAGCCATACTTGGACAGAGGTACGAATACGGGTCTCGCACCATATTTCTCGTGCATGCGTCCAATTTCAAATGTGTACTGCCCGCATTGGATGCCATCAAAGAAGAATTCGTACCATAGCGTTGCGGCGGCGAGCTTCGGGCCAGGAAAGCGGGCAAGAGGATGGAAGAAGAGCCGATAGACGACCAAAATGGCAGCATACAATACAAAAATGCTGGACACGGCGAGTACGGGGTGCTGTGTCGCAAGGGTTGCGGCAGCTGCAAGTAGCTTCATGCTTGGAAAAGGGCGAAGCATCGACGCGCAAAGTGCAAGCCCAGTAGTCACGGGTTTTTAAAACCAGATAAGCGCTGCTACCTCGGACCGTCTCGACTAGGAAAGCTGCAAAAACTTCGTGCGGTTGCTAGTCGAGTGGAGTGCGTTCCTTCACTGTGTCTGAATTGGATGCACCGCGATGGTCGGCCCGACCGACAGAATGGGAAATTTCAACCACATCCGATGCGCTGGTGCGCGTGGGCATAAATGCGTTCAGAGCCCGCTTGCTATTTCACTTTCCTCCGCAGCAGCGACAAGTGATTCGGGTCGGCATCATGCTTCACGACCTCATCTCGGCGATCTCATCGCAATGGACGGGACAAGAAGACACACGGCGATTGTCGATTCTCATCGCCGTGGCATGCCTTGCTCTGACACTGGCTCTGGCACAGTCCAAAAAGACAAAGCAACGCCTGCTCCGAGAGGTCCACGTCGTGGGTGGCTCTAAGAAAAGTGCCATCGTCCAAAACCGCAAACGCTTCTTCAAGGACTCCAAAAACATGCTCATCGAGGGCTACAAGAATGCGCCGAACGACTTTTACTACGTCCCAACCGCCCTGGGCGAGCGGCTGATGATCCCAACCAAGTTCATGCACGAGCTCAAGACGGCGCCTATGGACCAGGTTGACTTTGTCGGGACCTTCATCGAGATGTTCGAGGGCAAGTACACCACGTTGGGCAGCCGCTCGAGGTTGCATGCGCGGGTGGTCAAGGCACAGCTGAACCAGAACCTCGACGGCGTCATGGTCGGCATCCAGGACGAGATCATCGATGCCTTCAAGGACTCCTTCCCGGCTTGCGACGACTGGACAGAGGTGCCCGTTGTCGATCGTATCACCCAGATCGTTGCCCGAGTCTCCAGTTGCATGTTTGGCGGCACCACCCTCAGCCGCAACGACGAGTGGGTCCAGGCCTCGATCAACTTCGCGCACGACAGCTTCATCGCCGCCCAGACGCTTAAGAAGTTTCCCGAATTCTTGAAGCCGGTGGTCGCACGCTTCATCCCCGCGCTCCAAAACATCAAGAAGAGCTACGCCGCCGCCGAGAAAGCCGCCATCCCGCTGCTGGAAAAGCGCTCCCGCACGGGTGAGTCCGCGCTGGACCTTTTGTACTGGATGAGCGAGCAGGCCACTGGGAAGGAGAAGGACAACAAGTTTCTCGCCAGTATCCTGCTTGTTGTCAGCTTTGCCGCCATTCACACGAGCGCCGCCGCGCCCAGCCAGCTCATCTACGATCTCTGCGAGCATCCCGAGTACATTGCCCCGCTCCGTGAAGAGTACCGCAAAGTCATCGGCCCGGACGGCAAGATTGACAAGAAGGGCTTCATCCAGATGCCTCTGATGGATAGCATCATGAAGGAAAGCCAGCGCTTCAATCCGCTGCTGTTGAGTCAGTGCTCTTCCTTTCCCCCCTTATACCAGTGCTGATACGGATATCGCAGTCACTTTCGAGCGTATCATTACCGTCGACTGGACTCTCTCCAACGGCGTCGTCATCCCCGCCAACACGACCATTGGAGTTCCCACCAACGCCATCTCCATGGACCCCAACCTGTACTCGGAGCCCGAAAAGTTCGATCCGTGGCGCTTCGCCTCGATCCGTCGGGCCGATCCCGCGCAGGAGGGAAAGGCGCAGTTTGTGTCCTCCAACCCCGCTAGTATGGCTTTCGGCTACGGCCAGCACGCCTGTCCTGGGTAAGTCCTTCCGCGCTGTCGTCCTTTTTCAGCTCATTTGACCTGCTAACCCCGCGTGTGCATACAGACGCTTCTTTGCTGCGCAGGAGATCAAGGCCATCATGGTGTACCTGCTCGAGAACTACGACATGAAGTTCGCACCGGGGCAGAAGAGGCCGGAAAGCCTGCAGTTTGAGACACAATACCTCCCAGACCCCACTGCGAAGGTCCTCTTCAAGCGCCGTAAGCCGGCGACAGCGTAGATCCAGATTTATAGCCGTAGAAATACAATTCTGCTGTATAACGACTCTTAAAGTATCCTAATGTTGCATATCACTTGTACAGTAACTCAGTCATCGATAGAGGATAAGGACTCGCCCTCTAGCGACCCTCCCTCTTGCTCATCTTAACAGTCTACACGTATTTCACGATCGTGGCCACCTACAACATCGTACTTTACAAACCAGATTGAAAAAATTGTAGCACTTGTTAGAAAATATTGTCAAGGACCAGTGGTTCTACAATAACTAGAAGTGTAATAGTTGTATACTATTTTAGCGATTGTATATTTCTTAAACGTCTACCAACTAGTTGCATACATTTCTTTTTTGCTATAGTATTTACCTAGCTGACTTGAAATTTTAGATAGAATTTCAGAAAAATCTTATTCGGGGGTTGTCTAAAGCGGTTCGGCCCGATCCTCCAAGTCGTCGATAATCTAATATAAAAATTGCCGAGCGTCGTACGGGCCAATCTTAATTAAGCAACTCTAGCTCGCTCGCATGTATATCTTCCACATGTGTCTTGTTTCAACAAAGCGGTATAAATATAACTGTGCTTAGACTGAATTTAATGAGAGACCGTTACGCAGTGGAACTTACGTTACCGACCGGGGCGAGGTCGTAACGCTGCACCATTCTTTCCCTGCCTACAGAGGTTGCAACTGCCCTACCGATCAGTGTTTTTCGGATACGATGAAGCGTGTCACAATAGCCAGACAGTATATAGTAATTCTCGGAAGTACCACCTCCAGTGCCGCCAGCGGTGACCTGACAGACTGTCCGTATCGACACTGTGGCCACTCAGCAAAAACATCAACGGTATTTTCACCTGCAGAAGCGGGCTTTCGCAGAATTGCTTCTAATGTCGTAAGACTCAGTACCCGTGCAAGCATGTTGGTTCTTTTAGCCTTAATTCCCAGGGTTGATTTCAAGGCTTTCTACATAGCGGCGGGCTTCGAAAATCCGACGCCAGCGCATTCGCACAAATCGCAAGATCCTGTCTTGATAGTAGTATCGCGGTCTGCACTTGCTCATTCAGCTTGCCTTGAACGTGATTACGCGGGTTGGTTGAGTTTTGTTTACTAGCGTCGCGTGGTGTGGGTCAGATCACTGGGGCTTCTAGCATGGAGTGCATCATGCACAAGATGAATTGACATTCGTGCTATCCTAGAAATCAAATCCAAAGCGCCTATTCCACCAACACCGAAGTAATACCCTTAGGATAAAAAAAAAAGACAGAAATGCAGAGCACGATGCTCAAAGACCCGGTTAGGACCGCGACCGGTACCTGTCCGTAGTCTCGCTCCACTGCTCATTACCGCCCATCTGATACTCGAGGCCCTTGATGTACAGCTCAAGGGCGGGCGAGAAGCCCGGCGCGGCGCGGCGCTGCTGCTCCAGCCTCTTGTGGACGAGCTCCCACTCGCGGCACATGAGGTAGAGCACGCGCTTCGAGGCGTCGTAGTCGAGGCCGCTCTCGTCGCTGACCACCTTGACGCCGGTGCACAGGAAGGAGCCCTCCGGGTCGCCGACCTCGGCCTGCCGCAGCTCCTTGTCGAAGCTGTGGATGTCGTTCATCGCCGAGAGGTGCTTGGAGCAGTTCATCTCGATCTCGCGCACCGACGCCAGCTCCGTGGGCGACAGATGCAGGGCCATGACGTAGCGCTGGAGGGCGGCTAGGAGCCTGTTTTTTTTTTTGTTTCGATTAGCACGACGTGTGTTCCGCTTTTTTTTTCTTCTACCTCCTGCACGGTCAGGGGTTTTACTTACGCTCTGCCGACATCGCGCTCACGGTACTCGAGGTATTGGCCCAATGAGGTGATGCGCATGCGTTCCTTGTCCGTCTGGGCGCGCATGAAGGTGAAGGTGGGCTCGAGGATCTCGTCGGCCAGCTGCCGGTCCGCCTTGCGCATCTCGTCCCATATCTCGTGCATCATCCATTCGCAGGGCACGGACGGGTCCGGAGCGACGTCTCCACGCATTATCGGCATCAGGTGGTCGTTGTACGCCTTGCCCTGGGCGAAGTTCATGTCCTCGAGGATGTCTAACGATGGCGTGAGGATCTAGCAATCTCGGAGTTGGGAAGAGGGAGGAGGGAGGAGGGACGGGGGCTAGAAGATGGGGGTCATGGATTGCTCACCATCAATCAGAAAGAGGATGGTCAGTAGGCGGCAGGCGGAATGGATGCGGTCATCTAATGCGAGCGGGAAGTAGAGGCAAGTGACTGTCGAGAAGCCGGCGGCAACGAACTTCTTGCGCGCTTTCTCGCTCGCAAAAGGCCAGTGCTGTAGAAACCAACCATCAACTTCGGCAACGGTCTGCTCCTCCCGCGGGTGCCTTTTGTGCTGGATGTACCGAGGTGGCGGTGGGAGCGGGGCAAGATCCGCCTCCAGTTTGGGCGCTGGAAGTGCTTGAATCTTCTCGGCGGACAGCATATCGATGGGCTAGTGCGTAAGGCAGTGATTGATTAGAGAGTGTCGGACGATGCAGACAGCGTAATCTGAGAGGGCTTATATATGACCGATCTCACTAGATTCGTTGCTTTTGCGGACATGCTGCAAATGGAAGGCACGGCAGGTTGGGCCTTGACAGGAAAGCACGGATACTCTCCGCTGTTCGATATTGCCCATTCTGGCATGCTCGGGGGTCAAGGGCTGCTTTTGCCGAGGTTCCGGAAAGGCTCCCGGAGCGAGCAGCAGCAATCGAAATGTCTTGGATTACTGGTTGCTCTGTGTGCCTGTCTTGATATCAGAGATGCGCTGGACGACAAGAAAGCTCAGTCTCTGCAAGACGTGGCCATTGTTTTCTCGAAGGCCGTAGACTAGCATTGTCTGTGCCTCATGCTCGGATGACCGTTTCGGACTGAAGCGTCGGTTCGGCTACGCTGGATCTACGGGCCGGACTTCGGTGTCTTCCTAATCAGGTTCAACACCGGTAGAGGGCATTCTGGGTGGACCAAGGAGGCACTGTCTCACCGTGCTACATGGAGCAGAGAGTGGGAATAAGCATACAGCTGAAAGGTTTACGGCGAAATTCCGTGCCAGATAAAACGCGTAGGTAGTCGACGAGCGGACAGTCGTCGGAGAGGTGACAGCGCGGAGTTGGCGTGGCCCGCAGGCCAAGGCTGATTGAAGCACACCTCTTCAGCACTTCCCTTGAGAGGGTTGCTAAGACACGCGTGGCGTTGTTTGATGGCGCTCAATTTTCCAAGTATTGTAAACAAGTTTAGAAAGGCAAGTGGGAACTCGGTCTTCCAGTTTTATCGGGGCCGAAGTGTGTGCTCTGCTTATTATGCCTCTACTTTCTCCCGCACTACTACTGCAACTTGATCCTTCAGCGCCAAAACCATGACGTCATTGAACATTAGGGAAGAGGACATCCCACGCCTGGATGGAAAAGTTGCAATAATTACTGGTGGGTGCTGGTCGCAATCCGCCTCGGATGTCTATGGCTGACGGTTTCAGGGGGCAGCTCCGGGATTGGCCTGGCCACGGCCCGCATTCTCCAGGCTCGCGGCGCGCGCGTGCACGTGCTCGACCTGCACCCCATCGACGAGAGTTTCGACTGTCACTTCAGCCCTTGGCCCACGGCGGCGGCGGCGGCGGCGAGCGGACGCAGCGCGACGACGGGCGGCGATACGGCAGCGCGTGGCACCATCACCTACCGGCGCTGCGACGTGGCCGACTGGGCAAGCCTGCGGGAAGCCTTCACCGACATTGGCCATGTCGACATGGCGGTCGCGAACGCCGGCGTCTCGCAGGATGGCGACCTCTTTGCAGATGTGCTGGATGACGGCGGACAGCTGGCCGAGCCCCGCTACGGCGTCATCGACGTCAACCTGCGCGCGGTGCTCAACTTCGTCAAGCTCAGCGTCAGCGCCTTCCGGCGGCAGCAGAAGCCCGGCGGCGCCATTGTGCTGGTAAGCAGCGCGACGGCGTATGCGCCCGAGCTCAGCCTGCCCGTCTACAGCGCGGTCAAGCTGTCGGTGAGTCTTTTTTCTTTTTTTCTTTTCACCCCCTCGTTCGCTGTAGCTGAGTCAGCCGAACGCAGGTGGTCGGCCTCGTGCGCGCGCTACGCCCGTCAATACAGCACCTCTGCGGCGCCACCATCAACGGCGTAGCGCCGGCGGCCACGGTGTCGAAGCTGCTCCCGGTGGACCTGGCGGCGCCCATCGTTGCCGCCGGCGCGCCCGTCAGCACCGCCCACCATGTTGGCCTAGCTGTGGCCTTTTCGGCGACGGCAGGCCAGCCGAGCCAGGTAGAAAGCTACGGGCGCGACACCGACAAGCAGGTGCAGGCTGCAGGCCGGTGGAACGGCCGTGTGATCCTCACGCTGGGCGACCGCTGGACCGAGGTGGAAGAGGGGTTGGCCAAGCTGAGGCCGCAGTGGATGGGCGAGTGGAATGCCGAGATGACGGCGTTCCAGCAAAGGCTGACTGATTCAAGGGCCGTTGTGGAGCACTGAGCGGGGGAATGCGGCGAAACTTTGTCAGATTGCGTGTGAACAGCCTTTGCCAAACTGGTGCTAGCGTCTGCCCTTTGCTCTCTCTGACTTGGTGCTATGATGTGCTCGTGTCTGGCGGCAGCCCGGGCCGGGCCGTTGACATCCCGCACCTAGCCACCAATTGCCGCAAAAAGCGTAGATCAATACTCTATCTCGAAGCTATGTATACACGATCCATTGCACTGCTCAGTTGCGCTCCTTGAAGCGCACCCGCAGCTCCGGCTTCCACCACATGACGTGCACGCGCGACGACTGCAGCCAATCAAGCTTGTCGTCGACCAGCTCGAGGTCATAGCGGAAGTGCAGCGTGGCAAGCGTCAGGCTCATCTCCACGTACGCGAAGCTGCAATCTCTAGTTAGCGAAACCGACGCGGCGGGGAAACAAAACGTACTTGCGACCCAGGCAGCCGCGCGGGCCGAGGCTGAAGGGCTGGCTCGCCTCCTTCACGTCGGTGCAGTTCGGATCAAGCCAGCGCTCGGGCTTGAAGGCGAAGGGGTCGTGGAAGTAGGCCTCGTCGTGCGTCGGCGACCACGCACTGGTGTAGCACTCGGCGCCGCGCGGCACCCACACGCCGTCGACGACGGCGCCCGGGCTGATGCGCGGGAAGCCCTGCGAGCCCGGCGGGTACAGGCGCAGCCCCTCGGCGATGACGGCCATGAGGTACGGCAGCTGCTGGGCCGTCAGCGCGTCGATGTCGGCCGCCGTCGCGTACCGGCCCCGGATCTCGGCGCGCAGCTTGTCGTACGCGGCCGGCGTGCGCAGCAAGAAGTACGTCACCGCCGCCAGGAAGGTGGCGACCGTCTCGCCGCCCGCGATGACCAGCGTCGACGAGTGCGCCGTCAGCTCTTCGCGGTCCAGCTCCCCCACCTGCACCTTGGACACGAGAGTGCTGAGGAAGTCTTTGCGCGTTGACTCGGCTGCGAGCCGTCTGCAGCCGTGGGCATTAGCGGGAAACGACTGTTTGACTGTCCCGTGACTGACCTCGCGACCTTGTCCCTGCTGTATCCCGAGTGCTTGTCTCGAATGGCCACGGTGAACCGCGGGAGGAGCAGCTTCCCGATGCGAGCCACGATGGGGTATCGCCTGAGGTTGTCCAGCACCGTGACGAAGAACAGGTGCTCCAGGATCAGCTCCTGCCAGAAGTGCGGTTTGCCTATTTTTGGCCGTCAGCCAGCGTTGCGGCCAAGTAAACAGAGACTGACCGTTTTTGACGCAGTTGAAGCTCTCCCCAAACGCCATCTCGCCGAGGATGTCGAAGGCGAGCATTTCGAACCACTTTGTCACGTCGACGCCGTCGCTGGCCTTGCCCACGGCCTCGACAAACTCATCCACGCAGTGCCGCACGATCGACTCCTGCTCGAGCAGCGCCTTGGTCGAGAAGGCGGCAGTGAGCGTCTGCTTCATGCGGCGGTGGCGCGCCGGATCACGCTCGCTGCCGATGCAGAGCGACCGGTAGCCAGATCCGTACATGTCGTAGAACTCGCTCTTGACCATCGGCTTTGGGCTCTGCGCCGAGACGTGCCCGTAGATGGCCTTCCACGACTCGACTGAACAGAAGGATAGCTCGTTCGGCGCGACGCGGAACACTTTGCCTGTGCTTGCAGCTTCAGCCACCTGCTTTTCTCCACTCGTTGCTGCTGACCATACCATAGCGCTTGTGTTGCTCGTCTATTGCGAGATGGATCCGCCCGGAAGTCGTGTGCCAGACACGCCAGAGCTTCACACACTTGATCAGCAGATAGGTCCCGCCGTGCGCATGGTTTCGGGGCCCATGGACATACCAGGCTCGATCTTGCCAGCCATGGTCCGGGAAACGAGGCCAGTGGGTGGAAATAGAGGTTGTAGATCATCCACGAGACCACGTACAAGATAACCTGTTGGATTTCACCATACACTCAGCCTTTCCATCGCCAAAAATCCTTGGCTGAACGTGTTCAATGCAGGTGAGAATACTACCCACCGTCCCAAGGCAGGCGGCACCAAGCGCCCCAGGCTTCGACGCCAGACCCTGCACATTTTCCGGATCCAAGACACCCATTTTCTTTTCCTTGAATTGTATCACAAAGGCCGAGGGAGAGCTGTAACGTTGGTACGTTAGGTGAGGACGATTTCACAAAGATATGTTTGCTTGGAGCGCTTCGGCCGGACTGAAAGAGGAATCGCCCGAGAACAATTGCCTGTTAAGTAAGGTCGGGCCGCGCCCCACTCAATCCTCCGGCTCAATGACTTCAAGATTCCCACTCTCATACCGTTGCAACACGCCAACAAAAAAAAAGGAAAGAAAGAAAAACTCTAAAGCAGTTGCGTACAAGCTATCTTCCTTCTGCCTCTAAGGAAAACTCTTATGATTCTAGTAAGCTATCGTTCGCAAAAGTGCTTCCGGAAAGCATCTGGTGGACTTGGTTATGGCCTACAGGGAGAGGAATTCTATTGAAGGACCATGCTCAGATCTGCTTCATAAATTAGAAGACGTGCGCAATGCAAACACAACCCCCTCTAGGAGACAGAGTGCGGTATGGAAAAGAAGATGGTCATTTTTGTGTGTCGCGTTTGTCCTTGAATCTACCTGAACCTCAGTAAAGCGAGAGATGCCTGTTCATAATCCTTTCCAATGTTTCCCGTAACCCTCTAAAAGCGCCTTTGAATGTAGGAAATCGTCGATACCAAGCGGGCTATGGAACAAAGACCTTCGCCCTCTTCTGGAAATGGGCCATGATGTGTCGCAGACGGGTTTCCTGCTGCTGGATGATTTGCATCTGCAGCTCGTCGGTGGCCAGCACCCGCACGCGCAGCCGCTCGAGCAGATCCCGGATGCGTGTGAGCTGGAGAGAGATCAGCAGCGCCATGATGTGGGCCCACTCCCGCTCGCAATCGATGGGGTACTCGCCGAGAGACATCCGCCGCGGAGGGTACGTCTGGTCGTGGTGGACATCTGCCGCGCCGGCCACATGATCTTCGAACGGGATTGGGTCCACGGGCGACTCCGATGTCCACGACCTGCTGCCACGTGCGTACAATCGCTGGTACGAGGCGATGAGCTTGTCCGAGACCATGATGACCAGCATGGTTGCGGACGTCGAGGCGTAGCAGTGAGCGCAGGATAGGAGCTTCTCACAGTCAACAATGGACATTTTGTACGCCGCCAAGGTGGTTTCGGTTAGTGCCGCCGTGTTGGGCGACGACTTGAACTGCTCGACTGAAGCAATGGTGCGGTTGATGCAATTGCAGCTCGTGCTCGCAATGCTTGACGGTCGCGATGCATGTTCCCTCATGGCGCTGCGCTGTGGGACCGCCATGTCGGAATTCGGCGGAACAGACCCCTCGGCGAGCCAGGCGTTTGCGAGCGCACTATCGTCCCAGTCGATGGGCGATTCAAGGCTTGAGAAGTAGAGGCCGAGGCTGCCTTCTTCCGATGTCCCGGCTGTTCCGGGTTCCTCAGTGCTCTGACCTTGCGGTGCTTCGCATGTGTCAATAGTTTCTGCAACTGCTTCGTCCCTGGGTTGAGACGACGCATTGCGGATAATATCATCGTTCAGTGGACCAGAGTCTGCCCTCGGGCTGCCACTGCCAGACTCTAAAGGCTCGGAAGCAACAGCTCTTCCGGGACCGGTCTCTCTGAAGGATCCGTCATCAGAAACCAGCACGGTGTCGAAGAGCTGGTTTTCATCTACAGGAGTTGGAAAGATGTCCCGCATGTCATGGCAGTCTGAAAATGTCGAATAAGTCCAGAAGTCGTTAGAACGCGCTGTGCTGTCCGGTGTGGAGCCTTCATTCGGGCTGCGGCTCTGGTCGACTGGAATAGATTTCTGCTCTTCTCTATGCACCTCACCCTTCTTGAGGCCTCCCGAACGGGTAAGTCTTGTGGGATAAGTGCAATCTAAACGCTTCGAAACACAACGTTGGCATGCTGGCTTGCTCCCGCTGCATTTGAGCTTCAAAGTGTTAGAAACAACAGCTGGGAGTTGAAATCCGGGACGGGTTACCTTTTTAGCTCTGCAGTACAAGCACGCAAGGCGCAGGGTGCCAGTAGATGCGGGCTTGGAATTTCCATTGCAGCGCTCGTGCAATGCGTCGCTCTCGGGGCTATACTGCAGCGTGGTAAACATTGTCTGTGTGTGCAGAAAGGATCGGAGCACAGTTCGGAGCAGTCCTCAAGGGATAGTGGCCCCTATTTAGATCGTTCCAATATGCTGATACTCTATCCCAAGCTGCAGTGACAGTCGCACTAGAACCTGGATCAATGCATAACTAAGACACTTTAGTCTTTCCTTACGCGAGTCGCAGGTGTATGACTGCTCTGGTGCCACCCTTGTAATCGGGCTGCCTGATCATCAAGATACGTACGAAACACGAGCCTTGACTAGATCAGAGATGTGATTTACAGTGCTAGCCTGAGTCTACAGAGACTCATGCGCCTACCAAAGGGCATTCATCGTTTTGCAAAGACCACATCAAGCCAGACTTGCCCAGCATGCAACGCGCCAATGGTCGGGCCAAGACCAGACCGTTGTTCCGTTTGTGGAGCTCTCTCATGCGGTAGTAGCGGAATTATCACTCGGATAGGAATTCCTAAACATGACACGCGCGAGGATCGGCGCTCTTCAGACCCAATTAGACCTGTCTTACCGCAAGTCGTATTCCTACCAATCAACGGTCGCGGAAAGCATATCGTATTCCCATTTTACAACGCATCGCTCTTGCGAAGAGGAAAAGGCACTGATCGTGGTATAGGAGTTTGAGAGGTAAAGACATTTAAGGATAGTATAAAACGGGTAATGGCGCTTACTAGAGAAACCTTGAAGGGCTACAGCCTGGACATATAAGCTGGTGTTTGTATTCCTCCAGAACACAAAAGAGCTGGTGTTTTTAGGCCTTCCTTCCACGGCGTTAGTAGTGCTTTACCGTGTTCAATTCGACGCTGACAGCCGCTGGCAGCCTCATGAGATTGGTCCCCTTTTTCCCATTCACATGCGATACTAGTGAAATCGGCCGTCTCGGAGTTCGTGGAGTTGACGCATTTGGTTGCCACGCAGCAGGCTTCTAACTCGTATATTAGAAACCGAGCTTCGGTTACCCGGAGCGGTGGAAGCTAACTTGAAAAGGTCTTGCACGGACTGCCTGTATTGACACTTACTGTTGCCCTCACCGCCCAGAGTCTCCACAACATTTGCTTGGCTAGCAGGACAGCAGCCTAGCGCTTTTACTGTGGTCGGGGGAGTGTTTACTGTCAGCGCGCTCCACCGTGACCAGGGTGAAAACCAGGCTTCGTCATGGGATTTAGCCAATAGAATGTTGCGAATAACAAATACCCCTCCGACCACAGTATTACGCCGGATCTCAGGCACGGATTTCCCGAAGTGGGCCTCCCCGTATTGTTGCTCTACGCAACGGTATGTCGTGCTAGGATCCATAGGAGCAGTCCCGAATGGTGTGCACGTGTCGCCTAGCCACCTACTATGGTCGGAAGTACAAGTAATGTTAGCGCAGTTTTCGTAGCGGGGCAGTGCCAACAGCAGTCAAGCTAACTAATCTTGGCATTAGAAAAGGTGCGCGCTAACTAGGGGTGGAAATCGGCAGCGGCAGGGGGTGGCAATGCCGGCAGAATTACCACCCCCAGCGCTAACATTACTTACTGTGTACGTGAGGCCTGCTGCTAGACGGCGGCTGCAGCGCGGTCAACCGCCGCATCTAGTCTGCACTGTCCCCGCTCCGCCAGGGTCTTCAATCCCGCCAACTCTCCCTGCGACCCCGCCCCCTGGCTGTAATCTCCATTTCGCCGACCGCTCGTTAAGATCGGCACTTCCGGACAAACCTAGTCGATCGGCACTTCCGGACAAACCTAGTCATAGATAAAGCCGTCGGTGATTTAATCAAGCTAAGTTGCTAATGTGCCCTATCCGCTCCCACCACCCCAAACGATGTGTAGCAAGCTACTAACTATGTAATAGAGTTAATTCGGTATTAGTAATCAATAAAAGAAAATTACGAATATAATCTTTCCCCGCGAAAATCCTTGGACAAATGTTATATTTAGATACTGTGGAAGTTACGTTTGAGGCTTTTCGTAGAAAAACGGTTATATCCGGTGCTTTTCTTGGCTGACAACTGTCTGCAGAACCGCGTTGGACGCGGTTCACTTTCTATTAAGAGCCATGTGGCTCTCGATCAAATCTTGCGTCACGAGAGCACTACAAAGACTAAGCTCACCCGCGAGGACTGTTCCAGCAATAATACTCGCAAGCGTCGCTGTGTTCTGGCCCGGCTCTACTGATTGATCCCGCAGACCGAGGAACTCAAGCATCGCCGCTTGTGGCCTCAACGCAGTTCCCCCTCCCACAGTGCCGACCTCGACGGACGGCATGGTGACAGATGCCTTCAGATGGCCATTCTCGGTCCTGGAATGAATCAGTAAAGGCAATGAGTGAAGGCTGGGGAGGAGCGGGTATTACTCATTCATCAGAGTTATGCAGTTACTGCTGCCCACGACCTGCGCGGGATCCTGGCCAGTCGCAATGTACACGGCCGCGACGATATTGGCAGCCTGGGCGTTGAATCCTCCCACCGAGACACCCGCCATTGCCGAACCCACGAGATTCTTGCTGATGTTCAGGCGAACCAGATCGCGGACCTCGCACTTGAGGATCTTCCTGACCACTGCCGCCGGAATGACGACCTCGGCGCAGACGCTCTTGCCGCGTCCCTCGATCCAGTTGATTGCCGCCGCCTTCTTGTCCGCGCACATGTTGCCTGAAAGCGCTCCCAAGTCCATGGCGCGGAATTCCGGGCGGGAGGAGCTCTGCAGTGCTTTCAACGCCTTGGCAACGCCCTTGCCAACCATGTTCATGCCCATGGCTTCGCCCGTCCGGGCTTTGAACCGTAGGTAGAGCTCCGAGCCGACGAGTCGGGCAGTTACACTTGTCAGAGTACCGTGGTTCGTGGTGGAGGCAAATGCGCTGCGGAGAAGTTCTTGACCCTCGTCCGAGTCGATGTACTTCTTTGCTTCCGCCGCGTGCGCGACCGTTGGGAAGCGGACGCAGGGAGCTCGCGTCATGCCGTCATCCGTGACGACGGCGTGCGCGCCTCCGCCGCCGTTGATGGCTTTGATGCCTCTGCACGTACTGGCGATCAGAGCACCCTCGGTGGTGGCCATGGGCACGTAGTAGGTGGTCCCGTTCAAGACAAGAGGGCCTGCGACGCCGACTGGTATGGGCATGTATCCAATCACATTCTCCGCGCATCTGCCGTGCACCGCAGCAAAGTCGTAGTCGGTGTAGGGCAGGTGCGCCAGGGAAGCGGCATCCCTCACCACGGCTTGGGATATGACGACCCGTCTGATTTCAACCGCTCGCTTGTGGTCGCCTACAGCCTTCTCAAGGCCATGGATGGGGATTTTCCCTTGCGTGGCCAGGTCCAGGACGTCCGAATCATTGCGGCCATGGCTAGCTGAGTGTTTCGGCACGGCGTGCTCGTGAGTGGCAGGTGCTTTCTGAGACAAGGCGAACGAGACAGGGGCCTGCTTCGGGATACTCTGCTCGTATTGGTGTCCGAAAGCGTCTCGGCCCGATGCCTGACAGGTACATTTCGCAGAAAGCACTTCTTCAGCGACCACAGCATCCGTGCTGAGGCGCAAGTTGGCGGATCTGGCGAAATGCACAAATGGCCTAACGAGGTTTGCTGCCACTGAGTTAGATGCAACGCCATCAAGGAGGAACAAATTGTTGTTACCTTGTTTTGCCTTGATCGCCAATGCCAAGACGCCCTCCGCGCAGAGCAGACTCATGAACCCAAGGAGAATCAGGCTTTGAGCGCCGGAAAGGCCGTGGATGGCGAATGAAACGATGACCACTCGTGCCATGATACTTTGCATTGTCCTGTTGGTCACGGTGGCCATAGAGTAGAGGCTCTGCGTCAAGTGAGCAGATCGACGCTTCCCTACTGTATGAAAAGACGGCTTCAAAGAAGTCCGTGTAGGTCCATGACGCTTATTCTTTGTAGCAGGCATCCTCGAATAGTTGTAGCAGGAAGACACAATGGATAGGATCAGAGAGGCTTGAAATGGTGACAGCTTCTCTGGGCTCTTGTAAGATGACTGGCATATTAATGTTTACCGAAGTAATATGGCAGGATAAAGTAGCCCTTTAATCCCCACGGCCTTGATTCATCCGATAGCTGCGGTCTAACGTCTTTGGACAAAGGCCGAGTTCGGCTCCCTGGGAGTACAGGCTACCTCAGATATGGTCCGAAGGAGAAACTCAATTGCCATCTCTTCAGATGTACGCACATGGCTGGGCAGCATGGCTTAGGCTCGCCGAGCTTCTTCACATTATATCCATCATGTGGCATAGGCGCATTATTTTTCGTCACCGATGCCCTCTCCATGTGCAAGTTTACAATTTTTGCGTGCTCTCGCAGAATGATCATGTTTCCTTCGTCGCTTTGCTGACGGGCTGGTCGTTCTCGGCCACCACAATGCACATTTCATCCACCAAACGGATCTAGACCGCATACAATCAGACAAGTCTGCGTCGCCGATATTGATTGACAGGGTCTCGCATGTGTTTTTCGTAACCAGGGTGATGGCGTTATTTGGAAGTGCCATGCTTACGACCGAATGACAGTACAGGCTTCCATGAAACGAGACCCCAACCCTGACCCTTCCACCAAATTCACCAATATCAACACTCTTTAAAGCGCTATAGAACTCCAACAAAATAAGACCCGAAAATTATTTCTATCTGAATAATATACATACATCTATTTTGATAAGAAATAAAGGCATCTAATACAAAAATGTTAATATATATAGTAGAGGTGTCGGGTTTAGGCGAGGAGGGATGAGTCTAGGGTTTTCGATACGGGTCGCTTGGTAATTACCGCAATCAGCGACATCGTTGTCGGCGGGGTTCCTTTGCAGAATAACCGCAGATTTGTAAGATGGTTCTGATTCTGGTTTTATTCTGGCCCCAATTACCGCAAGTCGCTATTTGGCATGCGCTTTCCCTACGCGTGGCTCGGAGTGTCACACGGGTCTGCTGAAGCAGCGCTCCGGCTTACGCGCAGAAGTCACATCGGCGCCGAAGGGCCCTCGGGCTTCTAAGAACGGGTTCGGCACTGTGTGGCAGGGACAAGCAGGATCCTGACCAGGTTGGAGTCTTTCCAGCCATGTCGTATAATCCTCAACACAAGCGCTCTTGTCACGCAAATCCCACACCACGATGTTTTCGGAAGAGAGCCAGGATGACGTTTTCAGCGCGACCGTTACTGCGCCGGTGAACATAGCGGTAATCAAGTACGTTTTCTGGATCACACCTATATACTAAGCAATTTACAAAAGCAAACAGGTACTGGGGCAAGCGGGACGTCGCTCTTAACCTCCCCACGAACTCGTCCTTCTCGGTCAGCCTGTCGCAATCCGACCTTTGTACGCGCACCACGGCGTCGTGTTCGCGCTCCTACAGCCACGACGAGCTCATCCTGAACGATGAACCCTGCGAGTTCTCAGCCAAGTATCGCACGTGCATTGACGAGCTACGCGCTCTCCGCCGGACCCTCGAGGCTGACGACGACGACGACTCGCTCCCGCCGCTGTCGAGCTACGCCGTCCGGATCGAGACGTGGAACAACTTCCCCACGGCCAGCGGCCTGGCCAGCAGCGCGTCCGGGTTCGCAGCACTGGTTCGCGCGGTCGCGAGTCTGTACGGCCTCCCGACACAGCAGGCGGCGGCGGCCCCGCTTTCTCGGATCGCGCGGCTGGGCTCGGGGTCGGCATGCCGCAGCCTCTTCGGCGGCTACGTGGGATGGCGCATGGGCGCGCGGCCGGACGGCGCCGACAGCGAGGCGTATCAGCTGGCCCCGGCGAGCCACTGGCCCGAGATGCGCATGCTCGTGCTGGTCAGCCGAGACAGCAAGAAGGACGTCAGCAGCACGCGCGGGATGCAGGTTACAGTGCAGACCAGCGACATGTTCGCGTATCGCGCTGCCAATCTTGTACCGGAGCGGATGAGGCAGATGGAGGAAGCCGTCGCCGCGAGAGACTTTGCCACGTTTGGGCGGCTGGCCATGAAGGACAGCAATTCCTTCCACGCACTCTGCCTGGACAGCGAGCCGCCCATATTCTACATGGACGGTTCGTCCCGTGCTGCCGTCACGGTGGTGGGCAGGATCAACGAAGCGGCTGGGGAGATTATCGCGGCCTACACCTTTGACGCTGGTCCAAATGCCGTCATCTTTTACCTGCATCGGAACCGGCACCGCGTGGCCGGTGTTTTCCGATCGCTTCTGAGCGAAAAGCAGGGGTGGGCTAGTGAGAGAGGTGCGACGATTCAACCATCGGCCATGGATCTCGACCATGGAACCGTATCGAGGCTTCGGAGCGGGGTTAAAAGGGTCATATTAACTGCTGTGGGAGAGGGCCCAGTTGACGTAGGGGTCGCGGGTAGGAGAGAACCTTGCGGTCTTTAGCTTCGGTGTATCTCAATAATAGTCTCCTGCTGGAAACTATGAAGCTACATGCCTTAACTGGTGCCCTACACTATGTGCGGTGGAGCAGCCGGGGGTCCTTGCAAATTAGCAGATTCATAGAGCCCATTTCTTTCACACTTAGGCACAAGAAGAATTCGAGGTTGGAGCCTCTCCCGCTGCATTTCAATGGGTAGGCCTGCCAACTTTTACACGCTATTCCATTCCAGGTCCAGGATATTCCGCCTTTCCCAGATGATCTCGATAAAATTTATTCCTGCAAGCATACATGCGCTTTGCGCACCTAACAATTTTCGTGTTACACAAAATCTTTCGAGGTCAAAAACCCTTCCCCCTGATTCACCGTCTCCAGAATCTCCAGCCATTCCTCTGTCCTGCTGTTCCCGGGCTATCAGGAATCACCACGTTGATGCCAACCAAATCTTCAATAGCCTCTTTACCCTCCAATCTCAAGAAACTTTCCTGGTCAACTTCAAAATCGCCCTCTGCGCCGGAGGCATTGCACAGAACAGCCGGCCACAGCACCCCAACACCATCACCTGCGAGCTTTGTTTCAACCATCTCGATCCCCTCATCAGCCAGCATCCTCTCCAAGTCCAGCAGCTTCTGTGCGGACGAATTCGGCTCTGCAGGGCCCAATTCGTCCGCAACGCCAGCCGAGACGACGGACTGGTTCTTCCGGGCTGTTCCGATTTGGGGTTTGAGCATGACGATGGCGCAGCCTCCACCGCCACCAGCGCCGGTAATCTTCGTCCAGCCGACGTCAAGGCCGTCGACGAGAGCGCACGTGCGCTCGATCTTCGGATGCGAAACGCCGAGCGACACTAGCAGACCGTGGTTGATGGCGATAAGATCGCCCAGATGCTGCTGCAACACCGCTGAACTCTTAGGGTTGAAGTCCTTCCCGGAGACGAGCTGGTAGGCGGACTCGGTCGTGGCATGGATAGCACTCATGATGCGGTCCGTGATGGCGGGGTGGTTATTTTTGAGGGTTTTCACCTTGCTGATCTCGTCGGTCGCGCTGCGGGGCTCTCGTGTGTTCACCACTAGCAGAGGAAGCTCCGGAAAGCGGTGCAGCGGAGTGACTACCGATGAGTTTAGGGGGTTCCTTTGAAACATCACGGCCTTTCCTCCGCTGCAAACGGTATTGTCCACTCCCGATGGATTGCCGTGGATGCACATCTCCGCGAGGAAAGCCCACCTGTTTATAAGGTCGATTTGTAGCCTCGATTCTTGTGTATCCTCGCGTTGGTTTGGAATGCTCAGCGCTTTCGTCTGAAGCAACAGTGCAGTAACTATGCATACAGCTAAACTTGCACTACTTCCCAAGCCTGCGCCGATAGGTACTGTCGAGCGAATGGCGTAAATGCAGGGGTCCAAATCAGGTGAGCCAAGAGATAGTAGGAGATAGAGAAATGCGAAGGCTGAGGCCTGGTGAACTCTGCGTATATTCTCAAGCCTGCCGGGGGATACCCCTACGATGTGTTGTTGAAGAGCTTCGACGAGCTCTAGGTCCAGGGTATGGTTCTTCTGTCTAGCTTCACAAGAGGCGTACCATGGCAGATCGTCGATATTCCAGGTGTGGTCAAGGCCGATGTCTGGGGAGCGGAGGGAGATGGTGTGGTTTGACTTGGGGATGGCCGTCACGAGTAGGTAAGTGCGGAGGGAAATTGAAGCCGCGATGGCAGCCTGACTCTACGTTAACTCTAGACAACAATCGAAAAGTTCCTCTAACCTTGCCGTATACGACAGCGTGTTCTCCGTACATAATAACCTTACCAGGTGCAGAGACCATGAAGGAAGGCGTCAGTGGCTTGGAATCCTGACTACTAGCCGATAGACACTCCATTTAGGAGAAATGGTGATGAACACGCCCGAGAATATGACGCCGTCACTGTTAGTCGAAGGTACAACCGATAGGTGAGCGCGTCGTTCTTGCCAGTCAACAAGTTTGTGGGCTGGGAGACTAAATGTTAAGCAATGTCGAAGTAGAACTGACTGAGTATCCAGACAACAGCGTGAGAGCAGGCAAGATTTATCGTAATCGTGACGCCTCTGACTCGGAGCTTTGCGCATTGCCTTCGGATCCAATTATGTCTTTGTCAATAGCCTCATCAGCTCAGATCGAGACCATCGAATGCCAAGATTCCACAAATCTTGTTCTCAGATGTAGATTGAAATGGTCGCTCTTGCTCATAATAAACAAAGTAATGTAGGAGATATTGATATAGATTTTGTGTCTTTTCACTAACGGATTGTATAGGCTCGAACACTCTTTTGCAACACGACGACGCGCTTTTACCTTACGCTGCTGACACAGTACGCTTACTGGCTTTTCCGGTTAATAATCGCAGAGCGGTTCATGACCACAAACTCATATACAATAAAAAAAAAAATTCCAAGTCAACTTTGACTAACTATTTTTTTTTTTGTCATTCCGGGTCCATTTTCGAGCCCATTGAAGCAACTCCCTGTCCAAAAGTTCGGAAATGGGCTGACGGTGGTGGACCTGACGAACTGACTACGGCTCATCTCAAGCTGCGCGCCAAAGGGTTAGACGTTAAGCCGAATTCTGAGATAGTATCTCTGGCAATACACGTAAGGTGGAAGAAATGACGGAAAAGGTTTTTCTCGCTCGCGTATGCGACGCCGGAAAGGCTCGGCCTTACCGGAAGAGGAAATGTCCGAGATACAAGACGATATGGCTGTACTCCCCATCGAGTATTTTACTTAGTCTTAGAGAAGAGGTATAAAAGCGCTATTTTTCTTTTTCTAAGCTAGTATAGTTCTATAAAAGAATGTAATAAAGCTTTTAATGTTACAAGTTACTCTAAATATATTTTTTTCAAAGAAATTTAAGAAGCTAAAGATTGAAATAAAATTTGTAAAAACGACATCTATTTAACGTTAAGCTACTTAGTAACCTGATAAATAGTTAGCTTTTAGTAAGAAGAAAATGACTTAGATAATGATTATACCCTTAAAACATCCCCAGCGGGGTACGGGCGGAGCCGATAATGTAGACTGGGGCGAGTGGCGACATGGAGATTGGATACGAAAAGAACTCAAGAGCTTGTATAGAGGGGCTAAGGGGTGATGCAGGAAGTTTGGCTATTCGGAGAGGGTCGTGGGATGAGCATACAGTATCCAGTGCTGGATGCGATATAAGTCAAAGTACTGTTAAAAATGGCCGGTGAGATGATTTCATTTGCCACCTGTTGCAGTGGTGGTAGTTGAATGTTTGTTGATGTAACGCCTTAATAGATACTAATCAGGACCCCAGCACTGGGTTCGTCACGACAGCATTTGCGCGCGCAGCAGCGGTGTTTTCCTATCTAGTCCCGCAGGAAGATCTTCCAGACGCTCAAGCTTAGACTTCAGATGCTATTTTCGACCTGAAGCTATGGCTCGGAGAGATAACCGAAACCGTAAAGAGGTTCCAAGCTCACCGGGCCTTCTCAAAAACACCAGCTCCGAGAAGTGGTTCCGCCGCACACAACAAGTCTGGCGAGAAAATATTTTCAGATCAGTGATGCCGGCTACGTTACTACGCTGACTGATCTTACTGCGCTTAGGAGGGCCTACATGGTTCATGTCGACGACTTCTACAAGCCTGACCTGAATTGTGAGCATCTCTACGTGGATGGAATCTACCCAAATTGACAGCACACTGTGCACTTGACGGCTACAACACTCGGAAGAAGCTTTCGCCGACTAGCGACAACTGGATTGCCCGAAAGATGATACCAAATCGGGGATGTATTCCGAGAGCCATCCGAATGAACCATCCGCTGCAGAGCTTGGCAGTGTCTTATATTTGTACATGGACTAATAGAGAATTTCCTTGCAGACACAGCAAAAGTTTATCGTGTCATTTGTCAATATGCAATCGCGTGCGCAGAATGTTGGCATCAAAGCCGTGGAATTGTACTTCCCAAATCAAGTCAGCAATTCGAAGTGTTTCGGTTTCACCCACTCAGACGCTAACAGTCCTTTAGTGCGTCGATCAGACTGAACTTGAAAAGTTCCTAGGTGTCGCCCCAGGGAAATTCACGATCGGCTTGGGGCAGACGCAAATGGCATTTTGCGACGACCGTGAAGGTAACAATTCGATGGCGTTTCTGTGATACAATGAAGCTTACGTTTTCAAAAGACACATACTCTATGGCGCTCACGACAGTCTCATCTCTACTTCGGAAATACAATGTTGATCCAAAGTCGATTGGGCGGCTCGAAGTTGGCACCGAATCGCCGCTTGACAAATCCAAGTCTTGCAAGACGGTGCTCATGCAGCTCTTTGAGCCGTATGGCAACACGAACATCGAAGGCTGCGACACCATCAACGCCTGTTACGGTGGTACGAATGCCCTGTTCAACACGATTAGCTGGGTTGAGTCATCGGCCTGGGATGGGCGGGACGCCATCGTTGTGGCTGGCGACATTGCGCTGTACAATCAGCCAGCCGCAAAACCAACGGGAGGGGCTGGATGCGTGGCCATGCTGATTGGACCGAATGCTCCCTTGGTCTTTGACGCCGGGTTGCGAGGATCCTACTTCAAGCACGCCTACGACTTTTATAAGGCCGATTTCAAATCCGAGTATCCCTTGATCGATGGCCAGTATTCCGTCCAATGCTACACCCAAGCAGTGGATGCCTGCTACAAGAGCTACCACGACCGGAAGGACACTCTCAGGACATTGCTGAACGGCGTATGCAAAGATTCGGAGCCGGCCGGCAGCGACGCCGACCTACCACTCGACTACTTTGACTACATGGTCTTCCATGCCCCGACCTGCAAGCTCGTGGAGAAATCCTTCGCGCGCTTACTGTACAATGACTTTTTTCAGAATCCCGACCATCCGCAATTTGCCTCAGTCGCCCCGGAGCTGAGGAAATTAAGTCCCAAAGAAAGCTTGACTAACAAGGAGGTTGAGAAGACGTTTGTGGCGCTCGCGAAGAAACGTTTTGCCGCGCGCGTGCAGCCCGGCCTCATGGTACCTACCATGTGCGGCAACACGTATACTGCAAGTGTCTATAGCAGCCTCATCAGTTTGATTGCAAGTTTAGGTAGTGAGAAGCTTCAAGACAAGCGCATCGGCCTCTTTAGCTACGGCAGCGGCCTTGCAAGCTCCCTCTTCAGCTTGACTGTACGTGGCGATGTCTCTGACATGGTCCGGAAGGTTGATCTGCTGTCTAGGTTGCAGAAAAGGCATGTCTTATCCCCAGAGGCATACGATGAGGTAAGTAGTATCCATGAAATAGTAGGAGTGAGACGCACCGCTAATAGGTTGGCAGGCTTGCAAAGTACGGGAGAAGGCATATCAAAAGAACAACTATACGCCAGTTTCGGATCTCACCAGACTGGTTCCAGGAACGTACTACTTGGCGGGTGTTGACGAAATGTTTCGTCGGACGTATGAAGTTAAATGATGGCGTGGCCAAAGTACAGAGTGGCGTCCGAATCTGCCGGACAACTATGTCTATGATCCTTGGTGTCTTAGGTCAATAGTTCCTTTCTAGATTTCCTTCAGTGACACACTCACGTTGAATGCCTTTAAAGGAGCTGAGAAGAATGACCTGGACATGGTGTCGTTCACAAGATTCCTTGAATCGATTCCATGGCGAAGATTCATTAAGCATTCAAGCATTCAACAAGTCTCTCCACATGACAACTCTATTCAGACCTACGACAGTACCATCCCCCATTCCCACTCCACTCCCTCACCAACCTTAAGTCGATGCTCCTCCAACGCCCCCGGCCCACACGACTCCGTCCCCAACCCCTGATGCTCCACATCCAACCTCACAACCACCTCCTCCCTCCTCTTCTTCCTCAACTCCCACGGATGCCCCGCCTCCGCCACATCCTCCGCTCGATAATGACTCGCCGAGAAGTTCCCTTCACCTCCCACAAACCTCGCCGTCAACCTCCTTCCCTCCGCCCCCAAAAACCGCACCCACCGCACATCCGTCCGATTGCCGCCTTCCTGCGGCACCTCGTACTCCGTCCACAGCACATTCTCGTCATCACCCTTCCCGTCATCCTCGATCCGCGCGCCCCAATTCCCAACCGCCTGACTGAGCTTCTTATCCCGATACCCCTCCCCGGCCCCGCGGCCGAACCACTCCGCACGCTCAACGCCCGCCTCAGGGGACAAGCCGAACTCCCAGCCCAACCGCGCGAAGGTCTGCGGGAGGTTCTTGCCCTCGGCCCGCGCGTGGACCTCGATGCGGACGGCGTCTGCATCAGCGTCCTCTTCGCCGGTGCTGTAAAAAACGTACTTTGTCTCCACCCACACGCACCACTCCAGCACGGGCGGCGCGTAGCGGTGCTGCGTCTCGACGACGACCGTTCTCGCATCGCTATCGTCGGTATGCCAGCGAGCGCTGCGGCAGTGCGGGCGCGCGAGGTGCAGCAGTTTCTCGTCCCAGTCTTTGGCGGCGCCGCCGAGGTCGTTGTCGGTGGGGGCGCGGTGGAAGGTTATGGTGGGTGGGGAGTGGAGGAGTTCGAGGCCTTCTTTTCCTCCTGACGCCCCTTGGCCTTCGCTGACAGCAGGATCAGCAGGAGCAGCGGGCCGCTTCTTCCACGACGCCAGCAACCCCGTGGACAGGTCGAAGCGCCACGTCGACGCGGGGCCGGTGATGGTGAGGTCAGCCGCGGCGGCGGTTGCGGTGATGGGGGACGCGGAGGAGGAAGTGAGCGCGGGAGGACTCTCGTTTTCGTCGGCCGGGAAGGGGTTCAGCAGGTGCTGGTGCTTCGCGACCTCGTGGCCAGCAGCGGCCCACGCAGTGTCCTGCTTCAGCGTCCAAGAGAGCTGGAGGTAGCTCCCCGGACGGCTCGCGGCAGCATCCGTGACTCCGTTTGGGAGCGCGACGGCTCCCAGCTCGCCCGGCAACACCGTCGGGACCACCGTCTCGCCCAACTCCTCGAAGAACCCGTCGCCGAGGACCGCGACGCGGCAGTTTAGGTGGTCGAGCGTCAGGAAGTCGTAGCGGTTGACGACGGTGGCGGAGGAAGCGTCTGCGGTCACGAGTTGGACGGGCTCGATGGCCTTCTTGTACTCGAGCAGGCCCGGCGCGGGGCTGTGGTCGGAGCGCACGAGGCCGTCCATGACGAAGGTGCCGTCGTTGGGGGCGTCGCCGAAGTCGCCGCCGTAGCCGAAGTACTTCTCTCCATCAGGTGTCGTATGTTCGAGCCCGTGGTTAGCCCACTCCCAGACCCAGCCGCCCTGCAAGCACGGATGCTTGTAGAACAAGTCCATATACTCCCTAAACGCGCCGGGCCCATTCCCCATCGCGTGCGCAAACTCGCACAGCACGAGCGGCTTCCCGCCATCCCACCCCTCCGCAAACTCGCGCAGCGCCTCGTGCCGCGGATACATCCACGACCACAGATCGACCGTCTCGGCTTGCGTATCGCCCTCGTAATGCACCACGCGGCCCGGATCCCGCTCTTTCGCCCACTCGTACATCTTCCGATGATTCACGCCATAAAACGCCTCGTTCCCCAGACTCCACATCACCACACACGCGTGGTTCTTATCCCGCTCCACCATCTGCCGCACGCGATCCACGTACGCCGCCTCCCACACCGCGTTATCGCTCGTCCACCGCGCCGCCGCCCCGTATATCATCTTCTTCCTTTCCTCGTACGGCTTCCGCCTGTCTTCTTCGGGCAGCGCCGCTTCCTCCACGCACGCAAATCCGTGCGTCTCCAGGTCCGCTTCGTCCATGACCCAGAAGCCCAGCTCGTCGGCGAGGGAGTAGAGGAGGGGGTCGTTCGGCTGGTGGCACGTGCGGATGGCGTTGATGTTGTGCGTTTTCATCAATAGCAAGTCATGCCGCAGCAGGTCCTCACCGACAGCGCGTCCCCGGGTCGGATGGTGCTCGTGCCTATTCGCGCCGCGGAAAACGACACGCTGGCCGTTGATAGTAAAGATACCATTTTTGATTTCGGTCCGGCGGAAGCCGACGCGGTGGGCGAGGGTTTGCGACACGTGCGGGGGGTCGCCGGTGAAGGTGAGGACGAGGTGGTAGAGGTACGGGTCTTCGGCGGTCCATTTGTGTGGGGAGGGGATGGGGTGGGAGGTCGTGAAGGTGGAGGCTGAAGAGGCTTGCAGGGTGGTGGAGAGGATGACGGTGGTTTTGTCGGCGTCGAGGAGCTGGATGGAGATTGTGCCCGGGCCGGAGACGGTGACGTCGAGTTTGAGGACGGCGTCGCGGTATTGGTCGTCTAGGAGCGTCTGCACGAAGAAGTCCTGGATGTGCGTCTTGGGGAACGCGAGCAGGTTGACGTCGCGGAAGATGCCGGAGAGCCACCATTGGTCTGCTTTTCGTCAGTGATTGTTTGGGGAGGTGCGCAAAAAGGCTTACCTTGGTCCTCGAGATAGCTCCCATCCGACCACTGGTACACGCTGACGGCCACCGTATTCTCCCCCTCAAAATCCAAGAACGGCGTGATGTCAAACTCGGAAGGGTTCCTCGCGCCCTGCGAATAGCCCACCTCTTTCCCGTTGACCCACACATGGAAAGCCGAATCGACGCCTTCAAACCTCAACCGCACCTGCCTTCCCGCCCACTCCGTCGGCACCTTGAACGTGCGTCGATAGCTTCCGGTTGGGTTGTCGTCCATGGGCACGTGAGGAGGATCCACCGGAAACGGGTACGGCTCGTTGGTGTAGTGTGGCTTCCCGTAGCCCTCCATCTGCCACATCGAAGGCACCTCCATCTCCGGCCATGCTGCCGCATCGAATTCGGGTTGCTGGAAGCCATCCGGGACGCGGTTCGGCGAGGGTGCGTAGTTGAACTTCCACTGCCCGTTGAGGCTCAACGTCGACTCTGACTGCGCCGGGTCGTACGAGAGCGCGGCGGACGGAGATGCATAGTTGAAGAAATGTGCCCGCGGAGGGAGCGTGTTGCGGTGCAGCACTTCCAGATTCGACCAGTCCGGAGGCTGGCCCGAGTCGAGGGATTTCACCTTGAACGTGGCCATCTTCTGTGGCGTTCTTGTGAGATACCGCCTTCTGAAACACGGCGAGTAGTTTTATGAGAGGCGCGATGCGGGGATGTCGGTCATTCGCGGGAAACATTGGCCGAGCACTTATCGCATGATACTGGCTACACGAAGCGGGGTAGCTGCACAACACCCCACTTTCCACTGAGAGTTGATGTTGGAGTTGCGTTCCCGGGAACAAACCTCCGTTCGGACTTCGGTCCGGCCCGCGTTTGCCGCATGCGACATCGCCTCAGTGTTGGAAAGCTCGACAACTTGTGATGTAGGAAACAATTTATTCCACTTTACATGTAGCATTAGTATACCTCTGAACAGCTACAGGGTGTCCACGAAGATCCGGAAATTCAAATAGACAAGTGCACGAAGGCGCTGAATGTAGTTACATGCTGACTGGAGCGAATTGGAAAACCGGAAGAATGATCACACTTCCGTTCACGAGAGAGGGTTTATGCATATACCACATGTGTGATCGAGTTTTCAACGGCCCACTGAAAGGCGTGTGATCCACGCAATCCTGAAACTAGAACGTCAGCCGCCTTGAGTAGCAATGCGGGGTCTTGGAAATGGTGTTTTTTGCTTGGGGAGACTGACACTGATTGAACAGAAAATTCTGAATTCCCACCTCCATTTACTCCGGCTTCTGAGCGTATACCACATGCCTGCCCAAGGATTAGTTCATCTATCCATTGACAGCGGCCCAGAGGTACCCACATATTATGCTGCAACCTCATCCTCGGATTCTTCAACTCCAACCTCAACTTCGCCAACGCAACCTGCACCTCCTCCGCCGTCCACCCCCTCAACTGCGTCATCGTGCGCATCGAAATCGCCTCCAACCCCTCCAAAAACTGCACGAGGTCGAACGCGCCAATCTCCTTCAACCCCTTATCCTTGGGCCACGTGCCGGTCGGGATGGGCAGCAGCTTGTGGGTGACGTTCGTGAAGCCCGCGTCCTCGACCCACCTCTTCAGCTTCGGGCCGGGCTCCGGGTCGAGCCCCGCGCCGGTGATGCCTTCGATGAGCTCGTCGCACCACCGGTCGAGCGGCGAGCCCGGCTTGAATTCGCCGCCTTGCGTGTAGAAGCGCATTTCGAAGTCCTGGAACTCGACCCAGCCGCCGGGTTTGGTGTGTCTGCGGAGGGTGAGACGCCGGCTGCATGTTGGGAAGTGGTGTGGACACTCACTGGTATGCTTGGCGCATCAGGCGAGGCCAGTCTTTCAGCGATCCGGCCATGAAGCGGCAGTGGATGTAGTCGAAGGGCGAGCTGTACAGCCAATCGTCTTCCACGTCGTCGATCTCGAACTTGACGTTCGGCGGCACGCTGCGCCACGTAAATAGAAGAAAAGTCAATGCTCAAACGCAGATACTCACAAAGACGGTTGCACGGGGCTCAAATCGTTGCCGATGATCTTTTCGTGGCCCAAGGTCAGTCATCGTGAGATCAGAAAGCGTGGGCGCAAATTACGTACTTCGGCGCTGGGAAAAGCCTCGGCCATTTCGATAGCCCAGATGCCAGTGCCAGCACCAATGTCGAGAATGCGCTGGGGGTTCTCCACGATGGGCGCTAGGTGAAGCTTGCCATCGCAGCGAAGCAAAACGATGTGATGGTAGAGGTCGAGGCGGTCCAGTTCTTTCTCATCGTTGGGCATCCAGTACGCTTTGGGGGTATCTCGTCAGCGGTGGTTGCAAGCAAACTCCGTAGAACAGTACATTTGTCTTTGATCTCGGCGTGATACCGGCGGCCATTTTCGTACTTGTATTGGAGGATGCTGGACTTCAGTGACGTGGTGTAGCTCTCTCTGGTTCTCGCCGTGAGCCAACGTCACCTGTGGACGCGAAGGTGGTGACGTACGAATCTTCACCCAGAGCCGACTCTTGGCCGTCCAAGGCATCCTGGTTGGGGAGGTTTCGTAAGCCATGCAGCCGCATGAACCGGGGTAATCAACCATACCGGATCCAGCTCAATCACTTCGGGCTGCGCAGGATAGCTCATGTTGTCGATCTTAAGCCGCTGCCTCGCCTTGAGGCTGTCGTATCTCCAGATGGAATCCGTAACGATGGGCGTGCAAGTACAAGACACACGCAACAGGAGCGGGAAGGATTACGAATGGCGGGAACCGCCGGACCATATAGCAGGAACGAGCAGGCACGAGTCGTGTCACGCTGCGGTGCATGCGGCGCAGCAGGAGCAGCCCACATAAGCGAGTCTCGGCCTGTGCTGGAAAAGCAGGTGGGAAAGCGCGGCCGAGACCTATTTAAGCGGGTGGGTGATACGCATTCTCACTTGCGTCAATTCACTTTGCGACCAGAAAACAGTGCAACGCTGATGGAACACGCAGCGAGAATCCCTGTTCACTGGCCAATTGGAGATCCGAGTAACTTTGGAGTAACTCATGCACGAGTCCGTTGGGCTTCTTCGGCACGCGGCCCGTTGCACCACGTGGTCGTGACCCGACACTCCGGGTCTCGGCTCGAGCTTCATGCGGTGGAGAACCGGACGGTTTGCGGGGCTGATTAGCGTCGAGGGGGAATATTGGCTGATGCTGCTGATTATTGCCGGATAATATTCCCTTGCGCCGGGGAGTTCCGATAGGGCTTTGGTCTTTTGGGATTGAAAGGCAATGCTCTGGCTATAAGATCAGCAGCGCCGCGGACATGGAGGGGAAACGAGAGGTCTGCTGTCTTGCCAAGCGGTTTCAGAAATCTGACCTTATATTCGTTTTCACCGCAACTTTCATCGGTCAGTGATGCAATCTCGTCACCAAGAGGACAATTCACCCGCCGCATCATCAAAAGCGTTCATTTGATTCCGACACCCATGGACATACCCAACCAAGCCATACGGAACTTCCATCCCCACCGTCTACACCGGTACAGAAGCTCCACGCGACGAGACTAAACTTCCCCGTAATATTTGAAACTACAGCAATCGATTCCGTCTATGGTTCCTTCTTCCAAGCGAATGACACCCGTGCCTTCTGTGAGTGAAGAGATACCAGGGTGAAAGGCAATGCTGGCATATCTCGAAATGATCGAGAACAGGGCATTTGCAAAGAGCAAGGACGAGTGGGCCTCCTGAAGACGCGAAGAGTGAAAGAAATATGGAATGGGTACCATGAAAGGCAGATAATAGCCGAGGAACAAGTGTTGTCCATGACTACTTCATTGATTCAAGCAGCCACGAGCAGCACGAACACGCCAGATTGGCCGATCGGGGGTTGATTGAGGTGGACTGTTGATCTTGCAGGGGGAACATATCTTCCGAATGTGGTAATTACTCCGACGAAAGCCGAGCGTAGGATTCCAAACCGTGTCAGCGGCCACAGGAAAGAAGGTCGATACGCACGGTGTTCCAGAACGAGTATAGAAAGGAGGTAAAGAGCGGGGGAGGATTCTGTGCCTGGCTCTCCACGCAGCGACAGTCCGCTGCTCTGGCGGCTCGGACCGGGCACAGCCGGATGTTACCGCAATCGCTTGGCGACCAGGTAATATCGATGGAAAGCATCCCAACTCACGGCCAGTTGGAATCTTGCGGGATAAGATCGTCGACATCACGTTGTCCCTTAAGCGCTTGCCCGTCACAAGGCCGAACAGGCGCTGCTCCACTTTGCGCTCCGCAGGCGTGGGCTTGACCTTCCGGCCGTTGACGGTCTTTCAAGACCGTCACCGTCTAGCCGAACGGCACCGCATCGAGGACCTCCCGGATGGCCCGGAAAAACTTGTCGCAGCGCCTTCCATCCCAGCGGGCGTTCTCATGGGCGCGCTTCTTCTCGAAGACAGCCTTGATGTGGCGGAAACGAGCGGGTGTGTTGGCCTTCAAACGCCTGCCCGTTATAAGGCTGAGCTGGTGCTGCTCCTCCTTACGCTCCACCGGCGTAAGCTTGACCGTGCGGCCATTAACGATCTTCGTGCCAGCCTTGTTGGAGGACTCCCGGCCAACGACGAGACAGTATTCGCCAGAACCAGTCGACTGCGCGGGTGCGGGACCCCTTGGTGGGCTTGGGGACCAAGGGATCGGGACGGGCGAGGACGAGGGAATCGGAGAGATTGGAGGCAAGGCCTTACGATCCTCCCAAGGCAACCTGTCGTCTTCCTCGACAACCTCAACCGGAGCTCTGCTAATAGCAGACTCGCCAGCATCACCAGCCTCGGCAGCCTGAGCAGCCTCCTCTGCTCTCTTCGCGGCCTTGCGGGCTTCGCGCTGTGCCGTGGTGAGGTTGCCGGACTTCCTCCTGCGTTTCGGTATGGTGCGGGTGTCCTCCCCTTCTGGGACCGGCACCGAAAACTGCATGGCTGCGGTATTGCCATAATACGGGATCTTGGACTGGAGGAACCCAGTTGCTCCGATCCAATGTTCCAGCTCCTGGAGGTTTCTTGGAAAAGGCATGTCTACCAATGCCTTCGTTCTCTCCTCCGTAGACTGGAGTCCAAACGCATTTATTTTCTGTCCCAGCAACGTGGCGCATGGATATCCGATAAAGCTCTTCTTCGGAGACACGCTAATATTTCGTTACTTGAGTTTCCGGAAGACCTGGTCGAGATGGTCTAGGTGATCCGGGAGGGTCTTGTCGAACGTCATGATGTCTTCGATGTGTGCTTCTCAGCATGCAAACGCTTGCGCATCTCTGTTCGAACGCCGGATCCTAGATGTAGACGGTGTCAGAGCTAGGCGTGATGTATACCGCCACGTCGTGGTCCTATCCCGCCCCAGTTCTCGTGCGCCTCCCAAGGGCATTCTTGTCGGCGAACAGTCGATCGGCCTCCTCGAATCCACGCTTGTGTCGTCCAGATCGATCTAGTAGAGGGCGCTTGCCCCGGCCGTTACAGGCAACCGCCGATTACGTCAGGAACTCCCGCGACTTCCCTCAAACTCCAACGAATACCAAATCACTCCTGCCCAACGCCTCCGCCACCGAGAGCTGCACCACTCTCCTCTACATGCTTAGCGGCACTAGAGGTGAGTTCTTCCGGACGTGAGTGTGGGTTTTCAAAAGACAGTAGTGCATCCAGACATCAGCTTCTAACCATGACGTATTGGAGATTCCTTTGTTGGTAGAAGAAAAGAAATGGAGGAAGGAAATTTCATGTGAGTAGCTGGGGCTTGTTTAGAGAGGCATAACATTTAGGAAGTTTCCGGGACAGGCTAACGATCTTGCAAACATGTGTCGTAACGTCTCCCTGCCAGGCTGGCAATCCGCAACAAATCTATACTCCCCCACAAATTCTTTCAAAGTTCTGAATTACCGTATTATTACCACAACCGCCACCACCAGCACTCCACTCTACTCACACATCTCACACCCTCAAAACACCAACCCATCCGAAGCAGGCGGTCCCTTGTAATCTGTATCCACAAAATCAGCATCAGCGTCCTCCACCACACAAACAAGAAAGAGCCGGGGTTCCCCATCCCCACCACCATACTCACATTTCCGCGAATGCACCAAATACCAAACCCCCGCAATCGCCATAAACCCGACCAACACCACACTCGCATAATTCATCGTCACCTCATCCACCGGCAGCGCCGTCGGCATACTAAACAACACCAACTCAAACGCAATCCAGCACAACGCCACCACATTCACCGTCGTCCCAACCACCCTCCCGCAATGGAACCGCGCCCGCGCCACCTCTTTCCTCCCATGACACAAACTGATCGCGATGGGGATCGCGTAGCTCAGCGCCAGCGCGATGACGCCGACGGACACGAACGCGGTGAAGGCCGACGTGCTGCCCAGGTTGATGAGGCCGAGCAGCATTTGGACGACGGTCAGGAGGAACAAAGCCCAGATGGGTACGCCGAAGCGCGCGGAGACGCGCGACCACAGCGCCGCGCCGGGGACGGCGTCGTCGCGCGAGATGGCCCAGGTGCAGCGGGATGCGGCGTTGGTGATGCTGATGGAGCAGAAGAGGGTGATGGCGAGGACGAGGAAGATGAGGCCGAGGCCGCCGCCTGGGTTGGTTGGTGTTAGAAAATGGGGGATTCTGGATATGATTGCTGGGAGAGGGGGGAGAAGAGAGGGGGAAAGGGGAAAGGTGAAATGGATTTACCAGGAGATCCCATGACGCGGTGGAAGATGTACGGCAGCGCCTGCGCGTTCGGCGCTTCGAGGATGTCGGCGAGCGGCGGGAGCGTGAAGCAGATGGGCAGGATGAAGAAGATGCCGAAGAAGCCTCCAACCGGGACACTGTTGACCGCCAAGTTATTCCCCGTCAGCAAAATAATCCACGAACGACACCACCAAAGGTACCATCCCCGCCACCAGCGAATTAGACGTCAGGGGAAGGGGAAAGGGGGAAGAAAGCCAGCCCATCCACACTCACCAAAGACTAATAGCCTGCGGCACCTTCATGGCCGGATCATGCACCTCCTCGGCCATACTCGAAATCATACCAATCGCCGAAAACGTATACGCGGCCGGCAACAACCCGATAAAAAACGTAAACCCGCCCCAGCCAGCAAACGACGTATCGTAGTGCCCCAGCGCCCACGCCGCATCGCGCCTGCCCGCATCCGCCTTCACCGACAACGCGATCAAAATGACGAAAATCGAGACAGCCGTCCAAGCCGCGCAAACCGTGTCGACGAGCGGCAGCCACTCGTTGCCCAGCGCGCAAATCGCAAACGTGACCAAACAAATCGCGTAAAAAATCAACAACAACTGCCAATCGCTCGCCACCCAATCATCATGGTACATCGCCACCGTCGCGGCAATCAAACTCGCGAACCCAAAGTTCACGCTCAGCGTAATCGTCCAGTTGCCAATCAACCACGTCCACCCGTTCACAAACGACAGCCCCTTCTTCAACCCCGCCGGCGCCAGCTGGAACGACCAGTAGTACGGCCCCGCGCTCGTCGGGTACCGCGACGCCAGCTCGGAGAGAGAGAGCGCGACGCACTCGTCCAGCGCCAGCACGACCAGCCACCCGACGAAGATGGCCAGCGGCCCGCCGCCGTAGATGGCGCTGAGCAAGGGCCCGCCCTCGCCGTAGGGGATGGCGGCGATGGCGAGGGTTTGGAAGAGGAGGTGGAACATGGAGCGGTTGCGGTGCAGGGCCGGCTTGTAGCCCAGGACGGCGAGCTGGTCGGATTCGGTGGCGACATCGGCGACGGTGCCGACGATGGGGTTGTTGCTGGGCGTTTTCTCGAGGTCCGGGACCGGCGCCTCGGTGGGCGTTTTGATGTCCGAGTCTGTGCCCATTGTTGCGGTGATGGAAGCCGATGCCCGCGGTGCGTGGAGGGAGGTGACGTTGTGGGTAGTGAGAGAGAGCTTGGCCTGCAGGACAAGACGTCTGGACTGGAGCGCAGGAAGGGCCGCCGAGAGGTATTAAAGTAGCAGAGAGCTAGCTAGCCAGACCGCCGGTACCGCGCAGGGCGGCGGGCCTGTGCGGTTACACGCTGAAAACAGCAGTAAACGCGTCCAACAGCCAATATCTATGCTCGGCACCAATCATCTTCCACAGGGCGGGAAGAATAACGACCGCCGATTGGACGGATTAGGGAGCGGGTGGCTGTTATCATGGTTACGCAACTTCAGTTGGTTTTAGGTATGCGCTTCCCCGCGTTGCACTAAACCGCTAGTGGGCCACAGTTGCGATAAGCTTTCCCCCGGCAGGACTGCAGCACGGCCGCCATGCCCATTTAATGCCTGCATTCGGTAAGCTTCCGAGCAGCATCGCGATAAGCAGAACTCTCATTCTGATCCAGCGCCATGCAGCTATCGAAAAAAACATATATCAGCGAACCGCTAAAAAGCACCATATCAGACTTCGAAACCCCCCTCTTCCCCTCGTTCCGTCCACATCCCCCACCATCCCGACCATGCTCCCCACCCCCATCCAGCAAGCCTGGGACGCTTGCTCAAAGACCGACACGCTCTTCATCCTCGTCTGCACCGTCTTCTGCTGGCCCATCATCCCGGCCGTCGGGCTGGGCTACAGCGGGTACAGCACGCGCAAGAGCGGGCTGGCCTCGTTCTATCCGTCGATACTGGCCATCGCGTGCTGCTCGATCCAATGGTTCGTGGTGGGCTACACGCTGGCGTACGGCGGCGGGGACGGCGTCGTTTTTGGTGATCTGAGCTACGCGCTGCACCGCGGCGTGCTGGCCGAGCCGGTGGGCACGATCCCCGCGATCTTGTTTAGCGAGTTCCAGTTGGTGTTTTGCGCTACGGGTAAGTGTGGACCACCCCGAGACGAGGGAGGGGGAGAGAGGCGGCGTAGAAGAGAGAACTTTAAATTGACGACCATTGTCCGTCGGCAGTCTGCGTCATCTCCATCGGCGGCGCCTGCGAGCGCGGGCGGATCCTCCCGCTGATTCCATTCATCGTGGTGAGCCACCACCCTTCCCTCTTCCAACCTCTCCCTCCGACACCCACACACCCCTACTGACCACCCACCACGTAGCTCTGGGCCACCCTCATCTACTGCCCCCTCGCCCACATGGTCTGGTCAGAAACCGGCTACCTCTCCACCCTCGGCGTCCTCGACTTCGCCGGCGGGACCCCCGTGCACATCTGCTCGGGCGCCTCCGCCTCAGCACTCAGTCTCTACCTATCCTACCCGGTCTTCCGCTCGCGCCGGTCCGCAACGCGCACGCCGTCGCACCTGGCGCTGCACCGGCCGCACAACAGCATGTGCCAGCTGCTCGCGCTGATCGTCATCTGGAGCTCGTGGCTGGCCTTCGACGCGGGGACGACGCTGGCGCTGAACTTCAAGAGCGTCATGGCGCTGTGCGTGACGAACGTGTGCGCGTCGGCGGGTGCGTTGACGTGGGCGGGGATGACGTATTGGGAGGAAGGCAAGTGGTCGTTGGATTCGACGTTTATGGGGGCGATTGCCGGGTTGGTTATGATTACGCCTTGTGAGTTCCTTTTGCTCGTTGCCCCGTTCTTGAAATCGAAAAGATGCAGCAGAGAGGAGGGAGGACTGATGACTTTTGCAAAACACAGCGGCCGGCTTCATCGACATGCCCACAGCCTTCTTCTTCGGCATCGGTGGCGCCGTCGTGTGCCGGCAGGCGCTGCGGATCAAATTCACTTCCGCGGCGCAGCGCTTCAAGTGGGTCGACAACGGTGACACGTTCGCGACGCACTGCGTGGGCGGCGTGCTTGCCACCATCGCCACCGGCCTCTTCGCGCGGAAAGAGGTGGCGGCGTACGACGGCGAGACGGACATCGCCGGCGGTGTCTTCTTCGACGGTAACGTGCGGCAGCTAGGGGTGCAGCTGCTCGAGGCGTTGATTGGGTTTGTCTGGTCGTTTGTGGGATCGTTCGTGTTGTATGCGTTGATTGATTGCGTTCCGGGATTGGAAGTGTTGGCGGATGATGAGTATGTTGGACATTTTTTTTCTCGTCTCGTTCCTTGAGTAAGTTGAGCATGAAGCTAACGAGGGTCACAGGAGCGTCGTTGCTGGGATGGATGCATCGCAGATGGACGAGTCATTGTACGAGGCGCAATGGGCCGAGGAGATCGACTACCACCCATTCGGGAAGGACTCGGTGAGATTAGAGTAGAAAGGCAGCATTCGATAGAGACGCCGACCAGGCTCCGACGCGCAAATACCCTTAGAAAGCGGCGGACTTGAAGGCAATACCCTCAAAGCACTCCCACCAATCAGCAGACGGCCAGCCGGATTCGCAATCCCACCTTTGCTGCAGGAACTGCTCCATCAGCTGGATGCTTCCGAAGGCCAAGTAAGTAGCGTTAGTTTTCAATGTCTTTAGTAGCAACCTCCTATCTGCTTCAATCGAGCAGTGAGACCCGATGACCAGCACGGGGAAGAGCATGCAGTGAGCAATGTTCCCCGTGAGATTCTCCTTGCAGATAGCCCTAACGCCATCCCTCGTGGCCTCCTGCACCAACTCGTGATCCGAGTCAAGGTTGCAGAGAGCACGGTACATGTAGATGGACGCTGTAGCGCGGTACGAGCCGCAGAAGGCGGCCCAGGACTCGCGGAGCACCTTGTCCGCAATACCACCGCCGCCGGCATGCGCGTAGGCGAAGAACCGCACGTCCAGCTTCTCCAGGGCCGACTGGATCGACAGCAGCTCGTCAATCGGCACCGACTGTGACGGGTCACGCGCCATGCTCCCGAGGCTAGCGAGGCGGAACAGCGTCGACAGCACGCCCAGAAACGGGTCCTCGGCCGACAGGCAGCCCCACCACGACGGGCGCCCCGCGCGCTCCATGACCCAGTCCTCGTCGAAGAAGGGCGATTGGCCCGTCAGCAGCGAGTGGACGAGGTCCATGGTGGCGAAGATGGAGACGGCGAACGACGAGAGGCGGTGGTGGGTGCTGTTCAGGCGCGTCAGGCAGCCGCCGTGCGAGAGGAGGGCTTTGCCGCCCTGGAAGTGGCACGCCATGGCCGCCGCCTCGTCGCCCGGGTCGATGATGCCGTCGAGCACGCAGTGGAAGACGTTGGCGATGAAGAGGAGTTCCGGTGACGATGAGACGCGTTCGGCCGCGAGCTGCTTGCGGAAGACCTCGAGCGCGGCGAGGCGCGCGCGGCCCTTGGCTTGCAGGATTGAGTGCGAGGTGACGTGCGTGTCGAGGGCATGGTGGGCGTTGGAGATGGCGACGACGGCGTGTTGGAGGGCGGGGTCGCTGCTGACTTGGGCCAGGTCGATGTCCAGGTCGTCGATGCCGAGGTTGAAGCGCGGGACGACGGCGTGCGAGAAGTAGCGGAGGAAAGTGCCGTCGGTCATCGGCGGGGGGATGGGGCGGGGGATCCGCAGCATCTCTTTTGCCGTCTCGATGGTTTCGGATGTGGGCGTTGTTGTGGGGGGTGCGAACGGCTCGCTGCGGCCCGCCAGCTTGCCACGCGCCGCCACGCCGTCAATCCACTTCAGAGGCGTGAGCGAGTAGTCGCATGGGTGCTGGTTGGCGATGCAGCGCGAGCAGCAGGGCCGCTTCAGGTCACACAGGACCCGGCGTTTCTTGCAGCGCCAGCACGAGCCGTCAACCGTCCTGGATCGTTGCGGAGGCATGACTCTGCGGTGGATGCCTCTGCCGAGGGGAAGAGCATGACCAAAGATACTCGCGGAACAGGTGCGTGGTGAGAATGATTCTCGGAGATTTTGGCGAACGTGATCGAGTGGGAATGGGAGAGTAAGGCGAGATGGCGAAGTGAAGTTACGGGTGAACGGGTGGGCGAATAATCCCGCGATAAGGTTGATAAGGAAACTCAAATTCCAATTGGGGAAGGCTTCCAAAAGCTTCACCCCGGCGGGCGTCATCTTGACGCCTAGTTGAAGCTTATTATGTCCGGCACATTGATCTCATCCGAAATTCCACGCATTCACGTCAAGACAGCCGCATCAACTGCTCACAGAGCCAGTCCATAGCCGACGTGGGGATGCCGAGTCGCCGACAAGGTCGGATGCGCTAGTCCACTCTGGGAGTAGCGTTTCCGCGGGCATCCACCCTTTACGGTCTCATCCGCATCGATGTGTATTTTAACCCAGACATCATAGCCATAATCGGAAGAATTGGTGGGCATACAGAGGGGTATTGCGTTCGAAGGCTAACGTGAAGAATAACAAGGCGCTGGAACCGAGGGTAGCTACGATTAGAATGTATGGTGCTTCACAATATTTATTTTGAATTAATCAATTTAGGCGGGCATTCATAGCTAGCGTCATGATGTGCACGTATAATTATTATTTCGACGTTTACGCCCGGACGAAAGGTTCAACTCGCCATGATATGAGCGATGAACAATTCCACGCCAGCCTTCGCTTGCGATACCATTCTGCACCCGTAACATATTTCCCGCAGATATTGGCGAACGTGAATTTGTGGCACTGCAGCTGAAGCGTGGCATGTCATAGTGACAAGGTCAACTGTGCGTAGGCGGGACTATTCATATAGCAAAGCGCACTTAAGGACAACTCAAAGCAAGGTTGAGAGCGATCCCTTCCCCAGAAAAACAAAAGGAAAAACCGATACCCAACTCCCCCTCAACGTGTTTTTTTTTTTTTCAATTTTCGGTGAATGTAGTAATTTAGCGCTCGAAAATGCGTAATTCCATGCAGCGACAGCAGAATAGATCGATCCTCACTTCGTTCAACGACTCAGTGTATGTACATGTCTCACCTTGCTGTTGGAACTTTGGTGGCCACCAATAGCAAGTAGGAGCGGAAGTCTTATCATGACGCACACACGATGTGAGCTGAAGGATGCACCCACCAATGAAGTGCGGAGGAAAACGGACCGTGTGCTCTAGAAGAAGAAAAAGCGCAGAATGCAGCCTTGTTACAACCGCATTTGTCGCGGCTGCATGAGCTGAAACCTTTGCCCTGCATTAGTGCTTACACTTTTGGGCTCAACCAATGATAGATGAGTCGGATGTTTACCGCCAAAACTCCCACATGCAGTCACGATCGCATTTTAACGTATCATTTGTGCATGATCGCACCGCAATTCTAGGCAGCAATGCTACAAACCCGTGAAGTTTATTGGAGAGGATAGTAACCGGTCTATGTGTCGGATGGGCGGTCCAGTCTCGTAGCTGTAACGAAGCTGCAGATGTGTTGCAGCACTAGAGAGCCCGACGCACTATATATGCGTCAGACGTCGCCTTTTCGCATGCAAGACCATTCAACAAAATAGTTTGCTGCCTCTCTTCTTCTCGCACAGCGATTTCGTTTCCACAAAAAGAGGACATCATGTCTTTTGATGTGGAATGGGAGACGTTTGTAATATGAGTGAACGTCCCCTCCCGGAACGAAATGTCACAGGTGCAAATGAAGCCATCGCCACCATGAATCATGATCATGATTCCGCTAGGAAGTAGGATATTATTCCATGATATAGAGGCTGAATCAAGCTGATGTTCTTTCAGAGCGGTACAACGCCAGCCGCACCCATCGAAAGGGGGGACCCGTAAGAATCGCAAGGGCAAAGAGTGGCACGACATTGGCAGAATCTTGAAAGCGAGAAAGTTTGCTGGAAAAGAAAGCATCGTTTACCTGGATGGGCGGTTGATAGACCCATTCAAACTCCAGAAGAACATCTCTCGGCCAATGGCGATGAAGCCATTCGAGAGATACGGCAACGGTATGCTCCAATAATGATGCACACTGGCGTAGCATGCTGAATAACATTCATAGCACCGCTCCCGACAGTTCCCCAGGACTTTGAGATTAGAAGCCCAAAAATGGACGGCAGTATTTCAACATGGACACAGGAGCTTCCATTCATGCAGTTTCGCACCCTTTTTCGAGCAGATAGTACGTTGTGGCTTTTCTTTTATTTTTTCATTTACCACAGGTATCCATTCCTTTCTGAATTCCTTAATACCACATCTGTGTACCTATCCGCTGTTCTCACTGAACTATGGACCATAATAAATTACTGACCACAGTACAGCAATTCCACACATCTACATTCCCGAAATTTCCAACGGAGTCTCGACAGTTTGGACCATGCATTGTCGAATCGTCATGCCAAAGCTGGAGGCACTACTCCCCGCACGTATGCTCCATGCATATACTGCAGCCTCGCCCGATGCAGGTCTAAAAGTTGAGTGTGCGAGTGGAGCGTACCTCGATCTCCTGAGCTTTTCACTGGGCAACAACTTCGCCGGAATCGATGGCCTCCCACCCCAGCGTATTCTAGACTACTTGAAAAGCCAATCTACCACTCATATCGCTCGCTTGATGCTGTCTATTGGGGGGCAAACAGGAAGAGCTCTTGCCGAAAAGCTTTTTACCTGTGCAGTCGAAGCTCAAGATGCTTCCATTGTCGAGACCATTCTACAATACAGCCAAAACACCAAAGTTCATGCGAACAAATCAGTTTTCAAATACGAGGGAGTTTGTTACACCCCGATCGAGCGATCTGCCGGTCTCCGCGACATTGAAACAACAAGGGTACTCCTCAAATATGGTGCCGACTCCAACAAGACCTTGATGAACAAGGATACCCTTAGAGGGAGCAGGCATGGTTGGCGAGAAGGCGCTCTGTCATGCGCCCTTCAATGGAATTCCAAAGATAAGACCCCAGTCGAATTTGAGCTTGTTCAGCTACTCCTCGAACACGGCGCATACGTCAGCACGTATCATCTCGAAAAAGCAATCGAGCAACAAAGATCAGAAGTGCTCCATGCACTGTTCCAAGCTGGTGCCTCGAAAAATCATGAGCAATGGGGAAAGCTTGGACTTTTTGGCCAGGTGATACAAGTCTTAAGTGACGAAGCAGCGACTGGGTCCATCAGCATGCTCAAGCAGATTGGTGCAGATGTCGACGCACCTCAGGATAGAATACAACCCACAATGCTTGATATGACGGCAAGGCGTGGAAATTTCGACATTGTCATGATGCTTCTCCATTTCGGCGCCATCGCAACTGATACAACTCTATCCTATGCTATCCAAGGCCAGAATCAGGGAATCGTCGACCTTTTCCTCCACGGAGAGAAAACTAATGGCTTGAGCTGTTGCCGGCTTAGAACGACTCCGTATGCTGAAGCAATTCGAATTGGGGACGAAAAGCTCATGCAAATTCTCGAGCGAAAGGGCTCGTGGAAAAACATCAACGAGAGAGATCAATATATCGCTGCATTGGATGCAGCATCGGAGGCTGGAAATGCTGAAATCATCCGACGTTTGCTCAAGACTTCACCCAAGACTTCACCCAACACCGGAAGAAGAAAATTCTCGTTCGGGGAAATGCTTACCAATGCGCTCGTCACTGCGGTGAGCGCAAACAATGACGAGATAGCCATTATGCTTATCCATGCTGGCGCAAGCGTCTTTGGGAATCTCAATTCAACGGCCCCACTGCAGAAAGCACTGGAGAATCGGAATGCAGAGATTGTACGGGCTCTTCTCAATTTTGGAGCAAGACACGTTGGCTCCCTGGACCCATTATTGGCGCTAGCCGCTAAATGGGGAAATGTCTCTATCATCAACGACTTGCTGGTTTCGGGATGCCACATTAACCACCCGTCTAATAACGGCGACACACCACTCGTCGTTGCTATTGAGAAACGAGATCGGCAACTTGTTCGCTTTTTTTTGAACGCCGGTTCAGATGTGAACACGATGTTGCTAGACGCAAAGACGGAATACCGTACTGCCTTAAGTACTGCAGTCGAGATTCAAGATATTGACATGGTCAATTACCTACTCTCGGTCGGCGTGGATCCTGATGATTCGGCTGCGCTTCGCAAATCATGCGAAAACTGCAACGAAGTTCTTGACTTACTGCTGAAAGCATTCTTCGAAAGATATCCCAATGGAAAAGGAGGCTACTTCGATGATGCAATTGAGCTTGCAATCAAAAAGAACGACATGGCCATGCTGGAAAGTCTTAGGCCTGTCGTGAGTCTCAAATTCCCCCAATATAGTCAGCATGTCGGCGAACTGATTGGGAAAAGGCTTATTTCCAGCAACAAAGTAAGCTTCAGAGCCGTCCAGATGTTGCTGGACCTGGGAGCAAACCCTGACGCGGTTGTTTCGTTAGCAAGAGAAGCCGAGAGGACTCCTCTGCTTTGTGTCGCTATTAAAGCAAACAACGCCCAGATAGTACAACTACTTCTCGACAAGGGTGCGGATGTCAATTTCCCAGCGACAAGAGGGGTCAAGTTCACTCCGATACAACTGGCAGCTAAGATGGGATATTATGAGATTGTTCTGACGCTGATCAATCGAGGAGCAAATGTTGACGCTCCAGCCACAGATGCAGGAGGTGGAACAGCAGTACAGCTTGCGTCAATCGGTGGGTTTGTTGGAATTGTAGAGCTTCTGCTACGAAAAGGTGCAAATGTCAACAGATTTCCATCAATCCTTTACGGAAGAACTGCTCTTGAGGGAGCGGCAGAATGGGGACGTCTCGACATGGTGCAATTTCTTCTACAATCTGGGGCTCAGATTGATGGACGAGGCCGACAGTCTTTCCTAAACGCAACGAAACTGGCGGAGCAGAACGGACACTTTGTGGTTCTGGAGTTGTTAAAGTCGTATTCCTCGTAGCTGGAATGTTATTATCAGATCCTGTCCCATGAGACGCGTATCTCTTGTTAGTCGGAGCTATCATCCCGATATGAATGTATAATGATGAGCCTGATACCTACGTCCAGATGATAGCTTTAGCTACTCACGACAAATGTTGGATTGACGTTGTCAGTGAAAGCATAGAAAGCGGGAGGACAAACAGCACCTGGAACCATTATTCTTGAAATCGCTTCATGTATATACTATTCTGAACTCCTAATTCGTTCATAGTCATGTTCACATACAGCAATGCGGCGAGCAGAATTCTACTTCTCAACCGACCTCACCCCAAGGGACTTCAACCCCACCCTCATCTATCTCTCAACTCTCTACTCTCTACTCTGCAACCAAATCGGACCGCCTACGCCGCACTCTTAGCAGCCGCCTTCCTCTCCTTCCTCAGCTGCCGGGTATACTTCACACCAAACCCATGCTTGAAAACCTCTTGAATCTCCTCAAGAGTCAACCCGCTGACCTCAGGGTAGAAGAAGATAATCAGAATCCAGCCGATGCCGCAGATAGCCGCGTAGAAGCCGAATGCGCCGCTGGGAGTCATGCTTTTCATCATGGTCAGGAAAGTGGAGCTGACGATAATGTTCGAACCCCAGCAGGAGCAAGTCATGAACATTGTTCCAACCGCCCTGACCTCCATAGGGAAGAAGTCAACGCTCATCCAGGCTGGCTCTCGTGTTAGCTATGTTCATGAAAGACCGAGGGGAGTCGGGGGTCAAAACTCACCAGTATTTCCCACGGAAACGCCGTAGAAGAACACGAACCACACAATAAACACCAGCACGACGATCGCTGCCGGTGTAACCTCCGCCTCGCGCAACTCGAGCGTTGAGGTATCCACAGGGATGAACGAAAAAGCCACAGCAACAGCGAGCAGACCAGCAGACATGCCCCAAACGGTTGAAACGAGCACGCGGCGGCGTCCCCATGGGTCCACAGCCATAGCGTTGACCCAGGTCATGACAAAGTTGGTTCCAGCGACGACGAGACCGACAGCCTGAAAAAAGTCAGCTACCTCCCCAACATAACCGTAGGAAGAAGGGGACCCAATACATACCACCGGATTCTTAAACCCCACCAACGCAAACAACGTCGACGAATAATACATCAACGTATTAAACCCAGACATCTGACTAATAACCATCAACCCACACGCACACACCAACGCCCTAAAATTCCCCGGCTCTTTATGCAACTTCTTCACAAGATACCACGTGCTCTTCCCCTCCGTCACCTCCCTCGCCTCCTCCACGCTCCTCGCAATCAACCGCACCTTATCCCTCACCTGCTCCGCGCTCGCGTTGTGGTATATCCGCGCGACCACCCTCTCCGCCTCGTCGAGTTTCCCGTGGAACACCAGCTGCCGCGGCGACTCCGGGCAGAAGGGCAAAAGGCACGCGAGGACGATGGAAGGTAGCCCCCCGAGGCCGACCATGTAGCGCCAGCCGTGCGGCACGTGCGCGAAGGCCGCGCCGATGCCGTATGAGATGACTTGGCCGCCGGTTATCGACATGTTGTTCAGGCCGACCATGCGGCCGCGGAACTTGGTGGGGGCGATTTCGGCGATGTACATGGGGACCTGCCGGTTTTCGGGGTTAGTTGTCGCTGGGATAGGGAGGGGGTGAGGAGGAGGAGGAGGAGGAGGAGGAGGAAGTGGAAACGTACGACCATGGCGGCTGAGCCGACGCCGAAGCCGACGATGAGGCGGCCGATGGCCATTTGGGCGATGGAGTAGGACGCGGCTTGGATGATGGCGCCGACGGTGAAGAGGACGCAGCTGGGAGCGGTTAGTGGCGGCTTTCTGGTGACTTCAGCTGGGAGGGAGGCTCACTTGGCGTAGATGGCCATCTTGCGTCCGTAGCGGTCAGCAGTCATGCCGGCGATGATGGCGCCGATGAAGGCTCCACCAGAGCAGAGTGAGGTGATCAGTTCCTTCTCGTTTGCCGCCAGTTCGTGCCCGAGACTGGTTCCCAAGTACACGAGCACGGCCGAAATGATGCCAGTGTCGTATCCGAACAGGGAGCCGGCGATGGACGCGCAAAAGGCAACGAGCCAGATGAAGGGGCCGATGGTCGTGTCCTCGATGGAGTCGTCGATGGGCGTCGCGAGGTCCTCCGAAGACGCGTACTCGACCTTCTCGGCCATGATCTTGTCCTCCAGCACGTCGTGTTTGAGAACCGTAGTCTTGGTTTCGGTGGCCATGTTGAAGATCTGACAGAGGAGCAACCACGACTGGGAGACGGTGTAGGAAAGAGGAATGAGGTTGAGAAAAGCTCACACGACCCTGGTCCAGCCTGCGAACTGGCCTGCAGTGAAACCTGGGTCCAGGCAGGGAGGGCGGTGAATATATAGACATTCTGGAGTGGATCTCCCAACCTCAGACACCCAGACCTCAAGGCGCCCAGGCCGTCTACGATTACCCCGGATGCAGTCGCGAGGTTAACTTTCTGACCCCATCGCGGCTCTGGACCGTGCTAGCCGCAGTGGCAAGCGCGGGAAAGCCGACTTGCAGATAAGCGTGGTGCGGCAAACACACCCAAAAGACCGCCCTCGGCCCGTAGCCACTGCTCCTGGCGTCCAATCAAAGTTTCATCGTTCCAACCACACGTTCAGGGGAGGTGCGGCAGTTAGTTTCCGTAGTTGCTGCATGTGCGCCTCGAAAATCCGGAGAAACGTGGGGGAGGGAGAGATTCTGGGGAAGCGGGGGTGGGGGAGGCGCCGTGCGCGGAAAGGATGTCCGTTGATTTACGGGTGTCGTAATTTTCGGCGGGTCAAGCTTAAATTCGGGCCTCTCCCGCCTAGCGTGACGCTCGTTCCTCGCCGTTTATTGCCTGTTTCCACCAATTCGGGAAGTAATCATCGCCCGGGAAGTCCCGCCCCCATAACCTCTCTACGCAAATGGATTCGTGTCTTTACCAGCTCAAGGTAAGTTCGCGAAAGGCTGCGCCATATGGGCCGTGAGGCATGTTGAGCTGAATATACTACTGCGGATTAAGTGCCGAATGACGTTGCACCTGGGTCCAACCGCCTGTTTCGACTCAACGTCCGATTGCTCTTGCAACACTTCCCGGAATAAACCTACACCTACACTGAGAGCGCAAAGGATTTCTCTGAAGGTACGGCCGGCATAATCCGTGTCGCCACCAAGTCTCGATGACGCAGATCTCGACGCCCCTTTCTGATAACAGTCCGAATGCGAGAGCGGAGGCGGTGGCAGCAGGCCTTGAAGTGAACACCAAAAATTTCCTTGACTGACTAGAAGAGAAGGCTCAATCGGGCAATGACAGTGGTGTTGAGTGAAATAAAAGATCGGCATTTTCACCTGCAGGTACCCGTAACCTAAGCTCTACCATGGTTCTGCACATCACTCAGAAGTTCTTGGGAACAGCCGAGTGCCTTACGTATCCCTGTCACATGGTATACTTTCCAGCTAGGTCCCAGGAAATCTTGTAGGAACTTGGCACTTTCCCCATCAGCGCTCTTGGCAGCATGAATTAAGTAATTTGCCATGGTGATGAACATCCTGGCCAATGACTGACCTCCGATAACATTTGAGCCTGAGGCTTTGGCGGGAGAGATGGCATACACCAGCGTGCAAGGGGGAATATATTATTAATCGAAGTTTCGGAAAACTAAAACCGCAAGAGTCCTTAAACAATACCACTTCAACGCGTCATGTTGCTGTATCTGACATGCAACTATTCCGGGAATGCCTTTCCATGAGGCCAAAAACTTGCTAATTGCTTGCTTGCTCTTGCTCGGTTTGCTTAGTTTGTTTCCTTTGTGACTCTCAACCCATTGCTTCTTTCCGGTTAGGTTGAACTTGCTTGTTTGGCAGGCGTGTTATCACCACTCTCCGTCTTCACTCATCAACATCCTTTCGCATTTCTCAGGCGACAAGTCCAGCCCACCATGGGATATCCAACAACGATCCTATGAGCTGTGGATCCGGCCACAGTAACGGATGCTCCAGAAGTGAGCCAGAGCCCCTTTCCGGAAAGGAACTTCGGAAGATCTCGGTCGTTTGGACGGAACAGTGGAAACCTGCAACTGGATCAGGACTTACGCCGTGATCTACTCCTTTGTTCTGCGGTACGTGGTATTGCTAGTCGCTAACCGCTGCGATTACACGCCTTCGCTTTATCCTCCAGCCAAAGGGGGGCATGAGCGACATTGACAGCACATCATTAGGTACAGGAACGATGACGATTCGCAATGTCGATAGCTTGGCTACTACAATGCCCTTCAGCATTTCACCCGACAACGAGTAATCTGCCTACCGACTGGATACATTGCGGAAGACTAGGGAGAACACTTGGGCATTGAGCTTTTACAGCGACGCATGCAGACTCCTGAAAGTTGGCATATGCATGACGTCGAGCGATGAGGCAGATGAGATAGAGCTCATCATATTGGCCTATCTTTTCTTTGTCGTTTGCTGTTTGCTACTGGCTGTTTGCTCGCAGTTAGTCGTCCAGCAGCGTATATGTTCTACGGTTCCTACAGCTATTCTACGGATCATTCTCCGCACATTTTTTCGATGTTATTCTATGGAGCAACACATCTTTACAGCAGAATAATCATACCTGTTACACCGGGCTAATGGAGGGTAGCCAACAGGGGCATACTGGGAGATTACTGAACAGAATGCGCGACCCCACATAACAGGGGATTAGTGAACGCGACACCAACGAAAAGCACAGCATCCATAGTGGATGGGTTTTCTCTATGTCGTGAAGAACTAAAACTCTAGCGGCAATGCCCTAAGGCTTCAGGTGGAAAAAATCAGGAAGCCTGACCCTGAGCTACCGTAGTAATGTGGATCATGGCGTTGGCGCAAAGCAATTCCTGGCCGCTAAGATTGACTACCTAAAAGCCCCCCCGCAAATGGGCCAGCCGCGTTTACAGGGAATATTTGTACGAGCGAGCCAATCACAACCCCTGAAAATGACAAGGTGGGCGGCTGTCCCGTTTGGATCCCGTTTGTACGGATCTGACAGCTCCTCACTGATTGCGGATTACTGATCTATGGCAGAGTAAACGGAGGGCTGAACACCATTATCTTCTTAGATGGTGCGCTGTACCTTCTCTCTCACGATCAGTTGTGACTTCATTGGCCCGTCTATGAGGAACTCATCCTTGTCATTCAGATGGGTCTTGTAAGCGATCTGCTTGCTCTGTCATCCAATCCATAAGACCACCCATGTCACTTCACTACTCCGCCACAGGTATCTGCAAATACGCTGACGAAGTGACCAAAAGGAGGGGCATGGATGACTCGAAGGGCGTCATTGTTGACATATTCCGGAGTTAAGGCACATGAGCTATCCCACATGTTACGTGCTGGCTCATTCGACGTTGTTCAACCATTTGTATTTAATCCATGGAGTCCCCTCACATCAATAGCACCAGCAACACACTCAAGCCCCCCAATTCAACTTGTCCTTCCCCCCCATACACACCTCACCTCCAACCACAACCATGACCACCCCCCTCCGCGCCGACCTCTACAACGCCCCCGCCATCCCCACCTCTTCGCTCCTCCCCGACGGCACCACCGGCCACTGGCAACCCACCGTCGTGACCCTCATCTCCGGCGCCACCACCGCCGTCCTCATCGACACGCTCTTCACCGACACCCAAGGCATCGCTTTAGCCGACTGGATCGACGCGACCCTCGGCCCGGCCCACAAAACCCTCACGACCATCTACATCACGCACGGCCACGGCGACCACTGGTTCAACCTTTCCTACCTCCTCACACGCTTCCCCGGCGTGCGCGTCCTCGCCACGCGCGCCGCCATCGACCACATGCGCACGCAGCAAAGCGCGGAGATGCGGGGGTTCTGGCAGACGACGTTCCCGGGGCAGATCGGGGAGGACGCGTTCGAGATACTCGCGACGCCGCTGCCGGACGACGACAAGACGTTTACGCTCGAAGGCCACACGTTCGAAGCCGTCGACGCCGGCCACAGCGACACGGACGCGACGACGTTCCTGCACGTGCCGGCGCTGCGGCTGGTCGTGGCGGGGGACATCGTGTACAACGACGTGCACATGTGGATGGCGGAGACGCTGGACGACGCGGGGCGCGAGGCGTGGGTAGCGGCGCTGGATCGGATTGAGGCGTGCGAGCCGGCGGTGGTGGTGGGGTCGCATCATCGGCTGGGCGGGGTGGATGGGGTGTGGAATGTGGAGGCGTCGAGGGAGTATGTGCGGACGTTTGGGCGGTTGGTGGGGGAGAGTGGGGGTGCGGAGGAGTTGTATGAGAAGGCGGTGCAGGCGTATCCGGGGAGGGAGGGGAGGTTGGTGTTGTGGTTGGGGTGTAAGGCGGCGTTTGTGCAGGGGAGGGGGGTTTGAGCTTTTCGTGGGGCGAACTGGCAAGGGGAATATTAGTTCAGTCATATTTGTATATCACGTTCTCATTGGTCTATTGATATGAATTAGGCAAAATACATTTGAGTTAACAGACAAGTTGCTCTTCAGTCGATCGCGGCCTACCCATCTGAGAATTTCACCTTCAGCGTATCTCCTGCGCTCAAGGCATCACACTTGATAAAACCTGTACACAACACTAGTATCCAGAGAGACCCAGTTACTGATGCCGTCCAACTTTCTGCAATGACTTCCAGAGCCCAGGAATTTGCTTCAGGCAACCCACAAGCCGATGTCTAATTCTCTTCGAATCAGCAAGCCTGAGCAGCGTATCGAATTGTTCCTTGGTCATCTTCTTCTTTAACAACTTCTTGTAATCCGATGGTCCTCCGTGACGCCCCTTTGTGATAGACTGTATAGCAGCCCCGTGTTTTGTGTACTCTTCTAGGATGCTGGAAGCTACCCTGGCGCTATCTCCGTCGGGAAATCCCGTTGCAACGATGGCGTCTAAGAGTTTCGTCCACGGGGTTCCTATGGAATGATCAACTGGGCAGTTGGGATCCACTCCGAGTCTGAGCAAGCATCGGATTAACTGCAGCTGCGAATCACTCCAAATGCCGCCCACTTGCCCTCCTCCCCGAACAACATACTGTTGCGACTTTTCCCAGGAAACTTTTTCCACACCCAAATTTACGTTTTCAAGCAGTCTGGTCAGTTCGCCACTTGATGGTTTTGGTTCCCTCTCCAACACGTTGTTGATGTACCGTAGTAATCCGTGGTCATTACATAATGGTAGGAAGAATTCATGGGAACCGGAGAAGTGGTCTTTGGTTTGAATTTGTAGCGTGGAGCGAACCTCGTCCATGATTTCCACTTCCGTTTGCGGTGGAATTTCCTCTTCCTCAAGCGCACCAGCGTGAATAAAGAAGTTGTTTTGAAGTTCTCTACAGCGCTCGGTGTAGGAGAAGGACAGTGACACCGTTCCCTGTGGCGAACTTTTGACCTGTGCGAGAAGCGCTTGGCAGATAGCTATTTTTGGATTGAACCCTTTGGAAAGTTGATGCAGTAGACGGTCCTGGGTCTGCGGAATTTTCAGAAAGTCGCGAACGGTCCGGTGCAAGAAGTCGACCTTGTGGAGAAAAAATTCACGCCAAAGACCTGCCTTACCGTCATAGGTGGTTTCCAGTAAGCCTTTGCAGCAGGCATTGAGTCTTTTCTTCATGGCTTGAAGTCGTGAACCGACAAGCTGTAACTGCATGGGTTGGACTTGCAAGTCAAAAGCATATCTGCTGTCATCCTGATCCATGAACCAGTAACTCATGAGGGGTAAGGGCCTTGCGGCAATGAGAGTAACCAGGCACATCGCCGACGCCTGGTCGTTGTAGAAATTATCATCAGAAAATAGAATGCGTTCGAAGTACTCATTCAGATCCTTTGGGAGGTCTCGAAGCCTTTGTTGCAGTTTTTTGAAATTGTCTGAATTCGTGAGGCCCTCCAGAAGGGATCTCACCACGAGAATGACCCAAAGGAACACGCCTTGAGCAGCGTCGACAATGTCATGAACCAACTCCATGCTACTGGCTTCCCCTTCAGACTCCATGAGCTCCTGAAACGTTTCGTCATCTTCCAGAGTATCTCGGACGTACTTTCTGATGTCAGATTTCGTCAAGTCTTGCATGTAAAGTTTGTTCGCCTGGTCCTGGCCGAATGCTCGTTCGAATGCATTCCACGGTCGACTGGACACGCATGCTTTGAGGTCGGCGGAAGCCTTCAACGCTTCGATCAATCTGATCACGTCGTCTGGTCGACCGTCGTATTCGTCAAGGCCATCGATGAAAATACATATTTTGATGTCGACATCAGAGAGATGAGCGCAGAGCAGCGGAATCGCCGCAACCAGCTGCGCAATTGAGAATGAGCCAGTGCTAGACGATGATGTGATGGGATTTCCCGAGAGATAGGCGACCCATTCGTCCGGGAAAGCGTGGGGTATCAATGCTGGCGCCGCGCAGAAAACCTGGTAAAGAATTGACTGGAGCAACCCCTCCTGAGATTTCAGCAAAGATGATTTTCCAGCATTCCAAAAGAAATGCTTTGCGACAATCAGCCTTTTTCCATTCGCCCACTGTCTTAAATGCCGCTGAGTCTCTGAATGCTGGCAAATGTACTTCATGGCTGTAGATTTGCCTGAACCTGGCTTTCCCGAGATCCAATAAAGGCTGCTTTGAGTCTCCAGGAACTCGGTGAAGCGCACGGGAGAGTCTTCATCGAATATCCAGCTGAGAGTTTTCTCATGTTCGACGTGGACATTTGTGTGCCTCTCATTCATACCGTGGAAGAACAGGCGTCCGAGTATGAATTGTTCCGCAGAAAATTGAGCTCCAGTCTCGGCAATACCAGCCAATGATATGGCAGCGTCTCTTTGGCGTTCTCCTCTTTCTAGCATCATAATGACATGCTGAAGCTGCTCTTGTAGATGGTGAATGTCTTCCTCGCTCCTTGACGCCAGCCGGCGGTTCTCAGCTGCAATCTCCTTAAGTGTAGTTTCCGTATGCTTGAGCTGAGTAAGGAGCCTTTCGCCCGTGAACTGCTGGCTGATCCGATCTAGTCGAGTCTGCAATGATTTGATCTGAGACGAGCTCAGGCGGGCTTTGACTGCTTTCTTAGCACTGCGGACCCAGTCCTTGTGAGAAGACGCTGTGATATCTTTTGTAGCTTCGAAAAGCTCATTTGCAATTTGCGAACACTGTTCGCCAAGTTCCTTCAGTTCCTTTTCTTCCTCAGAGAGGTTGCCACCATGGGTCGCCTGCGGCGTCGCGACCCGTGCAGCTAAACGTTGAAGCCTTTGCGCATACTCTCCCACCTCTTGATACTCATCCTTTGCCCCCGATGTAGTATCGTAGAATTTCTTTGCGTCGCTGACAATGGATCTCGCAAAATCGACGAATTGAAGGATGTTGCTAGCTAGGCCAACAGCGGTTAGTGGGTCCATTGTGATGCTGTCGAAAGGGTGTTTTAGAGGTATTGTTCGTCAAGCCTCTCTGATCGAAGGTATATGGGAGGATTGGGTTGATCTCAGACGTGTTGGTGGCGTCGTAGAGTCCGATTTTGATAAGGCTGTCCGAAAGAAAGACTCAGCACAAGGCGGACAAGAATTTTCATTCTGTGGGGCAAGGCTGCGTTTTCACCTGCTGAGAATACTACTAGTTTTAGTGACTGCTAATGCGGCTGTGCGTCGGGCTCATAAACTTGCGAAGGGTTCGGAAACGTGAACCAATGGGTGGAACTACCGCGCAAGCCATCTCTCAGCCTCGTGGAAACTATTGAGTGGTCAATATCCGTAGCCTGCATGGCGCATCCTAGCTTATCCTAGCTAATCCCGTTGCAGGAGTGTGTACAGAGGGTTCGCACGTCCGACCACTAGCGTGTATTTGTTTTCTGTGTCTCGGAGGCCTGTCGACTATCAGAAGCAGCGGATTCCAGCAAATTTGACCAATCACACCATCCGCATGAGTGCAGTTATCCCATGTTATGAAGCAATGTCATTCTTCGCGCTAGCGGTCGGACGTGCGAACCCTCTGTACAGCTAGCATGCATCTACCTCTGTCGTTTTATGCGTCCTCATCAAATTGCGCGCCGGTAAGCACAACTGCTAGCCATTTAGCAAATTCCTGGTAGCCAGCCCACTTGACGTCTTCGCCGAAACATGGGCCATCTCTGCCGCACTTTCTTGCCGATAGAAGGATTGATTGGCCCTATCGGTGTTGTTGGCATCCGCGGCGGAGCTGGGTATATCCCAACTAATCTCGTTACGGACGGGGGCGCAGCTTACATGCATTTACGTACTACGTTGCGAGCACAGAGGCTGAATCACACACCCGAGAGCACACGCTTTCAGGGCTGCCGCAGAGATCTTCGCTGACTTGCGTCGAATCATGCATTTTATCCGCAGCCAGCTCGGAGGACCTGTCAACCCAAACGCAGACCATCCCGCAGGGCCTCCCCATCAATAGCGGAGATGATGCACGCCGCTGCGCCGCGTGCGTCTCAGCTCCGCACGGCCCGGCGTCTTCGTCGTAGAGGACGAGGTGCAGATGCACGTGCAACCTTATGGATGTGGGCAAAGCTTCGAAGAGAATATTGAAGGCGCCTGCTGCCAGGCGCATCATCTAGCAGCGGATTTTGTATCTAAAGGTGGCTACAGATCAGTGTGGAGGCCGATTTTCGACGGGCTTGTCGGAACTCAGAAGTATACTCCAAGGCTTTTACTGAGTTGGTTCTGCCTTACATAAAGATACTTTGGAAAGCGTACAGTTCCCTTTTCTAAAACAAAAATATTCACGCTGCTCCTCTGAAGTGACAATGGTCTTATTGGTACAGTCCCCTCTCGCGGCCGGTGGCTAGCGTGAATTTGTTTTTTCAATTTATCAGATGCCTGTAAACTCCCGAAAACAGAGAGTGACTGCGGGCTTGACCTATCACATCATCTGCATGGGCACAGTCATTCCATGTTTTAAGCCCCTGCCTTTCTTCGCGCTAGCCACCGGCCGCGAGAGGGGACTGTAGATATCCAGACCGGGGAAAGATTTCTCCTTCGAGCCGACCCCCTGCCCACCCGGTCCCCCCCGGCATCAAATGACTACCGCCTCTTCACAGCCAGTAATAACACCGAGCGTCGCCAACCTGATTGTGGTGAAACTAATGATTCAAAAAGCCTCATCGATGCATGTGGAGTGCGCCGTGGCTGGTCGAAGACACGAAGACCCATCAAAACGCGGCAAATTAATCTTGAACGAAACAACAGTGAGTACAGAGCGATTTGGCTTTGGAAACAACTCTCTGTCACTATCTGCCGAAAACCTATCTGACGCAAGTCATTCATCATTCCGGAAGATCCTGCTCCAGCCCCGATGAGGCGCGGCAACCTCAAGCGCCGACTCGGGGCTCGGCGCAGGAACTCGGATTTAAAGAGGCAAGAGGTCGCGTGCTCTGGGAATTGACAGGCCTAATCAACCTTAATAATAGAGGGCAAGAACGTCGAACAGCCAAGGAGCGTGCTAGTCAGCTTCACCCGCAGCCTATTCGCTGCGGGTCGGCGCACGGATCGGGTATCGCGACGCACTCGCGCCGAGGAGGCAGCGAGTACGAAACAGGCTGCTGACTGGCGCTGCAGGGCTGGGCGCAGCTCCTCAACCACAATGTTTCAGAAGATCGTCATATACCTTGTCAGCGCGATTCAACCTCGACCTCTCGAACGATGGCCAGCAAACCGACAAGGCAGATAGTGCTTATGGATCACTGCACATTTTCTTCAAGAAACTGTCGTATTTTGAAAGTGGTTGTTTTGAGCCATTTACAGTTCGCAGCACAATCGGATCTGCACAACTCGGACTGCTAAGCGCAGCCAGCTCTTCTGCGCCTCCGTTGCTTTAAAAGTAGGGGTCACGCCACGCCTTTTAGTCTCAACGACACTTTGTTCTACTTGGCTTTGCTGGGTTCCCCGCCAAGATGCCAAAACACCACTGCGGCCTTGGCACGTCCGCAGCCACTCGCACTCTTCCATTTGCGCAGCCCCGTTTCTTGTCAAGTCAAAGCTTTTCTTGTCTGTCCACGTCAGCCTCGCTCTTCTGCAATTATCGGCTTGTTCGACCTGGCTAAGAGATGTGGGATGGATTATGTTGTGCTTATCAGCTTAGAGGGCAGACGCGACATGAAGATCTTCTCCGGGTAGGTTGCAAGCAAAGAGATGAGACTCATGTTTCGGGCACGTTTACCGGAGACAAAAGACCCGTTCCAGGATCTCCTTCGGGAAGTTAAGAAGGTCCGGAATGACCAACTGCCGACCCGAGCTCGGATCCCTCCCGAGAAGTTCGCACAGTTGAATGCAGCGTGAATCAGCCGTGCTCATTAAGGTGAGGAAAACGGTCAAATCTACACCGCCATCGAATGACGTCTCCTGCATCCTGCTGCGCCCTTATTGACGCATAAGCGATGTCGGCGATCGCATCCGCCCAGCGTTAAACCTGGTGTAGTGAACATGGGGATGAGACGCAGTGATGCCGATGCAGAGGTTCTAGAAATCTGCCTCGCCAGGGAGCAGAGGCTCGTGTCACCACTGCCACTATACAAATACCTATGCTGGATGCCTCAAACTTCATCATCCACTTCTGTATATATATCCTCTTGTTCTCTCACTGGAAAAACTCGACAAGCTAAAATACAAACATCTCTGCACTACCTCCACATCTATTTCCAAACAACCCACCAACTCGATTAAGATGAAGTCTACCATCTCCATCGTTGCCGCTGCTTTCAGCATTTTTGGCACGACGATTGCTTCAATCGGAGATGGTAGCAACGGAGCTGGCACTGTAGTTGCCTCCTATCCCCTGGGGATGAGCAACGACGCCTACGTCTGCAACGACAGTAAGTAACGATAACCCACCACTCCCATTCACCCATAGGTGTTTGTTGGAGCTCCTAAGACAAAGCCAAGTATTCAATACTTCCCCTGAGCGATCGCTGACCTTCTCCCTGTAGATCGCTGGAAGGTCAAGGAGATCAAGGAGCAAGCCAAGACTGCCAGCAAGTTCCTGCCGAAAGCCGACGGCAATGCGCCAAGCAACAAGCCGGGCGAGTACCCCAAGGAGCACAACACCACGGATGAAACTCTCCTGCACGGCTGCACCGGCCTCATGTACGAGTGGCCGCTCACCAAGCCTACTTTCTCTGTACGCTGGTCCTCTGCCGAATATTGGCACGTGAATTTGGGAACTGACGATGCGCCAGGCTGGAGGCACTGCCGGTTACGACTTCCTGCTGCTCGAAGCGGACTACACTGGAGACAAGGTCGAGATCTGCAACGTGGTACGTGGGAGTTGCTTGTGCATCCGTGCATGGCTTGAAAGCTAACGGGGGAATAGGTCACGACTGTCGACGGCGGCCACAACACCTGCGTTCACCACCGCTCTGAGTACTGAGCTCGTCACTGCATTTCACGCACATACTTGTGATACCATAACACACCAATATACACAAATCCTCGAGACCAGCATTTTTACAACAGGGGTTGCCCCATCGTTACACGTTTTCCTTTCATACATACTACCGCCCGGATATAGACTTTAGAGGGGGGAGAGACACAGGTCTTGACTTTGCGGACACAATCTTACTTCTGAGTTAGTCTCGATACTACTGTACTGCTTATAGCAGATCTCTACGAATGGCGTGAGCGGCAATGAAAGAACCATGAGCACAATCCCTCGCGACCGCTGAGTCGACCTTTTTTGCGCCCTGCTTTTGACTTTCCGCTGATTCTACGATGGCATTCTGTTCATCACCAATGGCTACAAGATGACGAGCATGCAATATACGTCAATGTTGATCCCGCGAGATATCCGCTTTCCTAGACAGCAGGCGGTCGGCCCCGTGGCTATCGGTCCTTCGCAGATGCCTACAGGCCCAGACCAAGGATGCTGAGGAGATGGCCAGCCAGAGCGCCCTTCAGCCAGCTGAAAAGGTCCGCCGGGAAGATATGGAGCAGCAAAATATCTCGGACCAAATCCGGGACCTGTCTTACCTCTATATCTATTTAAAAGGATCGCTTCGGTCTGCGCTAATCTGAATTGACCGCACACCTTCGTTACATTCCATCGTCGCCAACACCATTAATCAATATCATTACAAAGCGAAGAGAATACTAAATGATCTTGAAATTTCCCGTTTGCCAACCATCGCACCATTCAGCCCAATTCTTCTGGGCCGCCTCCCAACGCCGAGGGTCACCCGCATCCGCTTTGGATACCCATCGACCGCGGAAATGTTCTTGAAAGGTTCCCATCCTGACCCAAACACCTTTCTCTCGAAGAGGGAGCAACATAAGCCCGGCAAAGGTTTCTTGACTCAGACGCAAAAGTGTGAGACGACGTAGATAGCCGAAATCCCGGTAAGATTCGAGCGTCCCGTCCATCTCGAGTACGTTCGCCGATCGGATTCCCCAGTCGGGCCAACACATGCAAACCGCTTCGTAATTCCACTGCAGGTCCCACTGATAGCGGGATTTCCCATGTGGGGGAGCCCTTATCACACTGGCTCTGGGGTCCTCGAAGAACTCGCCAAGTGACCGGTGTTCACCTCGGAGCACTAACCAGCCATCCGTTATGCGCCCAAATGGATCCTTGCCATGGTATGGAGTTTCAGCTTCCAAGATCGTGATTGACGACGACCCTCCGCGCTCTGCGGCCATATCGGTTGGCTTGAGAAAGCTGGCCCAACTCCAAGTAGGTGCAATATATGGTTCGGGACGTGCCGAGACTCGCTCCACTGCTTCAGATGGAGAAATTCGATCAATCCGCTCCCAATTTGGTGTCCACAAAAGGCTGTAGTGTAACTTAGATAGCCAATGACCTGCAAGATAACGATCATCCGCTAATCCCGAGGATTGCTGGAAACGCTTGGCGAATCCAGACAGGGCTGGGAGTTTGTCGTTCAAGTACGTAAACTGGCGATTGTTGTACCTATTCACAACCAGGCTTGCCCAGTCATCCGGGTAATGGAACATTCCAGGAACCTGATGAGCTTCGGGCATGACTTCCGTCTCGGCATTCATTCTCTCGGGACATCGGAATGTTACTCTGTCTTCGCTAAACATGAGCATTCGACGGGAAAGCTGTTCCTCCTGGAAGGTCCATCCCCGTGACTCCCATATGGAATTCTCAATGATCCTCTCCGGGAACACCCCAGTGAGATCTCCATCTCGGCTTTGAAGCAGGTATGTTTTGCCTTTCAGTGGGCCATGACAAGAACGGAAGGGAATACTGGCTGTTGGTACCGTTGGACGATTTAAGAACCCATGGTCTGACGAACGACTATCCACAGGGACGATGGCAATGTAAGAATGTCGGTAAATCTCACCCATCCTTGATGCTTCGAGTTCCCAGTCCTCTTCATCATCTTGAATAATGCAAAGGGAGTCTACCCAGAGATACCTTAATCCGAGAGCTCTTGCAACAAGAATCGCATCGAAGATAGTTTTAGGAATGGACTTCGAATTGATCCCTGATTGGTGTTGTGTGAAAGAAGCCTTTTCTGTTTTCAGTATGCTTGTGCCATCTGGGCCCCAGCAATAACTGAGCGTTGCATATCTACAATCCGTGATGCATTGGGAAGTAATCACGAGTCTTGGCTGATCTTCGCTGAGGTCGATAAGCCTAGACGGAAGGGGCCCATCACGCTCAAAGGGGTGGCAGGAATCTTCACATCCCGCGATCCATCTCTTCATAGTCGAGATGGCTCTTGGAGAAAGAGGATTTTCGAAGGGCGGTTTGAGGAAGTGGATTTCCAAGATATTATCATCTGATCCGTCAACAAGAAGGCAGTCTATGGTATCGTCAGTCCTATGCCTACATCTAAGATAGTTGCAACCTACCATCCAAACAGGTCATCTCGAAATTTAGACGATAATGCAGCCGTATCTCATTCCAGAAAATCATAATCCTGAAAGCCATCGCTGGAAGGTATACTTTATAACTTTCCACTTCAGAACGGGTTTTATAGAGGACATCCCCAATGACCATTCTTCCTTCAGATGGTGGCGGGGAAAGATCGGAGAGCCGGGGTATACGTGGATGTGTTGGTGTGGTCGAGGGTAGCGGGGATCGACAGTCCTGCCAATCACGTATCGGAGCAACCTCCAGCCATTCAGGCTCAGTAAGTGCCTGCAACAACAGGGTACAGACGGGGCAGCCACGGTCGGCTGACTCCTGAAGACCTGGAAGATCCGGAAGTGTGTCTGTCTTCGAATAGTGGCGCCTTATCTCGACCGTGTGGGATAGTTCCTTCGCCCATTTGCCGTCCAGGCGGATGTCGTTGCACTCTTGACAAAAATATACTTCGGGTGCGGCTCCCTGTGTAGATTCAAAGTCTCCAGCTCGTTCTGGCAGCGCTTGATCAGGAGTATTTGCATATATCGTTTTCCGCGCAATCTTCAACTTGGATGGCCATCGCTGAAGCAAGTACACGAGTTTGAATAAGTGTCGCGACATTAAAGTGGCCTTCCGGTACAGTTCAGATGTTGAGGATGGACGAAGGCGGGGTATTCGCGCTGACGCCGAGAACTGTCCCACTTTTGTATGCACGACGTTTTCATCCTGTAGGATCCGTTCACTTCTCGGCTAATTCACTCACCCGAATACATGTATTGTGAAGTCGTAATGCTTAAGTAACATACGCGGCGAAGCCGTGTGTATGAGGATAAGCTACGGTGAGATGAATTGGCATCCTACATGTACATTTTCCCTTCAAGCGGCATAGTAACCTCCCCGCTGCTAAACGAACAGTGACCAATCCCGTCCTGATCGCCATCACTGGGTACTGCACCCCATTGGACCGGCTTGAGGTGCGGATCTTCCTCCTCAACGGGTGGATGGCAAGCAGCAGAAATGGCGGCGCTATTGAAACCGCACGGCGGCATCCCAAACTGGTTATTCCGTTGACCCCACATCGCCATTGCCCCAAACGCCAACACTAAAAGGATCAAGAGCACATGGATTGCAATCTGCGAATACCCCAGTACGGACTTATCTTCCAATATGACCAGGTTGTCATCTTTTCCTGGATAGTCATAAAACTTCGTCGATCCAAAGTAAATACACTGCGACGTAACATAATGCAACAACGATGAAACGCCCATCATTGGGAGACTCAACTTCATTGGCAACTGCAGCCAATAAGTCGAGCGCTGTGAACCTTTGGGTTGTGACGTTCGAAGCCCTTTTCTTTGATGCGCAAACAACGACCATTCACGAGATCCGGCCATGGAAGTCATGAGGTGGTTGCACTGGATGTAATTGAAGGATAGAACCAACTGCGGTACGTTCGCAAGACAGATCAGTATCGTCTCCGGGAGGCCTTGTCCAAGGTCTGCAGTATCTGGCTTTGCATAGCCCAATATGAGGCATACTGCGCCTGCAATGAAGGAACAAATCATTCTAGAACTGTTAGTATCTATGAAACTCACTATCGTGAACACATAACTTACAATGCCGCCGCAACCATCCACTGTAGCTGGGAAGCGCCAGCTGAGTGCCGAAATCCTTCGCCGTTCGTTAAATAGTACGTCTTTGGTCCAGTAGTCCAAATATAAGCGTCGAATTCGTCCTTGCCAGTGAGGCACATCTGGTACGTGGCACAATCGGGGGTTTCCAGGAAGGATGCGAGAGCATCACCAACTGTGACCAGAGCTGGTTGTCGGTATTGAAATATTGTTGCTGACATAGCTACCAGCTTGACAATATTTGCTATAAGGACGATGATGAGGAGGCTGCTGTTGTACCGCAGTAAGCATGGATCTTCTGCATGTTCCACCAGGCATCCGGAGATCGGGTAACCATTTAGCCACCATCCTGAGTCGTTATGCTTGGCGTAAAGTCCCAGAATCCACACATTAGGGGGTGTGATATAGGCATTGACGTTTTGGTAAGCATACATCCAGTTCTTCGAGCTTTTATTCGATGAAGATAGATTGTCGAACCAAAGTATTGAGTTGTTTGAGGTGGTGCTTTTGCTTACAGTAAGGACATGCCTATAGTTGACCGGAGGTGAGTTCGAGTACATTTCAAGGCACTCTTTACTGCTGATATTCATCAGTTCTAGACTCTGGGCCTTTCTTTGGAGCCTCAAAAGTACGTCCTCGTCTTTGGCCCGAATTCGCGGAAGCTCATAGCCCCTCTCCCCAAGCAAGTCGTAAAAGGCGTGTGGCTTTTGTGAAAAGTTGTCTCCACGGAATTCACTAGTCCATATCTCTGGAGTAGGAATAGGGGCATTCGCTGTAAATTCATTCGTGAACTGAAGATCGAAAGGTGCTCCTTCCTGAAAATTCGGTGTAACTACGCCCACTACATATGCAGACTGTCGAGTAGTTTTAAATACGGTCGAGTTATATCTGAAGGCGTTAGCAGGTGTTGTACTTGACATCTGTAGGACCACGTACAGTAGATGTAGCGGGATAGAAGCAATGGCCAGGGCAATCCAGAGAGTCATACGCGTATATCCAACAAACTTCAAATTTCTGAGAGATTGGACTCCAATCGAAAGCGGTATACCAAGGCGATGGGCACGATTGATGTCGTCCCTTGACGGTGAAGCCAGGATCTGCATTGTATAGTTGCTGGCACCAAGGAGAAGAGTCCCGAAAATGTTGATGACTATGTGACTGAGCATTGCGAATGTCTCAGTCTTCTGACATGAGCCACTATATAGAAGCCCTTCGCTGAAGTCATGGTGTTCTGCATCGATTAAGAAGAAAGATGCGTTGAAGAGCAAGATCGCAAGCGTGATCAATACGTTCAAAAACATGGTAGTTTTCCAGGAATTCTTCTGCCTATGCCGGCATGGCTTTAGCAGCGTAGTCCAAAAGTGTCGGGACATGTTCCTGAGCCGAGGATCATCTGAGTTGGATGAGTCTGTGCAGGCCGTGGGATTGAAGGGTGGATCAATGTCCGGTTCCTGATCTTGGGCTCTATGCGATCGTTAGTCTAGACCCCTTCAAGAGCCTCTGGGTCATACGAGAGTTGATCCACAGTGTGGAGGCTGATCGACTCTAAGAGACGATCATCGGTCGGAATGATTGTTGGGATGGATGAGAAACGGCCCATGATGTAGAATCTCCAGAAGGATCAAACTTCAAAACTTCAATCAAGACTCTTCATCCATCCTCAAATACCCAGGCAACAGTAACTTATATAGGAGAGGGATGCGGTTGTGCTGCGATGGCGTCTATTCATCTGCGTAACCCAATATAACCTTGTGAAACGGAATAAAGTTACCTTCAAAATTCTTCCCTCTTCAATACAAGATTTGGAGATTCAATTTACTTCCCGGATGGGCAAAATCACAAACACTGGAGCAGCAGATCATGAAGTCAGCAGTAATGTTGTTTATGACCATAGAATCCACCTGCCAGTATGTTTTCTGTTGCTGCGCAGTGCAACTGTGGCACGGATGGTCTCGTAAGCGCTAATGTAGAGTTTCAGCTTATTCTTAGAATCACAAAGGAGCAAGCATCGCCATGAAAAGTTACACAGACCCTTGCTGCCTGCGCCTGAAATGATTTAGTGAGACATATCCAACTTTTCAATTCTCTTTGCATCGGTCATTCTCGTCTCTAATTCTTCTCAGCATCACTTTATCTTCAATCTCAGGATAGCGCCTCAGCGGTGAATTCAGACTCCTTGCTGACCAGACAGACGTATTTCCCTTATCCACCGACTGCCATCAACAGTCAATCTTCAATGCTTCCTTATGAAGCAGATGCGGTGCAAGATCAAGTAACCGCTACCCGGTCGGACTTTGCGCTGGTCGTTTGATACAAAGTTGCAACTCTTTAGCTGGGCAAGATTCCACACCGCTTTTCTATTCAGATTACATACTAAATACCTAAAGACCTGCTTCCTAATATACAGTCAATTGGAGGAAACATTTGTTTTATTGAATCTGCCAAGTAAGCCACGCATACCACTATTTTCGATCACCTCCCTAACTAGTTAAAGACACTGCGTCATTTTATTACATTGCTCAGATCTTCGGTACCTTCCGTTCAATGTTGATGGTACGTCATTGGGGTGTCATCACATCTCTTAAAGTAACCCTGTTTATTACAGGTGAGCAAACTTATTCATCAATAAAACGATTCCATGTTTGACATCTTGTAAGATTTCTCGCATCTTTGTGGGCAATGTTTTTCCCCATCTCCAAAGACGTTCACAATCTCTCGTCTGATTCTCTAGAAGGTCGGTCGCCTCCAGGACGTTATGTTTGCACAATTATCATGCTTCTCTGCGCTTTTTTAAGCGCAATTATTCTCCCAGGAATTTTTCTTGTGGCGATAAAATGTTATCCGCCAGAGGCTCCGCCATTAGGTCTTATGTCTGCCACCTCTTCCGGAATTTTCGGGAAAATAATGGCAGAAACCCATTCTCTTCTCAAACCTTCCTATGACGGCAACGGAACCCTCCGCAACTACGGCTACATAACAGACTCTCACAGAATTAACCTCATAATGAGGCTACAAGGCTTAGCTTTTGCTATAGTCTCTTTGGGAGCGACTTTCTTACTGGATACGAAAACCCTCGACTGTACCTCTGGAGGTTCATGCCAAACCAGATTTCGGGCACAACGAACATTGAAACTTCTAATATTGGCTCGGAACATCTATGATACTGTTATCCCTCAGGTTTGTTTCATGAAATATCCTTGAATTGGGTTCTCTAATTCAATGTAGGTCTGCCGGTCCCTTAAGGACGCACAAGCCTATTATTTCCTCGCATTATCCATTGTCATGGGAGCGGATAGGAATATTTATCCGCACCCGGTGGGCTCCTGGCCATACACAATATATGCAAAGTGTCTGTCCCTTTTTTGGTATATCATCATTGGCTGCGTATTCTGGAAGCGGCCCAACGTACGCAGGAAGTATTTTGCTAAAACCCCACGTTATAGCAACTTGCACAACTACAGTCACTGTTACTGGATTATTTACTTGCATAGAATCAACTTACTCCTTCATTCGAGGCCAAATCATCTTTCAGAGCAATTTCGGGAACGATTTCTACGAGGCCGACCTTTGGAACTGTTTTCAAGTAAAATACTTCTTAAGCGATACTTGCGGAGACGTTTCAATAGTCTGTAAGTTATGAATCCATATACCGCATACAAGGTGGCTAATAATATCACATGCCTTGCGATGCTAGCTACAGCCAATGTGAGAGGAACAGTAAGAGCGCCATTCATTATTGGTACACTTGTCGTGGGCCTCAACCTCGGAACTCTGTTTCGCATGTGCACATACCGGCTCCCACATCAGTTCGGCAGTTTCAGTCACCGGGTTTCTTTTCACATGTCATGCGTCATAGTAAAGACCTCAGGCCTTGCTCTTTATACTTATTGGGTCATTGCCCAGAATCGAAAGCGACAGAAGCTAGTCAGAGAGTTGGGAATTTCGGAAGAAGATTCAGGTGCTTTCAACTCGATTGCAGTTAGCAGGGAAATGACGGACATTGAGAACATCCATTTCAGATATGGTTATTGAAGATGGTCTGGTCGGTATTTGTTCTCCATAGTATGGTTCCATAGTATAAATTTCAACGCATCATACAAAAGCCGCATATGGCTATTATTGATTTGGAGAGGGACGAGGGAATGAAATGATGCTGACCGCCATACCAGCCATTGCACCTGTCCATTGGTTGGAGGCATTCTCGAACACTGTGCGACTGATGGCGTTGCGTGTGCTACAGGCAGGAAGCTGGGAGGAAATCCGTGTATTTGTGAAACACATAGGCGCATATCAACGATTTTGACAGCTGCAACAGAATGCAAACGCATGCAAATCAGGAAGATCCGCTGAACCCCCCCGAAATTGTGCAAATCATTGAATCAGTAGATTCCATCATGAACAGAAGCTATTCTAAAAGCTGGTGCGCAATGACACGCTAAAATTATCTGCATAGTCTTAAGAAAAGGCAGTGTCTGTTTAAACTTCTATTCAGGCCCCCCATCTGTCGACCGGATGCGAAAGGAGGTTGTTCGGCTGCCAAATTAATGCGAGACAACACAGCCAAGAATGGGGATGTGTCCCTAAATGTGCGGGGGCTTACGGTCGGTGGTAGTACATTCAGGCAGACAGGGTTCTAAGGCCTGATTTAGCTTTGTGGCACAGCTCAAAACAATTTCTCAGCTGGCGAAGCCGGTTCGAAAAAAAAACGTTGATTTCTAAAAATTTCCCTCGGGAATGGAACAAGGGCTGAATTTGAGACAGAAGAAATGAAATGAGATACGCCCCCAACGCTTTTCCCATGCGGCTTTGGCTGGCAGGGGTAACAGGTGGTGTTGCACCCAGCCAAGGTGCCAAGTAGCTTTCCCCGCAAACACCCACAAGCGCGAAGCTTTACACACTGTCCACCTGCCCACCGCAGACATAAGCTTGACCATCATCGCTCTCAACCTCGGCGCGACTTGCAGCATGACCCGCATGCGACAATGCCAGCCTTCCCGACGTCGTATCATAGGCAGCCAGCCGAGAGGTAGCACCATGGCGACTGCAGCCAACGCCGTGTCGTCGCTGCTGTCACGCCTCGCTGGGCTTATCTGGTCCCCTGTGTCGGCCAAGCCAATTCTCCGCCGGCCGGATGCTTGCTGCAGCTGAAACGCCCCCAAACAAGCGAACGCCAGGACGATCGTTTGGATGCCGATGTGTTATCTGCTGTGTAACTGCGTTGTTCTAGCTTCCATTGCTGCTGCTGCTTGTCGCCCGCCCATGCGCGAAGTCTGTTCTCTCTTATGCTTTTCCTCCCTCTCGTCACCCCGGGTCTCCACTGTTCATCCTGCCGATTCAGGCCTTTGTCCTGCCCTGCCCGCTGCGTCGGAACCTTGAGACAAGACATCTCCCAACTTTTCGTCAACGCAACAGTCTTCCTTCTCATCCTGACACTCCTCCCCCTCGCCGCACACCATGCCGGCTGCAAGATACTACTCCGGGAACCACAAACCCATCGACGAAGAGAAGCACGACGATGGCGGTCCCCCAGCACGCGAAGTCTCCGGCGGCTCCGACCAGGGCACGGCCATTGTCGAATCGGCCCCGCTAAGGCGAGCCCTGCACGGCCGTCATATGCAGATGATTGCTATCGGTACGTATGCACGCCCTCGTCGATGATCCAAGCCTGTGGAACGACCGCGTTTCGAAGAAGGAAATTGACTGACACGTCCCCACGTTTGTCCCTGGCAGGCGGCTCGATCGGCGCGGGGTTATTTGTCGGCTCTGGCAGTGCACTGAGTACCGGAGGTCCCGCCAGTTTGGTGTGTCTGCTTCCCCGGATCGTCCGATGCTGGTGTTGATCATGCTTGTCACTGACTGTGAAGATTGCAGACGATTGGTTTCATCATTGTCGGTACGTTGGAACCTACTTTGTGTTGATGTTAAACGGTTACTGACTACTCGTAGGCTTCATGCTGCTTTGCACGATGCAGGCTCTCGGCGAGCTGGCGGTTCTGTACCCCGTTAATGGCGCCTACTATATCTATATGGCGCGCTTTCTTGATCCTGCGTGGTACGCGTGCTTACTCGTTGACTGTTACTAACTTAGAGTGCTGACCACATGTCAGGGGATTCGCCATCGGATGGGACTACGCTCTCGGCTGGCTATTGATCTTACCTTTTGAAATCACAGCCGCCGGTATCACGATCCAGTTCTGGGAAAGCGCCAAAGACATCGACATCGGCGTCTGGATCGCCGTCTTCATGGTCGCCCTCATTGTCGTCCAGTTCTTTGGCGTCCGTGGGTATGGCGAAGGTCTGCATCCCCTACCTATCCGCTTCACGTTCCAAGTCCCCCTCAACATCTTTACCCCACCCATCCACGTCTCGGTCCACATCTCCGTCCACATCCCTCACCCCCTCAACCCCGCCACTAATCTCCGGTTCACACAGTCGAATTCGCCCTCGGCCTCATCAAAATCCTCGCCTGCCTCGGCTTCATCATCCTCGGCATCGTCATCGACTGCGGCGGCGTCCCCACCGACTCCCGCGGCTACATCGGCACGCGCTACTGGGTGTCCCCCGGCGCCTTCCGCCACGGCTTCCACGGCTTCTGCTCCGTCTTCGTGACAGCCGCCTTCGCCTTCGGCGGCACCGAACTCGCGTGCCTCGCCGCCGCCGAAGCGGCCTCGCCGCGGCAATCCCTGCCCAAAGCGACGCGGCAGGTATTCTGGCGCGTGTTTTTCTTCTACATCGTCAACACGTTTATCCTCGGGCTCATCGTGCCGAGTGACGATGGAAGGTTGTTGAACGCGTCCGGCGCCAACACCGCGTACAGCCCCTTCGTCATCGCCATCCGCCTCGCCGGGATCAAAGTCCTGCCGAGCGTCTTCAACGTCGTCATCTGCATCGCGGTCCTCTCCGTCGCGAATTCCGCCACCTTCGGCTCGACGCGGACGTTCCAGGCGCTGGCCTCGCACGGCATGGCGCCGCGGTGGCTGGCGTACGTCGATCCGCGCGGCCGGCCGCTGGCCGCGGTCGGGCTGCAGATCGCGTTCGCGTTCCTGGCCTTCGTGAACGAGGTCGAGGCGGGGGAGACGGTGTTCAACTGGCTGCTGGCGCTGTCGGGGCTGTCGAACTTCTTCGTGTGGGGCAGCGTGTGTCTCGCGCACATACGGTTCCGGCGCGCGTGGAGGCTGCGCGGGCGGCGGGTGCGCGAGCTGCCGTTCGCGGCGGCGATGGGGACGAAGGGGAGTTGGGTGGGGTTGGGGTTGAATGCGGTTTGTCTTGTGGCGCAGTTTTATGTCGCGTTGTTTCCGGTCAACGGGGGTGGGCCTGAGGCGGGGAGGTTTTTTCAGTCGTATCTGGCTGCGCCGCTGATTCTTGGGCTGTACGTTTTCTGGAAGGTGTATAGTGCGTGTTCTGGGGATGAGCGGATTAATCATCGCGGGTGGAAGTTGTTTATGCGGTCGCATGAGATGGATTTGACGAGTGGGATGCGCGAGGGCGTGTTGGAGGTGCCGGAGGGGGAGGCGGATGAGGTGGATGACAGGACGCTGGGGCAGAAGATTGCAAGGTTGCCGGTGACGGTGTGGAAGGCGCTGATTTGAAGTGGTGATGCGGGCTGTTGTGGGTCAGCGCGGATTGCGGTGCGGGTAATGGCAGGAGGTGGGTATTCAAGTCACAAGAGTGAGAGGCAGCAGTGCATATCCTATGAAATTTCTGTCTATCTCCGTCAGACCGTGTTAAGGAAGATGTCAGTCACGAATTTCTAGACTCTGAGCCGATTCAAGTACAGCTATCGGCTAGATTGACGCGCATCATGAAGTCGACGAAGCCTTCAAAGCCCCCAGCACTTCCAGTGGTTGACCTCGGCAAAGGCCGTATCGACCTGATAGCCCCAAACGTCATCCCACTTCTTCCCATCGCCGCCATTGTACAGGTCGCCAGCCACATCGACCGAGCCCTTGACCACGACCGGCTTCCACTGGCCATTCGAGATGTCGGTGGTGAAGTTCGTTTTCTGGGAGCGGCAATCCACGCCCTGGCCGCTCAAGGAAGGCTGGTTGGTGATGTTGACGAAGAAGTCCAAGGTCCAGGGCATCTTGCCGTCCGGCGAGGTGATGGTCTCCCACTTGCTGTCGAACTGGATGCTGGTGTCGTCTTTCTTGAAGCCCTGGAGGAAGACCTTCCTGTCCTTGGCATTGCCGTCGCGCGTGTAGGTGTAGGCGTTGCAGGGCGGGTCGAAGGTGGCCGGGATGACCTCGGTGCCGTACGAAGTAGTCCTGCCGATCTCGTCCTCATTGGACGCGGTTATGAGCTGCGTCGGGACCATGCGGAAGAACGTGTAGGGCCTGGAAATCGGGAGGGAGAGGAACGGGTACTCGATCGAGACGCGCTGGGGCGAGGTACGTAGTCAATGATGCTAGCAAAAAAGATTAGGATGACGTACGGTGAGGTCAGAAAGCTTGACTTTGTTAGGCAGCCGGATATCATGCTCGATGCCGGCCCGGAGGAAAAGCGGGTACGCATCCTTGGGCATGGCGGGAATCAGTTCGCGGTAGGCGGCCCTGTTGATCGTGTACATGTCGCCGACGACCTTCTGGGCCTCTTCAAGCGTAATGAGCAGTACAGCAAGGGTGCCATTCTTGGTGCCGGTGGTGTAGCTGCCAGTGCTGATGTCGGCGTAGGGGTTGGGCTGCGAATCAGGCGTGCACGTCGTAGCGACGACGCAGACAGCGCTGAAGTACAGCGCCGTCAGGACGGAGAGGATGCCGAGGCGCATGGTGAGTGTTGTCGTTGTCGCGGTACTCGGAAGGCGTGGTGGGCTTGCTCTGGTGGCCGCGCAGTTAGGTGGAGGAGCTAGGAAGCCGGAGGGTGTAGGAGCTGGAAAGATGTGCGGAGGATCTGAAGTATTTATGCTCACAGTCAGGGTCCAGGTCACGCCGAAGCTGTAGCGAAGCCGTGCAAAACTGGAAGGAGCACGGGCGAGTGACGCATATGAGGATCAAAATTGCAACGTTATGGCGCGCGCGCTGATCACTGAACGCCTTTCACTGGTCCAACTCGGCGCGATTGGGACAGTCATCACCTGCGGCATCTCTGCAAGTCATCGCCCGGGCGACAGAGCCATCACGTCCACGTGATGAAAAGCAATAAGAACTGTGAGACGGACGTCTACAAGCACCGCGTGTTTCTGCATGTTGTATGAATTGTCTGCTTATTTTCACCAGGCCATCGGAGCCAGGACGTCAGTCACTGACATGTAAGCAAGCTCACCGCAGCTTTCCACTACTCTCACAACTTCTCGCACTTTTGATAGTTGATCTCCAGAAACGCCGTGTCAACCTTCACGCCCCAAACGCCCTTCCACGTCGTCCCGGCGTCCTCGCCCCCAAACACGTCCTTGCTCGCCCACACCTCGCCCCTAACCGCCACGGGCTCCCACGGCGCCATGGTGACGACCGTGTCGAAGTCCCTGCGCTGGTAATCGCAGCCCTTGGCCGGGTCCGCGAACGAGGGCTGGTTGGTGACATTGGCGAAGAAGGACAGCGGGTACGGGCTGTCGTGCATCTCATCACAGCCAACATTGCCATCGCCTCCACACGCGCCGAGCGTGCTGAAGGTGGTCGTGAAGAGCGCGCCGTGGGCGGGGATGGGGCGGTTGGCGTTGAGATGTGTCGTCGTTACGTTGATGCTGCTGGGTGGGTCCGTGTAGGCGTAGGCGTCGCAGGGCGGGTCGAAGCTGGCCGGGATGACGCGTGTGCCGTATGAGGCGGAGCCGGCGAGGGCGACGGGATTGGTGGCTGTCATGAGCTGCGTGTTGGCGAGGCGGAAGAGCGAAGTGCTGCTGGCGCCTGGCATCGACAGAAATGGGTATTCGATTGATATGCGCTGGCAAAGACGGGTCAGCAGAGTACCTAAATGAATGGTCTTAGAGGCAAAACGTACAGTGAAGTCTGGGATTCCGATGCCGCCAGCCTGGACATCGTGGTCGAGCACAGCCTGGAGGAGCGCCGGGTACGTGTCTTCGGGCAGTGACGGAATCAGGGAGCGGTAGACAGCCGTCTGGATGGTGTATTTCGAGCCGACGATGCTCTGCGCCTGAGAAAGCGGGATAGGCAGGACGGCGAGGGTGCCGTTGATGGTGCCGGTGATGTTGAGGCCGCTGGACGCCGCGATTGGGTTGGGTTGCGATTCAGACTTGCATGTCAGAGTGGCGCTGACTAGGCTGAGGCACACCGCCGCGAGGGTCGAGAGTATGTTGGTCCGCATGGCGGTTGTCGTAGAGAGCAATGGTGCAGGAGCTGGAGGCAAATGGAGGATCTCTTAAAGGTCACGCAGACGCTGAAAAACAAAGAACGACGTCGTGCAACAATGGAAGGAGCGAGTGGGTGACGCAACTGTACATGTGTGAGGAGCCGCATCGCCCCTTTAAGTCTAAATTTTAGCTTCATGGCCGCTATGCCACACTGAGATAGCGGGCGTACTATCGCTGATCGTTTAACTTGGCGCTATTGAGACTTTCATAGCTCGAAAAGCAGCCTGTGGCAGAGTCGTCGCATCTATGCTATGCAGGAACTCTACCTAATACGGACGCCCACGAATACCAGCTGTGTTTGCTTCTTCAAATGCGGTAATTCCGCAGCGGACAAGCCCGGCGATCGTTGCTGGCTAAAGCTTTAGTACCAGCCACACCTCAGCGTCCCAATAAAGTTCACAGCACATGCCAATCTGGATAAGCTGAGAGGATGTTCAAAGCTTCCTTCCCCATCTGATTAGCCGCGGCAGCAGACCCTGGGCATGCTCCCCGCATCTCGACCCATGTGCGCATGACTCGCTAGCCGAGCGCATCCGCCATCAGATATATCTCACCTCAGCTCCTTCCACCTCAACAGTACCTCCACTCACCTCACCTCGCTCAACCATGGTGAACTTCAACCTCTCCACCACCGTCCTGCTCCCGGCGCTAATCGCCGTCGGGGCGACGACTACAATGGTCTTCAGCGCCAACAACGGCATGTTCGACGCAATCACCGACATCGTCGAGGACCCGACCATCACCATCATGCCCGGCACTGCCGACGTGCCTCTGACCCGCGAATGGACCGGCATCGCCGCGCTCGACCGCCAATTCACCGTGCTCCTCATCTTCTTCTGGCAGCTGCTCGACGGCCGCCACCCCGCCGGCTCCCTGCACGCAATCCACTTCTTTGGCCAGGTGGGCGCCTACTGGACCCTCATGCAGCTGGAAGCGAAGCGCGAAGGCAACAAGCGGCGCGTCATCGCATAGTAAGCTTAATACCCCTCCCTCCCGATGTCCTCCATTTCCCCTCCACGCGAACCCCGCTGACATCACACCTCCGCCGCAGCACCACCCTCATCGGCCTCCTCTACCAAAACATCTCCGTCGCCATCACCATCCCGCTCTGGTCCCTCCTCCACCTGCTCACCCTGCCCAAGCGCACCAACTCCGCCGCCCTGACCGCCAGCCTCACCCTCCCCGCCTCCGAAGCCCGCATGCTGCCCTGGGCCATGGCCCTCGGCTACATCGTCCCGTCCCTCGCCATGTCCCTGCCCTCTCCCGCCCTCACCACGCCCCTCGTCCAGCAATGGCTCGCGTCCGCCTGGCAAGTCTTCCCGCTCTGGATCTACCTCGCGCAGACGGTCATCCTGCGCCCATTCTTCACCTCCCGCACCCCCACCCCATCCTCCCCGGCCGCCGCCGCAACATCCTCCTACCACGCTGCCAGCTCCACCCACCTCTTCGCCCTCCTCTTCGCCGCCATCCCCCACGCCACCACCCTCACCCTCTCCCTCTCCACCCTCGCTTTCCCCTCCCTCTTCTCCCCCACGACCGCCGCGGCGCTGCACCCGGCCGCAGTGTTTCTCCCGAAACTCTCGCCAGCCGGCACGACGGGCGTCAGCCTGGCGGAAGGCACGACGCGGCTCATGCAATGGGACGAGCTGGTCAGCAGCGTGGCGAGCGTCGTGTGGGCGGCGACGCTGTACCTGCGGGATACGCGGACGAAAGGGGGGAAGCGGTACGGGGTCGTCGGGGTCGTGCTGAGGGCGGTGGGGTGGAGTGTTGTGGGTGGGCCGGCGGCGGCGGCGGTGGGGTTGGTTTGGGCGAGGGATGAGGGGGTGCTTGGGTGGGAGGGGGTTGGAGGGAAGAATTTGTGAGAGGATTTTTCTTTGTTTGTGTTTCTGTTTGGGTTTTGTGGACGGCTGGCTGATGTTGGGGTGTGTTGAGTAGGGGCGGGAGTGGCGGCGGAGCGGATGCAGCAGCGGCAGCGGCGGCGGATGCGGGGATTGAGGATTACTTTATGCTTGATATGATGAAGTATATCAAGGCGGATATCGAGGTTTCTACCGCTGCGTCGTCGCCGCCATCCGGCAATCTTGTAACGCCTGTAATCACGGTGCCGAAATGAGACCAGGGTGATGCGGAGACCCCTGCGTTGTCAAAGCGGTGATGTTTTAGCACAGGCTTAATGATTGGGGCAATCAGTTGCACTGCATCGATTGAGAGGCGCAGGCTGAGGGGGAATCTGCCTTGCGAGGCCGCCCTTTAATGCACCAGTATGAGCGCGCGATGCACCTAATCGTACGCAGCCGAGCCAGAATTCGTGGAAGCGGAGCTAAGCGCTTCCGGCAACGCGCCATTAATTCCTATCGAGCCTTACGGGTGACAGCAGTATAGTTCAGAATGCCGTCAGAAAAAGCCAAAACTATACAACCACACCAGTGCGACAAACCGAGCAATCTCGCTTACCCTTGTTGGACACGCGGAGTCCGAGGATTGTGGCGCGTTGGGAGGCAGAAACGGCCCCATAAGCATTCCCGGGGATTTCTACTCTCGACACCAAGCACTGAATTCCTTTTCTCATGAAAGACCGCAATGCTAGCCCAGTATACCACCGCAATGAGGGCAATCCCCCAACTCAACTTATTCTATTGCTTCGTCAATACCTGGCTCTCTTGGACAGCCTCTGCGATAGAGATTTGTGGGAGCTGGATGCCGCAGTGCTTGGCATGCGTTAGTATGAAACCGAAGGCGCATGTCAGCCGTGAGAGGCTGCATCTCTCCCTCCCGCGATATGGTCTGGCTTTCCAACTCCTGCAAAGCTGAGCTTTCCACTCTTCCTTTCATCGCGAACCCTTTGAGCTCTCTCTACATATAATCTATATCCCCTTCAAGGTAGGTGTCGACGTATCATCTTGTTTAAACAGTTCCCAATTCTTAAGCAGACCTTTTAGACCCTCTTCATACCCGGAGAATCACCATCTCCTCGACCTCATGGGCAACACGCAGTCCGACAACCGAGAGGCCAAAATTTATAATGGCCCCATCAAACGCGTGCCCGTCGTCAAACAGCTCTACAGCCTTGTCAGAACGTCCGTGTACGCCATGAAAGGGGACAAGGCGGAGGCAAAATGGAGTGCCAAAGGCGCGGTCCCCGGATGGCAGTCTTGTGAGCGGAAGCTCCCCGCTATAGCACAGCGGGCGGTCTAGAAGTTGAAGGGTTACGCTTTCGACGAGGTCAAGAAGCAGTGGGATGATGTTAGGCCCCGCATCATGAATTACGCGATCTTTGGTGTCGTGTCGCTTGTTGGTTTGTTCTTCTGGTATTCGCAGTACAATGTAAGAAGATCTATTTTTCTCCTGCAGTATATTGCTTCGGGCTCTATACTGACTGCAGTTCTGAATAGCATGCTCAACAACGAAAATTCGAGGAGAGACTTATCAAGAAGATGGCAGCTCAGTATCGGGAGGCCAGCTCTCGTCTGGAACAAGGCTCATTCCCTGCTCACTGCGAGCCAAACGCAAGCAATAGTACGGAGAAATTATCTCCCAATACGGGGTTCAACTGGAATTGGCTGGTGACGGTACTCATTACTTTTGCTTTGGCTGGAATTGTTGTCGCCGTCTCTAAGGCACAGAGAAAACGAGCAAACCAAGGGCCTGGACGAAACCAACAGCCGGTGGCTGCAGCTTCGGGCCAGTCTGACTTTACGCCGAGACCTCCTGGACCAGACCGAAGGCCAGTCACCGAGGACAACTTGCGCCAAGTATCCCAGGCATATCGGACATTCTGGCGACGTCAGATAACAGCGATTTGAAAATGGCTAGCTGTGAAAGCATCTCACCTGACTTTTACCATTTTATATATCTGAATATATTTCAAATCGGTCAGGTCATTCCTTCATTTGAAATGTTTTTTTTTTGTTAAACCTAGAACCACATTAGTGCAACTTTAGACAATTTACAATAATGACTTAATCCTTTGTGTAGCAATGTGTTATACCATGCAACCCTGACCTCCCTTGTGAATTCTGGTCATTCTTTTGATCTTTGAGGCAACCACTAGTGACTTTCTTGTTCGTTGTAGAAACTTGCTATCAGCTCGAGCATTATAATCCCGGATCCTAAAATCTACGGTAACCTAAGGTTGATCAAACTGTTGCTAAACCAGCTCAGGAAGGACCTTCATATCATACACCGCATTATAAGCTCCGAAGGTGCGCTTGTATGTAAAGTCGCGCAGCAGTACGTAAGGATTACTAATCAGTAGCAGTCAGTAGTGGGGTAGGTGTAGAAGAGGAACGAGCTTGTGGTGGGAGCAGAGACGAAACAACTGAAGAACACGAACTTAAAATAACTACTTGTCTGTGTCACTCGACTTATGTGTATGTCTATTCATGGTAATAGATTGGTATCGCCGGGATTGTAGAGGGTTTCCGACCAGCAGCCTTGATAGACAATTAGGGAGGGGGCGGGGGGTCGCACTTGACATGGGGATCGAGGAGTGCTTCATGCTTGATAGGATAAAGTACGTTAAGGCAGACATTGACATATGAGCCCATTGACCACCTTTTCGCTGTCTGATAATTGTAAGGGATTTTCGATTGTGTCACAAATACGAAGCATCTAATTTTATGTGCAATTAACCCTAGAAATAGAAAAGTACTATGACGTGTAAATGCTGAATTCCCAGAGAATAAAAAACATCATATACGTAAGAGGAAGCAGGAGGCGTGAAGTGATGAAAGGTACATGAAACTGTTGAGCATGAATGGAGATCATTGGGACCTACGCAGCCTGTTTCTCATCGTATACCTGATCCCAATAGTCCCATACTGACATTGGGGCGGACGAACCAGAATCCCTCATTTCTGAAATGCAACGATCACAAAACATTGTACTCAAGTCTTGCTCGTACCTACACCGATCAGCCAAGTCGCAGACCAGTTCTGCAGCCTTCTTGCGCTTCTTGCGGTCTACGAACAGCATGCTTTCGATTAGACTTGACAGGTTCTTCAGCTCTGTTGACTGGTCAAGGAACGCTAGCCATTCCAGAATAGCCGCGTCATTTCGACAATACGCGTCTGTTTTGCTCCCGTGGGTGCTGAAATATGATCGAATGTCTTTGACTGCTTTTCCTTTGAGCACCGAGTACATCTCGAGATACACACAGCCTAAGGACCAAATATCAGAAGACTCATTCCGCTTCTCTTGATCGTAGACTTCGGGTGCGCAATAACGTTTATCGAGGAAGCTCCTGCCGGACGTCGTTACGATAGCATCGCGACTTTTATAAGTCAGTTCTGCGGTGCAAACTTTTGCACTCAAGGGTGGAGTACCTGATTCCGAAGTCTGTCAAAAGGATTTTGTTTCCCAGGATCAGACAGTTTTTCGGTTTGATATCCTTATGCCTACGTTTCATCAGAATTACCCCCATTGTGTCGTGATTATCGCCCTACCTGATTTCCATGCTGTGAAGTTTTTTCACAGCGGACGCCAAACAGCCGAACCAGCGTTTAACATGCTGCCTATCTGGTGATGACTGAAGGTAATCTGCCAGATTCGTATCTGCCACTGGAGTGAATAGGATCGCAAAGTTGCGTTGGTCTGTGTAGCTTCCCACCATGCTGACAAAATGGTGATACTCTTCTGATGTCACCCTTTGAAGTATCTCCAACTCCTTCTCGAACATTTTTGCGATCTCCTTTGCTGAATCACTACCAGGAACTCGGGTACGTTGCATGAGCTTTCTCGCAACATCGCGATTGTTTCTACTATCTTTGCAACGCCAGACAGACGCAAAGCCGCCAGAACCGAGCTTTTCGCCTTCTTGCAAATGCTTGTCACCATCGAGGAAGTGTTGGTGTTTCCCAGGTTCCATTGCGTGGCTCAAAACTGATTCTTGATGCTCCAGAAAACTTCGTCTTTCCGATGGATCCAAGAAGATCTTTTTGAGAAGGTTTTCCTCAAATGGAATCCAGACATCTGTCACCCCAGCCTTCAGAAAAGCGGGAAGAAGATCGCGCCGCTCCATCAGATCAAAAATTATATGGACTCGAGGGTTTGGCCACCAGTCGAGTGGTTGACCTTTCCGCTGGTAGCTTTGGATAAAGCCATGCTCGCGGCTATAAAGCTCAATCTCTTGATCCGTGAAAGGCCCTTGGGCGTTTGAAATCTTCTTCGGTTTCAGTTGATTGCTATCGTTCCCAAGACTATTGTGGCAACATCTGTGACACCACTCCGGCTCAGTATCCAAGATAGTTCGAAGGTCCGATGCTATTTGAATTGCTGTCGACTGTGCTGAAAGGCTCGAAGTCAGAATCTTTTCGGCTAACTGAAACACATGCCAGCTCATTTGCCGGGAAGCTCTTTTGTGGATCGTTCTGAGGGAATCCCCAAGCGAAGGACCATCGGCGTACGTGTTCGGACCGGGAACTCGGTATGGCGATGGGGAAGAGGGAATCCGCACTGACTGGGGGTGCTGGCCACAGATGAAACTCAACATCTGTATATACACGCCTCCAAGATCCCAAATATCCACAAACGTGTAGTCCCATGAAAGTCCAATGGCTCTGGAGCTATGGTAGAATTTTAGCTCCGACATGTCCCTGACACTGTGAAACATCAGATTTTCCATTGCTGATGACCTGCTGCACAATTACTATATTACCTTTGACTAAATCCTGCGAGAACAATATTCTCCCTGTCAATGATCATGCCGGTCGTTTTAATGTTTCCGTGACTGAATTATCGTATTAGCCTTGTTTATGTCTAGACCATTATTATCTGATGAAGTCCAAGCTCATGAACATACCGAATTGAATTGTTGTGTAGATAGAGGATTGCGGATGCTAAGCAACCGATCCAACCCTGGACTTGTGACATGGATTTGGGATCTTTCTGGCGGCCAAGCATGAATTCGGAGAGATTTAGCTCAGCAGCCGGTGCGTAAAGGAATGAAACCGAGTCCATTGTTGCGAGACATCCGATATAGTCGAGGATATGACGATGATGTATCATGGAAAGGATTTCATCTTCAAAGTGTGTTCTCGACCGGGGAAGCGAGTGTCTCTGGACCAATCTTCTTGTGATCACCTTTCCTGTCACGCGATCCTGGACTATGTCAAAGGTGCCTCGATCGTCCATACTGACTCTCCTCAGGAAGGTAAACAGACCCTGTCTTTGCTCATCGGAACAAATGTGTCCCCTGTAAGGCCAATTTCCAAGTGAAAGCTGAAGAGTAGCCAGAACCAATTTCTGTGCTTCACAAAAACCGGCTGCTTTCTCGGTATCGATGAGGCCAGCTGACTTGAGACAGCCTGGGCGCATTGGAATCCACCAGTCCGAAACTCCGTATTCGATCACGGCAGTGAGCCCATGGAGGAGCCCAAGCACTCGGAAGATGACATAAACTTTTGGACAGGTCGCCCATCGCGGATAGCCATTTTCATACAAGATCCTCCTAATGTTCACAATATCCGAGTAGGATTTGCGCGTCGGCGTTTCCGGAAAAAAAGAATCCAAAGCCCGCACCTCCGTCGAATCCTTCTCCGATGAGGTGTCTACTTCCGATATAGGGTCCCCTTTTGGTGTCGGGTCCCTTTTTGGAGTTGCCATGATTGATGGAATGCGTAGGTGTTGGGTATGAAAGTTGTTGTAGTAGAAGGCTGGGAGCGGGGTCCCGCTGCGCTGATGCTAGACCCTTATTCATTCCGCCGCTGTTGTACAAAGCAACGTGGATAATCTGATTGGATAAAGATATATGGGGCTGAACGTCATCTCCGATTTTCTATTTGACGTATACCTAAGCCCTAACGCAAGACTAATTTAGTATGGCTGACAGAGGCGAAGCCTAATGATCGACACGTGAAGAGCCGAGCCTCACGTACCCATGCATGTGGCTTTCTGTGCAGCTCGGCGACATTAGTGGATAAACTCTGAAGCAATATTTGCATTTGTGACAGCATCACGTTGGTTGTGGGCGTTCAGTGGACTACTTGTCATACAGATATTTTTCAGCAGAAGCAGAAATCTCTTCATGATTAGTGAAGGGAGGATGAATGATTTAGGAGCACTTTATGCTTGTTATCACATGGTATATCAAAACTAATATCGAGAGTCGAACTGCCTCCCACCATGTACTCGCTTTTCAGTATTTCAATCACACCTGCACACTTCATTGCTAAACAAGTTGGAAGTTCGCAGCAAAAATTGCTCTAAGACCCCTGTTCATTTCCTTAACTTTAGAGTCCCGAATACTGAATGCGTAAATGTAGAGAGTCTTTTTAAAGATCGGAAATGAGGATGTTTTGATTTGTAAGCTTGCATTGGATAGCCATCCCACGGCCCAACAAGACATCGAAAGGCGGGTCGTAATGCGTGGCGATGGTAAAACGAGTTGTTAGTATTTGCCTTGATTTCTTGAAGCCCCATTCCAGGTCAATATATCCTCTGGTATCGAGCAGCTTTCCTTGCAAAGTGACCTTTTGTGAGACTCCCTCTTTCTCATCCGTTTGCACCTCAAGCTGAAGCACCTCGAAGACAAGTTTTGGTGAAATTAGTTTGGCGTCATCGTCACCTCCGGGATACCAAAGAACCGCAAGCTTTGATATTCTCTCGCCACCTTGGTTGGTGGTATAGATGCGAATCAACTCCACAACATCTTCATTGGATTGCAACTGCAACAACAAACGTTAGTAGCTACAGAAGACAAAAAAAATATGATGGTACATTTAGGGATTTCCCTTCACCCTCTCCTTCAAATGTCTCTCTGGCCATGTCGCCTTACCGCTGCACGAGCGACAGGCAGATCAAAAATCTGGTACATACCGTCCCATGTCGTCTTTGGGGACAAAACAAGCCCAAACACATCATAGGTTGCTTAGCAGATAACGGTCGATGAAATCGGCTTTAGGTGGCAAGATCGTGTTCCTTGCTATGGGGACGCTAGGATTTGATGAGAAGAGCTCACAAGCTCATGCGGGACGGATCGCCCCGCCGAGGCTGTGAAAGGGCGCTAGAACTCATTTGGAACGGAGCTATGCGCCTAACCAGTATTGTTTTGCCACATGCCAGCCACCTTCTGCAGTCATCTCACCTGGGCTTCTCCATAGATCGGCCTCGATTAACACCATAAATAGCGTTGATATCTATGAACTTTAAAGACTTCATAATTGGTCTTGCCGACACCGACGCATGCACCTCCTCGTTGCGTTGCTCATGGTCTCGCACCTGACGCATTGGATGCAAATTCGATGAAGCCTCTCTTTTGTAACAGTACTTCAAAGCTCGAGAGCTGGACTCATAGCGAGTGCAAGGCGCCGATTTAGGTAAAGAAATGCTGATAGAAAATGCACCTTGCGCCACGGCGCTAAGAACTTACCCCGATTTGCCAGCAATGTCTGAAAGAAACTGTTGCCTAATCAGTTGATTGGTAGATACATACCGGACGTGTTACATAGGGCTTATTTCCCCTCCTCGAAAGGTGGGGGCGTGAGACCAGGCTTCTGCCCAGTCCGAATATCTGTGCACTCCAACCATCCCAACAAGAGGTACAACCTCTGCTTAACTAGCCATACCAGGTATGAACACCGTCTACATAAATACTTATGCCCACAACTGGAGCTTGCCCATCTTTAAGCCTCAGGTCCTATCGACGATGGCGGAATTCGACGTGCACGCTGTGCCTTGTGGCTTCATCCATGCATCGACACGCCATCGTGCATGAAAGACACAGCCTCGCGCCCGTAAGCATGAGAGCATCTCTCCTGTTGACACATCGCCGCGAGGCTGAAAGAGCCTCTGCATAGTGTAAAAAATTCTTAATTTACTGCAAGATGAAGTAGCCTCGTCGTCCTCGGGTGGCATCGAAGAGTGTGAATACTTTGAGATGGCGCAAGACCAAGCATCCGTCCTGCCCTGTTACAATGAGTCCAAAACAAGGGTTGCTCACCCACCCAGTGCAACCCAAGTTGCATCCCAGGAGAACCGAGAGCAGCAACAAACGAACGAGACAGCATCGGGCCGCAGCTCATTGCCAGCCTCGACTCTCAACGCACCACCAGGTTACCCGAAACTAGCAGAGCTTATGAACATCCTCCCCGAGACCTCCATCTTCCGCCGCTTTGGAACGCTCAATTCCTTAAACCTGCTCTATCTACAAGCGGAGCTGACGGATATTGAGCACAAGCTCCGACAAGCTCAGGTTGCGGATCACAAAGCGGGAACAGGGTTTAAGAACCTTTATGCAAAGAACTGGTATTTCCTTGACGCTTCGGTTCAGGATGGTGATGACCAGCAATTACAGCTGGTCAATTTGGCATGCGAGAAGCTGGATAAGTACAGTAAGTGTCAGAACGAGGCTATTGCATTAGCCAAACATGCACGCAAACATCGGCTGGCGCGAGAACTGATTGACACTCTACTTCATAGACACAGCCCTTATTCAACAAGAGAAAATACTCTCGTTTAGTCCTCCTGGCAAATACGACATGGACTACATCCGCCGATATCTGGCTTCTGACGAGATCGGCGAGCCGTACCCGCTGACCGGCGATGACTCGGACACATGGGGAACAGTTCAGGAGCCGAAAACCCATGTCGATGACCTCATCGCCCTCAAGCCACGCCGGAATGAAGATGGATTCTCAAACTGGATTACAAGCAAGGGAATTATCAAAATATTTGCGCTTGGAGGTGCGCGCTTCGGCAAGCCATCTGCAAAGCACGGTGGACGGGTCAGCTTTGAGGACACGGCCTTGCTACGCATCACCTACAGTATCACTAGTATTCTTGCCTCTCTTATGCCCATCGCCTCCATCGCTGTTCTCTACGTGGTGCAGTCGATGAAGACACGATTGGTGCTGATTGCCGTCTTCAATGTGCTGGTCACTGTATGCCTTATAGCCTTTACTACAGCTAAAAGGGCTGAGGTCTTCGCTGTGGCGGCTGCTTTCTCAGCCATACAGGTGGTCTTCGTACAGGGTGGGAGTACGGTCGGTAATACAGCGTGAGGTAGTTGAGCTAAGTAAGGTACCTTTCTACGTAGTTACAAAGGCGTCGCCATCCAATTCCAAATGCGCCTTTTGTAAGATGCACAAAGAGAGCCTCGTATGAATGAATGTAAACAAGAAACAAGTCGAATCGGACGAAATGTGAAGAAATATGTAGCAGGGAAGCCTCAAAATCTCGTGCACATGAAACTCCGTTACCATCGTTGGTCTTGTAGACATCCCATGTTGCTCCAGATGGGGAGTGGGCGCATCACTTCCTAGAAGACTTGTTTCTGCTCTTGTCATCTCGCTTCGCCTTTTCCTGGCTGTGCTGGATTTTCTTCTGTTCCTTCTTCGCATCTTTGGACTTCTTCGCTGCATTGGGGTCTAGAGGTGCTGATGTCAGACAGGGCTTCTGCTTTACGGTCAAGGTGAAACTAACCTTTCGTCGGTTTTGGCCGTTGAGTAACCGCTACTGTATGAATACATGAGCCCCGGAGCCTCGCATCGTTCATTGTCTTCGAGCTGAAGATTGCATCGTAAGCGAGGTTTTCGACGACTAGGAAACGGCCGCCCAAGAATCTCTGCGGAAAGTGCAGCCCACTGTTGCAACGCGGCTCAGGGATACCTCGCCAACGAAGGTTCTCCACCACTCCGACGGCCATGATCGGACGCTGGTCAGCGGTATAGCATGCAGCCTGAGAATTTTTCCCAAAGACTTTGAAGCAAGCCCGCTTCCACCACGACAACCGTATCTGCTTCACATGGATCCACGGCTGGAATTGAATGCTGCACTGTGTTACGAATTCCAGAGATAGAATATTATCGAGATTGGCGCCGGTGTCGAAAAGTGCTCTTCCACTTACGAAAATCTCGTTTCCGTTGTTGGTGGTACTCGCGAATTCGACACGCCTTGTCCAGTCCTCCTGCACAAAAATATTTCAGCATTCTTGAAAAAGAAATTGGCAACGAAAGGAGCCTGGGTACCTCCTGAAAACCGCACTCCATGCAAGAGCGATGAAGCAGGGGTGCGCAAGCCTGTTGCGGTCCGGCGGCTTGTACGCGTGGTAGAACTAAAAAATCGACCTGCGACTCCTCTTCGGATTCATTCTGCCGGGCGGTGGCAGCGTTCGCCACCATACTACCTGGAATTTCGCATAATGCGCGGCCAATCTGGTGTCCACTTGATATGCGAGCCATTCATGCAACAATAATGTAGGCGAATGCGCTAATACGTATTGTCTGCCTGGCAGCGTTCCCCACAGGAGCTGTGAAATTGATTGAAAGTGCACACAAACGCCGACTGGGGTGTTGTCGAGGGGCTTTCGTGAGTCGACTTTGTGGAGTGTGGAGGTGGGCGAACGCGTCAAACCCAGCGACAGGCGCAGGAAACAGCACAGGACAATAAGTTGGTACTGCGGAGCAGAAATCGTAGGGAGTGCAACTTGGACCAGATTTGATTAGCTCCATAATCGTGCAAAATGAAAACAAACAATAGAACATTGTAGAGAAGGTTTTTAGGATCACTTTAGAAGGATACAAAGGCGCCAGCAAGATGGCACCGGAAATACACCGCTATTCGCGTAGAAATCGCACTACGAAGGGGGGGACGTACAGCAGATACAGCAACAAAAAAGCGTTGTAAACCGTAGTATAAATGGTAACGAAAGCAAGTAGTAGTTGCTCGAGCTCTTTTATAAACGCAGGCTCAGCCTTGCCGTCTGCGAGCTCCCAGCAGCTTTACAGTACTATGCCTAAGTATTTACGGGCCAATTCCGCCACCCTCACCCATTAACTTTGCAGTCCAGCAGCACCGCTAATTTTGCCTGGAATCTGGACCAGTTTTTTGTATATATAAGGAAAATGCATTAAGCTTATGTACACGTGTTTCATGGTGTTTAGTATTTAGTGTACCAGCCCTACGCAGCGATTACCGCATCTACCCGCCTATCTATACTACCTAACACCTGGTTAAATATCTCTTATAGAATAAGCTTCTATACGTTCTATAAGATGCGTCCTATCTTCTCTTTAATATTCTTCTTAGATCTAGTTATTTACTCGATGTCTAAATAAACTTTATAGACGTATTTTTTTAGATGCTACTAGAGGTACTTATAGGTAAATATAGCGGCTATTTAAGTACCAGTATAGCTAAATCTACGAACTACGCAGATAACTACAGATACCAAGATTCCGCGCTAATATAGTGAGAGCTCCATTCCTGAAATTCTGTTTGGAAAGATCTCCTTAAGAGGCGTGCGTTGTGGTGGCATTTTAGTGGGGTTTGTGTGGGAGGGTGGGAGACGCGACCGCGCGATTTTCGCGTTGCGGAAAAACCGCGGATACTGAGGGTACCTAGGCACTATAAATTAGTTGAATGGCGACAGAAGCTTGAGCGCCGCGGCGATGAGGGTTGGGCATGCTTGGCGACACGTTCACGTTATTTTAGGGCCTACGTAGTACGAAGGGCCATATTGGTGGACGCGCTCCCATTCGAGGACGACCGGCCGGGCCTCGCTGGTGAGATGTGCCCCGCACCGCACACTGCGGCGGCGGCAAATGGGAGGCACGGTGGGCTGCACAACGATCAGATTGCGCCTAGGGCGTCCTGGGGCGACGGGCGCGCGGACCGGAAAAATCTAGCTCCATATGCAGTTTCCATGAAGGGAGCACTGAGATATTGCCCGACGACTAGTCCCATTGTAATCTGAACCTGCCGCCCGAGCCGGAACTCCTCTTAGAAACTGGTCGGACTCGCCAACTAGATTGCAGAACCTATACCAAAAGGATATGTACTACACATAAACTTGGAGACTAGACTATTGTATTTAAGCCTACTAGGATTCAATGCGTCTTCTTTACTTCGACGTCAGCTTTCGCTGCTGCTATCAGTGCTCGCTACCATTGCCTGAACGGCAATATGATGACCCACATTTTCACGTTCAAGGGCTTTCGACTAGACTAAAAGTAACTGAACAGTCAGGCGAAGCGGCTGCCGCTGACACAAGGCAATTTGGACTCGCGGATGGTTCCGGAATAAGTCTCAACCATCTCATTCAAAGCATTCGCAGGCTATGATGAGTACGTCTGTGTAGACAACCTCAGCTTTCTCCTCTAATATTTCCCTTCACGCACCACCATCCACCTCAATAAAACCTCGGCTTAAACAACCTCTTCCCTCCCCTCCTCAGCAACCTCTTCTGCACCGCCCCCGTCCCATCCACCGGATCCGGCGCATTCAGCGTAGTATTATACGTCGCATCACTCGGCAACACCTCCATCTGCACCGTCGCGTTCCCCTCCCTATACTCACTGGTCGGCGTCCCCACCGTCACATACCCCGCGCCAACCACCTCCTTCCCCGTCGCGAGGTCCACGCCCTTTAACGCGCGCTCGAACATCTCGAGCGAGGCCAGCGGCTGGTAGAACGGCACCTCGTGCCCGCTCTCGTAGATGCGCACGAACGCAAACTTCGCCGCCTGCCGCACCTGCCCGTGGGCAACACCATCACTCGTCTCGATGTCGACGAAACCGGCGGTATCGTAGTCCTCCGCGGCGATGATGTCGGCAACCGCCTGGCCGCCGAGCCAGTTGCAGTTGTAGTCGGCGTCGCCGAAGTACAGCGTGACGCTGACGTTGCGAGCGAGCAGCGCGCGGACGTCTTCGATCGTGTTCATCCGCCTATCATCGTCGCCCGTCGACCCGAAGGCGGTGCTGACGGCGTTGTTGGATTCGGAGAAGTTGACGTACGCGCCGATGGCCTGCTGGACGGCGGGGGAGTTGAGGTAGTCGACGTAGAAGGAGTAAGGGAAAGGGTCCGGGGTCAGCTCGCGGAAGTCGTATTCGTCGCGGCCGGCGTAGATGTCGTACAGGTTCTCGACTTCCTGGTAACAGAAGTTGTCGGCGGCGCTGCAGACCTCGTTCAGGCCGGAGGTGTAGCACGCGACGGTCTGGTCGTAGCAGTTGCCCTCGCCGTAGAGGTTGTTGTACCACATGTCGGCGATGGTCGAGTTGAAGGGCTGGTAGTCGTACGTGTGGCCGGGGGAGATGGAGAAGTTGTAGTAAGCTTGGTATTGGGTGAGGGGGTCGAACCAGCCGTTGCCTATGAGCACGGATTGCAGGTCAATCTGAATGGCGTCGGTGATGTTCTTGCTGTTTTGCTGCTCGATGTACTCGCTGAAGACGGGCGCGTAGTGGCCACCGTAGCTCTCGGTCGTGAAGTGGAAGCCGTTTTGAGAGTACTCCGGGAAGGCGCCCATGAAGCCTTGCAGCGTCTTCCAGAAGTTGGGCGCTGCGTTGTCGGTCGAGTTGGCCGTCAGGGTCAGGTTCGGGTACGAGTACGTGCCGCAGTCCGAGGCGTAGTCGGGGCATGTGGCGTTCGGCAGCGTGATGATGTCGCCTTGCTCGGACGTGTACGCCGACACGGGGATCGAGTAGGAGAAGCCGACCTGCGTGGGCTGGTCGATGAAGAGCTGTTCAGGTGTAAGTACGCGGTGTAGATTGGGGGTTGTTTGAGATTATGCAGGGTCTTTCTGGGGCGGAGAACCCCTGATGTTGATCTTCGAGACTGACCATGTTGCTGACATTGCTCCACGAGTACGGGTTGTTGTAGACATTGCCGTCAATATCAACACCGCAGGGGCCAAGCTCCTGGAAAAGACCAATCATGGACGAGCTTCCAGGACCTGCATGGGAGTTGTCAGTTTCCGCTGTTTCGTTTATTGGTAGTAGTGAATTCCGTACCTCCGTTGATCCACACGGTCAAGGGAGCAGTCGTCGGGTCTTGATTGCGCGCCTCGAAGAACCACCTGCAACGCCAGAAATTTAGTCATTGAACTCCCCCTTCTCCACGAATTCCACTGCAAACACGTACCAGAAAATGTGCTGGTCCTCAGCCACGTCCGCATAACCCGAAAGACTCTTGACATTGGGATCCGTCTCGCAAATGCCCGTGGGAACCTATTTCAGCAGGTCAGAGACATATTATTGGCCGAGCTGGTGTTTCACAACGATATTTCGTCATCCGATTTTCTGCGGGTAATCCCAAAGCAGGGAGAAAGAGAGAAACAAAATCCACACGTACTTCCTTATACCGCACATTGACGCCAGCAGCGCCCTTCTTGAGCGTCAAGTTCGTCGGAGCAGTCACGAACTGCGCAGAAACAGCAGCGGGCAGCACGGCCGTAGCCGCGAGGGCGACAGCAGCAAGCATCGAGGGCATCGTCGCTAGAAGGCTTAAACAGGAGGGACGGCGCGACGAAGAAAGGGACGGAAGGCGACGGCACGGAAAAGCCCTGAAGAAGGCGCCATGATCGGGGGGCCTGGCGGTCTAATATATAAATACGGCGGAGACGGCGAGCGTCAATTACGGCGTACGTGCGCGTCAGTTAGCAGCGCCGGTGTGTCCGTCATGGTGGTCGGTTATTAGTCGATTGCGGGACGTGCGGCGATAAGCAGCTCCGGTGCGGAGTCAGGATTCAGGAACGGCGGGCTGTTGGTGCTAAACTCTATCAGGCAGGTCGTTGCAGCCCGTCGAAGCTTCGGCAAGGAAAGCTTGCCCCGCCAATCGCTGCGCTTGGTACCCGGCTAAGAAGCTGGGCGGAATGACGGCGCTTTCCTTCCTTCCCCCTTGCTTCGGCGGGACGCGCGTGTGGGTTTTGTTTTCTGCCTTTTCGAGTTACGAGTGCCGCTATCGTGGGCTGATGACGGTGTGCCCGCTGTTCAAAAGCCCGGCCCGGCCGAGCCCACAATCTGTGCGTGTGGGGCGAATGCGCGTGCGGCGCAGATCCGAGCATGTCCGTCATCGGGAATGCCCGCAGGTGCATGCATACAATGTCCAAGTGAAAAAATATTCAGAGTAAAAAGCTCGATTATAATGAGTACGAATTCATTATATCTTGGGATTGCGGCCTCTTGAACATCGAATATCTCATTGGCATCTTTTTTTGAAATTCTTGGAAACGTGCGAAGACTAGTATACATAGATGAAATACTCGCTGTGAATGTCTGTTTTCTCGTTTTCTGCCGAAGCGCCTCCCCACTCAATTGGCCCATCCCTCGGAATGCTTTCTCCGCTACTTCTCGTCCTGCGTTTGTGATTTTGGGCCATGATCCAAATAACGTAAGCGCAAAGACTTGCCAATTTGAACGCATTGGCTATTGTTACCCATCTATGCCATTGATCGATTGGAATTTGAAGCGTTAGAAGTGTGCGCGTCAGCCCTCCCAATGCACATCCGAAGCAAAACGTTGCAACAATGAAGAAGCTCCGTATCCCACCGCGTATGTTGGTCACCAAGAGTACGACAGCCCCTACCGCTTGGTCAGACATCCTTTTCATACTTCACAGCTATTTTGGACACTTACAAGTAATAGAAAGCTCCCCAACGGCCGGAAGTAAACTCACCGCCCATGCGAAAATGGCCGTACATTTCCTATCACGATCCAGTGTCTCGGCTGAATCTGGCCTGTAGCATACTGAAAGGTGCCACCATCCTGTCGTCTCCATGATCATACATGCAACCATGAGCACTGCTGAAACCCAGTTGAGAAGAACTTAGCGTGGCTTCTTCAGCCCATGGGATGAGAAACTTACTGACGCAACCAGGCTTCGTACAAAAATACACAATTACGCCGGCGAAAATATAGGCAATCAGTGGAGATGCCTGCGCAAATGCATCTGCAAACTTCCACTCGAGCAGTTCGTTGACTTCGCGTTTGCACGAAGCATCTGTAATGGCAAAGCCCAAGAAAAAGTATAGTTGGGGGTCGAGGAATGAGCTCCAGATCTTTTCCCATCAGCAATCGTTGTTCTCATGCAGAATGTAGGTCATACTTCAGACTTGTAGAGCCTCCATAACTCTTGGAACCTGCTCCAATTACTTGGATGTTCTTCTGTATTGAACGTCGCAATCTCTCTCTGGGAAAGAAACCACGGCGCTGGGCTGGACTTCATTCTGGCCATCCATGGCTCAACCATCAGTGACAGAGTCGCCAACAGGATTCCTGCAACCGAGATTGGCATGTTCCCTTTGTTTCCGCCCAAATGCAAGTTCATCTCGCCGATGAAGATTGCAACTGGTCCAGCTGTAGCCCAGATAATAGTGCGAAGTGGCTGTGTGAGCTTGCTGTAGCACATTTGCGTCAATAGTATCACCGCTGGCATCAGTGGCGAACTTGAGACGGCGCAGAGGAAGTAACAGACAGTCCGAGCCGAACTCTCTCCGCCTGAATAGAAGTTCAAGAGGGTGGCAAATAAGCCTGAGTGTCTTGTATGAGCTTTTACACTGGTTCATCTCTTGAAGTGGCTTACCGGTGAGGAACAGGCTGGTAGGTATAACTCTTGCAAACTCTTCCATCATGATCGCCATAGATGCCAGCCAGACACCAATTGCTCTTCCAATATAGAAGGCCAGGACTGCAGACTTCATATCTTGACGTTCATTAGACCATTCTCTGGTAAGCGCCCTATCTACTGGCATGTTCTGTTGTACGAACACACCCTCGAGTTGTCTATCCCAGAAGTAGCAAATCTGAATCTCCAGGTCAGTTTTCGCCTCCATCCACCACCATACGACCTGACTTACCCAAACAATGGTTAAAATACGATATTCAAACGGTTTGTTCAGTTTTGGGCTCTGAGGCTCGTCGACTCCTATTTCCTGAGTATGGAAAAATCCGGGTTTGGTGCTGCCATGTACTTTGAACGATTTTGTGCATGTTGAATGCGCACTATGACCTTTGTATGTAGTGGAATTTTCATAGCCTTCGCCCTCGATACGTATGCATGCTTCGTTTCCAATAACAGGGTATGGTACTTCGTGACTACTCGGAGCCATGTTCCACGTCCCTCGGGTTTGCACCGACAGAGAGTTCTGTTTGTAGAAGCCTGGAGGGGGGTGTTAGGAGTGCTATGAAAAGGCGCTGAGGCTGAGAGCGAAAATTTAAAGCTGAATATGAGCACAATGCTCTGCGTTTTCAATGGCACCAGCTGACTGCCATGTTCGCCAATGAGAAGTTGCTGCAGCCCACCGTCACACAGAGCTGAAATACTCCAGACAGCACCACATAAGGAAGAAGCAAGGAAAATACCTAATTATATCCTTTGACGTAGTACACTTATGCAATAAGTGAGATTCTCGCCCCAGCAGCTAAAGAGAAATATTGGTGTCGTATCATGTCAGCAATATGGGTGTCTTGACTTACCACCCCAAGACGGGTCTTAATTGGACTCACGCCAATGTCTCTTTTGGCCCCTGAGAACGCCTACTTGGTGGCAAGAGCAATGGGTAAAGATGACACCTTTCGTATATCAGCATGGTAGCCCCGAGCAGGTATATCGTTTCCCTTCAACTACTCCCTTTGTCTTAATTCATGCAGCAGATGAACCACCATGCGAATCCACTGGCACTCGCGAAATTTTCAACCGTTGGAAGATAGTTCACAGAAGAATTCCATTGAGCTAGAGGAATCAGAGAGGTCTGTCAACCGAAAGCTAGGCGTTCAAGGATCATGTTAGGAAACGTAGTGAATCGGAATTCGACTATGATTCTATGTACGAAAAGAAGCTGCTAAAGAGAAAGTAGTTCTAAAGAGAGAAGTGTTTAAATAACAGGATTCGCGTGCTAGATATAAACGAGTAAGCGTATTACGAGTCGTACGGCGGTTAGCCGTAATAGATCATTTGTTTAAGCCACCACTTTCTAGTTTCCGAGAACGAACCGTTGATTCAAAAACTTCCGAGACATCGAAAAGCTTGCCAAGACGCTTCCTTGGATCAGTCTTTCCCTTCACTCGATGGTACCAAACTTGGAAAGTTGTCATCTCAATCAACATTTTTCTTGCCCTCGCCATCCTGGCATTCAACATCGCGGTTCCAGTTTGGGTTGACACGAAGAACGAGAAACAAAAGCTATATAGCGGCGACTGTGATACGGCCGACAGAATCGCTCTCTACGCACATGCAGTGATCAACGTGTTCGGTACTGCTCTTTTCGCGGCGAGTAATCATGCCATGCAGATACTTGCTTCGCCAAGTCGATACGACATCGATTCTTCGCACAGGCAAAGACAGATTTTCTCCATCGGTACGCAGTCTCTGAAGAATTTAAAATCCGTCAATAAATTCCGAGCTATTCTCTGGATCATCCTCGCGGTTTCCTCGATCCCGCTACATATAACGTAAGTGGTATTTTGCGCCACTAAAGCCGGAGGCTCCCTATCTGACGGAACAGGTACAACTCTGTGATCTTTCCTACGACCGGAGCATACGCGTACAAAGTTGCTGTTGTAACACCCGACTTCTTAAATGGCGCTCGTTTCGATCTCGGGTCCATCAACAATCTGACCAGCTCTTCGTCTATCACGTCCAATTCCAGCAGCTTCACTGTCAATCACCTCACCTCCCATGTATTCGGTTCAAGGGTTCCTTCGGTAGAGCCGAGAGCTGCTGAGTTGCTGGAACTACTCCAATCCAAATATCTGAAACAGCAGCTAAAGAACATGACAATCGACGAATGCATTGAAGCATACCTGGTGAACCGGCAAATCACTCATCGCAACCTCATTGCAGTAAGCGATGACGCCCGATCAAGCACGAGCTCAGTCGTTTGGCTCGAACCGTCGAAACCCCTGAACGCGGCCACCAACTGGATCTGCCGATACCGAAAAGACGTCGTTAGCGGCTGGATGCTCAACGGCACGGATCCCGATTGCGCTCCCGAGTCTGCGTCAGTGCACCCGTGGGACTGGGCTGTGGGTGTATATGCGCAACCGCTACGAGACGGTAGCTTGGAGATTGGCAGACACCGGATCAGCCGCTGCTATGTGGAAGAGGTTGAATCGAGTTGCAGATTGTTTTACGAGCCGACGCTGTTCATCGTGGTCATTGTGGCCAATGCGATCAAGGCGGCTGCCATGATAGCGACACTCCTCCAATATAAGCGGCCAGCGCTGGTCACCATTGGCGATGCCCTTGCGTCATTCCTGGAGGAGGCAGATGAGACTACGCGCGGGTTGTGTCTCGCCACGGCGAATGAATTTGCCTCTGGGTCATGGGATGCTCGACCACGGATTTTCTCACGGGAACTGAAGACTATCAAACGGTCTACAGGAGCATCTCGGCAGCAGTGGATCACGACCATGGCGGCGTAAGTGAAACGTTCCCCGAGAGGATCCAAAGACTAATCAAGTTGGAAGGTTCGCGACTATCATGGTAGTTGGAACCATACTCTTTGCAAGTATTTACGACAAGTCCAACAGACTTCGTTGGTCCCTCTCTGGATCGGTCAGCAAAGAGTCCGTCAAGCTGGGAGTCGGCCTCGGTGCAGCTTCAGTTGTCATACTTGCAAATCTTCCTCAGGTTGTCCTATGGCTGAACCTTGTATTCCTCAACCGGCTCGTCACCTGCATGGCGGTTTCGAGAGAGTGGTCGCTAATGGCACATGCCAGAAAGGGGCTGCGAACATCTGCATCGCGTGGAGAACAGCGGTCAACATACTGGCTACAACTTCCCTTAAAGTTCGCCATCCCAATGCTTGCCGTCTCCACGGGTCTCCACTATCTTGCATCACAGGCCTTATTCTTCGGATCTCTCCGCATATATTCTCCATACGACGACGGCCAGCTGATCGAAGATTACACCGGACTCGGCTACGCACAGAACCCGGCGCACGTTCTCCTCATCACGCTGCTGCTCCTGAACTCCGCCATCATCCTTTGGGGAAAGTCTTACAATAAGCCGGGTATCCCACACGGAGGCTTCAACAGTGCGGTACTTTCCGCAGCTTGCCATCCTCCGGTTGGCGAGACTGACGTTCATCTCAAACCAGTACAGTGGGGCGTGGTAAGCCGACCGGGCGAGGAGGCTGGAGTCGGCCACTGCGCGTTTAGTAGTGAGGAGGTTTCATTGCCGGTTGAAGGGAAGAAGTATGCATAGACGAGTCACGTCAGGTCAAAAGAAGAAAGAGTCGGCGAGTATGACCTACTTCTGGGGTGCGCAAGTGGCATCTCACGTCTTCGTTTCTCGGATGGAGTTTCGGAAACGACGTGCACGGATGTATTGACAAAGATTATTCGTGTGGGGGATGCGTCAAGGAGCCGTGAAACAGCTGCCTTGCACCTGGAGGATTTTGTTTCACAAGATCATAGAACAGACCAATAAGCTGATCGCAATTTTATGCACAATACATCAACTGAGGTGGTATGCTTCTGACTTGTAGAACGTTCCAGGCCTCGCATGTTTATCAATAGTCTAGTGAATGCTCTTGCAGTAGCCCTGGGTGCCCTTTAGCCCACAGTAGTAATCGAACTCGTCGCCGCCCATATGAAATCCCACTGAGAAGCATGCAGGAACATCGACCTGCGCATCGAAGTCCTGCGTATCCATCTGACCTGTTCACAGGATTAACCACAGCTTCCAGGCTATAGAAAGTATTTACTTACAATCAGGACAGCTATCCCACTGCTTGGTTCCAGTGTGCCTGTTCCTGTAGCGGGCGCACGCGAACTTCGTGATATCGGTTTGGAAATCCCACTATATGCCTGAGTCAGACGGAACGATCGACAGGGGCTACTGCGGGAGACGTACGTAAGGATCTTCAACCGTATCGCCTTTATGGCGAATGCCGCATCCGCAGAAGTTGTGAAGATCAGCCAGCGCAACGCCTGCGCAGAACCTGCAGTGAATGTTCAGTGGACATGAATTTGCTACGGGATGTGGGGAAAAGGTACACTGCGATTGTGCCGAAGATGTTGGAGAACCTCATGTTTGACAAATAGATCCGTAACGAATGAATAAAGATGAGAATGGACCCTGAGGAGGCTGTTGATGAGGGTTGAAAATGATGCGATTGAGTGAGAAGCCGGGGAGCCGCAAGCCGCATATATACCGTCTTATCGCAGTTCGAATGAGCATGACCACAACTAGTTGCTTGTGGCTGCTTTGCGCTTCGAACATTATGTCATTTCTTGACGCCGACCATCTGTCACTCGTATCGCGAGTAATGCAATCGTTGTGTGTCCTTTCCTTTCCAATGGTGGAAAATCTGGACGATGCAGCCGGCTCTCCCGGAAAATGCTCCATAATCCGCACACAGACATCACTGCATGTATCGGAGTTCGGATTATGTGAAAGCCGAGCGGCTCTTCGGGTTGGTGGCATCATCATGGCGATACGAGGGGATCAGGCAGCCAGCCTCTCGGTTTCGATGTCGCGCACAGAACGTGGTGTTGAATCGGTCGGCCCGGGCGATTCGGCTCGCAACCCCCGTCATTGGGCCATGTATAGCGGTGATATTACAAGGCTTGTAGCTAGTGCTTAGCTTCGCTTGGTCACGTTTGGCAATGCTTTTGGAAGCTTAATTTGCGCAAGAGTTGCCGGTTTCAGATTGACGGCGGCCCGTGCTGCTGTCCGCACTTGTCAAGTAGTGGCTTTACACCTGTCAGGCGGTGGAGACAACACGAACACCGGTCGAGATCAACAGCGTCATGCGAGAATGCGACAATACGGAATACGGAATCGCTGTTGCTGTGGCGAATTCATCTCCGGAAATGCCGGAACAACATCACGAGTCGTCCAGTTCGACTGCAGCAGTTGTATCCAGAAATGTTCGTGGAGAATTACTATAAGTACAGTCATATTCATGTCGAACAAGAAGGCCAACAGAATAATCCATTCATTCAATCACCGGTCGCTCTCTCGAACGTACTCTCTTTTGATTCTCAATATGCGTTTCACCTCCGTCGCCATTGCCGCCCTCGCGGTCGCTGTCAACGCCAGCCCTGTGCCACTCAACACCGAGGGAGCCTCGAACGTGCAGTACGGCCAAGCCATCGGCGAGGCTGTCGAAGGTGCCATCGCTGCCGTCAACGGCATCAAGAACTGGAACAAGGTCAGCTGGCACAATGATCGCCTTCCTCAGAGGCTGCTCTAACACCTGTAATAGAAGCGTGAGGCCTTCGTCAAGGCACTCACTCAGTCCATGTGGGACCACAACCCGGACCCGAGCGAGGCTGTTGCTGCTATCTGCTATAACGACGGTTACGCCCTAAGGGTCCCGACGGGAATGCTCGGCTTGAGAAGCGAGTCCGTTTCTTCGGGACCGCTGCACACGAGGTGAGTGGAAACATCAATTCGACATTGGAGAGGAAAGACTAACGCACGGAACCTTTCAGCTACGACTGCTTCTACATGAAGGGCAACAATGCTTTCTGGTCTCAGGGCGATGGCGGAAGCGTCAACGTAAGTACTTTCAATCTGCAATATCATAAGCATTGCATGTGCATCTGCTGATTCGATACTCTTAGCTCTGGACCGTCTACAACGGCAACCGCTGCTCGTTTGATCATTCTACTTCGGATCTCACTTGCAACTAAGATCAATCGTTGTTGGAACGACTTGGAACCATCCCTCGCAAATGCAAACACTAAGTTTATCAGCACAACGCCGTACAAGTATTTCATGTAGATACGTCTAATTTAATCCTTTCACTAATATGTTAATTGATCATTAGGATCAACGTGAATACCAAATTATACGCTTCCCCACCCTCTATATGGGATGTGATTCCAACCTTCCACTACCAGACATATTGATAGAGTTTTGAGAGTTATAGCAACAGTAAAAGGAATAACTCAAGTATTCGATCTTGAAGTATAGACAATGATAGAAGCAGGTGGATTGTGACTCTAAATTCTCTCGGTCGACATGAAAGTCAACCAAAGTTTGAGCTGAGATTCATTGAGCCCAAAGCCCGTCATAATAGTACCATCTATCCAGTTCTCGATGTCCCAATCATTTACGATGCCTGTTGCTCCCCTCACGCTGTGGACCTCTTCCAGGAAACGTTTGGAAAGTCGCTCCCTTTCCTGCATCCAGTATCCATGGTCGTAAGTCGGTATAACTCTCGTCAAGTAGCTTTCTGCGTCCTCCATACTAGCCATATACTTCTCAACACAACGTTCTAGGCTGACCTGTTCACCTTCATCACGACGGCCTGGCTTTTTCAGTCGTTCTCCCTCAATCATCTCCATCATCACGCATCTCCGTGCGAGGATGCTGACTAGTCGACTGTCCCAACTGCCGGCGTTCATCGACGGGTCGGCCAAACAGCGTCGATCCAGCTGGGAGCCTAAATCACTTTCCTCCTCCCGAATTTCCTCCCAATCACCGCTCCAATATTCCAGTTCCATGCTGGTCGGGATGGGAGTGAAGTCTCCAGCGTCCCGCCAGTCCCGGAAAGCCTTGGAGTATTTTGACGCGCAGCAGGTGTGTGTGATGCCGATCTCATCGGCGTTTTGGAGGCGACCGATTTCGTCGACTAGCAGATCAAAGATCCCGCTCTTCCCACAACCCTGAAGCACGACGAAAAGTTCGAGGATCCAAACGTGGACCGTATGGCGGTCTGCTTCGAGGAATAGCGCAGGGATGAAAGACCGTAGCGGTGAACAGCCGCCGGGAGAGCAGTAGCAACGACACTTGTCTTGCTGTAGGAGATCGCCACCGGCTTCTATCAGAACAGCCACGGCTTCCATCAGTGCTTTGAGCTTCTCCGCATGGAATGCCAAAGGGCGGCGCTCCCAGGGCCCGGAAAATGTAATAGCGCAGTCCGGCTGGCGTAAGAAGGTTCTGGCGAAGTTGTAGTGCAGAGCATTTCGGTCCCAATGGTCGGTGGAATTGACTCGCGCGCCCCGCCTCAATGCTTCCTGAGTGAGTGCCGGGTCCAGGAACCGGGAATACACCATAAGAGGCGTCTCTCCATGATGATCCGCTGATGAATTGATGTCAAAACCATCGTAGCTCATCAAGACCCGGGCGTGTCCAGGCGTCATCGCGATGTGCAGGGGAGTCACCCCTCTCCTTCTGAACTCGTACGGATGGGATTCGGACAGTTTGTGAATTTCAGCAACAAGAGCCCTTGCTGCTGTCAAATTCCATGGACCCCAGACGGCCTTAGTGAAGATGAGGGGCTCGAGGAGATCGGATTGTAAACGTGTTGGTGCAAATTTGCGAGCATAGTGCTCCAGTAGTCTGATAAACGCTTCTTCGTTGCATGCTCCCGCTGCATGGGCCCAACATTCTGACACAATCGGCCCGGCCCTGAGCTGGGAGAAATATGCAGATTCGGGCTCGATCCTGGGGAGTGATGCGCCCGCATCGACGAGGATATCGATTGACTTGGTGCATCCATAGAACAATGCGAATAACAACGGACTGATTCCATGCTTGTCTGCAGAGTCGACCGCGTCTCTGTACCCGTTCTCAAGAAGGAATTTCAGGATGCGGGGCCATTGGATAGCAAGGTGGAGCACTGTGTGGCCTAGAAAGTTTTGAGTGAGGTCTGGGTGGCGTTGCGCCTTGACCAGTCTTTTCACCTCGTCCATTGCATTCGAGGCCACGGCTGCATGTAAAGGTTGGAACTGCCCAATATCTTGATCCATCGTCAGCCCAAGGTACTGAGTTAAGTGAGTATTTCCATACCTATTTGAGCAATGCAGATTTCTGTGTACGCCCTTATCCGGAAAAGATCAGATGTGTAAGGATTGCCGAAAGGGGTCATAGAATACCACCACACGTCTATATAATCAATGGGTGGGAGAGCTTTCATCAGATCCAAATCGGGCCCTCTTAAGTACGGCCAGAGGGCGTCCATACTAATGGTCATGGAATACTGTAGTTTCCAGGTAACTCCTTCTTGTGTAAGGAACCGTGCAAGGTTGGCACTTTTTTGGCCCACCGACCTTTTTGTGCAAAGTAACTACATCACAGTAAGCTGATATGTATAAGTCCGATCAAAGTCTCAACAAACCTCTAAGTATCCATGACCATTTTCAGTAGTGTCATTGAAGTCGATGATGCCAGAGTCGCGCAAGGTACGTAAACCAGCCCTAGCCTCTTCAAATGTGATGCCGTCCCGGGAAATGCACTTCCTAATAAGCTCGAATCCCGGGCTGTCGTCGCGGACCACGTTTTTGGATTTTATGGAGAAAGCAACAGACAAGCCATTTGACCAGCTTGCTGCGAGGCTGACTTGAAACAGCTTTTGCAGTAGAATTGTGCGCAGTTCGTACTGGATACCCTGGCAGCGGCACCTGGATATCCCAGCAGAATATCCCGTGAACCCGTCTGCATGGGGTTGAAGATGGCAGAAACAGCGACAGTCGTTGAAGGCACAAGCAGTACCCACGGCCATGTGCTGGCGATGCAGAGCTGACGATGGATCCTGCGCGGAGCGAGACGAGAAGGTGTCTCCGCTTATGGATACTTTCTGCATCTGAAGTGCCGTCCTCTGTTCCTCGAGAAGAAATATAGCCTTGCGGGTATTTTGCTCCGCTTTGCTGCTGAGGTGGAATAAAATCGTGTTCTGATACTCTTGCAATTCTTCAAGAACTGCGCGAACACGATGATCCTTGAGAAGAGCACGCACAGCATGCCTCGTTTTCTTCCATGCCGACGCGTTCGGTTCTGGGAGAAGAGACGTCAAGAGGCTATCCAACTCCTCGATGGTATCCTTGCATCCTTGAAGAACATCCCGAAGCAGCTGTTCTTCTTCATCGAAGATGACACCGGTACTGGTTATCTTGTCGAGGGATTTGATGTTGGAAGAAAAAAGCTGTAACCGAGACCGGAGTGAGACAAAAGCCGCGCTGCCTCGAAACTCTTTGATGCGATCGATGAGTTTGTTGCAAGCGTCGACGACTGCGATGACGGAGGCGCCGATGCTGAGAACCGCAACGACTTCCGCACCGGACATGATGAGCCGAACGAACGAAGTGAGGGGAAAGATGAGAAGGCGGCGAGGCGAGGCTGGTGCGAAAAATGCCAAGAAGCGTTGCGGGGCAGTGCAAGGCTGAGCCCAGGCAGCAGGCGGCTGCATCGCCTGAGAATTTTCGCCAATAAGTCACAGAACCAGCACCGGACCACTCTTGGTAACAGTTCAATTGTGGACTATCAAAACCATCCTGCGCGTGAATTTGAAGTATATAACAGCATGTACCCCGCGAACAAAGCCCAAAGATACCGACTACACAGTGCAATGGCTATAACACGACGGGCACGCCGCCACCGTACCCTCGGCCCCGGACCTTCGGTCTCACCCTCAGGGACTGGGCCGTCGGGACCATCGCCTCTCTCCGTTAGGGCAAGAGGATAAAAGTCTGAGATGAAAGCCTTCGCGACGCATGCTGCAACACCAGCTGCATAATCCTGCCACTCCTTGTTCTTGTGGGAGTCGCCATAATCCACAGCGGCTTTGATGACCAAGGCGCCTTTCAGATGTATGATTCCAAACGCCTCCGTGTCCACCCCCATGATCCCGCGTTTTCCAAGTTCATCTCGCGACGCATTCCCTCGCATGATGATGTCCTCTGAGCCGATGCCGCCTGTGAAAATGTCGAATTCCTGACGCTCTCGCAGAGTCGCGCACGCTTTCTGGCAGCCCAGTGAATCGCACAACAATTCCTTCACTGCGTCGCATTGGGCTCCCGTCGCAGGGTTGCAACCGCAGCTTTGTGTATCGCCGGCTCCTGAGCGGTGAACATGAGTATAGCTGAGCGGAAAAAGCAAATCCGGCGCATTCGGGTACGTATAGGAACTGTTTCGGTGCTGCAAGTCGACCAAATTCTGCGATGATTTCCCAAGGAAACCATCGAAGATTTCCTCGTTCTCCAACAAATGGAGAATTTCTTTCAGTTTAGGCTGGACGTCCGTGCGGATGTACGAATTGTCGGACGTCTTGAAACCACCCGGATCCATTCGAGCATCGAAAGCGTACCGCTCAACCCAGCTGCTGATGATGACGTCCCCCAGTCGGATGTCATTTTCGGGAGTCGGTACGCCTGCGCAGATGCCCACCAGCAGGGTGAGTTGGAGATTGGGAAACTTCAACGCCAGTCTCTCTCCAGCCACCGTAGCATCCGTTCCTCCAAAATTTGAGAGCAGAACCAATACCACCTGGCGGCCAGCCAAGGTTCCGCCCACAAAAAGATGTATGTCCTCGTCTGCCTGCGGGAAAAAATCGACTTTGGAGTCAAGGACCCTTATCATGGCGTCCAATTCGCGAGGCAGTGCGCAGATAAATGCAATTGTGACGTCTTCGGGTTTCAAGGACGGCGCCGGGGCGAGCTCCTTCGTTGCATCTTGCCGAGGGACGGCAACTTTTGTTTTTGGGGCCGGTTGCTCTTGATTGCTGATAACCTGCGTGGAACTGCACGAAGGAAAATTGTCAGACTGTTGTGAACGACAAAACAGCCCCACAGACTCACGTCTTTCCCCTTTGGACGTCCTTACCTCCAGAACCGCTCAGAGGGCCAGGAGCCATCTTCAGAGACAATAGGTTGCAAGAGAGGTTCGTCCGTAAAAATAATAGATAAAAATTGTGAGATCGCTTTTTCGTAAGTGGTCATGCAAATTGAACACAATGAACTGTTTGGACTGGGACTGGACGTACGCGTTGATTTAAATGCTAGATGGTGAAAAGAATCTGTCCCAGTTGCTATGTAATTTTAGATGCGTCATTTTCGACGCGCCCCGAAGAATACTGAGTTGCTGAAATGGGATGTGGCACAGCAAGTCTGAAGCGCTTCGGCCTTGCTGTGCCGCACGTGTTGACGACTACTGTTAGAAACACGCAGTCAAGGAGTGAAGCAAATCCACTTACCACCAATCAAGAAAGCCTCAGCAAGGATTAATTCCATCGTAGGAGTAGAAAATTGTCACAGACACGCGCTCGGGGTCCGGGTGCGCGGTTCTGTAGCCGCCGAACGCCCGCGCTTGCAACCCCTGCTCATCCCACGCAGCGACCGGGGAGATCGTAGCCAATCACGACATAGCTCCGCGCTACTACTCTAATGATCATCATACGCCTCGCTCTATGTAGTTCTGCGTTATCGGCGGCAGGCGCTGGTGCTCTCCCGGAGCTCCGCCGGCGGCTCATGTCTGAGAGATGAAAATATTCATGCGATACGCCCGGGAGCATTTCGTCATCATTTAGCCCTGTTCTTTCTCTAGATATACGGCAATGATTCAACTATTCGGTCATTTGTTTGCCGAAGTATCCTGCACGTCCACCCAAGATTCACCAGATGTGCAATCACTCAATGCATCGCCATAGACAAAGTATACAATATGAGCACCTGCAGCCCGAGCCCCAGACGCACTTCGCTTTCAAGAATGATACAAGGCTCTGACGCAGTGCTTACTATTCATGTCTTTATTTTGTGACTCGGATCACCAACACAAAGCCCTTCATACCTTGACAACCACTTTCCATCTGAAAGCTTTGGTCGAATGATAAGGCGGCATACGTAATATCACATCTCTCAACCTTTTCATACCCAGATTATGAAGATTCCAAAAGCGCACCTGTAACATGGGTAAGGCTTGCCGATGAAGGTTTTGATCAATGCATGAATTTAACCATTCAGTCCCTCTCTCTACAGTTCTCGCGCACACATCTTCTTTGAAAACAAGCCATTTCCCAATCAACCAATCAATCAGCTTGAGCTTTTATGACATTTTCAGCAGATTCAGATGCCACATACCACCAGCCTCGGCTACCATAAATCCCACAAGGTATATGAAATACCTGAAGGTTGTTTCGGCGTCAACTCAACCTCACCCGATTCCGTCTCTTCAGCCTCTTCCGCCTTCTCTACCTCTTCCTCTTCTGCTGTCGCCTCTTCTACTTCTGGCCAAACCACATCTTCAAAATCCACCAACCCCGTCGCCATGATCCATATACGATCAAGCCAGTCAAATTCTGAGATTAGATCGTCCCTCACTGGTAAAGGTGAAATCCAAAGTTCGATTCCCTCCAATTCGCAAATGTTTTTCTTCTTAATCTCCCAATCATCAGCTTTGATATTCTTTACATGAAATGCCACATGAAGTGCCAAGTTCCATATTGTGTAAAGACATTTTAATCCCGAGGAGACGACCACGTCTGAAGGCGTCTTGCCAAGGTTGTTCTGAGCATTTACATCGGCTCCAAGATCCAGGAGGTAATAAGTGAGCAAGAAAAGTCTAAATTGATCATAATAGAAAGGCGTATACCAGGGCCAAATCAAGTGTAAGCATGTGTCGCCAAACTGATTGCGCTCATGGAGTGTGGATCCTGGTGCAATGAGACTATCGATGATCTTTTGCACAATTTTGCTCTTATCAGTCACAAAGCGACAACCCTCGAGTAGCATTGTGTGGCCAATACGGTCGCGGGATTTGATGTCGACATATTCACGGCCATACCGGAGGATTCGATAAGTCATATGGTCTGAATACGGCCAACCCTTTCGTATATTAGCAAGCAATGTACTATCATGAATGATCCTCACTCACGGCAATGGGTACGCTCAGGGACAATAATGAAAAGTCATCCCCAATGGTGGGGTCTGCACCAGCTTCAAGCAGATACGTGAAGATGCTCGAGTCCTCATATTCCGGTTGGTCCCCGATCGAAAAGTGGTGCCTTAGAAGCGGCCTATGCAATCATGAGTTTAGTCTTGAATAAGGTGTCGGAAATGTTCCCTACATGGGCAGTTTGAATTGACCATTAAGATCAGGCTCGATGCAATCGATATCTGCTCCGTTCTGAATCAAATACTTGCATATCTCTAGTTGAGAATAGTGATTTGCGTACTACTTCACGTTAGTTGTGCTGTACGTGCACACAGGATTGACATGGACTCACATTGATGAGAGAGCAGCCTCGCGAATCGCAGTCCCACAAGGAAGCTTGGCCGTTCTGAAGAAGTCTCATGAAGCCTTCAAAGTCGCTGTCTTTGATCGTCTGGAATACTGGTGAGGAATCAGGGACCGTTCTGCGCGCCACGATCACAGGGTCGATGAAGCTGGATCCGCCAAACCCCCGGGTTTGCTGGAGATAGATGGATAAGTAAGGGCTCCTGTCCGGCGCTCCTTGGAGCTTGGGCTGTACGTCTATCCTCACGGTAAACTCATCGCACGTCGAGTTCCCTGACCTACTCGGTAGCAGTCTGCGTTTCCATGCGTAAACGCGCACCTGGGCATGAGCAATATCAAACTCGTCTGTGATCTTGGACAAAATTGTAGGTGTGGATCCACGGGAAACTTCTCGGCGAATAGCTATGACATATCAACTGCGGGTTCTGGCAAATTGGAAATGACAACGATTCGTACCATATGGCTGGTTAACGCCCACATATTCTGACGCGCTTAGAATCTTTCGGACAGCCGCGAGAGCATCATGGTGACGGGAATTATCTCCGTGGTTGGTATTGTGTCCCCTGGTTTCTTCTTCTCTATCGATGATGTGGGGCGAATCCCGGAGCGGCGGCAGCGCCTGAAGAACGTTTCCGATGTTGTCAAGGACACATTGGGCATCAGGTCCATCGAGGGTTACTCGCTCATGCTTGCCGAGGAAACCGAGCTGAGCTACACTTCTGAATATCCGGTCCGGGTTCCTAGCATCGGTTTGTGCAGAGAGACGTTGAAGCTGGGTGGCAAGTTCTGGGATCAAGGATGGAGGAAGGACACATTGCTGGAAGTAACCCTGATTAGCGACAGCTCCGGACCCCAGCACAGTGGTTCCAAAGTTTTGCCGGATCATGTGAGATAGGTCGTCCATTTCGTAGCTGAGGAGATGTTCTCTGGGTGAGCGTAGATGCACGGGGGTGGGTGACTGGGTCAGCGCCTTTGGGCTATGAGGGACAAACTGCAACTCCACGCAAAATAAACCTGTGGTCCATGTGGCTTGCCAAGGAGCAGTAATAATGTGGCTTGACGGGGGCCGGATGTACAGCTGCGGTGATTCGTCAAGGCGGGTTTGATGATACGAAGGCTGCTGCAGAGCTCAGCTCGAGCTCAGCCTGGCGACTCCGCTCAGCTTCATAGCCTCGAAGCCGCCCGCGTCAACCAAGGCCACAAGCTGTTTCATCCACAATGTCGGACCCGCTCAGCATCACTTCCGGCATACTCGCCGCCATTGGGGCGGCTAAGAAGCTCTACGACTTCGTCGAACGCATCAAGGAAGCACCAGATGTTTTAGAAAGAACCAAATCCGACCTTCTTCTGACGGTCAAAACCCTCGAAGCCTTGCGCAAGTATGCCGATGGACGTCCTCAAGAAAGTGTGTTGCAAGAGTCTGTCCTACGACCTGTTCTCGACAGATGCACGCAAACATGCGAGGCTCTACAGACCCTGCTCAACAGCCTCGTTCGACACTCCGACCACGACAGCCTCCGGGACCGGGCGAGGCTGGCTCAGAGTAAAGGTGAAATAGAAGAACGCAGGAAGGATATCAGTTATGCCCGGGAGAGCGTCGCCATTGCCGTTAGCAGCTTGACGCTGTAAGTTTCCCTCGACCCATCCTGGATGGGAAGAGACAGCGCTGACTGTTTCACCAGGATTACCTCCTCTAATAGCCAAGATGCCATCAACACCTTCAAAGACAAGGCCAGCAAGACCATGGGCGATATCAGCGAAGACATTCGAAAAATCGAGATCACAGTCGAGGTCATCGGCAGTGGCATGGATGAACTGAAGAAGAAATTGGACGGCCGCAAATCAGCGCTCGCGGACTTCCAGAAGCTCTGCGAGGCAAGCGTGGCTTCCGTGCAGAAGGAAGCTCGGTACAAATCCAAGTTCGGGGACGTGAAAACTGCGGAAAGCGCCACGGTCTTCGCGGGAGTCGCAACAAGAGAACTCGGAGGCGGGGTTGACCAGACGTTTGGGAACAGCAACATCGGGGCCCAAGGCGTGGTTTTCATGGGCGCTGGTGATACTGAAGCAATGCTGGGATTCTTCGGACAGGCCAGCAATCAACCCATTGCGCATGTTGCGAATGGTTGGCGCGAAGCAACAAGTGCGGCCAACCACCAGCCGGGGATTCGTCAGGTTCCGTTACTCGAACGTCATTCTCGGAGCATGATGGACAGTCCTTTTGGGTTCCCAAGGAACAGTGGGTCAAGGGAATTCGTAGAAGTCCATGGTGAAGAGGATGATGACAGGCAGAAAGAGTACGTCTACGGAAGAACTTAGTGGGATGCAGCTGTGGATTCAGAGAAAATGATCGACAGCATCGGCTCGGATTCGACCAGAGGTCAATCTCTTACCCGTGCATTTGACAAGTTCGTGACCTTTGTAGCCTTTCTACTACGCGGATAGCACCACATCAAATGATTTTAACGATGCATAGCTAGCAGATGTCTTACCGGTGTGGCTTACGACTTACGGTGCCATGGCCTCATCTTGACACGTGTAGGTGTGTAGGTAGCCGCTCCGGTGGGGCGCAAACCACAAGCACCGCCGACAAGAACGCAGCATAGATGTCGATTCATCAAAGCAGCGAATCATATTTGGATGGATCTATCTCGCTCATTAGCGAGCCCCCTATCCGATGAGCAAGCACTGCCTCGTTTCTCCACAAGCTGACCGCAATCGAGAAGCTCTGAGCAGCTCAGCCTTGCTGCCTCCGACGATCACGCGCATTAGGCGAATGATCGTCACAAACACGACTTTTACTTAACCCAGCCTCGCGGTCGCACTTTTCAACATTCCCACCAGCTCTGGTACATTGAGCACCCTGTCCTTGCTCCGTTCTTTATAATATTGATCCAAGGTTTTACGACGGAGTATACAAAAGAGCTAAGCCATGGTTCTAGAGGGCTTGGCAGCCCTCGGGCTGGCTAGTAACATTCTTCAGCTCATTGACTTCTCCTATAAGCTCGTTTCGGGTGCCAAAGAAATCAGCAACTCCCCGTCTGGAGTGTCCGCGCAACACGAAACATTCGAGACCGTGTCGCAAAGTCTAGTTCAGCTCGTCAACAATCTCGATGGACCATCATCATCTCAGATACCACAGGAGACTCGAAGGCTCGCAGATGAAACAAAAGACCTCGCGCAGTCTTTCATTGCGAAACTGGACGAGTTGAAGCCGAAAGGACCAAAGAGACCATGGTCAGGGCTTATTCAGGCCATGAAAGAGGCAAACCAAAGCGACAAGCTTTTAGCGCTCAACAAGAGGCTGAATATGTTGCAGAGGTCGCTCAACAGTCATCTCTTGGACTTGATGAGTATGATATCTTTGACTCAATGGGATGCCTAAGCTAACGATGCCCAGGGCAACAGTTGGTTCAAGTCAACGAGATGGTCATGGAAGACCGGAGACTTCATTTGAAAACCACAGCACAGGTTGAACGGCTGCGAAATGATATTATGGCGGAGCTTGGAAACCTCGCAGGCCAAGGCCAACTTAGCGATGTAAACGTTGCGGAACATCTGAAAACCCTTGAGAATCCCGCGGCTCTTGGTATTGAGAACACGAAGAGGGGGAAGAAAAAGTCCAAAACAAGGAAATCCGGGGACAAGCAAGAAGGCAAGAATCGAATTGGTCAGAAAGATGTCAATCTCCTATCGAACATGTTCGTCAAGCTTTCTGATAGCATGAGACTCCTCCCAACAGCAGCAAGCATTGCCTGGCCGCGATACTCTCTCCTCAAGAGTCTTTGGTATCATGGGATGCGAGATCGACAGCATACTGTTCCCCTGGCGCATAGCAAGACACTTAACTGGATCTTCGATGGGTCTGTACCGGAAAGTTACCAAGGTCCAAGACCTAGGTTTGTCGAGTGGCTTGAGCATGAGGATAGCATCTTCTGGGTCCACGGCAAACCAGGATCAGGAAAGTCCACATTGATGAAGTTTTTCGCCAATCACCCGACGACGAAACAACTTCTGGGAAAGTGGGCCGCCCACGACAGGAAGCGACTGGTCTTTGCCAGCCATTTTTTCTGGATTGCCGGAGGCACACTCCAAAGGTCGCAAAAAGGGTTGCTTCGAACTCTTTTGTTCAGCCTCCTCCGTGACTGCCCAGATTTGGTTCCTTGCGTATACCCAGACCACGAAACAACACACTATCCAGCTGACTACGAAGAGTGGAGTTTCCAAGAACTCAACGAAGCCTTTAGAAAGCTGAAGTCTCAAACTGAGGTCCGAATTTGTCTTTTCATCGACGGTCTGGACGAGTATGACCCAGACACGCACGAGGGCTCCTATGAAGACCTGGTCAAAACTTTAGTGGACATCAGCGAGTCTCCAGATATCAAGATCTGCGTTTCAAGCCGGTCATGGTATGTTTTCAAGGATGCATTCAGCAAAGGTGAAGACGGGGAGGTCTCAAAATGGGCAGTCGCCTTGGAGGACCTTAATCGTCCAGACATCGAGGCCTACGTTAACAGCTCATTTGCCGACAATGCACGATTCAGGGATCTTTCGACTAGAGATCCGAGATACTCTGCTCTTCTTCATCAGGTTGTCCAAAGGTCGCAAGGCGTCTTCCTTTGGGTCTTCCTTGTCGTTCGATCTTTACTCAAGGGCATGATATTTGCGGACCGTGTTTCGGACCTACAAAAGAGATTGGATAGGATCCCTGATGACCTCAACGATTACTTTGAACAGATTCTGAACTCTGTCGACGACTTCTATCTCGAAGAAACCGCGAAAGTGTTCAAGATCATGCTGCAAACCCAAGGCGCTATTCGACTACTGGCATTCTCATTCTTATTCGAGGAAGACGATGAGTACGCCTTTAAAATTCAGGGGCGGTGGCCCATGGATAACCAGGAAGTGTCTCGCCGTTGCGACGAAACGAGGCGCCGGCTCGATGGCCGTTGCAGAGGTCTTGTGGAAGTAGACATGACACCGAATGGTTCTGCCTACCATTGCAAGGTTCAATTCCTCCACAGAACAGTGCGAGACTTTCTTGAGAACAAGGTCATGGAGAGACTGTTCAGCAGGCTCGACCCACAGTTTGACGTTGATGTCTCTGCAGCAAGATCATACCTAGCTCTCATCAAAAGTGCTCCCGCAATAACCGGGCTGCCTAGCGTGACAGGAGATGAGTACTCCACACTTTTTTTCCACTGTCAGAAATATGAGCAGCGCACAAGTAAAGTGCTCGTGGACGTTCTCGACGAAGCTATGGCGGTAGAAAGTACTTACGGGTCCAGCAGTTCATTCCTCACATACGCGGCTACGAATCAACTTTGGCTCTACTTGCTGCGGTGTGTTGAGATAGGGCCTGGATTGCACGAGGACAACAGATGTTGTCTCCTCTCTCTGGCTGTGAAGAACTGGTACCATGAGGCGGAGACCTCAGAAGTGCAAATCTCCCGCAAGAACTTCATCATATGTCTGCTTCAAAAGGGGATCAACCCTAACAAGCGGTTTCGAATCCCAATGACTCAGACTGTTGATCACGCCACGCCTTGGGAATATTTTCTGGGAGTTTTACAAGACCGACGCATCTCAGAAGCTACCAACAAGAACGACGTATTCGAAATAACCAAATCTTTTATCGCCCACGGAGCTCACTCTTCTACGGGAGACGAAGCAAAGATCATTCTCGAAGCGGAGCATGCTCTGCCCATCGAACAGCGAAAGGAATTAGTGGAGCTTCTGAAGTCACGCCGATTGATCCCAATCAAGGGCGACTCCAAAAGAGTGCGGAAGTTGATACGTAAGGTTTTGAAAAAGTTGAGCTGAGTTCGGGGTAAACCGCCGTGAGGGTATTGTCATAGTCTTTTAGCAGATTGTCAAAAGCAGTGTCTCAACCGAAGTAGGATATCGCCATTCATGGTTTATTATCCCACTAATTTTCCTATCTTCACTTTTTACCTTGTTCAAACAAAATGTAAAAATCTCAATAAGATAGGGGGGAAAGGGCCCTGGAAGGTCTCAATGATACTGAAGACCGCCCGTGTATTTAATCAACATTTAGGCAAAGTCTACACGCTGGCTCACGATCATGACAACGTCAATAAAACAAGCGTTGGGGCAGGTATTTACTCTACGGTGACATTTTCTTTAATTAGATACTGACCGAATTTCACGAGAAGGTCTTTGCGTTGAACTCATCAATGATAGCCCTCGACGCCTTGACAATCTCCATACACCCCGGCGAGTCCGAGTGACAGCACAGCGAAACCTCGTAGTCTCCCAACGGCAGATCCACCTTCTCGCCCGTCACCGCCGTCACCGCGCCCTCATAAACCTGCGACGTGACATGCGCGCGCGTCTCCTCCGCCGTCCACGGCCTGATTTAGCGTCAGCAACAAAACCCTCACCCAGCACAAAAAAACGCAAAACGCGCAACTCACTTCTTCTTCCGATCAATAACCAACGTCCCATCAGCCGTATACTTCACATCCCCATACAACTCCGCCACAAACCCCAACCCCATCTCCCTCGCCACCCTCTCCTGCACCGTGCCCGCCAACCCAAACACCGGCACGCCCTTCGGCACCGCGGCGTACACCGCCCTACATACGTCGGCATCGCGGTACATCATGCCGTACAGCACGCCGTGCGGCTTGACGTGGTGCAGCGGCACGCCCTCGGCGTCGAGGAAGGCCTGCAGCGCGCCGATCTGGTAGCGCGTCATGGCCGTCAGTTCTTCGGGGGTCATTTTGATCTCGCGGCGGCCGAAGCCTTGGATGTCGGGCAGACCCGGGTGCGCGCCGACGGCGACGGAGTGGGCGGCGCAGAGGCGGACGGTTTGTTGCATTATGAGGGGGTCGCTGGGGGAGGTGGAATGTCAGTGGGGGTGTTTTTGGCATGGGAGGGAGAGATGGGCGGTTCAGGGGTTTTTCGCACTGCCGCGAGAGAGGCATTGCAGTCTTGCGTTCCAAGAACGTGTCCAAGATGCGGTTTTGTGGTAGTTGAGGCCCGATTCAAAGGCCCCAATCTCCGCGTTGTACTACATCGTGGAGTGCATCGGCTCCCCAACAGTGGACTGCGGCGGAGGACGGTACGCCTCGTAATCCCCGCTGCAAGCAGAATTGATTCCCGTCCATTTTTCTTTTTCTCTCTTTCTTTTTTTTTCTTCCATGCTCTTTTCTCTTTCGTGGTAGAGGTATGAAGAAGAAAAAGGCGATATGAAAAGGTGTTGGTGTTGCATTACTTACCCGGCATGGAAACCACATGCTACGTTTGCATGGTCAATGAGCGGGATGAGCTCCTCATCCGGGCCGCACTTGAAATTGCCGTAGCCCTCTCCCAAATCAACATTGATCTTGACCTTGTGCTTCGAAGGCGCCATGGTGTTGTTCTGCGGGGTAAAGGGAAAAATGTAGTGGCCGGAACCAAGGGACAAACGATCGATAAATTTAAAAACAAAATGTTAGAAGCAAAGAAGGCTAAAAAAGCCCAGGCGTCGAATGTTCCAAAAATGCTATCCAAAGGTGGGAGACAGTCTGGCGATAGATAGGGGGATGCTCGGCTTTGGGTGGGTGGAGCTAAGTACCCCGCGTTGATAGCGGAGCTTTATCAGTGGTCAATTAGACCAGCTACCCCTCCAACACTTGTCGCTCATGACTACATCACCATGCCGATCTGCTGCCTGCCATTTGCCCACACCGGCTGACAGGGGCCAAGATCCGAGTCCATGGTATGACAAGTTGTACGATCGTCCCCGGCGAGAGGGGTTTGGTGATGCCGCCCATAGCGCCCAGGATGTGATAAAGCTGTTGCTCCGCATGTCCGGCGCAATCAGGCCAACCAGCACCTGGTCTCGTGGTCCCCGGAGGTAAACGTTCCTGGCACCGGTGGATTGACTATCGCTGTTGGAAGTCTCCGGATCCGCGGATCTGCTCTCTGGGCTGAAGAGTGGTGGTGTATCAGTACCATCTGCACGATTTTATATATATCCGTCACCTGCGTTCCGCGTGAACCCATGAGTGAGCAGCAGCAGAAGCAGCTTACTGGCATGCAAGCAAAATGGAATCCATCAAGACGCTGCTGATCGCCAACCGGGGCGAGATCGCTGTGCGTAACCCATCCCAACCCATCCCCAGTCCGAATGCGGCAACCATACAACAACACCAAAAAAACTTAAACCACCTCTCCAGTACTAACCCCCCGCTCCCCCCAACAGACCCGCATCATCCGCACCGCCCACGCCCTCTCCATCCGCACCATCGCCATCTACACCCCCGCCGACTCCGCCTCCACCCACGTCTCCGCCGCGCACCTCGCCCTCCCCATCCCCTCCTACACCGACGCATCCGCCATCCTCGCCGCCGCCACCACCCACGCCGCCGACGCCCTGCATCCCGGCTACGGCTTCCTCTCCGAGTCCGCGACCTTCGCTGCCGCCGTGCTCTCTGCGGGCATCACCTGGGTCGGCCCCTCCCCCTCCGCCATCAGCGCGTTCGGCGTCAAGCACGTCGCGCGGCAGCTGGCCGCGAAGGCGGGGGTGCCTGTCGTGCCTGGCTCGGCCGGCTTGGTCGGGGATGCGGAGGAGGCAGTCCGGGCGGCGGAGGGGGCGTGTGGGGGGTATCCGGTGATGCTGAAGGCGACGGGGGGTGGCGGGGGGATGGGGCTGGCGGCGTGCGCGGACGCGGGCGAAGTGCGGGAGAAATTCGCTGGCGTCGCGGGGAGGGGGGAGGCGCTGTTTGGGGATTCGGGCGTGTTTGTGGAGAGGTTTTATCCGAGGGCGAGGCATGTGGAGGTGCAGGTGTTTGGGAATGGGTTGCCTGCTGGCGAGGGGGGTGGCGGTGCGGCGGTGCATTTTGGGGAAAGGGAGTGCTCGATTCAGCGGCGGCATCAGAAGGTGGTGGAGGAGTGTCCGAGTTCGTTCGTCGAGGCGAGACCGGGTTTGCGGGAGAGGCTGGGCGAGGCGGCGGTGATGCTGGCGGAGTCGATTGGGTACGGGAGTGCGGGGACGGTCGAGTACTTGGTTGATGATGAGACGGGCGAGTTTTTCTTCCTTGAGATGAATACGCGGTTGCAGGTCGAGCATGGCATTACGGAGCTCTGTTACGGCGTCGATCTGGTCGAAATGATGCTGAAGCAGGCGGATGCGGAGCGTTCGGGCAAGGGCGGCTTGGATGGGCAGTATCTGAAGTCGCTGCAGCCGAAGGGCCCGAATGGGGCGGCTATTGAGGTCAGAGTTTATGCCGAGAACCCGGTCAGAGACTTTGCTCCCTCGCCGGGTCTGTTGCAGCACGTTGAGTGGAACGAGATCCCCGGTACTCGAATTGATACTTGGGTGTTTACTGGTTCGAGGATTACTCCAAACTACGGTAAGATTCTTCCATTTTCAACCCTCAGGGGCAAGAGCTGGACTACACTTGAGCAGAACCTACCTGAATTCCAAACCATGGACATGAAAGAGACACCACCTACCTGCATCTTCAATCCCAACCACTCCCACTAACTCACCTCCCAGACCCCCTAATCGCCAAAGTCATGCACCACGCCCCCACCCGCGCCCTCGCCATCTCCGGCCTCTCAACCGTCCTCACTCACTCCAAGCTCTGCGGCCCGGCCACGAACCTCGAATTCCTCTCGGCCATCCTCCACAGCGCCGACTTCCACGCCGGCCGCACCTTGACCAGCTTCCTCAACGACTTCTCCTTCCAACCCCACGCCATCGACGTCCTCTCCGCCGGCGCCTACACGCTGGTCCAAGACCTGCCCGGGCGGCCCGCCGTCGGCAAGGGCATCCCACACGCCGGCCCCATGGACCCGCTGACCTTCCAGCTCGCCAACATGCTGGCCGGCAACGCGCGCACGACCGAGGCGCTCGAGATCACGCTGTCCGGGCCGGAGTTGCGTTTTCTCGGGCCGGCCGTCGTCGCGCTGTGCGGGCCACGCATAGACGACGTGACGCTGGACGGCGCGCCGATGCCGATGTGGACGCGGGTGCGGGTGCGCGCCGGGCAGCGGCTGAAGATCGGGAGGATAGCGATGGATGGAGGCGGGTGCAGGGCGTACCTGGCGCTGCGGGGAGGCCTGCCGGGCGTCGCGAGTTATTTTGGCAGCAAGAGCACGTCGCCGGCCGTCGGCATCGGCGGGTATCAGGGGCGGCAGCTGGCGCCGGGGGACCTGCTCGAGATCGCAGAGTGCAGCGTCTCCTCTGAGGAGGGAGAAGAAGAAGAAGAAGCTACAGTAAGCCTCCCCGAGCGCCTGCGGCCGGCGTACACGCGCGACTGGAAGATCAAAGCCATGGTCGGGCCGCACGAAGACGGCTACCTCCTCCCCTCGGACGTCGAGATGATCTACACCACGACGTGGAAAGTCAGCCACAACGCCAGCCGCAGCGGCATCCGGCTGCTCGGCCCCGTGCCCAAGTGGGCGCGGTCGGACGGCGGCGAGGGCGGCGCCCACCCGAGCAACCTGGTCGAGTACGGCTACCCGCTCGGCGCGCTCAACTGGACCGGCGACGACCCGTGCATCTTCCCCGTCGACTGCCCCAACTTCGGGGGTTTCGTGAGCTCGACGACCGTCGTCCGCGCCGAGTGGTGGAAGATGGGGCAGCTGAAGGCGGGGGATAGCCTGCGGTACGAGCGCGTGTCGTTGGAGGATGCGTTGGCGGCGAGGGCGAGGTTGGAGGCGTTTTTGAGTACTGTTGAGGTGGCTGTGAAGGGGACGGTGGGGTGGGAGATGGTGGAGGCGTTGGATACGCAGACGACGGCGCCGTCGACGCTGAAGGGGGAGTGGGGGAGTGCGGTGCTCTGGCACAGGCCGGAGCAGGGGAACCAGCCGGCCGTGACGTACAGACAGGTATGTGGTATCTCCAAATCTACCTCTTCAGGGGATGCAATGCTGAGGACTGACTTCCAACCCAGGGCGGCGACGACCACCTAATCATCGAGTACGGCCACGAGCAATTCGACCTCAACCACCGCTGCCGCGTCACAGCGCTCGAATCGCACATCCGCGGCCCCTCGACGCCCCCCTGGCTAAAAGACCACCTCACCACCACCATGGGCTGCTGCACCTCGCTCCTCCTCTTCTACGACGGCAGCGCCGTCCCCCGCCCCCGCCTCCTCACCTACCTCCAGACCCTCGAAGACACCCAACTCGGCGACCTCTCCACCGCGCGCGTCCCCTGCCGCCGCTTCCGGCTGCCTCTCAGCTTCGAAAGCGCCGCGCAGCGCGACGCCATCGCGCGGTACATGGAAACACAACGACCGCACGCGCCGTACCTGCCCGACAACCTCGCCTTCGTCGCGCGCAACAACGGGATCAGCCCCGACGACCTGAAACGCATCTACCTGACGGGCACGCACGTCGCGGTCGCCGTCGGCTTCTTCTGCGGCAACACCGTGTGCCTGCCCGCGGACCCGCGCATGCGGCTGAACTGCCCCAAGGCCAACCCGTCGCGCGTCTACACGCCCGAGGGGACGGTCAGTTGGGGTGGCAGCTGCATGTCGCTGTACCCGGTCGATTCGCCGGGGGGTTATCAGATGACGGGCCGCACGGTGCCGTGTTTTGATGTGCTGGGGTGGAAGAGGGGGTTCGAGAGGGCGCGGCCGTGGTTGTATAGGGATTTTGACTTGCTGACGTATTATGAGGTGAGTGAGGAGGAGATGGAGGAGTTGCTGAGGAAGTTTAGGGCGGGATTGTACGAGTGGGAGTGGGAGGAGGTGACGTTCGACATGGCGGAGCACAATAGGCTGTTGCGAGACACGAAGGAGGAGGTGAAGAAGATTAGGGAGAGGCAGGCTGTCGCGCAGGAGGAGATGGTGAGGGCGGAGCAGGAGAGCTTGGCGAGGTGGAGGGAGGAGAAGAAGAGTCAGCAGGTGGATGAGAGCACGGTAGAGAGCTTGTTGGATGGTGAGTGGTTTTTCTCTGGTTTCCCATTTTCATTTCTTTCTCTTTTTCTTAATTTTTACCTACAGCATTACTGGGGGGATCCTGGCTGACAATCTGGGGTTGATAGATCCTGCCATCACGGCTATTGAAGCACCGGTCGATGCCAACGTCTGGAAAGTCGAGGTCGCAGACGGCGACGTGCTGAAGCCGAATCATTTGGTACGATACGCCCGAACGGCCGGAGATCCAAGCTTATGCGGCCGTCTACAAAGAGAAATAGCTAACTGAGCGGCTTTTTCCAGATCTCTATACTCGAAGCGATGAAGCTGGAGATTTCCGTTCGGCTACCGGACGATGTCGTAACGGCCGGTAGCCCACCCGCCAAGGTGGAGAAAGTCCTCGTACGGCCGGGAGACACCGTCAAGGCAGGCGGGAGGATAGCTCTCGTGAGGAGGGGCTGACCAGGACCGACGAGAAGGTTTCAATAGCGCCTCGGCCTGCCCGGGAGTGCGACTCGGGTGTCGGACGAGGCTGGGCGTCAATGCGGGTGGCTGGAGATGTGTGTGCGTTGTCGATTGTCCTGAGCCAGATGGCTTGTTCTGCGGCTATTCGGAAGCATTTGCAAACCCCTTTGTTGTTGCGTGTGGCGTCACGGCGGAGGTGTGCATAATAATGTTGCGTTGCGTTGAAGCGCTTGGGGTGCATATAGTGATCAGGAACTTATCCACGCTTCACTTGCCCATTGGTGGTTGGCTGCAACACTGAGCGAGCCGACCTCACATGGGGTGAGGAGTGCAGCAGCGCGTAATCGATTGGTCAGCGGCTTGTGGCCGAAGCGAAAGCTTCGCCCAAACCGCGCTTGCAGGGCTGTGTAGCAGGTGACGTCCAAGGAGAGAGCGGGAGCATTGATGACAACGGCATGATAAGCCCTACGTAAATTGCAAAAATGCCATTGCTTTTCGCGCTGTCCACCAAGGAGTCCTCTCTTCTGCATCCCCTTGCCACTGCTGAGCGGCGGACCCAACGCCTTGGCTGTGGGACGGGGGAGGGGTGCGAGAGGGGCAACTGGCCTGCGCGTTGGTTTGACGTATCTGGTGGGAGGGTGTGCTAGTTTGCCTCCCAGGGAGCACCCGTGCGGCTCTTGAGCAGCGTGGATTGGCTCTCACCGCCTGGAAAATCGCTGCAGTGCTGCGCGTGGCTGCGCGCCGATCGGGGTCTGTGAGGGAGCTAGGTAGGGAGGGCAAGTCATGCCTGCCTGCAAAACGGCCTGAGACACTGATACGTGGTGCGGCAGACGTCAGCGGACACGGATGCTGGTGGACGGGGATCTGGCGTTTTGGAAGTGGGAGCGGTGAAAGCCTCGCTGCGATCGTTGCTGTGCTGTGTGTGCTCGTTGCTTTTTTCTTTTTGCTCTTGTCGTTTTCGGCCCGTCGAGATAGAGATACGAACACGTCATGGTCAAGCTCTTCTAGAATGGGTCGCTCACGAGGTCAAGGAGATGATGTGGCGGCTGGCCCCGGGAGACCGTCATAAAAGAGACGGCGATTTGGAATGAAAGCAGTGCACCCTGGGGAAGCAGGGTGCCGCTTTGGGCGAAGCGGGTGGGCAGTCCTCATCTCGAATGAGTCGCAGGCAGCGGCTCCACACTCGCCACGGATGTGCGGGCTGGACATTGCAAGGGGAGGCTCTTTGTGTGGGTTGTGGGGAAGGGTGGATGAAGGGCCAGGATACGTTTTACGTGGTTCATCACTCGTACCTTTGGTGTTGCTGCTGGGCCAAGCGGTGCTCTCGGCTCAATAAAGCACGCGCGCAGAGCTGAAACAGTGACAGCAGTTGGGAAACGCGGTGGTGCCGGCGGGTGCTCTCAGCGTTCAATAAAAAAGCACGAGCACGACTGGCTGCCGGCTTGAGTCGACTGGAACACCTCTTGTTTCCCGAACAGGAGGACCGCGACGATCAGCGCCTCCCAAAGCGGCGTGCCTGGCAGCCACAGGCCGTCGAGGCACGCGTCTGCGGCAGGCGGCGGAGCAGCGCAAACAACGGCGGCGGTCGTGCGACGGCGACGCTGCGAGGCAATCATCAGCAGGGAGAAACGGTGGAGGCAAACCTTGACGGCCGATCGCACTTGCGGATCGGCACCTCCTTTGCGTATGTGACGGGCTCCCGGGACCCGGGACTCGTGAGGCCGTTGAGCACTTCTCAATAATCTCCGCCCTCTCTCCACCGCGCGCTGCTTCTGGCAAGTCCTGCCACGCGTAGAGAGGCGGCGTGCGTGGAGCGGTGGGACACAAGGGCCAACCGCGCGGCCGGTTACGCTGCCACGGCTGCTCTTCTGCTCAACATGCTGAAACGATGTGCGAATTGCGACATCTCGGCAGCCGTTTGCCAGCCGTCAGTGCGCCGCCGTATTGGCGGCCGCGGCAGCGAGCCGGTGGAGCGTCCTTTTCTCCCGTCCCCAGAAATTTGGCCCCGTCCTGGTGCGGCTCTCTCGTGCGGCCAAGTGCCCGCGGATGGTGGCGTCGTCCTGTCCTGTCTTCGGACGGGCTCCGGGCGGCGTGCCGGGTGAAACACGCTGGTCTTTATCTTCAACGCACCGCGCCCAGGGATCTTGACTTGGGCCGACGCCCCTCGCGAGCTGCGACGGCGGGCAGCAGTCCAGAGCAGATCCTTCATGTGAAGGCGGAGCAGCAGAAGGTGAAACGCCGCTTGCTCCAATGCCATCCAACCGAGCGTCGTCCCGCGTGCAGATGCGATGCGGCTGACCGCCCCGCCCGCTCGCAGTGCCGGCTGGCGCTTTCAGGCAGGTCGTCCGGCAGATGTAAGCTCGAGACCCTTATCGCGTGCGGCTGAACCGCTCACCAGAGATGTTGCCACGACGAGGGAGCTAAAGATAGACGCTTGGCCCGCCGCTTGAGCCTCTGAAGGAACCGCCTTCAGGAGGCCCGGGATGCAGCGCTGCGATGATGCGCGGTAAATTGACGATCATGCCCTGGGACGCGCCAAAAATGGCACATCGCGTCAATACGAAATTGCTGCAATCCGGCACGCGTCGGCCAGGAGAGGCAGCAGGGCAACCCCGCCCTTTGGCCGCGGAGATCGGAGGCCGCGAAATAAGCTGGGCGGAGCGGGTGTCGCGGTGGTGTTTGATGGCCTGCTGGAGGGGCAGGCAGAAGCCGCGCCGGCGATCCCCAATCCGGTTCGGGCAACGCGGCGCCGGGTCGGTGTTTCGGCGCGCTGATTGGGCATGTGCTGCTTGGGGCTAGGGCTCCAATAATCTCGAGCCGCTGCACAGCATCTCCCACCAGAAGCCGTCCCTCCGCCCGCACCCTTTCGCTCTCCAGCGCTGCCTTAGTTCGCCCGCGCCGCACGCGGTGCTCGTACGCTGTGGGCCCGCCGGCGCCTCGACGCGCGCTCCTCAGGCCGGCCAGAGGCGCCTGTGTTGGCCGCCGCTCGCTTCCCTCAGCTTGAAACACCGAGCCCGGGCCCTGGTCTATTGGCATCAAATAGAGTGGTCGCACAGCTGGAGTCCGTGGGCCCATCGCGACTCTGTCTGAAATCCAGTTTCACTAAACCGCATGCGAGTCTAGCACGCCCCCGTCCCCCAGCGCAACCCTGCCAGTCTGCCCTTCGCTCTCGCGTCCGTGCCAATCCATATTATCGTCGCCCAGCCCTCCCGCCCAAGCCTACTGCTTCTTCACCACCCTGCTCTGTCCTCAGCACCGCAGACCACCCACACCACCTTTTCTCCCCGCCCGCCGACAAGTGACGCGCCGACCGCCGCTCACTGTTGCAGCCCTCCGCTGCCCTCTCCGCCGCCTCGCATTCGCTATCGCTGACGGAGCCGAGCATTCACCATGACCACCGCCGTCGCCGCTCCGCCCGTGACTGCGCCTCACGCGCCCTCGCCCTCCGAACAGGGCCCAACCAGCTCCAGATATGCCCCAATTGCGCCGTCTAACGGAAACACTCCTAGCGGAAAGTCCGCTCGGTCCTCGAGTAACCACGGCTCGCCCGTCTCGACTCACAGCGACGGATCTCACAGAGAGGGGAAGCGCTCCCCCAACTCGTATGTCTCCGCCCTCGCCGCTGTCGCGTGCGCAACTGCTTACGTACCCCCAGCTCCAGGAACTCGAATGCGCCCAAGATTGTCGTCAAGAAGGAGCCCGACTCGCCCGAAATGCCTGCTTCGCGCCATCGCCCGCGCCGCCTCGACCTCTCCCACAACGTGCACTCTTCCGGCGCTCTGAGCGCGCGCCCTGCTGGTCCCATGACCGCCAAGGAGGGCAGCTTGGCCATGCAAGACGTCGGTCTCGCGTGCCTGTCTCCGGGATTTCAGACTCAAGACCCTGCCATGAGGGAGCAGCTTCAGAGGAGCATGGACGTCCGGGACAGACAAAGACAGATCATCGAGGCGAGGCAGAAGGGCAAGACTGTTACGATCTCTCACGACGCCGGCGAGGGTTCCAGGCACGCCGAGTCGAACCCGTTCAAGAGTGGTGGCAGAACCCCCGCGTCGTCGCGGAGAAAGGGTCCCCCTCCGGGTCTTTCTATTGCTCCTCCCTCGGCAGACCGATTTGCGAATGAGCGCGTCATCCAGTCGGCGCCTCTCAACCAATCCTTCACCGGCATGAGGGGATCGCAGTTCCAGTCCCTCTCCAGACAGGTCGCCAACCAGCCTTCCAACCTCTCCCAGACTTCTCACATCCACCACATGCCTGCGCAACAGACGGCCAACCGCCTTCCTCCGATCTCGGATGTGTTCGCTGGCGAGAGCATCTCTCAGCCCAGGGAACAAGGCCGCTACAACGGCAGCCCCAGTCACTCTTCGCACTCCAACCAGCCTCTTCCCTCTCCCGGCTTCCCTCCCAGCAACCAGTCAGCCCAGCCCTCCCGCCGCCGGGAGTACAAGTCGGCTGAGGAGGCCGTTCAGTCAATGTCGGGTGGCCGCGAGGATCTCCTTCCTCGCATTGTCCACTACGGCGGCCACCAGCCCCCGACTCCTCCCTCGCCCATGCCCTCGAAGAACCAGGCCGGTCAGACCGAGATCAACAGACAAGGCAGCTCGCGCCGCCGGACGCGCGAGGAGTACGAGAGAGATATGGGGACTCCGCCGCTCGGCCGCCAGGAGAGGCGCCCGGGGCCCTTCGGTGAAGGCCGGGATAGCCCCGAGACGCAGAGGAGAAAGAAGGAAGAGTTCATTCAGCTTTGCGCACGGGCTTGGGATCTTTTCCACTCTTGATTGCTGCGCTACACTTGGACGCGTTGTTTCTGGACCAGGCGTTACCGGACTCGTTGTCTCTTTTCATTTCCTCTTGCGCTGGTCTGCCACTTTCAATTTTGTCTGCACGTGTACCGGCTTCTCTCTTTCTTTTAAAGGCCGGCGACGTCTCAACCCTACACCGATCGTTTAATCACTCATTTGGCAACGAGCTCACGAGGCGACTCCTCCCTCGTGGTTTGTCCTTCTACAAAAGGTTGACATGCAGTACGAAGCTTCGGACTCAGCATGACTACTTTTTTCCACGCTCTTGGAACGCTACCTACGATTGAATGCCTGGTATGATGCAACGCATCATGCGCGGGACTGTTCTTACGTTGGGAGAGTTCTCACTGTTTCCGCTTCGCAATCTTGGCACGCTGGGTCGTCACTTTGGGAACAAGTTGGGACCTGCACAAATGATGTGCAGGCCCGTCCATCCATGTCTGGAGAAGGAGATCTCTTTGCTCTATCACTGTCTCCTTTGGCGTCTGGTCTATCCTCTCTCCGTTTCTTCTCTGCCGGCTTCTTAATTTTTTTTGGCCAAAGAAGCCAGGCACGCCTTCAAAAGGGCAGTAGGGTTGCACATGTGTTGAACTTGTTTTTTGGTTTTACGGTTTTGTTCATACTCCGATGCACACCTTTTGTTTGGAAGATTTTGGGCACTGGCAGTTCCAAGGCCATTTTTTCCTCGCGTTGGCAAAAAGAAGAATACGGATTATACCAAAGGGAATTATTGGGTGGGGGAGGTAGTTACTCTCAGTCGAATGGAAAGTCGACATTTTGGAAGACCACATGACATGCCCCGCAATGCAAATGCAATGCAGATTACCTGCTGTGACAAGTGATGCTACATGTTGTGTTCAGATGTTGCCCCCAGCGTCGGAAGCAATTGGCTGACGCATGATTTTGATCCCTTACCACACGATAACCCACAGCCAAGGGAATGAAGTGGAGGAAGGAGGCGCAGGTGGGGAATATTCAGCCACAAGTGTTCGGTGTGAAGCCTCACCGGTGACTCCCTACTCCCCTATCCGGCTTTTCTTTTTTTTTCTTTTACCTCAGCAGGAAGTAAAAGGGGACGAAGAGGGTTTGAATTCTGGAACCCGGGACCCTGCCTGCTGCAACACGAAGGGATATGCCCTTGTTCATTATTATTGGCAGGCATGCAATGAGGCGCTCCAGCTGGACGTTTTGGGAAGACGCACGATGGATTTGGAATCTCTCATTTCTCGCGCCGGCGCGTAACAGGACAGGGGGGGCGCGAGCGCGCGCCAATAGGCGCGCGCGCCTTGTGCGAGGGAAGAAGCTTTTTTGTTATTTTATTTTTCTTTCCGCACGCAACGCGTATACGCGCACACATACTTTGAGGGAAAGTGGTTAGTGTGAACGGCACATCACGTTATTTGGTTAGGGGGCGATCTTCCCGCGCCCTACGTGGTGGCAGATGAGCGACACACGGATGACGGGTGCGCCTGACTGGTGATGATCGGTTCGAATTGAGATCTGCCATCGCGCGTCTCAGCATAAAACAATAGGCTGCTCATCCTCGGGTCGTCCGCGCCTTTCTTCGGGCTGGGAAGGAGAGACATACAGCTAATGACGCTGACATCATTGGGTGATGGGGCGGGCTGTGGTGAGCCGCGTTCATCACACGTAGACCCTGGACCAAACCATTTCCAGCTCGGGCGCCAGCCCTAGGCACGAGTCAAGGACGTCTTTCTTTTTCGGTGGGGCTCTGGTTTCTGGGTTCTTCAAAGGTTCCATCCGGGGCATTGTTTCGCCGTAGCTGCCAGTCCCAGGAACTACACTAGCTCCCGCCTACTGCCGTCTCTCACCGCCCGAGGATGTGTGTGCAACTTTTGGGATGTCGCTGTTGCCTCGACGGCCAAGATAATGCTGCCCTTTAGAACAAGCGTCCGCAGCCTTGCTTTGCTTCTTCCTCTCCCGAAGCGCTTGCCAACAGTGCTTCATCAGCCTCATCGTTGTTTGCCTGCCGCCGTCCATGGAAAACTCGACTCTCATTCCTATTGCACGGTACTGCACCTTTACCACTACTTCCTCCACCTTCAGCCCTGCTCCACACCCCACACCCCACCACCAGAACCCCCGCGACTATTTCTCCGACACTGACAAGAATTCGGACACGCAGATGGGGAAGAAGAAGTCGAAGAAGCTGAACCAGCAGCAACAACAGCAGCAGCAACAGCCAACGGCCACCGCCGACGGCCTAGCACCACTGCCACTACCCACTACCCAATCAATCGCCTCGACACCCCAAGCGCCTCCTTCCCTCATTTCCGCGCCCAACAATGCCGACCCTGCGGCGCAACACGGCGACGACGCTGCTGCCGACGGCGACGGCCAGAGCAAGAAGAGCAAGAAAAAGCAGCGCGCCAGAGAGCGCCGGGAGGCGAAGAAGCAGCAGCTGTTTCTGCGAAAACAGCAACAGCAGCCTGCGCTAGAACAAAGAGAGGGAGGTTTCGGCGCGCAAGCTCAACAGCCTAGCTTCACCGCGGTGGGTTTTGACGACCCCGACGGTGGAGTTGGATTGCGCAGTGGTGATGAGCCGCCGCGCGACTTCGTGGGCCAGCCGCTGCTAGACGCGCTCGATGAGGCTCTGCAGGGTGGAAGTGAGGCGGAAACGGCGCGTGCGGGAGGAGGAGGAGGGACGGGACGGAGGGCTTCGCTGGCGCGGCGGCCCGCGCAGCAGGGTGGTGGCAGTGCTGCTGATGGTCCGCCGCCTGGCGCGCCGACGCAGCCTAGGGCGGCGAGGAATGCCGCTGAACCTCCGCTGGGCGCGCCGACGGGACCGAAGTCCATGGCGCAGGCGCAGCAGCCTCGTGCTCCGAAGAGCTATGCGCACCCGCCGCAGTATTGGCAGACGCCTGGCGTTTCTGCTGCGGAGGTGGGCTCTCAGGCGCCGTCGCAAGCGGCGTTCGCTTCTTATTCGCAAGCTGCGCCTAGTGACGATAATCCGCACGGGTACAATGTGCAGAATGCCACCTGGGATTGGAACAACCCGTTTGGCGGGATGGCTGCAGATTCGGCGGAAGCTGGTGGTTTGAACGGTGGCGGGTCGAATGCTTATACCTCTGACTATCAGACAGATGCAGGTTCAGCACCATGGCCCGGCACGTACGGCGATTACTGGCAGCAACAGCAGTCCTCCTCGCCGCAGCCCTTCGGTCAAGTGCCTTCCGTCTATGACGCGTACCTGCACCAGCCGATGAACATCAACTACCAGACCGGCTACTATCCATCCTACCAGGGCTCGAGCGATGGTGGCATGCGCTACATCCACGGCCACACCAACAGCTTCGCGGCTCCGTTCACGCCTACGGCGTCAGTACAGCAATACTATCAGGGCCACAGTTGGCATGTTGACAAGCCTTACAGTGCCTCTACGACCCGCGGCTTTTCCACCACGGCGGCCGCACAGAAAAATAATCCCGCGGCCGCGCAGAAAAAGCATCCACAACCCCCGCACCCCAGCCAACGACGCTGGAACGAAAACGCCAGCTATGAAGAAGGAGGGGTGCCGGTAAGTACAACGCCAAAGCACTACACCAACGCCATCGCCTCCATCCAGGCCCAGAAAGACGCCCTCCAGGACAGGCCACAGCCGCCGTGGAAGCGGACGAGCAAGTCACCATCTCCCGGTAGTCGATGGAGCGGACGGGGAGGCAAGGGTGGTCGCCAGCCGACGAAGCCGAAGCCGACGCGAGAATACCTGACCGTGGCCGAAAACGAGCCCACGCGGCTCGCAGCGCCACGGCCGCTGCTCGTCGTCATCGACCTCAACGGCACGCTCGTGCACCGGCCGCAGCGCAACAAGTCGTCGCGCGTCATCCGCCGGCCGTTCGTCACGGCCTTCCTCGACTACCTCCTCGCCAACCACCGCGTCATGGTGTGGTCGTCAGCCCGCCCCGAAAACGTGGGCCGCATGTGCGCACAGCTGTTCGCGCCCACGGACCGCGCGCGCCTCGCGGCAGAGTGGGGCCGCGACACGCTGGACCTGACGCCACAGCAGTACATGGAGAAGGTGCAGGTGTACAAGAAGCTGTCCAAGGTGTGGCAGCAGGCCGAGACGAGCAAGTGGCACCCGTTGCACTCGCGCACGCGCTCGGCCCGCAACGATGACTACAGCTCGCAGCGCTTCGGCCAGCACAACACGCTGCTCATCGACGACAGCGTGCTCAAGGCCTCGTCGGAGCCCCACAACCTCGTCCGCGTCGAGGAGTTCGAGGGCCGCCCGGACCAGATGCAGACGGACGTACTAAGACAAGTCGTCGCGTACCTCGAGGAGGCAAAGTGGATGGCAGACGTCAGCGCGTGGAACCGCGCGGGTAACGCGTTCGTCGCGGACGATCCGCGCTGGCAGTGGTACAGTTGGCCTGAGGGCACGCTGCCAGAGACTATTCCGGATGGCATCGTGGTGCCGGGCGACGAGGCGGCGGGGGGTGCGGCGGGCAGCGGGTTCGAGGAGTGGAAGGAGAATTATAGGAGGGCGCAGGAAGAGAAGATGCAAAAGGAGACGACGCAGAAGGAAGGGGGCGGCGGCGGCAGAGGGCTTTCGGCGATGGAGATGTGGAGGAGGGGGATGCCGGTTGACTCGCTCGATTGAGTGAGGTGATGATGGAAAGTTGGCGACGACGCAGCTGATATGAAAGAAAGAGAGAAGTAGATGAGGCTAAGGGGGAGCGGCTCTCGTCTATGGATGAGTCCGCGTTAGGTTTTGCTCTTGGCCGGCGGCGTTATGCCCTCTCTCTCTCTCTCCCTCCACATTTCCTCTCCTTCCCTTCTTTTTTCCTCCTCTGGGTTTCATCCTTTTTTTTTTCTCCCCGCAGCTGCTGCGAGTTAGGTTACCATCCCCCCCGTTCACAGCGGCGATGAAGTGTCGCTGCTGGTCGGTATCGGATGTCCACACACGCACCAGCGAATGCTGTCGGTTGTGGTAGCGGTGGTGATAATTTACGATGATGATGAATGCATGCGTGCTCGCATGCGGATATATGCTTGGGCTGGCTGGCTGCCATGCAGGGTTTCTGGAAATAGTGGATGGCTACGATTTCAATCAAGATAGCCGCTATAGAGATGGGACTTTTGGTCCTTGTCACTTGCATTTTATGAGCGTAGATCCTGTTGAGGCTGTGAGTGTGTGCGGTACATCTGGTGCTTGGTGAAGTTGAAGTTTCCTTCTGGGCTTTCGTCTTTTTGAGTGGTTTGTGTCGACTGCTTGTTTAGTCTACGCCGCCGGCTCGTGTTGTTGGTTGATGACGCTGTGGAGCGGTGGGCGGTGTTGGATTTGTGTTTGGAGAAATGGGATTTGGCTCCGGGAGGGTGTGAAGAGAGGAGCGGGGGAGCAACTCCCGTCCATGGACGAGATATGCTCTCGTAGATGAGAGTGGGTAGGAGCACAAAACGAAGCAGAAAAAAAAAGCAAGGAAAGACAAAACTAATAGCGGAATGGAACACATAAAACTGTGTTATTAGTATCTACACAGTCACCCACGCGGTAATATTCTTGACGGGACCGGAAATGTGTGTCTCCTCCAGTGCACCAAGGGGAGCATTGCACGGGGGGAAAGAGAGATCACCAAGTTCTTGACCCATGACATCGGTTGCTTTTCATCCCGACGGCTGAATTTGACTCAATCCTACGTTGGTATAATAGAAAGTGAGATATTAGACGTCTCGTCGTTCGGATTAGGCAAAGGCTGCGGAAACAATAGTAGCTGTTGTCGTTCAGATGTTGCCGATCCTTTCCCAATGCAGCATTCGGATTATCCGACCTTCTACCACATGTGCAGCCCCACTTTTAATACTTATAGACATTGTCGTCGGCTTTGTACAAGGCTCATCCATCCAACATGTTTGACCGGGAGGGTTCGTCTTTCAATTAGAACCTGCGACGGAGGTCACCACTTTTCTCGAACGTGCTCCAAACGCCTCGAATTGAGTCTGTCATTGATCAACGCACCATCTAGTCAAACACGACACATTCTCAAACATTTTAACTTTCGGCAGCAGGCTCTATAAATATCTTCGTATCTCGGACAGAAAGGCGATTGGAACGACAGCCTGCCAGCATGTCATTCGAATCTACAATTCCTCGCAGCGATAAGACAGAAAGCACTGGAAAACCAGGTCAGGATGTCTTTCCTGCCCTATCTCACGAATTGGGCCCGTGTACCATCTTTCTTGCCCTCATGCACCTTCCCATGCATGAAATCGCTGCACTCCACCCCATGCAGACAAAAACTCAACACCGCCAAGATGACAGCGATAGCGGGGCACACATCCACCAACGCATCGACAACGCAAAACCCGACCAACCACCAACCCACCAACACGAACAACTGAAACAGATCCCGCATCAAATCAGGCACCCAGCACCCACGCCAGCGAAGCCAATCGCCCCCCAATCGTCGATGCAGCTACACGTCAACCATGATGGATGGTTGCCTTCACAGCTCAGCATCAGGTTCGCAACCCCACTTCCCCAAACCAGGCCAATCGCACGACCTTACCACAAACGGACGTTTGAATACCGTATACGCAACGATACATACTACCCCGCAGGCCCCCTTTATCCGACAAGCTAAGTAACTGTACATGCCATATCTTACCGTACATGGATGCTGCTTCTTCAGGACAAAGCACGTCACATCGCATCGGAGCCGTGACAAACGGAAATCCTACGATCGGAACGGACGGGATCTAGAACTGCTCCAAAAGAGCAGTCTGGGCCCACAAAAGCGAGGATGCTTCTCGTCTGTGGTACGTACACAATTTACCCCGCGACCCCGCGTTGACCCGAAGGGAAGCGTCCGCCCGGGTCACCCCGGAGCAAAGGACGGGACGACCTCGGTTGTTGGTACGTACCCTCCTGCTTAGAACCGCAGGAAGGATTGTTCCCCCCTTTCGAACGATAAAAATCCTCGTCTATTGTTCGGATTGATTCCGTCATAGCCGAGATTCGAGGATGGGGAGGAGGAGTTCGAGCACTGGTTTCCTGGTAATAAGCGAACTCGAGATTGCTCCTCATTGGCTCACACTCGCGGCTTGCCCGAACATAGTCTTCTCCGTACCGTAGCCTTGGTGCGATAAGTCAGACTGAAGGAAAGGAGGACTCAGGAATGAAAAAGCGCTATTGTCTATAACGGGGGGCAGCTGTCTCTCACTACTAACTACTATCATGTCGGGGCAAACATGAGATAAAAACGCAAATCCAGTAAAAGAAAATCAACGCCCACAACGATCTACGAGAGCATCAGTAGCGTGGGAAAAAAAATTAGCAAACAAACAGACGATGACGAACGACGACGACCAAGAGGAAGAGCTCAGCATCAACAAAGGCTAGCCAGCAAATCTCCCCCCAAACTAACGCCATCCTTTCCGTGAAGATGCAGCCTTTGCTTTCCTCTCTCTCTCTCACCCTACCTACCTGTTCTATCCTTCCCTCTCCCTCCCTCTCTCTCTCTCGTCTGCATCAGCCTGTTTCCACGTTGTATACCTACACCCCCTCTACTCTCGCTTCAGACCCATCACTCCCCCCTCGCCCTCTTCCCAGGACTAACACTCCCACCCGCCCGCCTCGTCGGCGTAATCGTAAAGTTACCCAACGGCGGTCCGCGAGGATGATGATGCATACCAGACGGACTCCTAACCGTCGGGGTGCTCCGCGGATCCACAGCCGGGGCAGGCAGGCTGGTGTGCCTGATATTCCTCCCACTACTACCATTCCCGTCCAACATCATCGTCGTCACGTTGCTGCTGCCGCCGCTGGTGCTGGTGGGCCCGCTGCTACTATTGTTGCTGGTCGGAGCGCTGGTGATGGCGCCGTTGCTGTCGAAGTTGCGGCTGTTGGTGGTGCTGGTAGTATGGTGGTGGTGGCGCTTGGCCGGGTTGAGCGCTTCTTCGGCGGCGCGGAGCTTGGCTGCCGTGGCCTGTTCCTCGCGCCACTCCTCGGTCAGTTGCCACATGATGTCCGTGACTTCTTTGTGGTGTTCTTGGAGCATGTTGGAGAGGTCGGCATGCTCGGAACGCTGGACGTAGCCATATTTCTTGCGGAGCTTGCGCTGGCGGCTGGGGTCCCACGCCGCATGGCCGTGGGCGACGTAAATGTGAGAGGTCTGAAAAGAATTAGAAACCGCTGCGCCATCTGGAAGCCGAAGAACTTACATTGTAATACCAATCGCCGATATAGTCATCCGTGAGCTTCTTAATCGATTGCAGGCTGTTCTCCGCGATGAAGGCGAAGATGTGATCCGTTTCCTTCGTACAGTCGTCTTCACACAATTAGTTTCCATCATGGATCTTGAAGGCAAATGTTCACGTACCATTCTCGCCCAGGAGATCTAAAATTCCAGAATATGCTGCACCGACGCCCATGAAGAATTTGTGTGTGTTTTCGCCGAGCCTGGTTCGGTTAGCACATGACGAGTTTAGGTGATGTAAAACTTACGAGATGTAGTTGTCCCATAGATATGTTGCCAATTCGCGCGTAAGAAGACCACGTGCGTCATCGGAATCCGCGTCAGCAAATTCTGGGGAATCCTGCAGAAAGGCATGAGCACTTGTTACATTTACATGGGGGAAGTTCACTCACATTCGGGTCGGTAATGTGCTCTGGGATGTTGACATCGATAACGCCAAATCCGTTCTTCACCGCCCACTCTACGTACGTCTTGGTGACATCAGTCTTGATCAGGCATGTCAGTTGGAATCGACTCAGCTGCAGGCGAGGGTACCCACGACGAAAATGTTATGGAGGTTTAATTTCTTGCTCCGAGGATCGGTAATAGCCGTGGTCTCTGGTGGTTCGTGGAAGATGACGAGAAGAGGGCGCTGTTCCGCAAAGTTATGCCTTTTTGAAATTAGTAAATGGAGGGAGCATGGCAAGAGGATCAAGGACAATTGACGGCACTTTCCAACTGTGCAAGTCTGAGCGAGAAACTTACGTTGCCAGGACCTGCTTTTCGAAGCTCTTCGAAATCTTATCGCGCAGGATGAACAGCTCAGTCATCCTGAACTGATTCCAGAACTCGGTAGCATCCGCTTGCCTTACAATGTCATGTATCCTCCTCGCATGCAGAGCGTTGGCCACTGCTTTACTGTCGTGCTTCGGATACATGCATTTCCAGTATCTCGATTGGTATCTCTTGACGAGCTCCACCGTGCTTAGTCCCAAGGCCGACGGCTCAACATCCTCACCCAAGCGGTCCGGTGGCTCGCCCATCAGCGTTCTTGTGACGGCAACGGCAGACTTGGCAATTGACTGAAGATTGTATCCACCTTCCAAGCAAACGACTACTTTGCCATTTGCCAACGACTTGAGCATGTGTGTCATGTGCGCGTAACAGGGGGGAGTGACGAAGCACTTGCCGAGGCGATCGCCGTCAGCAGCATCGAATCCGGATGCTACGATGACGAGATCCGGATCAAACTCTTGGGCTATGGGCATGACGATCTGCTGGAAGGCGTACATGTAATCGCCGTCACCCATGCCTTGCGCGCTCCAGGGAATATTGACGTTCAATCCTAGTCCCGGACCTTCGCCGCAGTGCGTGTGATCACCGTAGTTGTTGCTCGGATAGAAAGTTCCGTTCATGTGGACATGGATGGAGATGTACAAAACATTGGGATCGTTGTAGAAAGCTCTTTGTACGCCGTTTCCGTGATGGACATCCCAGTCGAGAATCAAAATCTTGCGGCACTTGTCGGGGAAGTCTTGCTGGCACACTCTGGCGGCAACGCTGACGTTATTGAAAAAGCAAAAGCCTCCAGGCGAATCATGCTCAGCGTGATGGCCTGGCGGTCGGATTACTGCAACTGCATTTCTCACGTGACCCGCGACTACGGCGCGAGCTGCTTCAATGGCTCCGCCAGCTGATAGGCTTGCACAAGAGAAGGTTGCCGGATGAAGGTAGACGGAGTCCATGTCGGATGCCATCTCGTTAAGCGTCTCTTGCGAGTATTCTGAAGGGATATATTAATTTATAATCTATCTGGATGGGGAGACGTAGTCTTCGACTTACCTTGATATGCTTTCACCCGGGCGTAGTGGTCGCGGGTGTGAACTAAGCATACTTCTTCTTCTGTTGCAGCTCTGGCGTTGATCCGCCAAAGAGAAAAGTCAGGATCGGGAACGTGGTGTGTCGGTGTCTCTACAAGGCCAGCTTCGGCAAGCTCATTGAATATTTCCATGATCCTCCTGGGATCTTCGGGATGGATGTCATCTTCACTGAGCATTGCATCAAGCGGCTCGGTGTGGAATCTCATCCGCACATCGTACACGAGGCCAGAGCGTAGTGAGCTGTAGGGCAGCCTTTCATATTTGGGCTTGGGGGCATCGATGACAACCCAGGCCTTTTGGCGAATGAGTGAAGTAGTAGTGGCGTCCATTGCTTCGTCGGAGCTGTCGTCCGAGGAAGGCGGATCAGTCTCGATCATGGGCTCGCCAGCGGGCTCGGTGAATGGTCCAAGCGTCGGATCATGGGGTGAAGGAGGTGTCTGCCTCCCATCTCTCAAGGCTGACGGGGCATTGAAGATGAGAGAAGGATTGACCGTCTCATTCGTGCCATTGGGCGGCTCGTTTGCCCTGAGGGACGAACCGTCGTTGGCGACATAGATGTCGTGATCGAGGTTCATGGTGAGAGCGGCGCGCGAGCCCAAGAGTGATTATGATGCGGAAGCGAAGTCGGTCATCGAGACATCTTTAGCCAGTAAAGATTGTCTTGTGTAGAGTTAGCGGTCTGATGGTGATGATCCGGCCGAGAGAATTCCGAGCAAGGAGCAGAGAGGTTGGGGGCAGATGTGACGAGGGAAACAGAAAACAAATATACTCACGATAGTTGCCGAGAAGCGCGCCGATGTACGACTTGGAAAAGGAGCGAGGAAGGATAGTGAGGGCAGGAGAAGTGTGACGAGAGGGATTGCAGATAAAGAAAAGCTGGGGCAGATTTAGGCGGTGCAGTAGGCGGCCAAGGTGCGTAGACGACTTTGGCGGGTCAGCATATGTTTGTGGTCCGCAATGGGCAAGCCGTGACATAGAAATGGGAAGCTGCGAGGGAGCGACCACTCAAGCGACAAACGGGAGGGTGATTGCGCACGTGTTGCAAATGCAACCCACGCGAGAAACTTGGCACGGAGCATCTCACCTTGGTTCCTCGAAGCGATAGAAGCGTCAAATCTTCCGTAGAGAGTTTTGGACGTGGGTGGGAGGGCTCGGTGGCGGGTCGGGGATGTAGGTGTTGCATTCGTGGAGCCGCCAGGTGCAGGTGAGCTTGGGGTCCATCGGCAGAACCACGGCTGCCGTAACCAACCTCATTGGCTCATAAGAATGGTCGCTGCGTTTGTGCCTACATCTAAAGGCCGTTTCAGACATGACAATAAAATTCCATATCCATTTCAGTTGTCCTTAGTTCACATATAGCCAGTTCTCTTTTGGCTGCTCTGATCTGCCTATTTAAACTACTTGACACCAACGCTGTTCGGAGAAACCTCGCTGCATATGAGTACCTACTATGTATACTATTGACGCCTTAAAGTTTTTACTGTTTATGCCTTACCTTTCAATAAACTAGACCCTTCCGAAGAACCACTTAAAATCCGCTCTATCTCTGGTCCACATCAGGATTTGCTACAACGCAGAATCTTACAGAGAGCTTCGTTCCCCGGACTACGATTTTATCGGTCTACTTATTACTACAAAAGAGAGAAAACATGAAAGAATACGAGGGAGAAAAGGCGCAGCTATGCAGCTTCACTTCACAGTACTATGCCATGAGGACGGTTCACTTAGCATTGCAACGAACTCGGGGAGTTAAAGCTCTTATCTACATGCCTTTGTGCAACATGTAAATCGTGCATTCCCAAATGGATGCTTCAACTGCCCCTCTGTTATCATACTAACGGAGCCAACCTCATATGTCGCTTGAGCATGAACCCTCACTCCACTGCAATGCCATCTGCACACAACCATCATCACCACCACCACCATGACAACGTCAATCGAATAATCGAGCAAACTCGAACTCATGAGCTTTTACTTAATCCTTTCATCCGCTTGCTAGTTACACGAGATGCTCGAGCGTCACAGAAAACCGTTTGCCAGGTGTTTCTTTGTGAGCACTTACAGCGAGCAAACACGCCGGGAGCCCATCCCGAAGACTACGAAGCACTTCACCTCGTAGGTTAGAATGTTGCTTGAGATTATTTGGCCGTTTGTCACTTCAGGTCTGGCTCGTCGCCCATAGGAACGGTTGTTGGTCAAATGGCACGTTCACATGCATCTGGAACTCAGGTGTTCGCAAAAAAAAGTCATCAAGTTTTCCTGTCTATACACTGGGTTCTTCCCGTTTCCTCGTCACTGTCATGACGAAGCCATTAAGCTTATTTTTCCCCAATTCGGAAGACATCGCCTTTTACAGGCGGCTCCGATCGCCGATCTCTTCCCTAGAGATTCAAGCGTTGCCATCCTTCTTGGCAATGAAGACTGTATCGCAGAGTTAGCCATTTGAATGTAAACCTTTGGATTTTCTCAACTTACCCAGAAGGTCAAGGACACGGCGGGAGTAGCCCCACTCGTTGTCGTACCACGAGACGAGCTTGACGAAGTTGTTGTTGAGGGAGATACCGGCCTTGGCATCGAAGATGGACGAGCGGTTGTCACCGCACAGGTCAGAGGAGACGACGTCCTCGTCGGTGTAGCCGAGAATGCCGGCAAGGGGACCCTCGGAAGCCTGGCGGATGGTCTCCTTGATCTCGTCGTAGCTGGCGGGCTTCTCGAGACGGGCAGTCAGGTCGACGACCGAGACGTTGGAGGTGGGGACACGGAAGGCCATGCCGGTGAGCTTGCCGTTCAGGGCAGGGATGACCTTGCCGACGGCCTTGGCGGCACCAGTGCTGCTGGGGATGATGTTGGTAGCAGCGGTACGGCCACCACGCCAGTCCTTAGCGGAGGGACCGTCGACGGTCTTCTGGGTGGCAGTGTAGGAGTGGACGGTGGTCATGAGACCCTCAACGATGCCGTACTTGTCGTTGATGACCTTGGCGAGGGGAGCCAGGCAGTTGGTGGTGCAAGAGGCGTTGGAGAGGACCTCAATGTCGGGAGTGTAGCTGTCCTGGTTGACGCCCATGACGAACATGGGGGCGTCGGCCGAGGGAGCGGAGATGACGACCTTCTTGGCGCCACCCTTCAAGTGAGCCTTGGCCTTCTCGGTGGTGGTGAAGACACCGGTCGACTCGACGATGTAGTAGGCACCGGTCTCAGCCCAGGGGATGTTGGCGGGGTCACGCTCCTGGTAGAAGCGGACCTTCTTGCCGTTGACGGTCAGGTCCTGGCCGTCGACCTTGACCTCACCCTTGAACTGGCCGTGGGTGGAGTCGTACTTGAGCATGTAGGCCTGGAGAGGCGTTAGCCATCCGCTGCTCCGGTATCCAAGCAAGCTTCCAGGAAGCTCTTGTTTCAAGATTGTGGTGTACGTACAGCATACTTGGGCTCAATGAAGGGGTCGTTGACAGCGACGACATCGACATCGCCGTGCTCGATGCTGGTGGCACAGGGTTAGCTAGGGCGGCGGGGTAGGCGGGGTAGCAGCTCGTTGTACTTACGCGTTGCGGAAGACGATGCGGCCAATGCGACCGAAACCGTTGATGCCGACCTGTGTCCAGCTGTTAGGAGCGGCTTTGATGGAGCAACGACGACGTTAGGCCGTACCTTGACCATGGTTGCTAAGGGTTGTTCTGTTGAGCCTGACGTCAGCAGCTGTCTGAGAGGCAAAGGACGGCAGGCAAGAAGGCAGATGGACTTACCTGAGGAGTTTTGGGGAGGTGCTGGGAAGAGTGTTTGGATGGAAGTGCAGAGAGAATTGCTGCGAAGGTGGGCGATAGGAGGGGTATTTGTAGTGTGCCTGTTGAGAAAAGCGTGGCGGTTGGTGGGGGTGTGAGGGGCAGGTTTACTTTACAAAACGCGTGTATAACGTGATCAAATTTGCGCCTTTTGATAGTCTCGCATGCACCATCTCAGCGCATGGCGCGACAAACTCCACGAGAGCTCCCATCGCAGCTCTCAGATGATATCATCCAGGGCCTTGCCGCCTTGCACGGCCGGATCGCCTTCGTCCCCCGCATGCTGCCTCGGGACTGGGGCCTGCAGCCAGCCCTTCCCGACTTTGCCCGTCCGACCCCGGATAAAATCGCAGCGGCCGCGATCAGTGCTTCGTAAAATACAAAACGCTTGGCATACACCACGAAAGATAAAAAGAGCGGCTCCAGGAGTCGCTGCGTAAGGCTGTGAGCGATTTCGCAGCCCGTATCGCGACCGACCCACCTGCATTCGAAGCCTCTAGCCTCAGGCAGGCCACTGTCGAATGTCATGTATTGTACCGCTGGTCTGACATAGTATGAGAGCCCACTCATCGGCCCGGTAATCTGCTACCCTGCGCATCGTGCGCTCGATGAGTCGAAACATCACCACATCCAGCGCCGAATCCTGTCTCACAAATGCGGGCTGAGCCGCAGGAAAGGGCGCAGTGTAACGAGATCCAGTTAGCACATCAGATCACCGCCGCCGCCTTCCACCAAGGTGCAATGCCGCTCTCGGCAGGCAGGGTGAGATTCATAATCCTGAGCATTGCCACAGCCCTCATCCATCGCGCCGGAGCATCCGGCCGGTCTGTTGTGACGCTGCGCTGCTGCCGGGGCGCGGCACAGCGGACGCACCCTCCCGGAGCGGCGGAACGATGCCACTTCACACTGACGTTGAGCGGGCCAAAGGCCTTGTTGGGCCCGCCTTAACACACCAGGAGTCGCCATGGACTTGGCTTTGTTTGAGAGTGCCGCCAGCCGGTGAAGAATGCGTTGGTAGGTTGAGCTTTCTATTGGCATTTTTTTTTCTTCATGCTGCAGATCAATTCTGCACGCCCGTCATATTTTCTTTTGCAAGTCTCGTGCTTATTTTATTATTAATTGCCAGAGGCCGAAACTACTTTCTGACGCAGCCGCCCAACCTCAATTCGTCCTGTCGCCTCCCTCCGGTGTCGAATTCAGCATTGCGTGGGCTGGCACGCCCCGACGGACGGACTCACCGATGCGATAAGGAGCGAGATCGTCGGCCGGCGGCGAGTTCCTCAGGATTTTGTTGACCGGAAAGCATGGACAACAGTCAGACTCGGCGTACAACGAACATCGTACGAATGCTTAGTACAACAAGGTCGGTCTGCTTAGTATTGCAGCACAGTCGGGACAGTTGAATCCATCGTCCGGATGTGTTTGTTCAAATGCGCCGTACATTCATGCCCGGATGGATGCTTCAACTGCCCCTCCTCTGTCGCAAGACTAATGGAACCCGCCTCGTACGAATGCTTAGTATGGTTATGACTGGCAAGCGGCATGCGCGCACGCGGTCGAGGTGGACTCTGTGTGTGGCCAGCACGGCACGGCACCCCAGGCGCCTCCGAGGCGGGCGAGGAATTTTTTTCTGCGGTTGCGTTGCCGATTACGGAGGTTCGGAGTTGCGATGGATTGGGCAGGGTGGTGCCATTGCTGCAGTGACGACAGCGGGATTCAACAACACCATGTCTGGCACATCGCAGCCCTGGAGATCTCGCAACGGGCCCAAAGAGGTAGTGACAGACGGGGGTGCAGGGCAGCTGGCGAATCACAGCGGCCGCTTTGGTAATGCAGCAATTGAATCGACGGCGGCTCTGGAGCTGCAGGCAGTTTCGGTGCTCGCAGCTGGCACCAGATGCAACTGTATACCCAACCCATTGGAAATGCTTGAGTTTGCTCGCACAGGACAGCGGGATGGCGTGAGAAGTCGAGCAGTGCTTGGATACCAGCGCCGTCTCAGGCGGGCTTAGCGCGCCTCGGGCTCTCTAGCGTGCCTCTGATTGGCCCAATTTGTGCTCACCATGGAAGCTGCGTCGAGCTGCTGCAGAGGCGCAAACTCCAGAAAAAGGTACCTGTGACGTCGCTGGACTCGGCCGCGAGCAGCTTTCCTGTCGACAGGTCCATTGACGTTGGCTGTGGCGGTTCGTCGTTGCTCGATTTGCAGCGTCTGCTCGGGACTAGCCGTGGCGTGAGACGTCCATTTTCTGATCCATCCACGCGAACCCTCATCATCGTTACTCTCGCCCTGCCGCAATCAACCACCCACCGTCCATTGGCCCGTTGTCGTGAGCCCCACGGCTACAGACGAAGTTTCTCCCTCGGTCTCTGTGCAACTCTCCACTCCACGCCTCCACAATGCTGCGCTCCAACGTGCTCCGCGCCGCCGCCCGCTCGGCTCCCTCGGTCGCTCGCCCTACCCTCCGCGCGCCCAAGCTCGCCCAAGCTGTGTGCGCCCAGCAGCAGTCCCGCCAGGCCCACGCCATCTCGAACCCGACTCTGGCCGACATTGAGAAGCGATGGGAGCAGATGCCGCCCCAGGAGCAGGCCGACCTCTGGATGGCCCTGAGGGACCGCATGAAGGTTGACTGGAAGGAGCTCACCCCGCAGGAGAAGAAGGCCGGTACGTAACCATGGAGGGTGGAGGAATTGCTTGCGAAGCTGCTGTTGATGGCTCTGCCGTTCTGGTGTGCGCTGTCGATGCTTTTCGTCGATTCGTTATCGCTGCGAAAACACCATCATCATCCGCTGACCCGAATCGTTCGATAATAGCCTACTGGATCGCCTTTGGCCCCCACGGTCCCCGCGCTCTTGCCCCGCCCGACGAGACCAAGAAGGTCATCCTCTACACGCTGCTCGGCGTCGCTGTCGCCGGTGGTCTGTTCGCCTTCACTCGCATCTTCGCTGGCGGAGAGCCCAAGACGATGACCAAGGAGTACCAGGAGGCTTCCGAGGAGTTCCTCAAGGTACCGTTTCCGCCGGTGTCTGGTAGTTTTGATGGGGAGCTGACGCATGGCAAAACAGGCACAAGGTTCCGAGCCTATTACCGGCTACAAGGGTATGCTCATCCAGAGCAAGCCGGGTCCCAAGGAGTAAACCCACCATGGATAGTCCCAAGATACAGTGGCCTTTGTAGCACACAACAGTCCAATTTTCTTTTGTCGCCATATGTGAGAATAGTGAGGGGGGCTGCAGCGCGTTTGGCTGGAAGGTCGCCGGTCTGGTGCCGGGCCGGCACTGCGAAATCTCATGCCGCTGTACAGAAAATAGAAGAGGCATTGCTTGATACCAACGATCCCACTGGCTTCCGAGCGCGCCTTGCCAATTCGCCGTCAGCCCACCAATTGCTCAACAAAAGACAAGATAATATCAGAGCGAATGCAGCTCCCCATGAAAATAAGTATTATTTGCTTGGTCCCAGACATCCGGAAGGCGATCGTATGATCCGCGCGTACCCCGACTTCTTGAAACACATGATATCATCACAAGCGTTATACTACTTCGCAACCACGCGTGACATCTGCAAAGAGCCGTGCCTCCAGGCGGGAGTGTCCGCTTTTTCCGTGAAACGCAGCGAATCCGGCTGTTTCCCGCCTGGGTCAAGTCACTGCAGCCCTATAAGCTGCAGTATCTCGTCTCATGTCATATGTACCCATTATAGCATGATAACGCTGGGATGGAGTCTAGACTTCGGGGTCGGTTCACCTAGTATGCACCAAAACGGGGAGCCGAAGCTCTTGTCCGGGTGCCTTGGTGCCATGCATTCAGGTCTGGATGAGTGCTTCAAGTACTCCTCTGTTGCCATACTAATGGAACCGACCTCATACGACTGTCCAGGAGCTGAAACACATAACCTACGGCTAGATGCAATAATTCCGCAGCGCAAAGCTGTGGAATTGCGCTCGCGTATAATTTTCATTGCAGCTGTCTCCATTGAGCGGCCGCTTGTGTGCGTGTGTGGTGTAGCTTAAGCTCGTCCCGTCAGCGCGCGCGCGCACGACCACACGTCATCGTACGCCAAACGCCCAGGCTTTTCCCCAGACCGCAATCCCCATCTACGAATCTGCACCATCCCGTACTTTTTTCCCCTACCAATCCAAAAATGCTGTGAGGCACAGCAGAAGGCTGCCCTCAGGCAGCAATGGCTACCGGGCGCCTTGACCAACCCAACTTACCCCCCGGCCGACTAAATATCCCAATTCACCGCTGAGCCGCACAGTACCGTAGCTCTCGATACCGCCGGTTGATACCCTTCAACCTCGTCTTCCTCCCCGTTTGACGCAACACCCTCCCAACCATGCCACCAAGCGGCGAACGCATCGTCAGCACCAGCACCGGCGACATCCTCGGTAGCCGCTGGGGACGGCCAACAGCATCCTCGTTGTCCTTTCCCCCCGCGCCGCGTCGACGACCCGCGCCGCAGACCACAACCGCCACTGCGCCGCAACCACAGTCGGTCGAGAGAACACACAATGGCGGCGACATCATAGGCAGTCGGCGAGCAGCGGCGGCGGCTACAGCGGCGCCGCCCGAGCCCATCATCAGCACCATCGACGAAGGCGACATCATCGGCCGGCGCTGGGTACCTACCATCGACCGCCCGAACAGCAACAACAAGCAGCAACTCCTCTCCTCGCGCCACGCAACGCCGTCTCCCCACAGCAACAGCAACAGCAACAGCCGCAGTCCCGCGCCGAGCCGCTCCACCACCACAACCACCGATCCCGCTCCGGCAGCGGGAGGAGGCCAACGCCAACAGCAGCAACAAGCACACCAACAACTCGACAAGCTCAAACGCCTCATCGACCGCCTCTCCTGGAAATCCCACACCCTCGTCTTCACGCAATCGGTCGCGCTGCAATCCGGCGCGGCCATGGCCAACGCCGAATCGTCGTCGACGACGACTTACGCGCAGCCGACGACCATGTTCAAGCTCGACTTCTTCGAGTACTACGCCCTGCTCGAGCGCATCCTCGTGCTCTTCCTCGGCTTCCACCGCGTGCCGCTGCCATCCAACAAAATCAATGGTGGCGAGCTTCTTCCGATATCAGGGAAGGGCGGCGCGTGGGGCCACAGGTACCACGAGAGCGTGCTGGAGGCGCTGGAGGGCGCGAAGACGCGGGGTGGCGGGTTGGAGGCGTTGGGGAGTGAGGAAGTAATAGCGGTGCTGCGCCGCGCGAAGGGGTTCCGCAATCGGTGGAAGGATGCGGATGAGCAGGTCGTGCCGGCGTGGGAGTGGCAGCGGGAGGAGGTGGAGGAGTTGCGGTTGGTGGAGTTGTTGGAGGTGGTGTTGCGGGCGTTGGAGAGGGCGTACAGGGGGGCGGAGGCGAGTCTGGCGGGTGCAGTGAATGGTGGCGTTGCGGATGGGAGTGAGAATGGGAAGGGAACGTGGTTGGAGGTTGGGGGCTTGCAGCATGGGTATGTGGATGAGGATATGGAGGATGCGCCGTGGGAGGCGGTGGGGGATGCGATGGAGGATGTTATGGATATGGATATGGATGTGGAATGAGCGTCGGGATTTTAGGTCGGAGCATTGTTTTGGGCTTTTTTATTTTTGTGGCCATTGTGCCGTCCTGTTGTATCTGGACATTTCGCAGTTTTCTGTGGTTCAGGAAGTTAAGGTGTTGGGGCACTTGAGGTCGGGTTAACGGCGTTAGAGAAGAGATTGGTAGGGCGTCCTACATATGTAGATAGATACCCCGTACACGGCGGTTATTCTTCGAGCATCTCAACCCCTTTGGGCTAATTCAACGTCCCAATTTTCTAATTTCATTGAACCTTAGGAGATCGAGATTACCAGTTGGCACTAGTGAGAAGAGCGCTTTGCTGCAGTCAAGCAGTTCTATGGACATGTCAAGGAGCAGTTTGGGCAAGAGCTAATATTGTTTTCAACGCTGGTCATTCTACCTTGCTTATACTCCATAAAATAAGCAATATCAGGTTTAGAGTTCTCGAGCCTGAATTCCTTGATGAATAATGGCCGAGCTACTGAGTAGCATAACCTATGGCGCCTCAGGTTCCGGTACTACTATCGACTCTAAAGGGATGTATGAAGCTCCGCGCGATTCCCGTCTATTAATGGAGGACCGGCCACGAGATGGCAAAACAACGGTAGTGAGAACCATTTGCTCGACTCCAGTGCCTCCAAACAGCCTTGAACTAATGATTCCTTCCCCTCGTAACGATGCTATCCCCGTACATACTACAGCAAGCATAGTAAACCCCATTGTACCAAGGAGAAACGGACCAATACTAGATGGCTTCATGAGGCGAACGATGGCAGTCCCAGTAATAAAATCGAACATGAATAGCTTGAGGTATTGCACAAACCTCCATGACATCGGATACAAGCCCGGCTGCTCGCCTGAGGTCAGCGGGACCAGCATATTCATAAAAGTTTGGGTCCGAGGCGATTCCATGCCGTACAGGAGTACGAGTCGGACTCTGGTGATTATATTCATACTTCAGTACAAATCAAGGACTTCTGTGACCTGAGGTACTTACGCTATGCTCCAGACCACAAACATGATTGCGGCTGGCTTGCGGTGGCTTGCTATGGCGATCCCGCAAGCCACCAGAGAAGTTAAAATGCTGATTACCGCAGCTCTAATTCTACAGTTTCAGCAGATAATTCTGTGGGTATCTTGAGGCAACAGTATGCGATATTCTTACATTGTTGCAAGCTTTCCTGAGGCAGTTTAGTTCAAGGGCTTCTCAATGTGGACATATTGGGTTCCCATACCAAATTTTACTTTTCGATGTGAGTAACAGAGTAGAGGACATACTCTGGTCCTCATCCCTGGAATCGCCATCTTTCGAGGTGGTTTATTACGCGTTGTCTGGATAGATATTTTCTGAGAGTGACGAGGCTGAGGTTTAAAAAGCTGGGAGCGAAAGAAAAAGAAAAAGAAAGAAAAACAAGGGAAGGCTGATCCTACCCCTCCCAGAACAACTCAAGCAGAACCTGAATCCGGATGCATGTATAAGCAGCTTGCATATGCTTGCATATCCAAGTCAGCTGGGTGAAGCGGGGAAGAAACGCCCGACCTATGCGGTTGAATGGCGAAGAAAACCAAGCTTCACTTTCGCAAGCTCAAGGTCGTGTCGTCTGCACCCTTATTATTCACTTCATTATCTCATTCTCAAAGCGTCATTTATGTGCCTTTCGACATCTGCGCGAAACTTGTGCTGAAGGGTTTGGCTGCGGCGGTTCTCGCTATGCCTTCTACATCGGCTTCAGCCTTGCCACGACTCACCGGAGAGCGCTCAATCCGGCTCCTTCGAATCAAGCCAGCCCGAAACACAGGAATCTTGGAGTGTGAAGTCAAAACAGTGGACAGCCTCGACCATGTTCATGCTTTCGATGCTTTATCCTATCTTTGGGGCGATATGACAAGACGGACAGACATCATAAAACTGAACGATGTCGAGTTTCCTGTTACGAGCAACTTTCTGTCCATACTTAGGCATCTCAGGCGCTTCTTCGACACGGATGGCTCCTTAGAAGATTCGTGGGATGAATCACATCCACTCCACTCATCTCACAACGTTTGGCGGTCGTTTTCAAGGAATGTCCACGAGCATGATTCGGCCTTCAACCCGCGATCCGAGTGGTTGTGGATTGATTTGATCTGCATCAACCAGGATGACCTCGACGAACGAAGCTCTCAGGTCGAGCTTATGAGGGACATCTACAGGACCGCCAGATCCGTGCGCATCTGGTTTGGGGAGGAAGATCCAACACCAACTCCCTTGGGCCAATATGGCAGGATCAGTCGGTTCACCATGAAACGACACTTGGGCGAATTTGGATCAGTTCCGATATTGCTTGTCTTCATCAATCAAGCACTGCGAAATAATGATAGTACTGGAAGAGTGTGGTATGGGCAGCTGATAGCAAATATGGTTCCTGCAACGCGACATCGGTTTCACGGATTCGTACCACCAGCAGCGGCAGAGTGGAAAATTCCTGCGAAATTTTTCGACAATGACTGGTTCAAAAGAGTTTGGACTATCCAAGAAGCCGCCGTCAGTAAAGTTGACAACGCTGTTGTCGTGCTCGGAGAATGGGAGATCAAATGGTGGGCGGTTGGGAAAGCTGCCCAATGGTTTAAAGAAAATTTGTATTCGAGCCTACCCACCCAAAATGCGACTGCCACATGGCAAATCACCTTGCAATCAAAGGAGCGTGTACCGCTCTTAACACTCCTGGAAACCGCCCGGAACAGAGGAGCATCAAATGGCAGAGACAGAGTATACGCCATGCTGGGACTTGCCAAAGATATCAACATTGCGCCAGGCGAGCCATACAGTCGACTCCTCAGGCCAAACTACAGAAAAACCGAGCAAGCGGTATTCCACCATGCAGCCATGCATCTCCTCAAGAGAGACAAAACCCTCTCCGTTCTTTCTCACTGCGAGCAGTCAAACACTCTTGCATTTTATTTCTCTCCTTCTTGGGTCCCCGTGTGGTCGGTTCCCCAGGCCGCAAACCCTTTCCCTTTCAAGACCACTTATGCCAAATGCCCGTTTAGAGCGGACGATGGGAAAGAAAGAGACATGCAGCTTTCTGATAAGGTGCTCAATGTGAAAGGTGTTAGCTTTGACCGCGTAGCTACGCCTATCAAGCCTTTCGGCACCTTTAGAGACAACACAAGGCTATACCGGGAAGAGCGAGACCATATAGCCTCCATCTGGGACTCAGTAGAGCAGGCCTTGAAGCAACAGACTCCATCCTATGTTCGCGAGCAAGCTTTTCGGGCATTCCTGTTAGCTCTCACAGCCGGCGTCGATAGCACGGGCAAAGATGGGGAGGCGACGAGGAACTTTCAAGCGGGATCCCGACCGTGGCTGGGGACCTATTTTCGGGACTTTCGCCAGATGTCCTTCCGTGACCGATCAGCTCAAGGGGGCGGGGGAAGACTTTCAGCCTTTCAGAATGCGTGCGCTCGCGCCTGCAAAAACCGTCGAATATTCGTCACGGACAAAGGCTCTATTGGATTGGGGCCAGAACAGACGGAAGAAGGTGACCACGTAGTAGTGCTTTTCGGTGGGAAATTTCCTTTCATTCTACGTCGGATGTACGATGGTTACGTCTTGATTGGAGATTGTTACGTCCACGGTAGCATGCACGGTGAGGTAGTCATGGAATGGGAGGAGAATGGCAGTCCCAACGAAACTTTCAAGATTGTGTGACGATGGGAGTATTTCGGGTTACTTTCATTCAGAATCAGTCTTCATTTTTCAAGCCAAGCCCCAGATTGTTTGACACAGATTTGCCAGTACTTAACCAATACTCTTCCAATAAAACTTAATGATTCAAAGTTTGATATTCAGTCGTGCTTGGAAAAAGTTAGATATTTGATTGATGCCAGATACGCAGCCTCGCAGCACAAGTCCATCAGTTACGCTTTGTTGCCGCCGAAAGGTGCTGTGCACCGGCTTATGGATGTGACGGTATGAACATGTAGCTGTAATAAAAGCAGATAGAAGCCACTGCTCGTAGATTCTGTTAAAACTGGAAGGTGGCTCCCAGAAGAGTAGGTAGAAAATCTGTCAAACCTGTTACTTGCTCGATATTAGAAGCAGGGATTCATCTGGCACGATCTATATGCAGACTACTTAGGAAACCTATGGCTAGTCATGTCCCTGACCAGTATCACCCGTTGTTTGAGCCTTTGACACCTGGCGTTGAATCACCCAGGAGGATCTGTCCTCCACAACTCCTTCTCGATCAACACTCACTGGTCCTTTGCAAGACCGCAATTTGGCACATTCCGCGGAACGCTGTCTCCGCACCACAGCCAGCACGAAGGAATGCCAAACCGCCTCCTGACCCATTCTTCAAACTTCCGCTCTCACTGCCCCCATCTCCCATCACTGCCCCCATCCCACCCCTTCGCAGCTCCGCTTTTCATCAGCTCACAGCCATCCGCCCCCAAACCTCGAAAGCCCCAACCAATCAGCACCCACGGTCGCTAAAAGGCACAAAGTTAGAAAGCACGGGTCGGTCATGCCGTGCCGCCAGCCAACCCAACCACCCGAAAACCGGTACGCTAATGCAACTGGCGTACCAGAGATAAACGGCCGCACCTGCCGAACGATGGCATAGCGGCGGAAGAGGAAGCAAGCCTCGTCCGGCTCCTCCCATAGCTCCATCCGCCAACCATGCGTGCCCAACCTACCCCCACCTTCTGCTGCGCATTGCGCATGCAGGGTTTGCTGACCAGCCAGAAGTGAGAAGTCGTCAATCCCCAACGCTAGCTCGGGGGGAAGGTCAGCCGCGCGCTGGTTCCCGTCGATAGCGCGAACCAGAGAATTTTTACTCTGCATAAGTGAAAGGGCATCATGGCGTGAAGGGAGAAGACGCGTTTATTTGTTGATGGTGTTCGGCTTCCTCCATAGCGTACATGCTTCGCGCTGACTTACTCTTTCCGGAAGGAAGCATTGGAAAACGGCACATTCGACGGCAGGCGGTGGTGGCTGAGAGATTGATGCAGCATGGGCAATGGGAGTGTGCAGAATTTTTTTTTTTAAAAAAAAAAGACAGAGGTGAGTTCACAAGAAGAGACAGAAGCAAAAAAAAAAAGAACAAGACACCAATGGAAGAATCCCGTTCAGAACAATAATAGCAAAGATAGGCGCTACCAGACGCTTCGTCCTATACAACTGCTCACTACCGCCAAAAAAGTTTTGAAGTCCACCCTAACAACCACTTTCTGCCGGGAGAAAGGGAGACTCTCTGCCGCCATCCCTCTGCTGCTCCCCCCATCCGTCCAAGCCACGCCGAGCCTTGTCACCCAGCAGCAAGGCCCACTGCTATAGTGCCTAGCACTCTACGCGTCCAGCGGTCCACAAATGAGAGGAGCGGGCTCGGAGGAAATTTGGTCGTCGTCCCACATAGTAACACTGACCGGCCGGCAGCCATCGGCAACAGCGGGCGGCGGCGGATGCGGGCAGCGGAAGCCCAAGCGCATTTCGCGCGCTGTGGGCACTCAGAAAATGTGACGTACCTAGCCCGCTCATCCGCCTTCACCGGCGTCTCTTTCTCCCTCTTTCTCTTAGCGAGGATGTGGGTGGGTGTCGAGAACAATGTGGAGTAAATCGGAGCTAAGCTAGTCAGTGGTGCAACGTGGTGGACCACTTGCTATTTACTAAAAGGGCCTTGATATATTAATCACGAGACGGTTTATCCGAAAACGGCATGGGGAAGGGGCAAGGACGAGTAGTAAGTAGCTAGGCGCCGATGACATCAACAGCAGCAGTTACACAACAGCCGGACGGAAAGCCGCTGCGCGGCAGTTGGAGGGATTCGCGGTTCCTCTTTATTTTTTTTTTGTTGACTGTGCACATCTCTTACTCCTTCGCGTTTGGATATCGATAGCGCCGCACTGCCGCCGCCGCCGTAGCCATATTTTTTTCTTAGTAGCAAAAAGCCAACGCAAGGCCGTTCTGCCGTCCGGTCAGAGAGCGCTAAGCCTCAAAGGAGCCCATGACGGAGTGGTGTCACGGGTGTGTGGAGCGCGCAGGCCAAGCAATGCCAGCGCAGGAACCAGGGTGGTGTCCAAGCTGGCTGGCGACGTTCCAGAACGTTTGAGGCCGGCAGTGTGATCAGCATTGCTGACGAAGAAAGAAAAAGAGAGAAAAGAAACCTGGCCGCCGACGGCGGGGACCGGGGTCAGAGGGAAAAGAAGCCTTTGTGTGTGTTGTTCGGCTCGGATCCTCGGATTTCGCTTAAGCGGAGCCCTGTTGATCTCAGCTCGTCAATCGAGCAGGGGTGTGTTTGAGAGATCCAAGGTCAGGAGCAATGTCCGTTGTAGTCATTTGAGAGGCTGAGCTGAAAGAGAGTCATGGAGCTTCGATGCGATCGTGGGCTATGACAGGTCGTGTGCATCGAGTCTTGTATTGTATGGAAGGTGTGGAAAACGAGTGGTGATATGTGACCTGTTCGCCCTAACCCTCCTGTCTCATGTTGTAACCCTCACATCTCAAACATTGGCCCTCCTGCCAGAAGGCAGTCTGTGGGGAAATAGCCGCTCTGTTTTCCTTCTCTCTCAGGCACGGAACAACCCATTTTCTCTCCGAACCCTGTATAATCAGCAGTGGTTGCAGGGAAGAATTTTTGGGATTCTCGGAGATTGGCCAAGCTGCTTCACATGCATGCGTGCATGCAATGCATGACAACCTCACAGCCAACATAATAGCCGGTATGAGCATCCCAACTGAGAGGTCCGGGGCACCTGCCACAAAAGCCACAAGTTCGCCAGCCTGTGGCTTAGTCAACAACGGCAAACGCCTTTTCTATTAGTGCAGAGCTAGCAGACTTGACCGGTGGTCCACTTTGGGAATGGGAACTCGTGAAGAATAAACTAGAGCTCCGTGATTTGACAGATGAAGCCACTTTCCCTTACCCGAGCCGCAGTGCGGTTCCGTAGGGTGACGACGACTTCGACAGACGAACAGACGATGGCGCAGCCGACGACGCAGGCCAACGACAACGAAAGCCCAACGCAGAGGGCCATTACTGTCTGTGCATCTGGTTCCGTGCCTGTTTAGTAAGACTTTAGCAGCGAATCGCGTTTTTGCACGAAGGATCGAATAAACCACACGATACTTCCGCACGGGTGTTGTTGCACAGCTCATCAAAGCGCACAGCACACACAGCTAAACCACAGACCATCCACCATCCACCTGTTCGCCCAACAACATGCCACCACCCCCCTGCCAACATCATCCGCACGTCCACACACAACACAACGCAGAACACAACACAGGGCGGAAAAGCACCGACACGTTTCCGAACATCTCCGCTCGCCAACCCTTTCCTCCTCCCCTCCCTTCATCATCTCATATTGTATCGTGCCAGAGAGAAATAAAAGAGTGCAAGTGGTGACGACGACGACGCCCGAACACCACCATTACCTATACGAGATGCTCACCACACAGACACACGGAAAACTCCCACACATGGCTGCCTAGTTACTTACTCTGCCCACGACCCCCCTGGCCGTTTCACCTTTTTTCCGTGCCCACGCCGCGCGCCGAACTCCCGCCTTGCCGTTGCACCTAACCGGGCGCTAAGCCTACCACGCGCATGCCCAAATCGAGTGCGGATCAACCGTTCCCATCCGGGCGCCCCCCTTTACCAAAAAAAGGTTTCGACGAGTCGGGCGGCGTCGGCTCTTTTTTTGCCTCGTTTGCTGTTCGAACGGTGCGAAACGGTGTCCTTGCTTTTTCGTTTGTACGGGGAAAATCCTAGCTTTCGAAAAATGCTTCCGAGATCTTCTGGAACAAATGATAGGCAGCTAAAACTGGTAGGTGGTCGTGTGCTGGTCTTTGCATTGCCACGTGAGGTACAAGAGAGCTGTTCATCAATCAGGGTGAAAGGGACCATGGTTGGTGGTCTGCATGTGATCCCGACTACGCCCAAACCACGTACACCAACCTCATGAATCTGCTGCTGCTCTGTATCAGAAATATATTCACCATCGGATGAAGAGAGAAATTGGGTTTCAATGCACATTTTCAATTCCGACCGAGAGCTGTCTACATTCCGGGATATCGCCGTGCGAAGCAGGTTCTTGATGCCAAAGTGTCGAAATGAGAGAAGCCTCGCCGGATGACTTTGAGAAAAAGGGGAGCAACGCACAGATAACCCCTGCATCGCCTAACCGAAGCTGCTGCCCCTGCCACTCGTCGAAGCACTGGCCTATGGGAAAACGTGGGGTTGAAGTATTAAGAGAGAGAGGTGGGGGGTGTGCGAGGGCTGTGTTGCGCTCAGTTATGCAGCAAAAGAGGAAGCCAGATTGGGAGGGGGATGTCTCGAGACCATGATTGTTCGTCCATATCGTAAAATAGAACTGAAAGTGACAAGCCGTTGTCATTAACCCGTACCCTACTGCTGGTCGTCATCCTCGGGCTGGTCGAACAGGAAATTTGCCGCCAGCTCCTCGTTCTTGTCGCACGCGAAGTAGGCCTGCACAACAAGGTCCCTCTCGAATCCGAGGCGGCACAACTGCTCTGCGGTTAGCTTCTCGAACGGGCCAAGGGGCTGCTATATCGATACGTACCCTGTCGATAGCCTCACTCTCCTCCTCCGTAATGCTGACAACCTGCGCACCGGGCGGGAGAGGAGTATCGTCGTCGTGGTCCTCGCTCAGGAGGCTGAGGAACTGCTCAGGGTGGTCGGCGATCAGCTGGGCGAGGCCAGGGTTGCCCTGGCCAACCTGCTGTAGGATGGGCTCGAGCATGTGAGGTTGTTGTTGCACAAGCTGGCGGAGCTGCTGGAACTGAGGGTTGTTGCGGAGGAAGTCGAGGTCGCCGGCACCAGCACCAGCAGCGGCGGCAGCAGCAGCTCCAGCACCGGCACCGGCACCAGCTCCAGCAGCCGCAGCTCCCCGCGCACCAGCACCTCCGCGACCACCCTGACCCGCTGCGGCCTCGAAGAGGTTGACGGGCTCGTCTCCGCCCGAAGCGGCTTGGGGAGCTGCGGTCTGTGCGCCTGCACCCGCAGCGGGTGCGGGAGCGCCACCCTGCTGGGCCGGGGCATCACGCAGAGCGCTCTCGGGAATGCCGGTCAACAAATACTCGACGGCACGGTCAGGGTTGAAGTAGGCCGCCCTCATGGCGCGGTCGATGTCTGCACGCGGGAATCCCATGCTCTCCATGTTTGCAATTGCCGCCTCTCTCTCGGGACCCATGGTCAAGGACGAAGGGTTGTTGAACTGGCCACCTTGGGCCTGGGCCTGGGGCGCAGCGGGTGCGGGGGAGGGGGTGGCGGGGACATTGGGCGTGGTAGACGACGACTGCGCAGGGGCGGACGGAGTGGAAGCCTGGGCGGGCTCGCGGGCAGGAGTCGAAGGAGCGGCCTTGCTGGCAGATGCGGCAGGCTGGGGTTTTGGCTGGTCAAAAGTGAGCATTCGAGCTCGCAAGCTTCGAGTACCTGGTTGAAACACGGACCTTCTGGATCATGCAGACGATGAAACCCTTCTCCTCGATGTTGTACGATTCCACGGTCTTGTCATCCTGGAGAATCTTGCCTGCGCCCAACGTTAGTAATCGGGCTTGGATGTCGCGTTGCGCCTCAGAAGTTTACCGGAGTAGATCAGCTTCTGCTTGTCCGCTTCCCAGCCTTTCTCGGCGGAGATTTTGGCCTTGACATCGGCAATCTAGCAACGGCGGGGATCAGCACGCGGTCTCGAGTTTGTTGAATAGCGCGGCGGGGCGCGTGGGGTGGCGCACCGTCTCAGAGGGCTCTGCCTCGATGACGAACTTTTGTTGCTTGAGGTCCTGGGCGGGGGGATTAGCATGCAGTCGGGCGAGGCTGATGGGCTACGCATACCTTGAAGGTGAGCTTCATGGTGACGATAGCGGCGGGGTTGGCACTGCGGGTGGGGTGTGGCGGCGAGTAAGAGGCAGATGCCGGGCTTTTATTCGCGTCAGACAATGGACGGGGGCCTGCAGGTGCGCAAACGCGATGCAGAATTTTCAACGGGGTCCGCAAGCGTTGATGGAGTTTGGTGAGGTGAGGCAATGAGGTAGGCACGATTACAGTACGAGCCACCGCGAGAGGCGGCGAGCAGGCGCCACTGCGGAAAGTCTTGGCGAGTTTGCACCAACTCCAAACCTCCGCTGCTAGGCTGCCACCATACCTCTCCCCCATCACGCTCGCTGCCGTACCACGCGTGCTCGAGGCTCCGCGGCACGCACCACCGTCCGGGCGAACTATCGATCGCCTTCTCGTCCACGGTTCACCGCTTTTCGAAACTCGCCCTGAGCATCGTGGCCTCCGCTTCACCTCCTGGAGTCCACATGGTTACCGAGAGCCCTTAGCCGCCGCAGCACGCAGAGAAAAAAAAAGACAAAACAAACAGGACCCTGGAGGCGCAGAGGGCTCGCTCGCGGCTGGTGTCGTGATCGGTTTTGAGGCGCAGGTGCGGCAAGGAGGATGCAAGACAGCTGCACGAATGCTTCACGCCTGAACATGCTAGGCTGCTGGAATGAGGCCGCGCCTACGGAGAACGGCCGATTAAGCGAGAGCCGACCGAAGGCTGTCGGCGCGGCGGGTGCCGCATGATGGACCCGCCGCTTAAGGTGCGCTCCCGAAGCCGCACGTCTCCGCAGCCTCCTTCATCACCGCGGAGCGTAGGGCAGACGCGCGCACAGGCGTCTTGTCGCCGAGCCAGCATGGGGCTCTCGTCGGGCTCGTCGGCCATGGCACGCTGCCCTCCACACGAGCGCCATCAGCGCGCTCTCCCGACACAGGCGCTGGCCACGCTGCCATTGGCGGCCACGCGCATGTATTCGTGCCACGGGGCGCTGTGGACTGCGGCTTGTCCTACGCCGCGACTGGGGGCAACCCGACTGTGTGCAGCGCCGCGCAGCCTCAGCTCGCACCCGGTGGGCGCTAGCCCGCACCGCGGTGGCAGCGTGTTTGTTGACCCAGCGCTGTCTCGTGCTTCTTGCCAGTAAACAGCGCGGGCTGTTTGACGTCTGGTTTGGCGCACGGAAATGACGAGGGATCCGCCTGCGAACGGGCCCGCTGCGGGGGCTTTTTGGTTAATCCTCGTTCTGGCCGCGTCCACGCCCCGTCGCCCATCGTTTCGAGCCCGCCGCCAGCTTGTACGCCATTGGACGCGCGCGGCCAACGGCCACAGAAAATTGGGTCTCCCGAGCCGTACCTGCGTAGGGTCGCAGCGGCCGGTGGCCCAGGAGTACGCGGATGCTCGCCGATGCCACCGTGCTGCCCGCTGTCTCGCGCCAGTGCTTGCATTGCCGTCATCCAAACGCAGCAATTTCCCAGGAGTGCTGCCCAGCTTCTCCGCGCCCGCCCGGATGCATGTCGCGCATCAAGGATTGGCAAGATCAAGGATTGGCAAGATGAGTGCAGGCCTGTCCCTACCACACGAGCCCTACCGTACCGGGTTCTATTTATTCCTTGAGGTCCCCACACGCCGTTGCCCGCCGTTGCCAATACCCTCTCGTCATTTGTCGTCCTTCTTGCTCTCTCTGCAGCTCCTCGTTCCCAGCCTCCCGGGTCCCCTCACCGCACGCGTAGATCAGCTAGATCCCGCAAAATCAGAGGCTGAGCAAGACAGCCACGGACTGCATCACGAATTTTCGAAACTAGCCCCGGCCCCAATCCTCCCGAGTGGACCAGATATACCGACTGCGCGCCATCTTGGACTGCCAGCCTGCCGACTCAACTCTCGCTCACCCCCCTAAGCCGATCATCCTCCTTCCTCAGTCACTCGCTTTATACCTGCGTCGCGACCCAGGATATACGTGCACAGACTTGTCCATCATCTGCATTATAGCCCGGGGAACTCTATCCGATCTCTACTCGAAACCACCCCCCTCACCGCCCGGCCACAGCATCGTCTTCCCTGTCTCTCACCCAGGCCTGTACGCCCATCACTTGCTTATTGCCGCACCACGGCAACTCAAGACTCGGCCCCCTCCCATCCCGTGGTTAGAACCTGATGTCTCGGTCTATGGCCTGACGACCTGACCCTCTCAACCTTCCGTCGCCGCTCGCCCCGTCGATCTCCACCGCTGTCAAGCCCCTTGGTCAGCGCTCAACGGCCTCGCCAGGCTGCAACATACTTTCTACCCCTCAACCAGGATCATCTCCCAAATCCCCAGGGCTCGCCGCCACCACGGCCCTCTGTTGCGAAATGTCCCTCTCCACAATCGACTCTCGCTCTCTCAGGAAATCCATGGCTTCGAGAAACGACTCTTCCTCCCGCCTCACCCTCTCCGCACTGGCGCTGGCAGCCACGATACTCACCATCGTCACTGCTGTGTTCTCCGCGCTAACGGCTTCCTCCCTTTTCCTTGCCTCGCTATCGTTCCGTGCGTTGGCGATAATATCTGTTCTTCTCAACATCGCTGCCCTTGCAGCCTTAGTGCTATTCTTAATACAGGTGGTGTGGAGGGGCGATGAGCGGTGGTACAGCTCGGCAAAGAGCCGAATGGTCCTTTTGTCTCTTTACTCGGTTCCCCTCTTCTTCGCCAGCCTCTTCACTGTCGTTACGTACGGCCTGACGCAGTCTCACTTCGACGATGTCAGGGCAAAGGACTCCGGTGCCTCGAGCGACTTCATGGCAGCCAAATTCGCGGTATGGGCTCTCTCCACATTGACTCAGGCCATCTTCATCTTCACCACGACACGATGGCTGCCTCTGTCCTCGGATATGAGCCTGAGCCGCTCGCCAACCGAGAATAGGGGTCAGGAGGTGCGTGACCAAGCACCGCCAATGATGCTCGAGCTCAAGGGAGAAAGGACGACCGGAGATCTCGCCTCCCCGACGTTCTCGAGCGATACGCTTCACTCGTCTCGCAACTCTTGGAGGTCCTCTCTGCAGCAGGTCGTTCGACCCATCACGTCACGCACGCGTCTCCTGTCGAGAACCTCGTCCCTCCGCAAGTCCGGAAGCTTCTACTCTGGCAACACCACGCGCACAAACTCCCTCGCCCCCTCGGATGGCTTCGAGAGCTGGGACACGTCCAACGTCGACCAGCAGGCGCGCGACATCGCAACACAGTCGGCGGCAGCATCAGACATCCAGCAAGACCTGCTCCGCGTCTTCGGCCCCGGCCGCGGCGGCACCCGCCTCGACCCCATTCCGGGCAGCCGCCCCGTCTCTCCCGCCCGCGCCCTGGACGGCCCCTTCCCTCCCCAGTCCAACCACCCGTCGGTCCTCACCCTCGACCTCGACGACCTGCCCGCGCCACAACCGGCCTTCATGGCCGGCAGCCCGCACAACTCGCGGCCCAGCACGCCGACGTCGATGACGAGCGTGACGGCGGGCATTGACGATTCGAACGTCCACCCGCTCTTCCGCTCCGACAGCCCGCACCCGCCGCCTGCGGCGTCGCCCGGCACCGTCGTCGTCGCGTCGCCGTACAGCGGCCAGGTCATCGCCCACCCGTCGCGCTCGCGCGCCAACAGCCGCACTCGCGCCGGCAGCACTACGCCCTACTCCCCCTTCAACAACGACGGCCAGCAGAGCATCCGCAGCAACGTGTCGATGCGCAGTCTGCGTAGCCCGAGCCCGCCTGCCCGCGAGACGACCCCGCCTGTACCCGAGTTTATCTTTAGTAATGGCGATAGTCCGAGGGTTAGCTTGGCGAGTTTGAGGAAGGTTAGTTTGAATAAGGAGTAATTGGCTACTTGAGGGGCTGGGATGGGCCTCTCTTTTTCACGTCTTTCCTTGATGTCCTGGTTTTTTTGATGTAACTGATACCCTTTTTTTCTGTTTTCGGCGGTGTGCGCATTGTCTCATCCTCACGGGGAGGCAGAAGAGAAAGAAGGAAGGAATTGGATTTCTACCAATGGCTTTATTTGTGGCTGCTTTTCTCACATGGCGAAGCGGGAAAGCGTATCATCGATTTTTTGTGTTCATCATCACCACAGCCGGACTGCACGACCGTAATGTCTTTTATGGAGAGGGCTGGCATGAGTGTGTGGGATTGCTTCTGGTGTTTATTTTCCTTTATTCCCTTTGTCTCTAGGTCTCTGGTTCTCTACATCGGCGCCGGAACAATGGGGTGGGGGTAGGTGGTTGGGATGGGAATATGGCACAACGGCGAAGCATAGGCGATCTGATCCACAAAGCGTAAAAAAATCACCCATCTTAGAGCATCGAATTAGAAGCAAAACAGCAAACGAAAAAGGAAATCGAATTTCTCTCATGTCTGAATGTTTCACTTTTTTTCTTCCCTGGTTATCTTGTCTATCTGTCGTGAACCCCTGCCAGCCAAAACAGATGAAACATGGCATTTGTGAAGGAGAGCTGTGGGTGGGGTTCCAGTTCCTTGAAACGTTGCCGCTTGGGCAGCAGCAGATCAGAAACGATGAAGAACTCTTTTTTTTCTTACAGGATCTTGGTGGGGTTTCATCACCATGGCGGGTTTGTTTGACATCTTTTCCCGGATTTTCGCTGTTTCGTTTCAGCGTTTAAGATCAAGCCTCAGGCAGCGGCGGCGGCGGCAGGGGCAGGCAGCTGCAGCTGCAGCGGGCAACATCGTTTTCTTTCATCAACCTGAATCAAGGGTCTTCCTTCTTATTTTCTTCTTATCCTTTTTTCCTGCTCCACATTCGTGGTGGTAGTGGTGAAACTATCGCGCCCCCTTCCTCCTCATCGTTATCAGCATTTACCGATTTTTTGCTCAGGCAAGCAAAAGCAACGTGGAGCAAGTAAGCTTGAAATTCTAAATTATGGAGTTGAGTTTTGCAAACACGTGGGCGGGCGGTCCTGATGTTCGTTCGTTACCTAGTCAGTAAGAGGTGGTCAGTCCTTGAGACATGGTTTTTGGCTCTCCCCCTCCCTGTTTGCCGGGGTGGTCTTGTTTGATGGATCGGGCCGAGGTGGGGAGCTTGTTTGGGGAGGAGCCGGGTGGGGTTTTATGTATGTTGGATTTTTTTTAATGGTGGCGAGATGATGGTGGTGCTGGGGTGGCGTGGTGGTTGTGGTGTTGGTGTTGGTGGGGAATGTTGTTGTTTTGGATGGGGCGGTGTTGGAGAGGTGGAGTGTCAGGGCGCTGGGGGCTGGGAGAGAGAGATGGAGGTCCTGGGGCTGGTTTCTTGAGGGGATTGTGTGGAAGTTGTTGATTATGCTGTATTGATATTGGTTCATTGTTCTTGTTTTCTATGATTTGCGTGCAGGCGGGAGCATTCTTTCGGTACTTGTAAATGCACATGGCAAAAAAAAAATAAAAAAATAAAGCCAGGCGCTAGGTAAGGTAATATATTTTTACTGCAATGCTTATTGAGGGACTGCGAGGGCCGATCCGCGCAAAGATTGGCGACCCGGCAATCATGGATACGGGCGGCTCGAAGGTTATTGTTGCTGTTGTTGAGGGGTTGGCAGCTTATTTGCTACCGGGGCTATACGATCCCTGTGCCTTACTTCGACAATGCAGGCGGTACTACCATGGGCGTCGCGAGTAACAGCTGATTCTTATCGACTGTACGCGTCGATCTTAAACACGGCGCAGAGCTGTGTACAAGACCTTTGACTGCATTATTTCAAAGCAACATTTTCCAAACCAACACTCGTGTTATTTGTTGGGGCGGGGATGATGGATTTATCTTTATTTCTTTTCCCCATTTAAGATTTCGCAGCAACGCAGCTCCTTGCTTCGCACGCTGCAGCTTATGCTCGGCTCCCTGCAGTGGCGGGGTTGCTCGCTGCAAGCCGCCGATGGATCAGCGCCAATGGAAGTGCAGCTGGGGGTGGGATTGACGGCGATGCGCGCCCGGGTAAAAACAGCTGGGTCAGCTTTAGAGGTGAGACATGTCACGAGGGAGCGGTTTCGACCACGACAACAACATGTTTGAAGATGGCGCTTATCGTGGATGGAGATGATGACGACATTGAGCGAGCATGAAGCAGTTCGTTCCGGGCCGCGGAGCGAGTTCCGGGGGACCCTGAAGGTGGAGCGGGCAAGGGGGCGAGCATTGCGCTGGAAATTGAGGCACGCAAGCAAATCTCGGTGCGCAGACATTTGTCTGGGGATGATTGCGGACGAGGGAGGATACGTGTGCACGGAGGAGGCCGGCCTAGACAACACAAGCATCAATGATGACGGGGTGCGTTTGCACATTTCCCAGGCGTGCGGATGCCCCGGGGGATCAAGGCCAATTTCGACGGCCGACAGCAGATCATTCGGCAAATCACCTGAGAGGGCCGACGGCAGTCCAGGCTTGGCGTTGACCCTTCGCGGAGTGTTGCGGTTTTCGTACCGGGGAGAGGGCTGAGAGCTGGCAGGCTGGAATGCCGGGGGAGATATGGTGGTGCAATAATGGGGGGCCGCAAGCATTGCGCAAGGCGGCTTTATTTAGCAGTGGCCGAGTCGCCCAGACAGGAAAGAGCCCGGCGACGGCACTGCACCAGGCGGACTGGCAGTTGACGAGAGCGCGCGGCCATGGCGGCGCAGAGAGGGCTGGCGGCTGAAGAAGATTTGGGTGGCGACAGGGTGCGGTGCAATGGTTGTCCCCTTAGGACTTGCCGGGCGTTCTTTCCAGCGCTTCGAGACCAGCGGCCGGCCCGTCACGCTCACGCGAGGCGCGGCAACGATAGCGATCAAGCAGCGCACTACAGGCGCAAAATAGTCGCTTGAGGCCGCGGGCAAGCCTGCGCGGACTTCTGGGCAGCGTTTCTGGGGCTGGGTTAAAATCCGAGTTTCGCGTGCTCTCCCTGACGTTTTGGGAACTGGCTAGCGCAAAAGGGGCTAGCCGGCCGGGCGAGTGCTTCGCTGCTTGTCAGGTTGTTCATTTGGATTCTGAATAGAGAAGAAACAACACGCCCCAACCCCCGGGCTCATCCAGCGCATCGCCGCATCCCAAGCCGCAAGAGGAGCATCCAGCGAGCGTGCCCGGCCGCCGCCTCACCCCGCTCCAGCCGTCTTTGTTGTTGCTGTGCAAGGCCCGTCCCCTTCGTGAGACGAGCACCATTTTGCATTTGCATCTCACTCGAGCCCGCCATCAACAACCACTTCGTCCCGCCACCACCCCCGCCAGCCGCCCTGCACCCCTGCCCGGGCCGCTCTTTTTCTTGTAAGTTTGCTTTCGCCGAGTCTTTTCATCTGCCCCGCCACGGTGGCCCGCGACCAGTTGGACCATCCGCGCTCTCCAGCCGATCCGCGTGCGTCAACTAACCCACCGCCAGCGAATTGCTATCGCACCATCTGCCCAGCACATCGCTTCGGCCGAATGATCCGCGCGGCTTGCTCGCTTTTTTTCTGACCCGCGCTGTCGCCGCGCACGCTTTGCAGTACTTTTCCATTTCCGCTGTGGCGGCTGGCCCAGGGCTGCTGCACGCCTACTCCTGTCACCGCAGCCGACTGGTGAATGATTGCCGCCTGCTTCACCTGACACATTTTGCTTGATTCCCTCTGACTGGCAGCTCCACTTGTTTTTCCGGTAAGTCTGGACAGTTCCCGACCGCCTCACATGGTCGCGTACCAGACCCTAACTATCCAACCCCAGACCACCGCCCCACCATGAAGCGCAGACGAGGAGGCGCCAAGTCGACATCACGCAGCCCCGAAATGTCCAGGCCAGGTTCGTATCCCGCTGTTTTGTGCCTTCGTTCCTCCATTGACGGCTCTCATCTCGGCCAGCCACATCGCCGGAAACGCGGTTACGCAGGTCCAGTACGCGAGCCGCTAGCCTGACGCCCTCGAAGCCAGCCAGGCGGCAACCCACTGAGGCTTTGCACATGACGACCCGCGCTGCTGGCAAGGCCGCCTCTACCGTAGGCACTGACTCACCCGCCCAATCCGAAGCCAGCGGCAGCCGTCGCAGCTCGCTCAACGACCCGCAGCCTCAGGCCGACTACAACCAAGTCGCCACCCACCAATCTGCATCGTCATCGTCGACCGACGACGCCGATCAGCAGAGCCGCGATGCAGACCGTGATCACATGGATGCAGATGTGCCGGGTGCTCCCGAGTCCGACACCTCGTCACAAGACCATGACCAGGAATCCCTGGACACTTCCAAAAGCGGTAATAAGAGAAAACGCTCCTCGGCTGGCGGTGAAGATCTCTCGCATCATCCTCCACACACCAACGGCGTCAACGGCACTTCCTCGCCCGATGACGCCGACCCGCCCGTGCCCGCTACCAACCACCCGGATCCCGAACCACCACGAAAGCGTGCCCGCGGTGGTTGGAGGGGGAGAGGTCGCGGTAGAGGGAGAGGTGGCCGCGGCGGACTGACTCTATCTACTCATGCAAGCTTTCACACCGATGCGACATCGACCCCGCCCTCTGCCGGCCTGCCCGACAGGGACCATCTCTCAGACGACCAGCAGGCTGGCAGTGAACGTCCCATCAAGCAACCCAAACGACTACCTGGCCGGCGCCGCGCCCCCAATGCTGACCCGAGCATCGAGGCCGACCTACGTCGCCAGCTGCAGTTGAAGACTGCATATCGTGCTGTCGTCAAGGTGCTGAAGCCTGTCCTCGCTGAGCTTGCTGATCGTGCCATCAATGACGTCGAGGAGGATCCAAACGCTCACGAGCAGAGCGATCAGTACGAAATTGTCAAGGCTGCTTTGGATGCTCAGCTCGCCGATCGCGTTGGCTATCTGGATCGGAAATTCGCCATTTCAAAAGAGCACGTTGAGCGCAGGAAAACGGCCGAGCAGCACATCGTCGAGACAGCATACGAAGTAGGTGGCTATTGTTTCTCGATGGACTCGACGACTAATATTTTCTCAGAACGTTTTCTTCAATATTCAAGAAGACTATCTCTTACGTTGCCAGTACCAAATTTTGAATATTCTGCGTGAGGCTGAAAAGCAAGCGCAGGACGGCGAAGCTACTGACGATGAGGTATTACCATTTGTCTTGCAGCCCCTAAAGCTTAGCTGTCTCTAACAAGTACACAGGACGGTCTCGTGCCTCGTCGACGTGGCATGCAGTACAAATGGCGACCGACTGGCTTCCTCGACCCAAGTTCAGACTCTCGCAGTAGGTTTTACCTCGAGACAGAAAAGCTGTTGAAAGACTTCGAGCGTCGTGGTCTCTCAAAACAAGAAAGAGACAGCTTCTTGGAGAAAAATCCGGACGAATTTGATAAAGACGTGGTCACGTCTCGAGAGAATTTTGCCACGTTTGACGCAGATCGTCGGGAGTATGCCCGGGCTATTTACAACGCAAACACCTTGGCCGAAGCCGCCGAGGCTGTCGAGAAGGGCATCAAACCTGAGCCAGTTATCAAGACATTACCCAATGAGGACGCCACCGGCCTTCAATTGCTTATCTCTGCAATCGAAAATCCACCCCCGCCGGCTCCTCTTCCTACCCGGGTTGAGGAGCGGAAATACGAGGAGCGCATTACGCCTCGTAGCACGCCTGCGGCTGAGATTAGTACACCAAGGATGGGAAGTGTTCCACCACCAAGATCCACGTCAACACCGAAGTCCACCCGTGGTCGTAGAGGGCGTGGGCAATCGGCAAGATCGACGCCTATCCGTGCGAATGCTCGATCCAGGACCTCGACTCCTGCCCCCGCCATGGTCGATGATTTGCTCGAGCATCCCGAACCCGGCTCAGCCATGTCAGCTTCCATGTCGACGGGCATTGAGACCCGCGATCCCAGTCCACGGAAACCGATCATTCAGCCAGCGCCCACTGCATATGCTCCCGAGGAACCCAGACACAGGGTTTCTGAGGGTCCAATTATGAATGGCGCAGAAAGAGAGCCGATAGCTGAGCCACGCCTGCCAAGACAGCCAAGCGTATCCTCAAATAGGATCACGGATCTTCTGAACAAGGGTGACGAGCCGCCCCCACAGATCTCTCCGTTCATCTCATCCAGTCCTGCTGCGTTGCCACCCGTAATTCTGCAGCCACTGCCGCAACCCTCGTCGGCTCCACTGTCCGAACTGCCTCGTTTTGCTGCACACTCTGGTCAGCATTCTGAATCTTCACAACCTGGTCTGACTGCTCAGTTTTCGCAGCCTGTTGATCGTAGCGAACGTGCACAGGAGTCGTACATCTCCACGCTTTCTGAGCCGGAGAGGACAATTGATTCTGTCGGGATTGCGCAGCAGCGGCCAACCACTGCGCCGACGGAGGCGACGAGGCAGGATGCACCGCCCTCCCGGAAGACGTTTTGGGATACTATCACAATCGACAACAAGTCAAGGCCCACCAGTCCGTTGAACGCTGACAAGACGCCTTTGGCAAGGATACGACAGATTTTAAACCCTTCGAATTATCCGCGCAGAGCAGATAGCCCCTCTGGGACTACTCCGCCTGCCACTGCTAATGACCGGCTCTCTGAGCGGCCTGAAATGGCGCCTCCGGCATCGAGAGCTTCGGTATCTAACGATGCTGCGAGCTCTCGCCGGTCATCCGGTGCTGCCAGTGTGGTTTCTCAGCCGCCTGGTACGCAGCCTTCATTGGCATCACCGGTGGAGGCGCCGAAGCGGTCCAACAGCCGTGATAAAGGTCTTGAGCAGCGCCAGAACAGATGGAGAGCAGCGGTGCCCCCTCAGCATGGGCCCACTCCTCCATTTCGGCCTGACTCAAATCCTCCCCAAAATGCTTTTCTCAAGCACCAGGGCTGGACTGTGGAATCGCAGATGCGTCTTTCGCAGCAGTCAGCGGCTTCACCGCCGCAATCGTACCCCAACTTTGCTCCCCCATATGACGCGCGTGCCCAACCTCCTGCTGGCTATGGGCCACCAGGGCATCCGGTGCCACCGCCACCACCACCAGGTCCGTACAGCTATAGCTACCCTCCGCCTAACCCCAACCTTAGCGCCATGCCATTCGTCTCACCACCTTTCAATTGTCCACCAGGCCCTCCACCGTACCAATCCATCTACGCACCGCCGGGAGCACCAGGAGGTTATCCTCCCCCGCCTCCAGCACCCTATGGTGCTCCACCCCCGCCACCGGGCGCCGGCCCGCCGCCACCTCCGCCCCCGCATCAACAACAACCTGGCCCCCCGCCGCCGGGCCCTCCGCAACAGCACTACGGCACGCAGTACGGCGGTCAACCGATCTTGCCGGCCACCATCGACCGACGTAGCAGTGGGGGCACCTCCGCAGGACAAGTGGGCAGTCCGTATCCGGGTAGCCCACCGGCCCACCACCCGCCGGCTTTCAGCCAGCAACAGAGTCAGTACGGCGGCGGTGCTGCGGGGGGACATAGTGAGAGGGGTGGGCGTGGAGGACACGGGGGAAGGAGACGATGGAAGAATACTGCGCCAGGGACGGAGTTTAGGCCTTACACGGGGCCGAAGAGGCATTGAGGTACATATGGGTGAATGGTTGGGGAGAGATGGGGTTAGAGTGGCTGGCTACTTGGTAATTAAAAATCGGTTGTAGGGATGGGGTTTCCATTTCGGCACGTCGATTGGGTGGGCAGGACAAAGATGGTTGGGAGGGAGGAAGTAAGCGGGGAAATATTGATATGATGTTGTCGCTTGTCCTCCCCTTTGTTTTCTTTTCTTCTTTTTTTTGACGTTAATCCTTGCAGGAGGCACAGCGGACAAGTCTGCATTCGAACGGCGTTTCTGCGTCAAAGCGAGTCTGATTCCAGGCATAACTTCTGGTTGGCATAGGAGGTCTTTGAGTTCTGTTTTTGTTCCTGCGGCACTTTGCAAGCAGGTGAGCAAGCAATCAATACGTTGATTTTCCCCCCCTAATTATTCTTGAGGTGTCAAGCATGAGTGAAGTCTTGCGTGCGCATTTCGAGAGGTCGTATCCGATTCCGAAGTCCCATTGCCCTAGACGTGTGCTCGAGCGGTGACATTTAGGGTTGGAGATGAGACATCATGAAGTGTTTTGGTGTAACAGTGCCTCAGGCTGCAAAGTTCAGCTCGAGGTCTGCACCTACTTGCATTGGTGACTGTGCAGGATGCTGTTCGGGGGGGAGTTGCCTGTTTTGGCTAAAGGCGCATGATTCATGATCGCTCACGGTGAAAATTCGCAGGGCTTGTCCGTCATGCCGCCACAGAAGAAAAGGAACACCGCATCGCACAGGGCGCAGCACGGAGCTAGAGCTCATGCGCTTCTTCGGTCGCACTACTAACCACCATGTCTCACGGGCGGTCGGTGACTCACACACTAAACTGGATCTTTCTGCGAGAGGCGGGTGCCTGGACGACGCTAACTAGCGGGCAATGATGAGCTGTAAGCAAGCGCCACACCACCGGCAAAAGCGCGGGCGCAAGCGACCGAATTCGTCATAAAACCTTCTGAAAACCAACCCGCTTCCTTGCCCATTCCTTACCCTTTACCCCTCCACACGCCACACCACCTCAACCGCATACTTTCGCGCAGTCGATACCCTTCCCCACAACCACCTCGACCTCAGGACCCAACACAAGCAAAGAAGAAGCAGCAGAACAAACAGTCATGGCGGTCCGCGCGCAATTCGAGAACTCCAACGAGTGCGTACATTTTGTTTTCGGCCCCAGTGTTATCTCTTTTTTCTTTGCCCCGCCGCGCCACCATGACGGGGGCGCGTACATGCATGAAGGGCAGGCAACGGGTGGTGGATCGCGGTTCCAGAGCCAGCGATATGGCTCGAGACGTTCATTTTCAACAGCGCTCTTGCTTGCGCTATGAGGCCTTTTTCAGTCGCTGGGATCCTCGGTGCTAGAAATACGCGCCTGCGCGATTTCACTCGTTTTGCCGCTTTCAGTTCCCCTCTCCGCCCTCCCACCACCGTCAATTTTCACAGAAAGACAAAAATCATGAGCTAACAACCGGCTTTTCCTCCCCACAGAGTCGGCGTCTTCTCGACCCTCACCAACTCGTACGCCCTCGTCGCCGTCGGCGCCTCGGAGAACTTCTACTCCGTCTTCGAAGCCGAGCTGCAAGACGTCGTCCCCATCTGCCACGCGACCATCGCCGGCACGCGCATCGTCGGCCGCCTGACGGCCGGCAACCGCAAGGGCTTGCTCGTCCCCACCTCTACCACCGACCAGGAGCTGCAGCACCTGCGCAACAGCATCCCCGACGGGGTGCGCATCCAGCGCATCGAGGAGAGGCTTTCCGCTCTCGGTAATGTGATTTGCGCCAACGACCACGTCGCGCTCGTGCACCCGGACATCGAGCGCGAGACGGAGGAGATCATTGCGGACGTGTTGGGCGTCGAGGTCTTCAGGCAGACGGTCGCGGATAACGTGCTGGTGGGCAGCTATATGAGCTTGAGTAATCAGGGTGGTATTGTGCACCCGAAGACGAGCATTCAGGATCAGGATGAGCTGTCGAGCTTGCTGCAGGTGCCGCTGGTGGCGGGTAGCGTGAACAGAGGCTCGCCGGTCGTCGGCGCGGGGATGGTGGTGAATGATTGGATGGCTGTTACTGGTGAGTCTACTTTTTTTTTTTTTTGAGATTGAGACAATTGACTGACGTATTCACACTGTGCAGGCCTCGACACCACGGCGACAGAGCTTTCCGTCATCGAGTCCGTCTTCCGCCTCGGCGAGGGCATGGGCCCCGGCGCCATCAACACCACCAACAAGGAGACCATGGTCGAGTCCTTCTACTAAAAATAGCGGTCGATTCCCATTCTTCTTGTTTCTTGTTGGTATCTTGTTTCAGGGGCGACGACACACATGAAGGCAAATTCACACGGGTTTTTACTCGAGAGATTCTTGTTCACAAGGGTATAATCATACCACGATGCCTTCGACATGGCTTTTCACATATCCTTTGTGACGGCTGAAGGGAGGTAATACATGAGGACTGAGGGTTGACGAGTGAAAAAATAAGCTTGGACGGAGGAAGGTTCCTGTTTGAGGATTTCTCTGGTTAGACGGAGGGATTGATGCAGCGAACGTGAACCGGTGGCTTTTATACTGCAGGGTGAAGGACTGCGGGCATCTCGGATTGAGGGCCGGCAAGTACCAACTGCGGGATATATGCTAAAGGGAGTAAAGGAAGAATGGAGACGGAGTGGGGGAAAGAGGATTTCTATCTGAGGCTTTGGCTCTTTCTTTCTTGATTTGGCCTTACGCCTGACGGAAAGAACATGGGAAAGGGAGTTATTGGAATTCTCTTTTAGCAGGGTTTGGCCGCTATGCTTGTTGCGCGGCTGGTAATATTGAATACCATATCAAACCCAAAGTTTGCTTCGATTTTTATGCTAATAGTGATATCATTGTCTCAATGGCTCCTGCATTTCCTCTCGATCCCAATGTCTTTCTTCTTAAGCCGGAGACTGTCGTGGGGATTTGGGCGCATCTCAGCCGGGCTGACGGCTGACTTTGCTTGCTTCATTTCAAGTCAGAAAGAAGATTCCACACACCATTGATGCAACGCACCTACGACCGACCTTAGCCAATCGTCCTTCCTTTTCTTCCCGGCAATGCTTTTGTCGTTTAAGGCGGGTCCCCGTTTATTATCCCTTCCTTCAGATCCCCATCGGAAGCTGTTGAGCAAGGGGAACGAAGGCGGGGAAAGCAGAACATCTGAGTCACCTTTCACCGACTCATCCACCACCGTTTCGAAAGCCCTACAACAAGAAAGCAGAGGCAGAGCAAGCTTTTCCCATATTCTTTTTTCTTTTGTTTCCTCCATCTCGTCCTTCTTTTCCCCATTTCACCTCCCATCTCCAAACACATCCGCCCCACCATCCCCTCCTGCTCCTCCTCCCCTCCCCAAAACCACCCCACCCAACCAATCCCCCCACCCTTTCACCACCCACCCCGTCCTCACCTCCTCCTCTCCACCACCACCTCCCGCCGAAGAACCAACCCACCCCCCCACCGCCGCAACCACGCCCGCCCCATCCTCCCGCGGCACGCGGATCCAGACGTCCCCGCTATCAGCATCGACGCGCAAGATGTCGACGGCCGTCGCGGCGCCGTGCGCGCCGAGGTAGGAGCGCAGCGCGGCGGAGAGGTGCTGGCGCGCGGTCAGGGCGTCGAGGGTGGTCGTGGTGGGAGGAGTCGTGTGCAGGCGCAGGTGGATGTAGGTCCAGGGCGAGCGGCGGTGGGTGTGGGTGTGGAGGGTTTGCGGGGCATTGGAGCTGGTTGTCGAGGTGGTGGAGGTGAAGGATGTTGTTGCTGCGGCGCCGGCTGGGAGTGGACGGGAGAGCGGGAGGGTGGGTGGCATGGTTGTTTTTGGTTTGGTTTGTGGCGGTGGTGGTGGAGGGCTTTCTTGGGTGAGGAGTGAGCAGGAGGTTTTGGGGCTGTGCGGGAGCGGCGTGGTGGTTTGTGGTGGGTTTCTTCGGAGGTGCTGCTGCGGAGGTCGAGGAAGAGGAAATTATTTCGGCGGCCGGAGGCGTTTTGCAAGGGACTGGATCGGTCGTGTTGGCGTGAGAGGTGGTCTCTGGAGAAGAAGAGGAGGAATTGGATGTCGGGTCGGCGTAGCAGAGCTGTGTTCTTGTTGGTGCAGGCAGCGTGGTGAAAGGTATGCGGTCGAAGCTAATTGTTCTGTAGGGCTGAACGGGGCGGGCGGAAAAAGCGCGATGACGCGCAGGCAGCCGAAGCTGCGGCCTATTTGGCACCTCCGATGCCTTTTTGTCCACCACCTCACTCTCGACATCTTCTACCACCCACGACGAACAACCACAGTCCAACTATCACTCAGCTTGGCAGACAACAATTCGATCTCGTTCCCCCCAATAGCCAACCATGGCGCCCCCATCCTCATCCTCGAATCCTCCCCCTCCGCCTCCCGCTCCGACAACGACCACAGCGCTCACCAAGCGCTCCCGCGACACCGCCCTCATGCCGCCACCACCCCAGCAGCCGCTCGCGAAGCGCATAAAGCGCCCGCCCAAGATCCTCGATGAAGACACGTACACGGGCACCCTCGACCACATCGTCGCGCGCGACTTCTACCCGGGCCTGCTGGAGATGCGCGCGCAGCGCGAGTACCTGGCCGCCGTCGACAGCAACGACAAGGCGTGGCAGCGCGACGCCGGGCGGAACCTGGAGCGCATTATGACGCCCGGCCCGGACGGACGGCGGCGATTCGGGCGGAGGGGCGTCAGCATGACACCGGTGGCGACGACGCCGCGGCTGGTAGGGAGAGCAGGTGAGACGCCGCGGGGGTGGGGTGGGGAGACGCCGCAGACGCCGGCGACGGTGAGGGGAGGAGGGAAGGAGGAGACGGAGGAGGAGAGGCTGGCGCGCGAGGAGGAAGAGCGCAGGGAGCGCGAGCACGAGGAGATGCGCGGACTGAGCTTGAATGCGTTCCAGGCCAAGTACACGTCCGAGGACAACGAGAGCTTCAACGCGCTGCTGGACCGCCAGAACGCCAAGCGCGCCGAGAAGTACGCCTTCCTGTGGCAGGGCAACAAGATCGCGACGGGCCGCCAGATAGCGTGGCGCGAGCGCGAGGCGAAGCTGCTCAAGGCGGAGGAGGAGGATAAGGAGGGAGGAGGAGTAGGACACATCCGCAACAACGACCGCGCCCTCGTGCGCCGCGACCCGGAGCGCGAACGCGACGCAGATACGCGCAAGGCCATGCCCGACCACCGTCCCGCCGCGCCCCGCAACTCGCTCATGTTCAACCCGGACTCGATCGAAGACACGCACGAGACCGTCGCGCAGGCCGCCCAGGCCGCCTCGACCGCCCCGCCGAAAGCCATCATCTACAACAACACGCGCCTGCCTGCCCCCGCTGCTGCTACTGGTACAGATCCGGAGAACAGCGTGCCCCCCTCGCCATCCCTCTCCGCCGTCAACGACGCCATCCGCGGTCGTCCCCGGCCGACCGACTCGGAGGTTGGCAGCGCCGCCGCGTACTCGGGCAGCGAGACCCCCCGCGTCAACGGCTACGCCTTCGTCGACGAGGATGATGATCCGGAACCCGAGCCAGACCACTCGCTGCTCCAGCGCCTCGGCATCACCGCCGGCGACGACGGCGGCCGGCCGAACCCCTTCTCCATCCGCCAGGCCAGCAAGCGCGAGGAGCTCCACCACCGGCTCGTCGACAAGAGCGCGAAGGCGAAGAGAGAAGGTAGTGGTGGTGGAATTGGAAGGATCGCGGCGTTGAAGGGCGAGGCAAGCAGTGGGAAGACGCCGACGCCTAAGTTTGCGAGCAGTCCGGTCATTACAAGGAAAGCTGGCGGTGGCGCGGGCAGTTTGACGCCTGCGGCGCAGCGGCTGTTTGCGAGGGTGGGCGGTACACCCAAGCGGGATGGGTTGGCTGGGTTCGCTGCGTTTGGGGGAAGTAACAGTGGTGGGACGCCGTTGAGGAGGGAGAACAGGGAGAGGGTGCGGTGGACGCCGACGCCGAAGGTGAAGAGGTCGATGGGTTGAAGGGAGGTGGTGTGCTCAACATTCACCTAGTTCCGTCGAAGATGTGGCTTGCGGTGTTGGGCTTTATCCTTTCCCAAGATGGTGCGGCAGGTTACTGTACAGATGATGGGCCTCGTTGAAATAAGCGGGAACTTGAGGACGAAGAACCGCTTCTACTACCCGACTACACTTCGCCTCAAGTTGCGTCTCCAGCTTTGCTTCGCCGACTTCTTTCTCTAACTCTATCCACAACATCCGTAGCAACCAGCCACCATGCGCCTTATTGGATGTAGCCGCGATAGCTTGTCTGTTTTTAACGTATATTCTGGCACAGCACTTTTTGGAGAAGATCAACGGTCATCAGAATCACTCATGAGCTAGAGAGAGGGAGAGTTTGGCTGGGCCTTGGAAAATTGCGGCAGAAGGTTCGATGTCTTTGCTTTGGGAACAGCGGGCGACAATGGAGTTACGGAATATACCCCAAGATCAATCGGTTGGCGAATTAAAGCAGGTGCATCCGGTTGTTCGTTTGCTTTTTCTCCTTTTGGTACGGTAGATTCAGGAACATGGGGGTTTGGTGAGTGGAATAAAGGTGTTTGAGCTGGCACTTCGCAGCTCTCATATCAACGGTGCGTCTCTTCAGGCAAACAAATTGATGAGGAGGCCCATCATATCTTCTTTTTGTGCACTTCAGCGACATTGGTAAATTAGAAATGCTATCGCTTCTCCTCTTGGTTTAAGGGTGAAGCTGCTAAGGTCGCGGCATGTTCAACACGGCAACAAAGGCCAAAACAGTGAATTCCTGATGACCAATGTTTATAGATATCTCAGGATACCTCGCTGTCTAAAGCTTGTGCTAGACAGCATGTCGCAATCAAACGCCATCTAATTTATACCCTCTGAGAGGCCACCATGTCGGTCACGAGGTCAAGTAGGTCACCGGATCTCCGAGTCTTTTAGCACTCAGAATAGAAAGAACCATATATAGGTTCCCCTCGCTCAGGAAATTTGTGTAGCACGCGCTGTCTTGCATGATGATCACTTTATAGGTCAGCACATTCGAGATTCAATTTGGCTAGTGTTTCTTGCGGACTTCACGGTGTGGCTCACTCATTTAACTAGAGGCAAATCGTGCTGTACGAGACTTGATCTTTGAGTATTTTATGAAGGATACTGTACTTTTCATCTGTAGGTAGTTGAAGCAAATACCCGGGCTGAACTATAGATTTCTAAGAGCGTCAGAAAATATCCAACTCCCCAATAGGTTTCGACTACCGGTGCAAGTATGTGATGCCTTTAGTAAGACGGCTTAAGAAAGTTAATTTTCTTCACGAGCCGCTATAGTGACGGCTAAAGCATCTTGTTCGGAGTATTGGTGGCGAAATGAGTGGGATTTCCTCCGTCAGCTTTTTCTTATGCCACTTTCTAGATCACCACCTAGGGCGGCTATCGGGGCTTATCTATTGGCAAAGGAATCCATCGCCATGGCATGTCACCCGACTAATTCTGCCAAGGTACCAATTGAGAAGGCGGTAGGATCCTCAGAGATCGTATGGGCGGAAGCTAGCGTAGGAGATTGAGCGAGAATCCTGGGTTGGGCTCGGGTTGAGAGATACGTGCTGCCGTCAGCTCCGTGTTTCATGTTTCACATGGGTAGCCAACGACTGTGTAACTACTAGGCTGGCTCATTTTTGGGGTCCGACGCCGTGTTTCTCGCCCTAAGAGACCAGTAACTAGGTAGGCTTAAGTGACGTGACGTGAGTGGATCGTCGTTTTGTTGAGATGTTAGTTGATTGAAAGTAGACGCACGATTAGTCGTGTGATTCGTCGATTACTCACCAGCGTCGTTCTAGAAGCATGGGATGCATGTCTTAATGGCTTCTGTAAACTGTCGGGCGAAGGAGAAGGAATACCGAGGTTGTGGATGCCAAGACGGATAGATGGAAAGACCTGCTAGAAGAGGAGGAAAAGGCTGGATTTGGCGCAACAAGTGGAAGTTTCGGCGAGAGCTTAATGGAATGACCTCTATAGTATATAGGAGCTACGAAAACATCAACCGGGAGAAAGCTACATCTTGAACGAAGAGAAGTTCAACTAGAAGACGCTTGCATGCCTAGTTCTCCTGCACGCTTCGTGCAGTGGATCACAGTAGAGAAAGCCATGCCTTAGAGCTGAACAGACGTACATTGCAGCTGTACTCTCTCTGAAGTGAAATAAACAAACAAAAAAGAGTAACAAGCGCAGTATGACCATTAGCTCGCCAACACCATCTACCACCAACCCTTTACGGAACCTCATTAATGCATTCCTCCCGACCGAACGGGATGACCCGGTAGGACCGAAGTAAAACATAGCCAGCAGGAAAAAAGAAAAAAAAAAGGAAGGTAAAGTCCGTACAATAGCCGACGTGATCAACAACCCTATCCACCTGCCCATCCACCATCGTGACCACCACCACAACCAATCCCTGTCCGCCCATCGCTTTCCAAAACGCGCCACGAGTATGGCACATCAGTGCCTTGAATCTCACTCTCCTAACCCACAATAGGCTCTTCATCCGTCCCAGCTCCGCCAAACTCGGCCGTAAGCGTACAATGCTCTGTTGCCAGATAACTAAGGGGAGAGCAGATTGTTGCTGACTCGGTGCTCCGCCCCGCCTCCCCGCTAACTAACCCAGTTTCACCCACGGACAGACTCCGTGCACGACATCATCACAGCCACCTCACTGCCAACCACCCTATCACCATTTCCCCCGCCATCCAATAAATAAAAAAATGCAAATAATTCCCTCCCACCCCGGCGGGAGAACTAACAAGCGACGCAAACAAGATTTGCTAGAATCGAAGATCTCCGTCGCGCGCGTGCGCACTGTGTGCATGAGCAAGTGAGATCGGGTCGGCTCGGAAAACCAAGGTAAAATCCGATTCTAGTGCGCTTTGGGGCCTATTATCCAAAACACGAAAAAAAAAAGAAAGTTCGCGTTGTTCGTTGGCCAGCCGATGGTCGGCGCACGCTTGCGCGCGCGGCTTTGGCGCCAAACGAATTTACGAAGGCGAAATTTGGGCAAAGAAAAAAAAAGAGTCGCCGGTTTTTTTTTTTGGGCGAGCAGAATTTAGAGTACGGCCCCCCGCGCCGCTCTTCGTTCCTCTCTGACCATTTAGCGTGGGTAGCGATCTTCAAAAAGGACGAGTCGAGATCTCATGACGTGACGGAGATCTCTGGAGAGGATGAGTAATGCTAGTTCACTTACTAACTCTCGTTTATGATTCAGTAGAGCGGAGGGAAGAGCAGTTATTGAATCGCGACAGCGAACGTGCTGCCATCTGAGAGTCATCCTTAATAGTCGCTATACGGGCTGGGTGGTGGTAGTAATAGCAGTCATGAAGCCGAACGCCTTTTCCTTTTCTGGCTTGTATTCTGTGCGTGAAAGCCTCGATCGTGTGCACGTAATATACCTCAACCCGAGGTGCGGTGGTTCTGCTGTCGCTTTGGCCACGGCAGCGTGAGGACACTTATCAACATCAACCACAAGAGTGCCAATATGCCCATAACCACGCTGTCGTTCTAAACGTGGCTATTCACACCCCTAGAGACAATCTGATTCGCACTTCACCCACCTACCTATCCACTTCTTTTCGTGTCAGAGTATGATAGCCGTCAGCCAGCACTGGAATCAGTGCAGCGTCGTGCTTTTTCTAGTTCGACACACAACTATACACCACCTCCTTCCCACTCTCCCCTCTAATCTCCCCTTCCTCTCCCATTTCCCACGCCTTTAAATCTCCTCCATCTCCTCAGCAAACTCGTCGACCTCAGGGAAATCGCCGACCTCGACCTTCTCCGGGCGGACGAAGGCGCCGCAGTTGGGCTTGGACTGGAAGTAGCGGGCGCCGCCCTTGACGGAGCCGTCGTTCTTGCCCGTCGGCTCGTCGAGGGTGATGCCGATCCAGGGCCCGGCGGGCGGAGGCAGCTCGGGGATGGGGCCGATGAAGGAGACGGTGCCGCGGCGACCGTCGGTGGAGGCGGGGAGGAGCTGGCAGCGGGCGCCTACGGTGATGCCTGTTGTTGCGCAGAAAAAGGGGGTTTGCTGTCAGTGAAAGCGGTGAAAGGGGGTTTCTTCTTCTTTGGTCGAAGCGGTGTGGAAAGGGGGTGAGGTGTAGAGATGTTTGTGCTCGAGGAGGGCCTAAGCTGGAGGATGGGGTTCGGGTAGAGGTTGGTGTTTGCGGAGTCGGTGTCTGTGTCTCTCAGCTGAGGCTGAGGCCCGCTGTGCGAGTTGCGGCTGTACCGCCATGCTGACAATTCGGGCTGACGGCCGCTAGATGCATAGCAGGAGCCAAGAATTGTAATAGAATGATGAGGAGAGACGGGAAAGTGGAACCAGCATCCACTCCACTCTCCAGGGGGAAGAATCTGGACAGAGAGTACGACCGAGAACCCCACACTGCTATTCTATATTCGCATGTTGCCGCCGCGAAAAAAAAAGGAAAAAGTGGAACGAAAGTTTTCAGAGAAAAGCAAGAAAAGCAGGAAGCGAGGTCGCAAAAACGGTAATGTAAAACATGTAAGGCGTACCTCTTTCCTCGACCTCGCGCTCCAGCGCTTTGACCTTCTGCTCCTCGATGCTCGGAGCATTAGGGTCGAAGCGGCCAAGCTTCTGGGCCTTCTTCCAGGCGAGCACGCTGTCGGAGCGGGTCTCGTACTCGTCGGCCGGCATCACGTACTTCTCTACGGCGGAGACATCGCTAAAGTCGGTCCGGGCGGCGGCGGGACGCGTATCGTCGACCTGTTTGGCAGAGTTAGTAGGGATGGTCGGGAAGAAGATGACAAATGATGCAGATGAGGCGCGCGTCAACGGTCGCTCAGCGAAAGAGGTGGTGCGCTGGCGTTTTTGTCACAGTCATTGGTTGTGATGGGTGCTGCAGGATGAACGTCTGGCTGATAACGCCAGATGTAACTGCGAGGCCCCCAGCGGGTAGTGGACAGCCGTTCGGCTGGGTCGTCTGCATGCAGGCGCACGCCTTGCTCGGGCAAACGAACGGCCGTGTTCATATGACCGGCGGCAAGGTGTAGGCTGCGGGGGACAGCGGCTCGGCTCCCAGGGTGTTGCCGGTCGGCGGCTCAGCTGGCAGCAGCAAAAGTGAGGATTTATGAGCGCCCTCTCGTATGCCGTTCCTGAGAAATTGAGACAGTGATCTTCAGATCGGCTGCTGTGCTTCCAGAGATCACGGCGATCACAGCGGACCGGAGGGCGTGCCGCGTTCCGCAGGGTACACAAGACGCACGGGAAACAATAAGAAGAGTGACAAAAGCGGACGGGCCAGCGCCACTCTGGAGTGTTTAGAGTTCCAAATACGTGGATACGAGGGGGTGGAACCGGCGGCACGGTTGAAGGCTTGATGGAAAATGGAAACGTACGTAGATCTCGGCGTATGGCTGCAGAGGGAAGGAAGAGAGCAGGGTTGCGTCCTCGTTTGGCGCATCGAGAGGCACGGGCGCCTGCGAGCCGATCCGCAGAGTGAGCTTTTGACAGGAGGCCGGGATACCGGTGACAGGCTCGAGACGGGTCTTCAGGTGGCTAATGGACCATGACGGCGTGACGCGGCGCTCCGAGGCCGAGTTGGGCGACGAGACCAGCAGCGGCACGTCATGGGCGGGCTGGAGCGACATGGTGGCTGGGGTCGCGAGTCGCTGACCGGTGGGTCTGGGGGCCGCTGAGAGGCGCTGACGGCGGTCGTGCGTGGAGCGGTGGGTTGGGTCCCTCGGTGTTCGTCGGAAAGCGCGGCGGCGTTGAGGATTTGGCCGTTGCGAGTTGGTTTGGACGCTGGTTAGGTTGTGGTGAGGACGCAGGCCCCTAGTCAAGCAGCGCTTGGGCGCACCGGCAGCCCGGTAACCAATGCACGGTGATCTGCTGCAGACGCCGGCACCAACGCTATAGACGTGACCGTCGACCTCAACGCCGGCGCCGTTCTGGAGAACGAGCGCGGGCGCAGGCGGGGGAGACTGGCGCTCGGTGCGGTGGGCGCGCGCTTAGCGCTGGCGCGCAAGCGACGACGCCGGGGGGGCAGCGACGCGGGCCAGATCGATCAGATTCCTCTTGGGGCGTGAGGCGGTTCGGCCCTATGGCACTGGGGGAACCTGCTGCTTGGCGCATGATGAAGGTCGACCTCGCAGCACGCGGATGCACCAGCCTCACCCGCCCTCCAACCGCGGGCCGTGGGCCTCACCGCCAGACAGCGGCGACTCGCCGCGAACCATCTGGCGCGACTCTGTGTCGGATGACTTGCGCTGCGCATCGCGGAGATCAATCTGGAGACGGAGCGCGCACTGCTGCGTCGCGCTGCAACTGCCGTGCTCTGGCAGCCTAGCGGGCCTCCCGCGGCTAGCGAGCAGCTGGGAGCCTGAATATTGGGCGTCAACCCACTCCACCGGATCTGCCCTTTCCCCATTGCGCCATTCACCAACACCCACCGCGAAACCGGTTCGACAGAGGCACATGGCTTCCCAGATGCGTCACGCCACGCCCGAAAAGCAACGTGTTCCTGGATTGCGCCTCACGTGGAGCGTTGCACTGCGCGACTGACCGTTGCGCCGCCGTACACCGCCCCCATTTGACTTCGTATAATGCAGAAGGTTGTGCAGATCTACCCTCAAGGCCGCTTCCTCAGGCATCCCTGGAGCAGTTCACCGCCTGCGCCCCGCCGTGACTGGCCGCCTCAGATCGTCTTCCCAGCCGCCGCTGCGCTAGGTCCTGATAGAAAACCGCCCGACACGTCATCACAGCACCCTCGCCTCGGATCACGACCGCCAGCTTTCGGGCCCGGCAGGCGATCCTGGCTGAGGCCGCGCCCTGGCTCCGCCGCCGCCATCCTGCATGAACATCCAGTGCTAGGGAAGGATCAAATTTTCCGTCGCTTTTCTACCAGTTTACTCTGTATTTGCAAGCTCCGGCACTTGACCCACCAAATCCCTGCGCCTTCCCAAATAGCACATGACGGGCGGCGAGTAATAGCCCAGAATTGCCCTACAAAGACGTAGTTGGCTCGTCCCGCCGCGCTTCTCGGAACTTTTCGAATCTCGTCACTCTCACTGGCGCCGCCTTGCCACAGACGCACCCCATCATCACTTTCACATCAGCCTCCCCGCCAAGCTCGCCCCAACGCCAGTACATCACTCGCGACCTCATCTCAGTGCCCCACTAAGCCCTCAAAACCCAGGCCTGCCCCCTTACCCCGTGCCTTTTTGGGATCTCCCCTGCCCGCGCCTTCCTCTGGACGCCTCCAGCTGTCCTCTCGATCCTCAGCTTCTACCTTGTGCAACCCTCGAAACACGCCATAAAATCTCCGGCCATCTAGCTCTTTGGTCAAGCCATCACCGCTCCCTAGCCGACCCCACCTGCTGTAATTTTGGCGCCGAGTTTCCCATTGTGCATGGCCAGGCCTTCTTCCGGAGGCCAGCCTTAGTGAACAGCTTTCAACCTGGATATCGCTTCGCTACTCGAGTCGCGAGACGCTCGCGACTCTGCGTCTCCAAGGACCCGGAAGAGCACGTCTTCGCAAGGCTCGGGCGTTACCCATCAACACCACCAGCCTCCGCCCCCAGCTGCTTCTTACCTCCCGCCAGCCTCTTACTCCACACCCCGCTCCACCACCACACTTCCATCTCCATCGCCGCCCGGAGTCCCCGCTCCGCAATGGACCCCCGTTCAGCAGCTGCCTTCGTTCCGCCATCACGGCTCTCATCCCGATGAGCTTCAACACCAGCAATCGCCGCCAGGCAACAGCAGCTACATCCATCAGAGCGGCTTCCGCCCCATCTACTCAGGGGGCGTGCCATCTCACAACAGCACGCCGGGACCTTATTTTCATTCCGCACCTTCGTCACAGCACGCTTCCCTGCACCCCGCAGCTGCTAGCCCGGTTTCGTCCAACAAGCGCACGGCATCGTCAGCGCTAGGGACGGGCAACGGCGATCCAGCGGGAGGCGGCGGCAGCGCCGCCAAGAAGGAGAAGAAGCTAAAGGGAAAGTGGACTGAGGAGGAGGAGAAGTTGCTGATCAAGCTGCGCAGCAGCGGCATGAAATGGGTCGACATCTCGCAGCAGAACCCGGGCCGCAGCGCTACCGCTTGTCGCCTGCGCTACCAGAACTACACGGAGAAGAAGGAGTGGGCTGAGGATGAAAAGGACATGCTTGCGCGCCTCTACCATCGGTATGCTTTGAATTTTCCTGCTCCCCTGACGCTAATGTCGTGGCACCTAGGGGCAAGATGGAATGGCAAGCGACGCGCAGAAGATCGTCGAACTAGCTTGAGCCTATTTGGGCTATCGTCCGGATGAGCTGCAGCGCCTATGTGACAGATCCCAAACGCTGCATGGAGAAGCAACCCAAAATCTAGGGCCGGGCTTGTCCGAGGCTGCAGGAGTTACTCCAAAAAAGACTGTCACATTAACAAGCTAGATTCGACCAGATCTGACACCTGCCATTCCATCTTCCCCGAGCCCACATCATATTCACAGTGTTGTGATTCAAAATGGTTGAATCAATCGCACTCCCTCTACCCTCTTCACGCCCTCTAGCCCCTATCTCGCTAAAGAACAACGCGCTGACGACCGTCTTCTTCCTCACAGATTCATGGAAGACATGTGGAAGCGCATCGCCGACGAAATGTGCCGACCATGGCGCTCCTGCGAACGCATGCACTGGCAGCTGGGTGAAGAAGAGATGCTGCGCCGCGCCAACGTGCAGTACCGCGGCGCTTCAGCTGGTGGCGGCGGCCCCACGCCTCCAGGCGGCCATCTCGACGACGAGAACGCCTCTCCGCCCTCCTCGACCCTCGCGGCCGACGACGACAACAACACGACGTCACCCGCCTCGTCCTACCATCACATGTCCACCCACTCGCCGCACCAACGCGCCCATCACCATCACCACCCCCACGCACAACACCCATACAACCATCACCAACACTCCCCCTACGCCGCGGCCCCCACCCATCACCACAACCTCTCCCGCGAACCCTCCCGCGAGCGCGGCGATCAGCAGTGGCCACCGCCGCCCCCGCTCCTCCCCACCCGCCCCACCAGCGGCGCCAGCACCGCCGCCAGCGTCGGCCAGCCCGCCTCGCCGCAGGCATTACCGCCGCTGCCGCGCGGAGCTGCTGCGGCCTCCGCGGCGCAGCACCAGCACCAGTCATCAGGCCTCCCGCTCCACCAGCCCGCCGCCACCGGCGCCTACCACCTCGCGACGCCGCTGCTCGGCACGCCGCGGCAGACGCCGACGCCGGTCAGCTCGTCGGCTGGAGGAAGCGGCGTAGGCGGAGGTAGCACCGGTGGGGGCATGAGACCTGTCACGCCGCTGAGTCTGGCGGCGGCTACCGCGGGTGGAGATGGGCAGCAGCAGCATCAGCAGGTGCAGCGAGGCCCGACACCCTCGTCGCTGGGGACGACGCCGAGGACGGTGCCGACGGTCGTGCATGAGGGAAGCGGCGGTGTTGCGGCGCCGGGGAGGTTGGCGAGTCCGTTTGCGGGGGGTGAGTCGAGGATGACGGTGATTGGAAGGGACGAGGGAGGTGGTGTGGGGAAGAGGAGGCATCAGACGGCGGGTTTCGTGGCGGATATGGATGTCGTTAGGGTGAAGAAGGAGGCTACTACTGGGAGTGATGACTGAGTAAAGGGGGGCTGGTTGGTTGGTCAAGGGAAGGGGATTCTCTTTTTTTTTTTTTTTCGTTTCTGAGGCGCATACACGCCTGTCACTTTCTTCTCTTCTGTTTCTACCAACTGCATTTTGGGGTCGACTACACCTTCGGGGTTTTCTGGGCTTAATAGTGCTTTTGTCCTTGAGCATGAGCATGAGCATTGGCATTTTGGCATGGCTGTCTGTGGCTCACAATTCTTGCTTCTTTTTTATTCCCTCTTCTTACTTCTTCTCAGCGGTTAGCTTTTGGTTACTTCATCTTTTAGTACCCTTCCCATTTGCAGGCGTGTCCACTTTTTCCCCTTTTTCTCCATCTCTCCTTTCGCCTTTCCTATTGTTGTTTGTTTCCTGGCCATGACCTCATGATTATGATGACGTTATGAGTTATGATTTCCCCATTTACCCACTTTTTTTTTTCCTATTTATACTCCGTTTAAGTCATGTTCCTTGCACAGCGTAGGCGATGCGGCACCAACAGAAGGAGGAGAGAGACAAATGGGGGCGATACGTGAGTAATGGTGGCTGGTTCCTTTTGGATTTTTTAATTTCTTCTTCATCCTATCAACGGCCTCAACGCACCAAGATAGAGGAACACTTGTAATCGATACGGAAATTAGCGAAGATCTGCGAGAACGAAACGGAAGGAGACGGAAAGCCGACAATCATCAAGGCGAAGGCAAAAAAAAAAAGAAAACAAAAAAGACATCATAGCAGAACCAAAGACGACATACGTAGACTCGTACGGATGACGACGGATGAAACTGTGTGCTTGGGGTGGTGATCAGGTGGTGTGTGAGAGGCGTGAGGTGTGCGGTGATAGGCGGGAAAACAAGCACGAACGGTTTCACAATCATAGTGCGCAAAGTCCAAACATACGTACGGGCAAGAAAGACATTTGGCGGTTGTCTCTAACAAGTTTCGTTCTCTCGTTTATCTCCTCTTTTCCCTTGGTCTTGAGGTTGTAGTACCTTTTCCTTCTGAGACTTTATTTGTTTTGTTTCGTTCTCGAGCGTCCACCATACTGCTTTCTACCGAACCCTCCCTCCCTCCTTCTGCATAGCGGCTGTTTTCTTTTCTTTCGTGGTTTTTTTTTTTTGAGATCTTCAATTACAGTTGACTTTTTTCGGGGCATGTTTGTCTTTCCCGCTGCGAACATGTGCAAAGCGAGTGGGTGAGCAAGTTTAGATATACAAACGGCCGAACGATAAATTGATACATGGTCGAGACATGACAAATCGACCTAAACACACCTATTCTTGTCTAAGAGAGATCATGTAATAGAGAGAGCACTGAGTACCGAATGTGTAGAAGAGACGGGTAATATAGATTCTCCGTAGAAGTAGTTTCCTATTTACTTTCCCTGATAGAACCGACCTTTAGCATAGCACTTCCAACACACCTTTCTTTGTTCAACATGACTTTTGTGTCACCGTCATAACTCTCCATTGCATTCCTCCTGACTCCTGACCAATACTCACAGAATGCACCAAAAATGGCAAGTGCCCGAACTATGCCACGTCTACCCACCAAAAACCATACCGCTCCCTCCCCATCCGAACGCTGTCCCAATAAAACAAAAGCACGAGGCACATCGTACTCACGCCACGCCACTCCCTTCCCAAGATAACCGGGCCTCAAGCCTTAAGACAAAGACACACCACACATGAAAAGGTCCAATCACCCCGAACTCCGCAATCAAGAAAAGTAGCGAGAACACCAGGACCGCAAAGAATATCCGTTCGTTCACCAAGCCTATCTGCCCACACCCGGCGGGGGGATACCAAACGATGAAGTCAATGCTTCGTCAATATCATCATCATCTTCTTCTTCTTCTTTCCCTGAAACCTTGTCGTATTACAAACCGACAACACCTCACGAACTAGGCGTCGCCTGCTCCGGCTCCGGAGCGACCTCGCAACCCTGGGCGAAGAAGATCCTGGCAGGGACCTCGTTATCGTTGGTGATGCTGTAAAAGTTGCCTGCACAACGTGTCAGCCTCTCTGAACTCAAAAAACGAGATCCATGCAATGCAAGAAAGCAAACGAGACGAAAGCACGATGCCCCAAAAAAAGAACAGAAAAAAAAAGCAAAAAACTCAAAAAAACGGATAGGGCAAAACGAATAGTAATCAAGCAAGGGCCAAGACCAAACAGCCCGGGAAAAAAAAAAGCACACGTCGCTCGACAGCAAGCAAGGCCCATCGGCGTCATCCGATTCGCTGCCTTCCGCTCTCAACAACGCCATTCGCCACGGAATCCATCGGAGAGGCTGTGGTGTGCAGCATCGCATCTCCTTCTCTCTGCTCGCTGCTCGCTGCCAAACGGATCAATCAAGCCGAGCCCGATATCACCACAATCACCCCACACGCAAATGCAGCATCAGCATCAGCAGCAGGCAGCGGCAGCCCCATCTGCAGGAAACCAAGTCCAGCTGGCGGTGCAGAAACCCGGACCAAAAAGAGAAAAACGGTATGTGGCAGGCCGTTGCTGCCGTTGCTGACCGCCATGTGTGTGTGTGTGCCGTGGTCGTTGTGTGTGTTGCTGGCATGATGCATGAACGGGACGATGAGAGGAAACAACCACCACCACGACATGCAATGCCGAAACAGCGCACGTCAGAGAAGGCCCAGCAGCAAGCAGCGGCAGCAGGGTACAGGGATCGTTGCGGGCGCTGCAAGATATGTTCGCAATGCGATGAACAGGTGGTCGTGTCCGTTGCGAATCAAAAGCAAATCGCCCCTCCCCTCTCTTTGCCAGCGTGACGCGCATGTGCGTGCGTGCGTCGTCGCTTCGCGGCGGCTACGCCGATTGCTGTCTGGTTGCGATTGCCGCCCTGCCGCTGCTGGTGCTGCTGCTGACGTGCGTCGCGCGTTTTCTCTGGGTCTGCAAGCTGTGCCGCCGCCCCAAGTAGTGGGTTCCTTAACAGGAGTTTCGACGAGGGGGTCGCAGGAACGCCCCGTCAGCCCGGCCACCACAAACCCCACCACATCCCGCTCCCACCCCAGCCATCGATCACCACCACCACCGAGAGAAGTCAGAAATGACAGATACGCTGCATGTGTTGCAAAAGCGGTCTGCCACCCGGCTGTCTGCCGATTGGGTGCGCCGTGGGGGGATCGTGCAGTTTGCATGGCGTCGCCGCACCACCACGGCCGGCCGGCCTTCCACCGCGCGGGTGGTTACACTGAATGTGATAGACCGAAAAGCCAGCCGCTGTGCGAACAGCCCCAAGCAGACCAGAAAAGAATGGGATGCGGCTTGTGAATGAGCGGTGGGAAGGGCGTCGATACCGTCGTTGTGTGTGTGACCGGGGGTTGAAATAAGGAACAGCGATCCCCGACTGCGGGATGTGTGTGTGTGCCAGTGTGCCAGGGTCTTGCCAGGCTGCTGCTGTGCCTCATTGCTGCGGAGCGAAGCGAAGATCCGGTTGCCGTGGTACAAGGTTGCAAACGACCCTGCCTGGGCTGGCGCCACACAACGACCGCATCATCCATGCACGCTGTTGTGCGACCAGAGCCAAGACGAGCTGGGGGCTGGCAGTTGCAGGCAATGCGTTGCGACCATCTGCACCCGCTGCCGTGTCACGAACGCTCCGTCGGATGCAACAGCGCGTCTATCCGGCGCCAGACCCGCCGACCAGGTATGAGCATAAAGTGACCGCTCGTCACACATACGTGGTCTTGCACACCGACTCACCATTTGCATTCGCCGCCAGTCTGCCCGGACCCGCGATGCAGCCCAAGCGAGAGTAGAAGGAAAGCACAACCAATCGAGAGGCAAACCAGACAAAAGGAAATTATAAGACGGAACAGCACTTACCTCTCGGTACCATGAACACGCCACCCTTGCTGATGCTGAACTCATTATCGCCCACCGTGACACTCACTTTGCCCGAGAGCAGGCAAAATGCCATGTACATGCGGCGAGAATTCTTCGAGCGCTTCGATCCGTGCGGTGGAATATCGACCATGCCAGCGCCAAAGAAGGGTGTCCCGAGAATCTTCGAATATCGGAAGTTTGCGCCTGCCACTTCTCTTGTTTGGAGTTTGACCGCAGAATATGCGAGTTCTGTATGCCGTGTTAGCCAGAGAAATGCAAATACACCCGGTTGGCAGCCGTTGGACCACTCCGCATGGTAGCACACCGACTTCGGAACTTTACCTTCATGTCGTCCTCCCTCATCGATGATGATGTTTTGCTTCTCGTCCCAGCCGTTGACCCAGCCCTGAAACTGACCCTCATTAATCTCCCACTCCTCAAGCTCCATTTCTGGCTCCTCTTCAATCGCGCTTTCCGAGCGCTTAGTAGTTCGCTTGCGCGGTCTTGCGCGGGCGGCAGGGCGCTTGGTTTCTTCGACATCCTCTGCACGAATGATTTCCTTTTTGGTTCCATCGTGACCGTACTCAATTCTCTCGTTGCGCCAGTACTCCACCGGCTTCGTCGAAATTCTGCCTGACCGGGTAGTCTTCGCTCCTACATCCTCAAAAGGTGTGCCCTGACGGAGGATTTGGAGACTTCGTGCTTGACTCGCTGCACGTGATTGACTGGACTCTGGCTGCGAGCTCGTTTGAGATACAGGTGGTAGAGGCGGTGGTGGCATGTCCTCTTTCTGCTTGCCCTTTGACTTGTTTTTCGCACTGTCTTTTTTCGAGGTTACTCTCGCGTTCGGGCCGCGCTGTGATGGTGGAGGCTTCTTGGATGCAGGCGCTTTCTTGGCCTTTTTCGCCGGCCGTTCTGGAAGCTGCACTGGTTCCTCAGGTTCATCCACATGAACGTCAGGTTTAGAGCCTGTCTTGGGCCGTCCACGTTTCTTCTTTGCAGGGGGTGATGCAGGCTCAGGTTCCGATTCAGGCTCAACTTCAGGTTCTGGTTCTGGTTCCTGCTCCGGTTCTGTGTCTGGCTCCGTCTCCTCACCCTCCTCGATTTTATCTTCCAATTCTTCAGTCTCTTCCTCGCCGACTTGCGGCATTGAGGCCTCCTCTATCGACTGATCGATATCCATTGCGCTCTCATCTTCGACTTGTCTGTTCGAAACCGGCCGTGATTGAACAGCTGTCCGCGACCTTGCAGGTACAGTAGCGTTAGATGCTCTTGCAGATACCAATCCCTGAGTCTTCTTTGGTCTTCCTGCTTTTTTCTTCGGCGCGGGCGATGGTGCTGGCGGGGGCGATTCTCTGCGGTCCAAACTCTTCCTTGCCTTGCCGCGACCCTTAGTGAGCGATGGCCTTGGCTGTGGTTCTTCCGGAATATCCATTGATTCTTCAATGGGCTCGTCTGGCTCGTCCGGCTCGGTGTCACCCCCCTGGTCGAGTATTGGCAGCGTATCCTCTACATCTGGCAGAGGGCTGTCCTCCCCGACGCCATTGATTGCGAGTTCGCTCTCCTCCAGCACCGTCTCATCCTCCACAAAGCTCTCTTCGTGTGTGCGCTTTTTGTTGCGTGCTGGCGAAGTCGGTAGGTCGAAGATGTCTGGACGGGGCGGGCCGCGATTCCTGCTTCCACTTCCCGGCGCTCTCGCATTGGTCTCGTCGACGGCACCAAAATCTAACCGCCTCGCGACGGTAGGCTGAGATCCTGCGCGGTTAGGTCCATCGGAAGTCCTGCGCAGGCCCGACGGCGGGCCCATGGAGGACTGGCGGCGAGGGGAGGACCCTAGCGAGGTCTTGATGGGTGAGCGACCCATTGGCGGGGGAAAGATGGATGACCTCCCGGGGCGAATTGACTTGCGGGCGCTGAGCGCGTCGGCGGGCTCGGGCATGGAACCTATGTTGAGTAGTGTTGTCTTAGCACCTTCTTCATCGCTGGCCAGTAGCTCGTCTATGAGACTGTCGTAGCGCTGGTTTTTGTTTCCGAATGTCTTGCGGGGCATACTTTGCTGCACGTCCATGTCAGAGGATGTCAGGGTTCTGTCGGCCTGCTGGCGAGCGTTGCTGCGCTTCGGCGGCGACTGCTCCGGCGACTTCTCCGGCGACGAGAAGATGCCGTCGATTGGCTCCATTCCATGTTCATCGCGAACACCTGTGTCCTTGAGCGTGATGCCCGTTTTCCTGCAGCGCGTGAGTATGCGCAGCCATGGGCGGAGGGTTTGCCGGATGTGCGCACCTTCCTTGAACTCCGACATTGAAGAACTGGTTGTCGCGCGACTTTGAAGCGGCGGGCGCCATGGCGGCGCGGGATAGCCGGAGCTTACGGCGTCTCGAAAGAGTGTTCGGCGGGCGAATGTGGGCAGATTGCTCGGTGGTGAGCGCGTTGGCGGTCGCGGAAACGCGTGGGGTGGGAGCTTTCGCGACTCGACGTGTCGCTGTCGATGTTTACTGCTGTTGCCCCCCGAATTAGCGCCGGCCCGAGCGCCGCCCTCACAGCACTCCGACCACTACTTTCTTCACACCTCACTTCATCACCAAAACCTCACTTTCATCTAATGATTCGCACCCACTCATCTTCACTTCACCTCAATAGATTTGAAGAAATCTATTCAATTCGCTCTTTTCAAAGCCATGTTCCATGCAACCTTTTCATGTATTCAATTGAGTGAAGGGCTCAATAAAATTCCACTTACGTGGGTACGTGAAGCCATTGTCCGGATGAATTTGTGCACATTTATAAAACTCGCAATGAGGTCCGGGTATCCGCTTGATCTGCCCAAGAGCGCCAGAAGAGAACCACCAAAGACCAGACCAGACCAGACCAAAAACCAAACCAAAACCAACCCAAAGCCAAAGCCAAGACCAAAACCGAACCCAAAACTAACCCCCTAAATCCCACCACCCAACTCCCTCCCTCCCCCGCTTAATTCTCACCACCACCACCCACTCCACCACCAGCCGCCCTCACAATCCTCCTCGCCTCCTCCGCCGTCATCACGTTGTCCGGGTCCGGCTCGTACCAGACCCCCTTTTCTCCACGGGGGGCCGACACGCGCTTGAAATGCTTGAGCACGGCGTGACGGACGCCAGACTTCCAGCCACCAGCGCCAGCGCCAGAGGACCGGAAGTGCTCCGGCCACGCCTTCTGCATGTAGGCGTAGATGTGGCCGAGCTGGACTTGCGGCCGGCGCGGGCTCGCCTGCAGCGCCACTGTCTGCGCCACCCAGCGGTAGCCCGGGAAGCCGGGGGGCGTCGTCTTGTTGCCGCGGCCGCGGCGAGGAGCGGGCTGGCGGGGAGCGGGAGGAGCCAGAGCGGGAGCGGGAGTGGGAGTGGCCGGGGCCAGAGCAGGCGCAGGAGCGGGAGCAGCAGGAGCCGGAGGAGGAGAGGAGGTGAACTGCTCGTCGTCGAGCGGGAAGGGAGCGGCCGGACTGCTGGCCCAATCGGCCATGGCGTCGAGCTCTTCGTTGGTGAAGAGGTCGTTCTGCTGCTGCTGCTGGGGCGGCGACGGCGGGTACTTGGCCATCAGCTCGTCAAGGACTGCTTGGGGTCCTTGGTCGACAAGGAGGTGAGCCGGGATGACGACCTGGACTTGGCCGCCAGCGCTGATGAGCAAGTAAGGGTGCTCAGATGAGGGCCATTGGCCGGATGGGGACGACATGTTGAGGGTATGGGTGAGGTTTGTGGTGTGTGAGGATTTCCGAATGCGGTGAGTGTCCCAATTGGGGTGAGATGAGGATGTTTGAATGTGAATGTGAATGTGTCGAGGGCCTGTACTCCAAAAGATGGGGAATGCTGGGAGTCGGGAGGCCGAAGAAGAAAAGGAAGAAAGGATGCTTCATGGCTGGAGGCATTTTGTGGCAGCCAGCTCGCTTAGCCAGGCAGCCGGTCAGTTAAGCGAATTGTATCTCAGGCGTGTTCTCCGTGGTGTTTACCTTTCTGACGCGGGTAACCCCATGGGGTTGTGGTAAACTCCCTGGAGAACATCCCAGGCACGGACCACCCGCCCCCGGCCCCCGGCGAAACCTCACCCACCATGCCTGGCCCGTGCTGAAAGCAATGCTGATTTAAAAAGCATGCTATTGGGCGGCTGGCAATGGCATGTGATTTTACGCCCTGGAGCTTGGAAAGTCGGCCATTGCCTGGGAAGGAGAGGGCGGCTATGGTCCAGCAGATATCGTGGGCGTTTATGGTGCCGCAAGACACCAGTATACCCCAACTGGACCGATGAAACCTCTGTAAGAACTAGCACCGCAGACGACAAAGCGTCTTGAGCAATTCAAATTCCAGCGTCTGCTGTCTGCGATCGCAGAAGCTCTGCGCTTCAGGCGTTGTCGAGACACCATCACTTCAAGCCACCACGGCAGCGGCCGCGTCGCTCTTTGTAGTGCTAAAATTCATGGATACTCCATCTGCTCGAGAAGCTGTAGAGCCAAGCAAGTGCTCTTTTAAACCTCAAGAAGGCCAATTTCTCCAGGATTTGCCTCCGACAACATGTGTCCATCTTTGCACACCCAACTTGGCCGCTGACGGGCATCCAACCATCTCAGAGATGCCTCAGCACCAGCTGAGGGTTGATTATAGCGACTCATTGCTTTTCTGAACAGTTGACGGCTGTCGCTCTCTCTGTGAAAGCCCCATCGCGCTCAGGTCTCTCGGCCCAGAGCGAGCTCGCCCTCCGTCGCAAGCGCTTTAGCTTCAACACAGACGTAGCATACCAACCCAGGACACATCGCCCCGCCCAAGTCCCGCCCTCCCACAGCGCTCGCAACTTCGAAGGGGGAGACGCGCGCTGTCAAGTCGCTACTCTACTTCCACACCAGCTCAATCTGTATCCGCAAGCAAGCAAAGCCTCAAACACGCAAGCTCTCCCGAGCAAGCCGCACCTTCAGCGCTTCGGCCACAGACCTGGCCGGGAGCCCATGAAACTGCACGCGCAAAGCCCGCACCATAACTTCGACCTCACAGACAGCAATCCGCGCAGCAAGGCAGGGAAGCATCGCAACAGACGTCCAGGCACAAGCGGATGAGCACCACCACTACTGACGCCTTCATCAGACCGAGCAGACACGCCGGCCAGCGAGGATTCGAAAAATTTCCCGCCCGACACCCTCGCAGCGGCTCACCTCACCTCACCCAACCTCACCTCGTCTCGACGGGCGCACCGCTGCCCAAGAGCGCACTATCAGCCCCGACCGCCGACCAGAACACACATATGAGATAGGCGATTATAGCTGCGGAGGGAGAAAGCGACTCAAAGCCAAATGGACGGGAGGGAGAGAGGCATGACATCGAGGCGAAGCTATGTGACGGCGGGCTGATCGCATGAACCATAGAAGAGGGAGCAGCGTGACGCTGGCATCTACGGCGGGCGTTCTTTCACAAGTTAAATCTCCCATGTCCGCAGCAGAGTGCTGCTCGATACCTTGGCCGCCCAGTGCGACTGCACTCTCCTGCATTCATGGAAGGTCTAGTGGGAGAACTGATGGCATCTCACGCAGCTTAGTCGAGCTGAAGAAGCAAACAAGGGCCTTGAACATCAAAGGTAAGAGGATGATTCAGATTTCTGTTCTGGGCAAGACAAACGCTCGCTCTCTGTTCGCTTTTAGCCTATCAGCAAGAGAAAGGATTACAACGTTGCAAACAAGACAATAAAAAGACCGCTGTCCTACTGTACTCGCCGCTCGAACCACACTTTGCCTGACTTCACTAAAAAAATATGCGCCATCCATTCTCCTTTCCCACCAACATCCGTACCAAGCCTCGGGACTCAAAGCAAAGCTAACAATTACGTGTGTACGCGCGCGTGTGTGTGCAAAGTTGACAAAGGTAGTAGTAAGGGAAAGAAGGAGGGGGATTTCGCAAAAATGTATAGTTGTACAAAGTCTTATCCGGGTTTTTGGTTACCATTCCCCCGCTACTCCCCCTCGCCGTATAAGTGCTCATGCTCTTCAAAACCATCCATCGCCCACTGCTATCAAGCAAAAAGCAAAGAGAGAGAAAGGACTAGAAAAAGAGAAAAAACCTCAACTTCAAAAAAAGGGAGTTTCCCTCCACCCCGACGTCAGATGCTTTCTTCTTACTCTTCTCCAGTTTAATCAAAAAAAAGAAAAAACGCCGAAAAAAAAGGAGGAAGAACCCTTCGTTCAGATCCGTCAAATCCGTAGTGGTTGTTTTTTTTCCTTTTTCCTTTCTGCCTTTCGTTTCCACGCCGGCTTTTGGACTAAAAAGACCAGAAAAAGCAATAAGCAATGTGTCAACTACCAATAGTAGCCCGCGACACCTCACAGAGCGCCAGCCTCAGCAGCCGAAGCGTGAGCGCCACGACCACGGGAACCACCACGGCCACGGCCGAAGCCACGACCGCCACGGAAGCCCCTGCCACGGCCACGGCCACGGAAGCCGCCGCGGTAGTTGTCGACGCTGCCCTGGCCGAACGTCTCGAGGTTCTTCCTCCGCTCCTCGCTGCGGAACTCGTGGCCTCCCAGCTTGCCCCTGGCCTCCTCCCTGTCCTTCAGTTCCGACGAGATGTTGTCGAAGAACGAGTCGCTCTTGTTGTACGAAGCGGCGGGGATCACGACGGATTCCTTCTTCTCGTGCGCGGCGCCGTTGGTCTCTCCATTGTTGAGAGGGTCACCCTCCTCGCCAGGAGTGCCCAGCGGAGAGCCAGTAGCAATAGCCTCCTTCACCAGATCCTGCTTGTTGAATTTTGCGTTGGAAGACTCAAAGTCGAAATCGGTTCCGGGAACTTCGATCGGCTTGCTGTGCTGATCACGACCGGAACCGCGGCGGCCGCCACGACCTCCGCGGGGAGGGAAACCACCGGCGCCAGCCTGCTTGCCGTGACGGGCCCTATCATCGGCACGCATCTCCGCGACCTTCTGGGTAAGGTTCTGAATAGCAGCGTCACCGGTCTGAGGTTGAGGGACTCCGCCCTGCGGCTTGAGCTTAGCCATCGCCGCGGCCACGGCAGCAGTGGCAGCTTGCGTAGCGTCGCGGTACTGCTGCGGCTGGTTACCGCCCGGCTGAGCACCCTGAGGAGCCTGAGGGGTAGCAACCGGGGCGGCGGGCTTCTGGCCAGGCGTAGTGAGGGGAATGGCGGGGACTATGCGACCATTCTTCGGGCCGTTGGGTGCCGCCTTGGGTCCAGTCGGTGGGGCAGCGGCCGCGTTGGGCTGAGGGGGCGCCAGAGCAGCGGCGGGATCAGGCTTGGACTCGACGGGGGGAGTTGGCGCCTGGCCAGGAGCCGGTGCAGGCGTAGAATCCTTGCTCTTGTCCTCAGCCGACTTGGGCGCCGCATCCGCCTCAACAGGGTTCTGCTCCTTGCCAGGGCCAGGAGGGCCGGGCTTGGGACCTTGACCAGGCGGGCCAATGGGCATCTGGTTCGGGTGCGGCGAGAAGGGACCAGGAGGACCCGGGGGGAAACCTTGGCCGGGAGGAGGGTACCAGCCCGGAGGCGCACCGTACGGCATGCCAGGGTAGCCGGGGAATCCACCAGGACCGCCGGGGCCACCGGGACCGCCAGGACCGCCAGGGCCACGAGGAGGACCACCAGGGCCGCCAGGATAAACACCAGGAGGACCGAAATGAGTATTCTGGAAGGGCGGGTAGGGACCAGGGCCCGAGGTTGGGTACGGCGGGTTGAAGTGCTGCGGGTTGGGAAAGTTCGGGGGAGGCTGGTTCTGCTGGTTGCCCTGCGGCGTGGACTGAGCGGGACGAGCGGCCTATTCATAGAACATTCAGCAATCAATCCAATAGCTTCGTCGGATCAAACATGTGGAAGTAGGAGCTAGATCAGAAGGAAGGCAACGGAGATATCCACACGGTTTTGCGCTCTCGGTGAGTTGTGTACTTTACATCCGAAATGCTTCATCAAGCTTGCGACGGGTGTTGGGAGTGTTCCAGGGTAGACTTACGCCAAGGATTGCCGGGTCGTTAGGCATGGGCGGCGGCGCAGGCTTGGGCTCCTCGACCTTGCCCTCTATCCTGAGGTCCTTCACGTCGCTGCCACGGAAGACGATGTACTCGTAGATGTTGTCGGAGGCAGCGATCTCGTCCTCGCCATTGCGGCGTCCCTCGGTACCAAAGGACCTGACATTCTCGAGGGCGACGGTGGAGTTCTCGGAGTTGATCTCATGGAGGGTTCCAACGTATCTGGAGGCTGGAGTTAGGCACAAACGACGTGTTCGGGATGCGCGACAGGGCGGACCTGATGTCACTCTTGGATACCAGAGATATCCGGGCACTGCGACGCCGTGTTAGCTGCCATTGATCGACTCGTCATGCTGTGAGGACGGCGGCATACCCGATGTACTCGGACATTGTGGGGCTGAGCTAGGTGCAAGATGGCAGCAGCGCGCGCAAACCGAGGGCTCCGGTCAATGGTGGCCGTAGATGGGGCAGGATGGAGTTGAAGTCGTAGAGTGTGGCGCAGGCGTCAGATGGGGGCGGAGGTGGGTAACGGATGTTGTGACGCTGGGGTGAAGGTCGGCGAGAGGTGAGCGGCGAGGAGCTGGCGGCAGCATTACGTAAGGCCCGCCAAGACTTGATGTGCCTCATGGGTGTGAGCTCTCCCACTCCCCGCTTCCAACTGACGACCGCTGATGCACCGTGATTCTTCACAATTTCTCTGCGAATTCTACTAGCCCGCGAGCATCGCTCATCAATTCCTGGAAACTTTCATCATGGCAGCTGCCCCGGAGTCTTCCGCATCCGACTCTATTTACGCCCAAGTCGACAACTACCCGTGGGACACCGACACAGAGTTCCAAAGCGGTCTCGGAGCTATCCTAGGCTCTACTGCATCTTCAGAACAAGCAGTAGAGCTGTCTCTGCGCGCACGCTGCTTCTACTACTCCCGGTATGCTTCATTGCCCAACATTCATCTTTCCCCGCACTATACCCCGCCATTGGAACTTGCCATTGTTTTGGTCGTTCTTGGTCCAGCATTCCACGATACTCCAGCAGCATCGCCGATCCCCAGATTCCTCTTATGAACCGCCGCTTGTCCGCTTGCACTAACCCTCGGAATCCAGCAAGTTCAACACCTCGGTCGACTTCGACGCCTACAAAGCCTACCGCGCCAGCGCGCCCTCTCCCTCCGCAGTCCCCACCACCGCACCCAACGGCCTCGCGCCCGCCGCCGACCTCCCCGCGACGCCCTCTCCCGGCCAGACGCCGCCGCTCGGCTCGACAGCGACGTTCCCTTCCGCCGCACCAACGACCTCCACGCCAGCTTCCGCACCACCACCAGCCGCATCCGCTGAAGGCGAGCAACAAGGCGAAGCGCCGTACCCGACGTCCTTCGCGCACATCGTCGAGCTGATTACGTCGGGACAGCCGATTCCGGGTATCAAGGAGATCCCGGACACGGTGCTCGAGGGCCAAGGGTCGGCGAGCACGGCGTCGAAGCGCAAGAAGCCGTGGGAGAAGGACGTCGGCGTTGCGGCTGGGTCGCCGGAGGCGGCGGCGGCTGCTTCGCAGTGAGTGAACAAATGTGAAGACAAAGTAAAGAAAAAGAAGGAAATTAGGCCTGAGAATGCAAGCTGTATCCAGCATGCTATAATGGAGTCGGCTCACGTGCCTGAATGAAGGACGGACTTGTATGAGGTGGTCAGGAAACGGAATCAACATTCTCGAACGGGGGGACTTCTGATCATTAGGAGTGGGAGTATCCCTCTGAACGAAGAAGAGACCACAACGCTTCGCGAGATGAATATTCTCCGTCCGCACGGCTACTGAGCTGATGTCGCTACGATTCTTGATGCGACTATCTATGCGTGATCTATTCCATTTCTGGAGGGACTGCATCCGCATGAGCTACCGAAGAATTCCTCGAGCTGATTCATAGGTGCCAGCTCCAGAGTTGAACGCGTCTGATATGTCTTCCAGCTTGGGTGAATATCTGAACACAATTATCCCCTACACTTGTAAAGCAACAGAGCTGAGGGATTTGGCACGTTCTTTGTCGTAAAAGAGCTTCAAATAGTGGACGGCAGATAGAACATTTCCCTTTTCTACGAAAGGGAAGAACATTCTGTAATAATGGAATCTAAGATACAACATGTTAGAGATCGGTCAAGCGACTATCGCTCTGGCACGAATCGAGATAAGGACTTTGCACAATTCACAACCATCATCTATACATATGGAGGTCACGTAGCAGTTTATACAAAGCAACAGAAAACACTGTGCAATGACGACATTCCCAGCTTTCAAAAAATTGACCATCCATAACTCGTCAAAACTATTGCCGAGATTGGACGATATCCATTCCACTCTCACATGTCAATTCTTCACACCCGCCCAATCTTCTTCTCTCCGTGATTACCCCACCAAAACTCCACCCATGGACCAGTTTTGTCTAAATCCAGTAGCAGTAGCAATAGTAGGAGGCGAGCCAAAGAACGGGAACAAAAATAAAGACGACGCAACCCTTTTGAACAATTGGCGCGGGAGGACATCACAGAATTTTCCCCATTTCGCAATCGAAGCTTAGAAATAAAATAAATTTAGGGTGGGGGCGGCGTTTTCGGCGGCGGCGGGAAAATACAATCTAGTTCTTAAGGCCGAGCTTGCTCATGAGCGAGCTAGAGGACGAGGACTTGTCGTCGAAGACCTTGAGCAGGGATTGCCAGACCTGGCCGGGCTCCTGCGAGGCGTCGAGTGGGCGCCAGATACCAGTCTTCTGGTAGTACGAGACGACGGGGTAAGTCTGCTTGTGGTAGGTGACGAGGCGCTTCTGGAGGGCCTCGACGTTGTCGTCGGAGCGCTGGATCAGCGGCTCGCCCGTCACGTCGTCCTTCATGGCCTCCTTGGGCGGGTTGAAGATCTTGTGGTACGAACGGCCCGACGCCGGGTGGATGAGACGACCCGTAATGCGCGCAACCAGCAGCTCGTCGGGAATTTGCAGCTCGACGGCGTGCATCAGCTTCTGGTTCTTGGCCGTGAGCATGTCGTCTAACCGCTCGGCCTGGGCGACGGTGCGCGGGAAGCCGTCGAGGATGAAGCTGTTGTCGCGTTAGCACTGACCAACTTTCTTTCATCTAGCTGAGACAGCCTCTCATCTGATATCACGCGGGAAGGGAAGAGTCATACCCGTTCTTGCACTCGGTGTTGGTCTCGAGCTCGCTCTTGATCATGTTAACCATGATCTCGTCGCTAACGAGACCGCCGGCATCCATGATCTTCTTGGCTTCCCGGCCCAGAGCAGTCTTCTTTGCGACCTGCGCGCGCAGCATATCACCGGTAGCCTATTGCTCAAAAATCCGATCAGCACTGAACCGCGGCTGGAGGCGCGCGAGATAACGCAAGCGGGGGAGACGTACAAGGTGGCAGACGCAGTACTTGTCCTTGATGCGGGGCGCCTGAGTACCCTTGCCTGTTCATTGTCGCAGAGTGTCAGTAAAAATGCTATCTGGCTCGGAGCTTCAATGATGCCCTTGTCGGCGCTCAGCCTGCCCCCCATGCTGCAATGCCGAGGCATGACAAATGCGCTTGTTGGGATAGAATGTTCAGACGTACCAGCACCAGGAGGGCCCATCAGGATCATGCGCATGGCGCTGGGGGCAGTGACGCCTGCGGCCTTGCCCTCGACGCGGGCTTCAAGGTCCGACATGCGGCTCTCGAGCTTCTGGATGGAGCTCTTGATGTCGTCAACAATCTGTTCCACAGTCGGAGCCATTGCGACGGATTCGGCGGCGGTGTGCGGCGAGAAAAAGCTGCGGGAGATGCGAAAGACGGCGAAGGGAGCGCGCTGAGATGGACGGGTCAATGGGCTCTGGCAGGAGTCGTTGGGGGAGCGGAAGTCTGGAAAAACCAGGATTCGCGGACGTCTCGGCGGATATTGACGAGAGCTCGGCGGGCGGCGGGACCTACACAGCTCCTTCCGCGGGCGGCAGGCTGGCACGGCTGGCTGGGACCGCGCTTCCCCCCTCTGACCGAGTTCTTCCCGCGGACCGAGATGAAATCCACGTGATCCTGCAGCTGCGTGTGATTTGAGAGCCGCTTGATTTGATTCGCCCAGCTGCTTCGCCGCTTGTCGTGCTACGTCAGTAGAGCCGAAGACATTCGTGCAAACATGGCCATTATCGTCCAGGCAAGTCTGGGCTAATGGATTAAACCGCCCATGGGCAGTTTTCCGAATTCTCCTATCTGATGTGTCTAGAGATGACACCACGGGCCGGACCGTGATTCATAAACGAGCAATGACCTCCGCCTTATCTGCCGCTCAACCTTCTGCAAACCCCGTGGCTATGCAATTGAAATCATCCGCCTGAGTGCATGAAAACCCACAATTCGAAGCATCCGTTTAAGCCAAAGCGCTGAAACCCATACCTCCGAGAACGCCTGATCCAATCTATATCATGTACATGTCGTGCTCAGACCTGCATCTTCTTCGACGGCGTGTGGGCACCCTCATCCGCGCCTCTCTTGCCGAGAATCGACACAGGCGTGCTCCTTGCGTTTCCGTATGCCTCTTCATAGCAGCTGGCATGGAAGTACTTCGGTCCGACTTGGATGGTATCCAACCACACAAACTCATCGTCCAACCTTGACGGCGTGAATTTCTCCTGGCAGATCGGGCACGGAGCGTTCACGAGCTCTGCATCCAAAGGTATCCGTACCCAGCGCTGCTGGTTCGTCTTAGCAGCAGCGGCCGCGTTGCCGTTGGTCTCCGGCGGCGGCTTGGCCTCGTCCTGTTCACGATACTCAATCCACTCCTTTTCGCCAATGTACCAGCTGCGGTGGATAGCTTGCTTCACGAGATTCGGGTCCTTGACCTTGAAGTGCCAGTCAAGATGTCTCCTTTTCATAACTTTGCCGTCGTCAGTCGCCGGGAAGCGACGTCCACAAGTGGAGCACTGGTTCGGCCGAGCTTCGTAGAGCAGGCCGATCAGTTCCGGGCGCGATTTTTTGATCGACTCCTTGGTCAGCTCCACGTCGTTGCGCGCCGATCCTGTGTTAGCGGATGGAGCTGGGGCCGCGAAAGCCGGCATGGGCGTGGAACTGCCTCCCAGCAACCCTTGAGCACGGAGTGTGTCCAGGAGAGAAAGGGTGCTGCTCGCCGGCATAGCCGCCGGAGGAGCCGAAGCGGGAGGCGGGACGGGAGTTGCATTCTGGCTGGGAGTTGCACCACCAAAACCCCGAAGCAAATCCGCGAGCGAAGGTGGTTGAGCAGCAGGTGCCATCGGAGGTGCTGGAGTTGAAGATTGCTGAGTCGGCGTTGGAATAGGAGGAATTTGGGGGGTCTGCGTCGGCATGGGGAAAGGAGGAGGCGCTACAGGCGTGCTCACTGGAGCGGTTGACGCCGGAGCTGATGGCGCAAGGGAGGCGCCACCGAGTGTGGCTAGCTGCTGCTCGACGGCTCGAAGCTGATCAGGAGGCAGCTGTTGCACCTTAAGAATGGTCTGCAGATCTAAGAACGTCTTCAACCTCTTCTGCTTCTCCGGATCATACGGGTTGGCAGCAAAGTCTATCTTAGCAGCTGCAATCAATCTCTCCACATCTGCTTGAATCTTCTCAATGGATGGAGCGGCAGGCGGTGCGAACGGTGTTCCGCTCTGAACCGGAGAGTTACGGTAGGCCTGCGGTGGCATGCCGAACGGCAAGGTTATGGCAGGAGCCGGAGACTGGCGGGCGGGCATTGGTGGAGGATGGAATGGCATCCCATTCTGGGCTGGCGACTGCCTTGCTGCACTTCCTGGGGGGAATGGTGAATTTGTAGCTCTAGGGTCCTGACCTGGGAATTGGCCTGGTGCCCTAGGCTGGTTCTGCTGCTGCTGGGCTATCACCGTCTTGTACTTGAGGAGCATGTTGTCAATGGCGCGGGTGATGTCAACGGGGAACACGGGCCGGGTGTCCATGGATTCGGGAACGGGCTGCTTCCATGTCCGCAGCAGGCCCTCGAGAGCCTTCCTGGTGGGATTGTCGACGAGGGTGTACGTGTTTACAAAGGTGTTGTATAAGTTGCGCCCCAGATAGACCGTGTACGGAGTGCCGACGTTTTTGACAATCGAGTCGAGCACGTACAAAGCCGGAAGTTTGTACTCAGGGCGCGTCTGCATGGCGAATCAGCTGCGGTCACTGGTGTTGGAATCTCGGAGTGACCTACCGTCTTAATGTGCTCCTCGAGCTCTCGTGAAATTGCTTGTGCGTGCTCTGTGTTCTCTTTCGCGATGATGGTTAGATTGCTGATCTCGGGCCTGCTGTTGAACTTGAGGTCGTTCAAGGCGTCGCGAAAATCGGCAGCGACCTCTGCAGATGGGAGTGACATGATGGGCTGATGCAAGTGCTTTCAGATTAGTACTGCAGTCAGACGCGGTGCGAGTTAGGCTGGCAATCGGAAAGCAGTCGGCCGCCTGGATCCAACTTTCAAGGTTGTGAGGTAAAGGTCTTCTGCTCTATCGCTCGCGAGAAAAGGGAAATCAAAAGCAGCACGTGTATCTTTGCTAGCTATTGTCCAAGCGAGCCAGAATAGAATGACCGCCGTTGCAAGTGAAAGAGACCCGGACCTCCCAACACTACGCCAACAAAACCCCGCCTGACACTCTGCGCGTGCAGAATCGTCCTCCTCCCAATACCTTCCCACGAGTATGAGAGCGTGACGGGAGCGTGGAGAGCTTGCAAGAGTGGCGCGCCCGAGCTGCGCGGGCACAAGGGGCCACTGGGGGATCCGGCGGCGGGCAGAACGCGAAGCTACGGGGCGAGAGGCTGGCGGAGCCTCTGGTCGCGGCAGCAGAGGTGAGCGGATGGAGACAACGTGGTGTTTGCGGTTAAGTGAGGTGAGGTTGGCTGACGACGAGCGGCTGCGCCGGTCTTTCTTCTGCCTGCAGCGGAGCTTGGCGAGCGCTAGAGCGCATGCGGTTTGGTCTGATTGGCGGCCGGGATTGGCAGGAGGGTGCGCAGGGGCGTATGAACGCATCGCTCCTGCCTGAGTCGGCCTTGGGTCTCCCCAGACATTCTTCTAGGCCGTATTAAAACCCAGGCCCTCCCACCACTGCGCTGTCACAACGCAACACCGCTCGATTCTGCTGCCGACCTACGTTCCTACAATCGCACACTCCAACGCCTGCACAAACCATCCACCATGAAGTTCTTCATCTTCTCGTTTCTGCTTGCCATGCTCGCTGCCTGCGTCGTCGGCACTGCGCCCACAAAGTCGGTCCTGATCAGCGCCGACAGCGCCGGCGTTATCGACCACGCTATCCAGTGGATTGAGGACCAGGTAGGCGGTCCGTTTCACGTTTGCGATATCTCCAGCTAACAACGGACCAAAGGAGGGTGTCGTTCTTCACAAGTACAGTAAGTAGCCCTCTACCTTTGGCATTTGACAGCCAAGCTAACAGGCCACCAGCACTGATCCAGTAAGCTCCCGTTTTCGCCATGCACCCACTCCGCTATGAAACGCCGGAAGAAACGAGCGATGGTCTAACATGCACGAACAGCGCCTTCCTCGCCAGCGCGCCCGCTAGTGTCTTCGAGAAAGCCAAGGATACTTTCACGACGAACAACTGGGGCGACTTGGTCATGGAGGAAGACCAGGAGGTTCACGCGTGGAATGAGGGCGCGAACTAGGGAACACCCTGGTACACGTGCACTATTACCGCAAGGGAAGCGACCCCGAGACCTCGACTCAATGACGACTTATGCTTATGAAACGGGGGAGGGATGGAATGGAAAGGGAAGGGATTCGGGTAGCACTCGCTTGACTTGTAATAATACGACGTTTTTTGATTCATAACCCAGAAGTGTTCAGCGCGTTGTGTTCTTGTGTCACCAGCAGCGTGAAGAATGGCCCGATGGCGCGCGGGTGACGCGATGCAGGGCTGAGAGCGGGGGCCGGGCCGCCCGCTTGTGCATGGTCGAATAGGTAGTTGTTTACGAGGACAAGCGGTCGACTCGAACAATGTAGGCATCGTCGAGCTGTTCAGCGCCCAAAGTTGGCCGAACAGGCGTAAACAACGTCGGGCGGCGAAAAAGTTGAAAGGCATTGTTATGGCGGTCAAAGGACGCTTTGTTGAGGAGCATGGGCGCTAGCGTCACACGGCGGGCTCCCTTTGCACGCGTCAAGGGTCCGGGGCCAATTTCGGCATTGTTCACCTTCACCTCACCGTCGCGACCGCATCTTCGTCTTGCTTATATACACCCAATGTCGCCGCTGCTCCGGAGCCATGTTTAAGTGGTCGGACAGGGCGACAACCAGCTTCTCTTCTCGACGCTCACTCTAGGATCGCTACGCATCGAGCCCCGTCACCGCACCTTCCTCAGTAGCACGCCCGACTCACCCGCGTCCCAGGATGGACGCGACCTCACCCGAGCTCGAGCAGGCCCTGCTCGAGTGTGCAAACACCTTTGGGCTGTCCAGGTCCGTCAAGACCTGGAAAGACCTGCAGGATGGCACGCTTCTGTGGGAGATGCTGAAGCTCCTCGATCCGGACTACTTCACCGGTGACCTTCCCGAGGACAGTCAGAAGACGGGCGAGAGCTGGATATCGAGATGGCAGAACAGTACGCTTATCCCCTTCTACGCTGGCGGCGAAATGGGACGCGTTCTGGCACCCGGCCACTTCACCGCTAACCTTACCGCAGTGAAATTCATCGACAAGGCTATGACCACCTACCTCCGCGAAGTCGCCATGAACGAGGGTCTGATCCGTCTGCTCAACCCAGACCTGAAGGCCATCGCCATCGACAGCGATGTTGTCCAGAGCACCAAGGTTAGAACTAGAACCCCCGCACATGTGATACGACACCTGGAGCTTCTACTGACGGAAATCGTTTGCAAGATGCTCAAAGGCCTGCTTATGCTCGGCTTCTCATCCGAAAAGGCGAACCCGGTCCTCACAAATATCGTTAGCAAGATGCCACCGACCGATCAGGGGCATCTCGCCATCATGGCTCAGACCATTCACGTTGCAATGGAGAAGGCCATGGAACCCCCGAAGCAGGACGAGTCTGTGGAGGAGGAAATAACCTCAGATGGCGAGGCGAGGCCGGACGCAATCCAGCGCGATCCTGAGCTCGAGCGCGAGGAACGTCTGATCAAGGCGAACCAGGAGATCAAGCGTCTTCAGACGAAACTGTCTGAGACGTTGGAGGACCTCGACGACGAGCGTAAGAAGAACGCTCAGCTGGATGAGGCACTCGTTGAGGCCCGAGTCCTCCAGGAGACCCGCGGACGTCGGACCGACGATGACGAGGTTACCGAGCTCAAGATTCAGGCAGACAAGGATCGCGACTACATTGCCCAGCTGGAGACGGATCTGGAGGAGGCAAGGAACCTCAACGAGAGCCAGGGCCGCCAGGTTGAGCGCTTGAAGGCCGATGCTGAGACCAAGCAGGAGCTCCGTGATGAGAACCAGCTGCTCAAGGCTGAGCGTGACGAGCTTCTGCAGAAGACCAAGGGTATGGAGAATCTGCGCAAGAAGGTCGAGCATCTTCAGGAGCAGGTCAAAGTTCAGCAAGGGCTTCAGCAGCGTCTTCAGTCTCTTACTGAGGACCAGCAGGAGCTTGACCAGCTTCGTGAAATGAACGGTCGCCTCAAGACCATGAACGAGGAGACCATGCAGACTCTTGCTACCACCGAAGCCGACCTTTTCGAGGTCAAGCAGACCAAATCTCGCCTGGAGCAGGAGCTCAAGGGAGCCATCGCGCGCGCTGAATCGGCTACGGCCATGTCCAACCGTTACCAGACTGAGAACCAACAGCTCGAGGAGAGACTCCGTGAAGTTGAGGACCGCTCAACGGGTATCGAGGGTCTCGGATCTCTGGCCGATCAACTCAAGGACGATGATATGGACACCAAGTCGATTGCTCGGAAGTCGATCATCGTCAACACGGACAACGCCGATGTTGAGCTTCTTCAGCAGAAGATTGAGCTCCTCACTGCCAGATGCCAGAGGGTGGAGGAGAAGTACCTGGATGTCTTCCAGGAGAACCTTGGTCTTCAGGCCGCCTTGCAGGACGAGCAATCGCTCAAGGAAGGGTCAGTACTCCAAATCGAATGCGAGAAAATCCTGGAAAATCTGACCAAGTATTACAGAGACGATCCGTTTGTTCATCAGACCACCAAGTTGCACGCTGCGGAGGCCGAGGTTAAGGAACTTACTAACAAGGTTCATGAGATTACGGCCGAGAACATGGAGATCAAGGCTAAGCTTGCGGAGCTGACTGGAACGGGTAAGATGGACGGCGCGTCTAGTGCTGACCACCAGACTATGAAGGAGAACTACGAGCAGCTTCTTGCCGCACATGACAACCTTCAGAAGCACGCCAAGACGCTCGACAACGAGATCGACGACTGGAGGGCTCTTCTGCGCCACAAGCTGCTCAACGCCGACATTCTCCGCCAGGAGGATGCCGAGGCCCTCCAATCCAACGAGTACAAGCTGCTCCAGGAGCAATTGACCTTCCACCGTGAAGCTGCGGACGAGGAGGCCGACCAGATCAAGATCGCTATTGCATCGGATGTCATCAAGAAGCTGAGCAGCGGTCTGGCTGATCTTTCATCTCGCGATCAGGTGAGTCTCTACATCTACCCCGACGGTCGTGTCACAAACAAGGTTCCCACCATTGGACGCTGGCGTACAGTGGTGGCGCCTAAACACACCATTTGGTTCATGCCGTTTGCGCCGAATATTTCCAAGAAGAAGGCCGATGATCCCAAAAAGAAGGACGATGCTAATCAATCTCACAAACGCAGCGAATCGCGGATCTTGAATCGATGGTTAAGACGTTGAAGACGAACCTGGAGCGCATTAAGAAGGAGGCGGGCGACAAGGCATCGGTGAGTGCCGTCTCATCATGCCCTCTCATCATTCGACGGCTGGCGTGGCAGTACGGCGAGAATTCACCGCTCTTGCCACCCGCACCTGCTCCTGCTGGCGCGAACGTGGCCGACGCTGACTTACGTCCCCGATTTTTCCCGTCCAACAGGTCGACGTCCAAAAGGAGCTTCAAGCCCTACAGCGCGAGAATAAGCTCATAATGAGCGCTTGGTACGACATGGCCAACAGGCTCCAATCCAACACGGTCGTGCTCCAACGCACCAAGACCGAGACTCCAAAGTCCTGGCTCGGCCGCCAACGCATGGAGGCGAGCCGCGGTATTGCTGCCGGCCTGGGTGGAATTGGCGCAAGTGTAAGTCTTACCCCCGCTCTCTTTCGTTAATTATTGCTTTTCCTGTTCTGCGTTGCTTTAATGGCATTTGAGCGCGAATTGTCTGTTTCTTTGTTGTTTCGTTCTGCTGGCAGAACTTCTACTGCGTTTAAGCTAATTGTACACTTTAATCTTGCAGTTCCGCAGGTGATTGCTGCTTCTTGAGTTTATTGAATGAGATGGTGAAATTGGATTGCTGGATGCAACGGGCTCCTGATCAAAGACGACATTCCTTCATGTTCTTCCTCCCCCTTTTCAAAACTTCCCGCACGCACAAAATACTTTGGCGAAGGCGGCAACCTGGGCGTCCCCAACACACTGTTCCTGTTTTCCTTTACCTGATGTAAAACTCATGTCCCACACTCACTCATTTCTTTGGTCAAATCTTCTCAGCATCGTCATGCTTCCTTTGCTTTTTCGAAAGTTGTTTTGTTTCTGCGCCACACCCGATAGCGGTCACATATACCCCTGCATTGATGGAGTTTCACGTTCCTGTGCTTCTTCCCGTCCCTGCTGCTTTTTTTCTCTCCGAAAATGGTATCGGGGAAGAGATATCCATTCGGGATGGGGGAAGAGATTGTAGATGGACAAGTAAAAAAAAAGAGGGCACGCACATACACAACTGCACACATGTCTCTTTTTTTGCCCCTCTCACACATCATCCCTGCACACACACGCACACGCACGAACAAAATAACAAAAACAAACGCGCAACACGTACACAAAGGCCGCACATAAGAGCAGGAGAACACGTTTGGGTTTTGATAACTTAGCACGTTCTATCCTTGTATCTTGGCTTGTCTTTTTTCTTCTTCGTCGTCTATTGTTCACACCCCGTTTATAGAGTATTTAGTACAACCCAGTCGCTGCTGTTGGTTTTGTTACTTTTTGTTAGTACAGCAATGGCGAGGCAGGGCTGAGCAGCTGTTCGCGGCGCAAATATAGATCTCTTTTAGCACACAGACACTCACATACACCCTCTCTCACTCATACTCTCCCTCACATCACCTCTTTTTTATCGTTATTATTCGTCTTCGCTTCTTCTTGTCGTTTGTTTGCGGAGCTTGGAGTTATTCTTGTCTTGCCTTCTCTGTACCTTGTTTAAATAGACAGATTGGTGAACAGGGGAGGGAGCGGGAAGGGTGTCGTTTAAATCGTGGCCAAAAAATGGGGCAGGCCGAATTTAGGTCTTGTAATGGAGTTGATTCTTTTTCTACAGGCTGAATATTGAGAAAAATAGCACCTGTGCCATGATATCCACGATGGCCCTTGGGTATGGATGGGCAGGGCTGCAGGGCTTCTAGCGAGTGAATCAGACTTGCAATCTTAAACAATTTCGCGGTTCAGGCCACATCAATCTTAAATTGCCAATTCGCCAGGCCGCAAGTAAATGAAACAAGTCTTAAAGAATATGTATGGCTATAGCAAGAGGTCGTTAGGATGAACTTGTGAATGGGGAGTGGATTGGTAATTGGACTCAAGTTAGCGGAATCTCGGTAGAAGATTGAATAATTCTGACTCTACGTCCGGACGATAGCTCCAACTACCCACATGAATTGCAATTCCTTAATCCACAATTACGTCTGGGCCAGTCGTCGCGGTTCGCTGTGCAAAAGTAATCACAACAGACTGGCCATCACAATTACAGAGCTAAGCTATGTCTCACACGGAGATTGTGTCACAGAAAGAAAGAATCAGCGTGACCCCAGAAAATCAGGCAAACGCCTTCTCATTGATTTGTCCATATTTACCCATTTTGAACTTTCAGGTTCTCTCGCTTGCACGTATGTTATATACTTACTCGCTCCATTTCCTCGCAAGAAGATTGCTTTGGGAGGGAGGAGGAAAAGGGAGAGAAAAGAAAGCAGAGAAAACAAAACACAATTTCCGCCACGCTCGCTTGCTACGTATGCTGTGTGTGTGAAGCAAGAGCGCTAAAAAAAAAAACCGGAAAGAGAAAGAAGGGGAGAGAGATGGCCGTTGCTCGCTCCTGTCAGACGATATAGCAAGCAAAGCAATCTCGCGCCGTCACGAAAGCCCCGAAAGGAAAAGCAATGATGTGGGATAAACAAGAGCCGCTATTGATAGGGGGTATCGTGCAGCAGCAATTAACAATAAGGGAGACGCTGTGGGCGCGGGAAGCAAAACGCTCAAAGCGCCGAAATGGGTGCCAAAAGAGGCAGAGAACCATGAATCGACAGGAGAGAGTTGACGGTGTGTGTCCATCAAGTCTCGTACATCTCGAACCAGGAATGGGGCACCAAGTTCGGATCCACCTTCTTCGCGAGGCGACAGACGCAGACCTGGATTCCGCCAAAGTCCTCCTGGGCGCGCTCGATGTTGTCGCGGTGCTCCCTGAGCTGCTCCCAGATGACGGGCTTGTCCCTCTCGTAATCCGCGCTGAGGGCGTTGACGGTGGTCCAGAGGTTCCTGATGCCGTCGGTCGCCGTGCGTATTTCTTTGTCGATCCGTTCGTTGATGACTGCGCAGGAGCGGTGGGACTCCTGCGACAGCCTCCTGAGTTCGTCCTGGACTGCTGTGTCGCTTGCTGGAGTCTGCGTGTTGACCCTGCGGTCGAGATCGTCAAACTTCTGTTTGCTGGAGCTCTCAATGTCCCTGATCTTGCGTTTGACCAGTTCGACGTTCGCCCTCACGTCTTTAACGTCTCCCTTGAATTCGTTGCCAATGTTTGCAGCAATGGAATTACGAATGGGCTCCAGCAGCGTTTGGCTGAGCGGCTGGACGAGCTTTTGGTTGATGTGTGGCATCAGTCCATTCAGTATGCACACAGCAAGCTCCCGAGTCTGCAAGTTATCGAATCGACTTTGCAGGTCACGTATGGCGGTTATAGTTGCCCAGAAAAAGTTCGACGGCCTTCCCTGCGTCTCGCTGAACATGACGAGGTCCGCTAGTATGTCTGAGTACCCAGGCGGGCATCTTTGTTCGAGCAGTTTCGATAGTGCCGCGAGATGGTCGCTGAGGAGATTATACCTCTCGTACGAGCCGTCAAGCTTCTTGTTCAAGTCGTCGAGCTTGTTGTCTACGACTCTGGAAGCCGATTGTTCCAACCTCGAGTAGATGGCATCTTCAACCTCTTGAACCCTTGGAGTGGCTGATCTCCTTGCCACGTCTTGGCGCAGTTCCTGCATTTCATTCCTGATTCTGCCTGTAGACTCCTCGATCATGTGTTTGACGTTCTCGGGTGTTTGTGGTGCCGGTTGATGAGCTGAAGACATGGCCGTTGCGACTTCATGCCTAACTCGCTGCTTGACATCCTCCTCGATGAGTTCAGACTGCTGAGCTACCGCCTCCTCAAAGCCGTCGATATCTATCCTCAATGCACCGATGTCCTTCTTCATGCTAGCATGATCTCGTTCGACCTGCGTGACGCGCTTTTCTAACACGCCAAGACGTGGGGAAGAAGTCTGCTGAGCAGAACCGGACTGTTGTGCAGGTGCGGAATTGCTTCTTGGCTGATTTTCGTATGACTGTCCCATAGCATGGACAGTGCTCTTCAAGTCGATCAGCTGCTGAACTAAGCTAGCACTCTCCGAGTTAGTCATCACCTCAGCACCGTGCAAGATCCGATCAAGGTTCTTGATGGATGCTGTGTGGGCTTCATGGTTAGATTTGAGCAAAGCCACGTCGCGTTGCAGGCCTTCCGTGTCTGCTGCCCTTTCGAGTGTAGTGTCAATACTGTCAACCTTTTCTTGCAGAGCAGACTGTTCATCATCTATGGTGTTAACCCGTTTTTGGAGCCCGTCAACCACTTTAGACAAGGAGGTGTGCTTCTGATCAGACTTGCGCTTGATATCGTCCATAGTGTTTTTGTGATTCTGATGAGTTCATGAGTTAGCCAATTTTGCCACAAAAGTTCCTCTGAGAACAAACCTTGGTATCCTTTTCCAGAGTCTTGATTTTTTGTGCTGCCGTGTTGATGGAGTTCTGCTGGGTGTCCTGCTTGGCTTCCACATGATCTAGTCTGACTGACAATGCCGCGCTATTATCCGGCATGGATTTCTCGGGTATCTTTGCCACTTTGGCATTAAGCGACTTGATATCTTCATCGTGACGGAGTACCGTGTCTCGGATTTTCGCGAATTCGGCCTGTTTGTTCTTGACTTCTCCTTCCATCTTTTCAGAAGCGTCGAAGTTAGCCCTGGGAAGTTTCTTGACTTCCCATTCTAGATCTTCAAGGTCGAGGTCGATTTCTCTCACCTTCTTGTTGAGTTTGGTCAAGTCATCGCGGAGGTTGCTGAGGTCCTGGTTGACCTCATTTATGCGATTGTTATCAGCCCTAAGATCGCGTTCATGCCTATCAATGCATTCGTCATGACGTTCGATCTCCTTCTCGTGACGGTCGAGCACCTTGCTACTCTCGTCTTTGGCCTTTTTGAATTCCTCTTTCAGCTTCTCGGAATCCTTTTTCATCTTCTCGAAATCTTTTTGTAAGTTCGAGAAGTTCGAGGGAGCTGGTTGATTCTCGATGCGCTGTGTTAGTGCATCTACGCTCTTCTGAAGCACCTCGACACGTCCGTTCGCGTTCGCGTCAACGGCCGGAGTAGGGAATATCCTCTTTCGCGGATCCGTGGTAGTATTCATATCCTTTCTGAGACGTTTCACATCGTCCCATATCGACTTCGACTCCTTCATCTCGGATTGAAGCTTGGTAACAACGGTTGAAATGGAAAGAGCATTTTTAAGAGCATTGGAGTTAGAATTCACCTGCTGCTCCAAAGAAGCGACCTTGTTCTGGTCGGCCTTTTCTCTCTTGAGGTCTGTGACCGAGTTGGTCAGGGAGGAGATTTCCTTAGTTGCATTTTGGACCGTGCCCTGGAGCTGTGTGACCTGGCCTTTGAGACGTGCATTTTCGTTTTCCAGGGTTTTGATCTTGGAGTCCCTGTCTTTATCCTTGGAACTGATAGTCTGCTTGAATGCCTCCAGGTCTTTCTTCATTTTGGAGAGTTCAGATTGTACTTCGATGGATGCGCTTGGCGCAATCGCTTTTGGTGCCTTTACCAAAGCCGAGGGTTCCTCGGAGGTGGAATCAGAAGCTAGGAGTGAAAGCGGGCCTTTGAGTGTAGCAGCAAGCTGTTCCTTAACATGCTTCCTGATCATTGTCTCAAGTTCATCATGGTTAATTACGCCATCTGGGGACTCAGACAATTGTAAAGGAGCCAGAGATGCTCTAAGCTTTGCTGCTTTTGCCTTCTGCTGTGCCTCAATAGTTTCGAGCCTTTCTTTTACCTTCGTGACCGCATCATCACATCGCTTGTGAATTTCGTATTCAAGTGTTGCTTCCAGAGTACGGAGTTGAGAGTTCAGTCGTTTGTCAACATCCTTGAACTCTTTCTCCGCGGTCTTCACGTTTCGCTGTAACTCTGAGATCCGATCATCATTCCCAGCCGAGCTCGCTGCATTCAGCTTGGCAAGGCGCTCTCTCAATTGATCTTTCTTCAATGCCGTCCTTATGGATAGCGAGCTCAGTCTCTCTTTATCCGTCAAGACATCGAACAAGCTGTCCACACTACCTGTCGGAGCCAAGGACCCAGGCTCGGTAGCTGTTGATGGCGTCATGACTGAAGAAGTTTTAGCCGAGCCCGGCACTGAAACGGGTGATAAACCCATCATCGGTGCAGTGGGGGCGGGGCCACGAGGAGGAGGCAGTGAAACGCTACTCTGATTATCTGGAGAAGCCTTCGCTGGTGCGCCTGAAATGGTGTTGGCCCTCTTGAGCGCGGGCCGCGAGTTCTGTTCACTTGTCGCGGAAGATGCTTCTTTAGCAGAAGCCGGTGCTTCGGATTGACCATTTGCAGCTTGGGTTGGCGTCGTGAGCACCCTCAGAGGTGGTCGGTCATTTACTTCAGCTGAGGCGTCGGAGAAAGTCTTGGATGCTCGTCTTTTGGTTGGGCTCCCGGAACGACTTCCGGATGCGCTGGCACTCGACCTAGAATCGATTTGATTCCAGGTGCGATTGCTAAGCGATGCTTTCGCACCAGGGTTCGCTGAGTCAGGAGTGGAGCTTCCGCTCTTACGCAATGTTTGCGACTTCTAGACGGGTGGTTGATTAGTGGGTGGAATAGGCGGACGACTGCGATAACATACCTGTTTGGACGCGCTGTCGCCGAGGTGCTTCACCTTCTTATGCTCCTGTGCGTCTCGGGGCGAGAGATCGCGCCCCGATCGCTTGCTGCTAACCATAATTCCAGGCGCCAGAGCGGGCCAGTGACGTGGTCTGGTGTGCCTGGGAGTGTGTTAGCAAGTGCCACGGGCCGTTGCCAGGACGTGAATCGCTTGGGCAATCCGGAAGGCGTGATGGCGATTTTAAGTGGGCGTAGGCCGAAGGTGAGACGAGTGGAAAGCAGGATGTTGATGTGATACCGAAGGGACAGAGGCGCAAGACTAGAGGTGGGTATTTATAGGGTCGTGATCGAAGGGAAAGGAACCTCGCCGCTTACTGACAGCCGTGTTTCAAATACTTAGCGGCGGCGTGCCGCGGTGGCGTGCTAGGTGTGCTCGTCCCAGAGGTCGCGAGCAGGGTCACGGTGAGGGGGAGCGGGCATTGCTCGACGGCAAACGGGCGCGATCAACAGCGGTTGCGGCGTCGACTCGCTCGCTTCTCGCACTGATAACGTCGTGTGCAACCGCGGCGCTTAGGCACGAGGGGGCGAGGTGCACGCAAAGGAGCCGAGGGGAGAGAGCGAGCGAGGAAGAAAAACTGGAGCGAGTTTCCGCGCTGATGCTGCTGACTGAAGGCGATAAATGCAATGTGAGTCGTCGCAGGGTCCACGGCCAATTGAGGGCTGGCGCAGCTGCAGCTTGCCGCGACACGGTCAGGCGCTGCGCTGGTGCTACGTTTGCACCACCCACGGGTCGGACGTTGGACGAGACTAGTCCCAGCTGGCCGCAGAGCAGGCGTTTGCGACAAGGTGCTGAGCTTGTCGTGGAGCAGAGGGCAGCGAACAGCTCTGTATTTGAAGCGCCCGGGCCGCGACGCGCTTGGCGGGCAGCGGCGACGCGCCGCCCTGCACGCGCCCTACACTGCCCCGAGCTCCAACCCGGCCCGCTTTCTTTCCACCAGCCCAGCGCAGCCTGCCGCTCCATCACCAGCAGCAAAGAAGGCATTCAAGCCTCCACTCCCACCCCGACCCATTGCCCACCGCCCACCATGGCTGCCGTGAGTCCCGCACGCGCCCCATGCCCGCGCGACCCCATGCTGACCTGCGCTGCAGCCCATCACCACCATCGCCGAGAGCAAAGAGCTCCGCGGCCTCAACCTCATCGCCGCTCACTCGCACATCCGCGGCCTCGGTGTCGAGCCCGACACCCTCGAGCCCAAGGCCGCGTCGCAGGGCCTCGTCGGCCAGGAGAAGGCCCGCAAGGCTGCTGCTGTCATACTGCAGATGGTTAAGGATGGCAAGATTGCTGGCCGCGCCGTCTTGATCGCTGGTCCCCCCAGTACTGGCAAGACTGCCATCGCTATGGGCATGGCTCAGTCGCTGGGTTCTGATGTCCCCTTCACTATGCTCGCCTCCTCTGAAATCTTTTCCCTGGAGATGTCCAAGACCGAGGCCTTGACCCAGGCCTTCCGGAAGTCCATTGGCGTGCGGATAACGGAGGAGAGCGAGATCATTGAGGGCGAGGTCGTCGAGATCCAAATAGACCGCAGCGTCACGGGTGTAAGCTTTTTCTCCCCCTCCCGTACGGAGAGATCTTAACGGCATTCTTCAATCTAGAGCAACAAGCAGGGCAAACTCACCATCAAGACCACCGACATGGAGACCGTCTACGACATGGGAACCAAGATGATCGACTCAATGACCAAGGAGAAGGTCATGGCTGGAGACGTCATTTCCATCGACAAGGCATCCGGCAAGATCACTAAGCTAGGCCGCTCCTACACCCGCTCGCGTGATTACGACGCCATGGGCGCCGACACCAAATTTGTGCAATGCCCAGACGGAGAGCTGCAGCAGCGCCGCGAGGTTGTCCACACCGTATCGCTCCATGAGATTGACGTCATCAATTCCCGCACCCAGGGCTTCCTCGCTCTCTTCTCCGGTGATACCGGCGAGATTAGGCAAGAGGTGCGCCAGCAGATTGATACCAAGGTCGCCGAGTGGAAGGAGGAGGGCAAGGCCGAGCTGGTCCCGGGTGTGCTGTTCATCGACGAGGTGCACATGCTCGATATTGAGTGCTTCTCGTTCATCAACCGTGCCCTGGAAGATCAACTGGCGCCAATTGTCATTATGGCCTCGAACCGTGGTAACACCAAGATCCGTGGGACCAACTACTCATCCCCGCACGGCCTTCCGCTCGACTTTCTCGACCGCACCGTCATCGTTAGCACTACGCCCTACCAGGCAGACGAGATCAGGCAAATTCTTGCAATCCGTGCCCAGGAGGAGGAGATCGACCTTTCCCCTGACGCTCTTGCGCTTCTTACTAAGATTGGATCGGAAACGAACCTAAGATACGCTAGCAACCTCATTACCACTTCGTATCTCCTTGCTCAGAAACGCAAGGCATCGGAGGTCAGCATCGACGATGTTCAGCGCAGCTACAAGCTCTTCTTCGACCCTGATCGCAGCGCCAAGGTAAGCTACAAATAAGAAATACTCCAATTGGTTGATTTACTAATTCACATGACCAGTTCGTCACCGAGTTCGAAAAGCGCTTCATCAGCGTCGACGGAGACGTCACGCTCTCGATACCCAACGGCAGCGGTGCCACTGGCGAGGCCATGGAGCTGTCGTAGACATGCTCCTTCTCGCGTATTGTTTTCTAGATTCCCGCGCGGCGTCCGGTGTAAAGCACGAAAGTTAATTGTTGAGCATCATTTTCCATGAGGCAAAAGAATCAAAAGACGGGCAGTTAGGGGAGGGTTCATCAGGGCGGGATCTGTTCATTTTTCCATATATCTCAAACATCAGATCTCTGCAAAAGACTAGCATGCATGATGGGGACTAAAATAATGCAATAAGAAAAAGCAGGACTTCAATCTCTCGTCTGGATGCATCTGTTCATGCCAGTTTTGCTAGTGCTCGTTTATATCGTTCTGAAGAGGGTACACAGGATGATCCATAGAAGATCTGCAGGCAGCATCAGATATCGCTGGGTGACAAACGAATAGCAAACGGCAAACGGGGTGATAGAAAACAACAAACGGAGCCGTAGCAAACAACAAACAAAAGAGGCGAATATCACGGAATGCACCCTGATAGTACGTCACGTTCTGAGAGACAAACCGTATTAACATCAAACTCGATCCTTCGTCGTCCATGATCCTTGCTCACCTTGCACCACAAACCCAGTCATTCTCACTCTATCTGCCCGCCAAGAATGCGAGCATTCCCCATATTATGCAAGAGACACGCTCCTGCGCCGGTTTGCCGTGATCCCAATTTCCTTGGTTGAGGCCGGGAAATGTAAGCCTCGCACCTCACCTGCATATGCATGTGTCACAACAAAAAAAACGACCACCCTGCAGGACCACGCTCCCTGTTCACAACGGTCTGGACGAACGGCGGGCCACTTTACTTTTTCTTATTCTTGCTGCGCTGATCGTTTCACTTGACTAATCGGCTCCAGACGCCTGGGTTTTTTACGTTTTTTTCCTGTTTTTTTCTTGGTCGGACAGATTCCGATCCATGTCGCGAGACGCATTCCCTATCAGCTTCCCTGCTTGGCTCTTCCTTCCCCAACGGGAGGAGGAGGAGTGAGTGAGATTTTCTCGAGCTGCGTGTTGCTCTTCTGGGCCTTTTTTTCAACTCCGCTTCTCCGGATTTTTGGAGTGGGGGGTGGGGAAATGGGTGGGTGGGAGGCGAATACGACTATATCAAGCTTCCTTCAGCGCTCTCTTCCACTCGCGCTGGCGTCTCGTCGACCTTTTTTTTTTTTTCCTTATCGAAAGTCTTTTGGCGACTGCGCGTGTCCTCACGTTCGCACGTACTACTAGTTCCTATCTGCCAATGGCTCACTTCCGGCGCGTGGCTGCTGCTCGCCAGCCGGACCGTCCTCACCCTCCTTGACCTGCTGCTCCTCGCGGCCTTCTTCCTCTACCTCGTCTTCCACACCCTTCTTCTCCTCTATCTCATCCTCCACGCCCTTCTTCTCCCTCTCCTTCGCCTTACCCTCCGCACCAGCACCAGCACTAGCAGCCACCACGCCCCTCCCCCGAATAACGTACTCCACCCCCCTCCCCACCGACGGCGGCGCCCACGGCGCAAACACGACCTTCATCCACCGCCTCCACCGCTTAATTTCCGTCCCTCCCCCCTCGTCTCCGTCTCCGTCTCCCTCGCCTCGCCAATCCAGCCGGCCGTCTGCCGCCAGCCCGATCCAAGGGTTCGGCGCGTTGTACACGGGGGCCTTGAGCAGCGCTATTCGCGCCGCGATCTGGTTCGCCCAGACGAGGCCGAGGGCGGGCGTCTTGAGGTTTTCGGATGCGGATGACGAGGCACGCACGTCGCCCCAGCCGGTGAACCAGCGCTGCTGGTGGTCGAGCGTGAGGGGGTCGCGGGAGAGGGTGAGGGGTGCGGTGGTTGCGGTGCCTGGAGGCGGCGGCGGCGGCGGTGGTGGTGTTGATGTAGCACCTGCTGCCGCCGCTACGCCGCCGCCTCCTTGTTGAGAAGGCGGGCCGGGGCCGGGAGTCGGGACGCGGGATGTTTGGCTAAAGGTGCTGTTGTAGGAAGGGTGGCGGGAGGTGGTGGTGCTGGAGGGAGGAGGTGGTGGAGGAGCAGAGAAGCGGTCCGACACTTGGTTCGCGACGACGACGGCGACGCCATGCGTGCGAGCAACGGAGCGCAGCAGGGCGCCCAGCTGCACCAGCTGCGCGGTGCGGTGCGCCATAGCTTCGCCGACGGCGCGGCGACTGCCCCCGTCTTTCTCGCTCCCACCACCACCACCTCCTCCTCCGCTACCGCCGCCGCGCTCGAATTCAGCGCGGTAGTTGGCGGCGACCGAGTCGAGCACGACCAGGCCGACATTGTGGCGCTGGATGGCGACGGGCAACTGGTAGCGCAGGATGTGGTCTTGCGACTCGAGGTCGGGCGTCTGTATGCTGAGGATGCGCGAGAGCGAGGGCTTAGAGGAAGGTGGGAGGCTCGTGAGGCGTGGATGCTGGTTCAGCAACTGTGCCAGGCGCGTCGTCGCGAGCGGTGCCTCGGTGGAGATGTAGAGGGCGGACTTGGAAAAGCCATGGGGAGCTGGCAACTGCGCCGACAGGAGCAAGGTGAGTAGGAATTGAGTCTTTCCCGCGCCGCTATAGAATTTCAGGTCTCAGCACACAGTTCGTTCGTCCCGCTTTCGAACACAGCGAAAATATACCTTTCGCCAGTGATCTCGGTCAGGTACCCCGCAGGTATCCCTCCCCCCAGCTCGGCGTCCAGACTATCATCGAGCGTACTGATAGTACGCCATTCCGCCGCATGCCAGCCATCCGCCACCGCGTTATTCCCCGCGTCCGCAGCTTCGACCGAATCGGCGACTCCCAGTTCGGCGTGGAGCGCGCTCACAATGGCCTGCTGGAGCTTGCGCAGCTCGGCGACGGGGACCTGGGCGCGCTTCGCGAGGTCGACGGCATCGAGGGTCAGGATGTCGGTGGTGGTGACACGGTGGCGGTCGAGCGACGGCAGCAGGTGCGAAAAATGATGGGCCGGGAATCCGTCGGGCAGAACGTGGTGCAGATCGGACATGACAGGAAACGGTCAGCTGGGATGTCAGGCATGCCGGCACTTGGCGGCGGCGGCGGCGGCGCGCGGGCGTGCCGCGAGAGGTCGGACGGCGGCGTTTGGGCGCGAACGTGATGAGCGTGGACGTGGACGCGGGCGCGGCGGGCGAGACGCGTCTTGGGACGTGGGGTCGGCAAGCAGCGGCAGGGCCAGAGCACGGCAGCAGGCAGCCGGCTGCAGGGCTTGGCCGGGCTCGAATTCGGGCAGCGTGTCCGGGGGAAAATCTGGGGAGCGAGAGGCGATGACGTTCAAAGAAAGTCCCGTTCACCCGTGCTCATCGCATCCCGAAGCGGTTGCGCGCAGGCGTCTGCTGAGCCGCCTGGTCTAGGATCGATTCCATCCACGGCGCCGCCGCTGGGAGCAATTCAAAAGGTAAGCGCAGCCCGGCTGGGATGGATCCTGTGCCCTCGTCTGCTGGTGCCGCTGTGTCAACTTCCCTTCGCCGCGCCCGCCGGCTGACCATCGCACGCATCCCTGTTGCAGCTAGAACCACCAGCACTTCCTCTCGTCCGTCGACCTCTGCCACGCCCGTTTCCGCCCAAGCTCCTCGGTCCTATTGCTCTCCTCGGGCGCCCGTCCGCGCCTTTGGCCCGCAGAGCCCAGCGCTCCCCTCTGCCGGCTTAACGGTCCAGGCAACGCCAAGCACGTGGTGAGTCGTTCGTAGCACAACTGACCTGCCCAGCTTTGACTCGGAAATATCGCGCATTGAAGGTGTGCTCGGTAAGTGTCCCTCTTCCATTCGCTGTCGTCATGGCTGGCACCGCCCGTCTGGCCCCCGTATCTGCACCCCATATCCAGGTCTTCCGTCTCGCCGGTCCCATGCGCGGCGGTAGCTAGTCCCCGTTGCACATGGGTCCCGTCGTCGCGGGGTTGTTGCGTGTGCCTCTTCAGATCCCCCTTCGTCCACCCGACCTGTGATGATAAAGACCTCATCCACCCGAGGCCACTCCCCTGCCTCTCTTACTCCCACGTTTTCTCCGGCGTCCAGCCGCCAGTTTCCATGCCCGCCTACTGCCTCCAAGACTGCCACTATTTCTACCGCACTGCGCTGCGGGGCCTTAACGTCTCGACTTTCATCTCTCCCCTCTACGCTTGAATCCCTCTGACCCCTCGCCACCATGCCAGTCCGAACTTTCCAAGCCCCTACCTCTCTAAACGGCACCCTTGCCAAAGAAACCAACGGCGTGAACGGCGTCAACGGGACCGCCATGTCTAACGACGCACCGCGCTCCGCACAGGCGGCCAAGGACGCCACCAATGACTTCTCCAAATCTGAGCAGAACCCGCTCGGCACTGCAAGAAATCCAAACTCCAAACCCGGCATCACCTTTGCTGCACAAGACAACCTGCCGAAGCTCCCCATTCCCGAGCTTGAGTCGTCATGCAACAAGTATCTTGCCGCGCTCCAGCCTCTGCAATCACCCAAGGAACAACAGGAGACGCGCGCTGCTATTCGCGACTTTTTAAAGAGTGATGGTCCGGAGCTCCAGGAGAAGCTGAAGAAGTACGCCGCCGGCAAGGCCAATTATATTGAGCAGTTCTGTAAGCACATCGTAGATCCCACTTTACCCGTCAGCAATCCGGCTAATTAGACCAAGGGTACGACTCTTACCTGAACTTCGACAACCCGGTTGTCTTGAACTTAAACCCTTTCTTCCTATTGGAGGATGACCCTACTCCGGCCAGGAATAACCAAGTCACCCGTGCCGCATCCTTGGTGGTGTCGGCCTTGTCCTTTGTGCGTGCCGTCCGGAAGGAAGAGCTCCCTCCTGATACGGTGCGTGGCCAGCCACTTTGCATGTACCAGTACTCCAGATTGTTCGGTACCGCCAGAATACCCACAGAAAATGGCTGCCAGATCGGCCAAGACCCGACAGCAAAACACGTCGTCGTGCTGTGCCATGGCCAGTTCTATTGGTTCGACGTTCTGGACGACAACTCGGACCTAATCATGACGGAGAAGGACATCTCTCAGAACCTGGAAGCCATCATCGAGGACGCTGCACAGATCCCCATCCAGGAAGCCGCAAAAGGAGCACTCGGTGTTCTCAGCACCGAGAACAGAAAGATTTGGTCCGGCCTTAGAGATGTGCTACACAGAGACGAGGGATCAAACAACTCTGACTGCCTGAACATCGTCGACTCGGCCCTGTTCATCCTCTGCCTTGACTACACTGAGCCCACCACTGGAGCAGACCTCTGCATGAACATGCTCTGCGGTACCAGCAAGGTCGAGCGTGGCGTACAAGTCGGCACGTGCACCAACAGATGGTATGACAAGCTCCAGATCATCGTGTGCAAGAACGGCAGTGCCGGCATCAACTTCGAGCACACTGGTGTAGATGGCCACACGGTCCTCCGCTTCGCCAGTGATGTCTACACGGATACCATCCTTCGATTCGCGCGGACTATCAACGGCCAAGCACCGAGCCTGTGGGCATCGAGCAGCCCCGACCCCTCGAAGCGCGACCCAGCAAGCTTTGGCGACGTCAGCACCACGCCGCACAAGCTCGAGTGGGATATGGTGCCTGAGCTTAGCACTGCCCTGCGCTTCGCCGAGACAAGGCTGGCCGATCTCATCCAGCAAAACGAGTTCCAGACGCTCGAGTTCATGCATTACGGCAAGCACTTCATGACTTCGATGGGCTTCTCTCCCGACGCATTCGTGCAGATGGCGTTCCAGGCGGCATACTACGGACTGTACGGGCGCATGGAGTGCGTGTACGAGCCTGCCATGACAAAGATGTTCTACCACGGACGAACGGAAGCCATCAGGCCGGTAACCCCCGAGTCGGTCGAGTTCGTCCAAACTTTCTGGAACGACAACCCTGCGGCCGACAAGGTCGAAGCCCTCCGCCGAGCATGTGAAAAGCATGTTTCCATCACCAGGGAGTGCTCCAAGGCCCAAGGCCAGGACCGACACCTGTACGCGCTTTACTGCATCTGGCAGCGCCAGCTCGACGAGGATGGGGCGTCCTTCATGGACGGCGCCAGTTACACCGACTCCCTCCGCGACTCGAGCGGCAGCCCGCTGGATTCGGAACAACAAGTCGTCGTCGGCAGCCCGGGCCAGGACTCGATTCTCTCCGAGGGCGCCTCCATCTCGACGAGCCCGCCGAGCGCCGGCCCGCCGATGATCGAGCACCGCATGCCCTCGCTCTTCGCCGACGCCGGCTGGGACCGCCTCAACACGACGATCCTGTCGACGTCCAACTGCGGCAACCCGTCGCTGCGCCAGTTCGGCTTCGGCCCGACGTCCGGCGACGGCTTCGGCATCGGCTACATCATCAAGGACGGCTCCATCTCCATCTGCGCCAGCTCCAAGCACCGCCAGACCTCGCGCTTCATCGACGCCATCGAAGCGTACTTCCTGGAGATCCGCAAGCTGCTGCGGCAGACGCGTCGCCGTGGCGCCTCGGTGCAGAAGGGCGCCAGCCGCGCGCGCGAGGCGGAAGAGCATCATGAGAAACTGCTCAATGCCAGCCGCATGAAGAGCCGCGGCCGCAAGATACTTGGCGAGCCTGGTAGCGTGAAGGCGCCCGGATCCCATACCCCCGCGACGGACAGCAGCATGGTCGGAGAAAGCGACGACGAAGGTCTTGGTGGATGTGCGTCTCCCTCCTCCTCCTCCTCTTCTTCCAACCCCCGTTCCTCCCCTATTGCTTCTTCTTCCGCTTCCACCACCAACACAAACACTTCCTCCCTATCCTTCCTCCCCCGTTCCCCTCCCTCCCCTCACTGCACCTGCGGTGGTAGTGGTGGTGAAGGGAGCAGCGAGGAGAGTGACGATGCCGCCGAGGGAAGAGAGCGCTCGTGCTCCTTCCACGACGGCCTGCCCACGCCGCCGCATTCCCCCTTCCAGAGCCCGTCGATGAAGAAGGAGATCCAGAGTTCGCCGCGGGTGACGCTGCCGCCCAGCGTGGTCAAGCGTCCCGTCGTTGGCGCCAAGCGTCGCCGGCACCCGCACTTTTGCACGCTGAAGTCGAGGACTTTGGATGTGTAGAAGGGAAAAAGGGTTAGAACTTGTAGAGCTTCTTCTTTGCGGGCGTAAGGGCTCTGGGATAGATTTCGGTCTTGCTTTTTCTCTCTCTGTTTCCTTTCGTCGTCGGCGGGGTCTGGCAGCCCCTTCTCGGCACTCATTCTCCTCGCCCACCTACTCACCACTCCCCCTTCCCCTTCGCTTTCGCCACATCATCCACACCATCTTTGCTTTTCTCACACGTTTTTTTTCCGGCTTCTCAAAGAAGAAAATACATTTACTTATACGCTTTCTTTCCAACCTCTTTCTAGACGGCTTCTTCGACTCGGGCATGCTGCAAGCCGCCCTCAAGGCCAAACACGAGCAACAAGACGCCCTCGCCCAGAGCGAGAGCAAGGAGGTCGTCCGCCGCAACATCGGCCGCAGGCTGAAGTTGGCCGATTACTGACGGTGGGGGTCGTCGAGTGACGGCAGTTTGTGAGTGGTGGTTGACGACCCCTGAGGAGGAGAGATGGTGGTGGTGAGGTGGGGGATGGGGGACGTGTGGAGGGGAGGGGGAGGGAAGGGAAGAAGAGGGGGTGAGGGAGTGGGTGAAGATGTTACGCCTTCTTTGTAGCGCTTTTTTATGATGATGATCGTCATGAGCGAGGGTTTATGTTGTGGGGGAGGGCATAGTCTGAGCACAACACTGCGGTGTCTTGTTAGCGTTGATGTTTATTGTTGATGTTGTTGTAAATTGATATGGTTGCGATGATTTGCTATCTTTTCTCTGCTTGGTGTTGGATTGGAGTTGTGTTTTTGTGAGCCTTTCTGCTTTTGGCGTGGCGATGGGGAGTGCTTGTGAGGGTTTAAGTTTCGCCTCTCTCGTCCTGTTCACTTCACGATAAGATATCCTTAACGCTGCCGCATCAATAGCTTATGACTACTAACGTATTTACCACTACTAAAACCATGATTACTATCTGTATATTTACTATCTACGCAATCACTGCCCGTAACCAGCACAGTCAATACTGGTAGCGTAAGCGTAAGCACGCTGAGGCATCGTGAGTATGCGTATGGGAAAGGCAATATTCCTAAAATGGCGCAAAAGAGCATCCAAGTCCAGTCTGGGGGAGTCAAGTTCTCGAAATGGAGAAGTATTTGTAGAAGCTTTGCTGAAATATCAACATGGTCGAAGGGTCTCTTGCTTGGAAATGTTGGCGCCAGGGACCATGTGCAACCTTGGTACAGCTTTTTCACATACGACGCTGGTCCTTGGTAACGAGCAGTTGAATTTTTATCTGAGGCAGATCTCTTATTTTAGAGCTTCTCCGCCCATGCTGTATATTCTGTTCCTCTTCATCCCCAACCGCAGTCGGCTCTCAGGAAATCTGCCTCACGCCCTCGTCTCTCTTCCTTCGTCCAGAAACCCAGACGAAAGGAAAAAGCAAAAAGGCAAAGAGCCAAACAAAAAAACAAGAAAAACCCTCCAAGAACAAAAAAAAAACCTCCAACATGGGCGACGTATCCCGCACCAACACCACCACCACCACCACCACCACCATCGTCAAGAGCGGCAGCAACCGCAACGACAACACCAGAAGCCTCATCACCCGCAGCAGCACCAGATGCTCCCCCACCGCCGCCGCCCGCGACATCAGCGAGGCCCGCATCATCTCCCTCACGCGCAGCTACGGCCTGGACGTCGACGAGGTGGAGCGAGCCCACCTGGCGAGCCTGCCGAACGACCGCGCGAGGAAGGTGCGGTGCCGGACGCTGTTGATGGGTGAGAGGAGCGACCGCTGCGGCTTGGCGAGGGCGTCGACGTTCGTGGCGCCGGGGTTGGCGATGGATGAGGAAGAGGAGGAGAGGAGGGAGGACAAGGGGAAGGAGAACGCCTGCGGTGGATACGTCGGGTATGGATACGTCGGCGGCAGTGCTGCTGCTGCTGCTGCTGCACGCGCCGACGCTGGCGTGGGAAGGAACAACCTGGTCTCGCCCGACTACTTCGAAGACCTGGACCTGGGCCCGAGCAACACCAGCGGCGGTGACCCGTACGACCCGTTCGGCCTCCTCCCCAAGTCGCCGACCCCCCGCCGCAGACCCTGGACCTGGCCGAGCCTCCGCTCCATCAAAAGGAGCATCACCACCTCCTCCTCATTCTCCTCCTCCTCCACCTCCACCACCACCACCCTCCCCCTCTACACCGTCCGCTCCCTCCCCGTGGACCCCCCCTCCCCCTTCACCACCTCCATCCCGCCTGCGCGCCGCGGCGTCGACAACCGCGGCGGCAGCAGCAGCCTCGCCCACGGCCTGAGCGACCCGCGCACGCCCTACGCCACCACCCCCGCCTCCTCCTCCGCCTCCACGCTGTCGTCGTACCGGACGGCAACAACAACAACAGTCGTCCCGCCGCCGCCGCCGTCGGAGGCGTCGGCATCGGTATCGTTTTTGTCGGAGGACTTGGCTCGCGTCCTCACGCCGGCGTCGACGACGACGACGACGACGACCACGATGCCCAGGAACGGAGAGGCGTGCGAGAGGCAGGGGGGAGAGGGAGAAGGCAGCGACGAGGAGGAGGAGGAGAGGATGAGGAGGATGAATATGAGGAGGAGGAGGAACAGGCGGATCGCGTTGGCGCTGGCGGTGTTGTTGGTGGTGTTGGTTGTGATTGGGTTTGGTCTTTGGGTGGAGGAGATGGTGAGGTGGGCAGGGGGTGGGGATAAGGAGGGGGAGGAGGTGTGAGTGAGGGGGTTTTTTTTTTGTGGTTGGGTGTTTGATTGGTTCTGTTTTATGGTTATGGGGTTGGAGGGCGTGTTGACTCCGTTCTTTACGCGTCTGTGTTCTTTTTTGGTTTCTCTTTCGGGTCTTTGTTTGAACGAGTATATGTTGAGAGTTATCCATCTTGGAGTTTTGGAGTTTTGAATTGAATTTTGTGCGGGCTAGCTCCCCCATTTCGAGAGTTTACCTACTTCCTCAAATCCACACTTTGACGTTCTCCTGGGAATATTATCTATACCAAACGCATTCTCACTGTGATTAGCGTTCTTACACTTAAGCTACTTATAGTAATGATGCTGGTAGTAGCAGTTGTGTTAGCAGTGGCGAATACGTTGGTGGTGGTAGATGCGTTGTTGGCTAAATTATTAATCAGTGGTGGTTGTTCGTATCGCTAGTGGCTTGGTAGTTAAGGTTACTTAGCAAGTTTCTAGTGCTTTTAAGTAGGACTTAAGGTCGTTATAATTTAGGCGTAAAAAGATAGGTGAGTAAATTTTCGAGGGAGACTCAAATTTACAGGCATCTACCGGAAGTGGATCATACGCGCTGCATGACAGCGTGAGGCATGCTCAAACAGTTCTCGATTGTGGGTCTTGCACCAACAATCAGCCAAAAGAGAGCTGCTCCACGTCTTTCAGGTTCACCTCTCAACTCAGTAAACTTCGTCACTTCCAAATTACATTGTAATTATGTGCGTGAATGGACTGCCATATACCCATTCCCTTTCTCTAAGGGCACAACTTGTACCTGACCCAACAATTTGGCAAACCAACTCAGACTCCACATGCTACTCGCGACCAAGACACAGCTCCGCTCCCCAGCCCAACCCCAAAGGCAAGACCAACCACACGTACGCATCAAGATAGCCGCCAGCAGCGAGACAGAACTGAACGATGAAAGAAACCAAGCAGTTACCGTTATTCTTTTTTGTTTCTCTTCTCCTGTCCGTGGATGTGATAAGAGAGCAAAGGGACCATGTATCAGACACACCAGCCCTCCCCCAATTTATGAATGCGTTGTGACCAAAGCAACGGACAAAATAAGGAATACCCCTCGGTTTCCAATTATCTATGAACCCCCAATCCCTTCAAAGCCAGACCCTCGCTTTTTTGAACGCCTGCCCCCGTTGCCCAGTTGATAATTGTTTGAGTTTCGCGAATTCTCTTTCTGAAAGAAGCAAAAGGAAAAAGCCAATACAAGGAAGAATAGCCCCCGAATACCAATGTTGTATGTATGTTTCGCACCTGGGGTAGCGTTCCCCCATGGATATAACGTCTTGTGATTGAAAGAAAAAGGGAACCCAAAAGGCCAAACCAGCCCCATCGCCATATCAACAAAAGAAGTGATTAAAACGCCGGTATCATGCTTTTCGCCTTTACTCCCATCCTCCCTCCCTTTCCCCTCCCTTTCGAACCCCCCTCACAAACTCAACCTATCCAAACTCAACCGATCACTACTCCTCATCCGCCTCACCATCCCCAACTTGTAAAACCGCTCCTCACCCCCCGGCGTGCGGCCGCCGATGTACCACTTCTCCGGCATCGCATTACCTCCAGCGCCAGCACTGCCCGTCCTCTCGCGGAAACCGCCGTCAGAGCTGCTGTCGGACCCGCGGCGGTGGCGGGACGGGGATGATGACGAGGGCGGGATAGGGTAGCCGTTGTTGTAGTTGTACCCGCCGCTAGTCTGGGGCGGCGTGCCAGGTGTGCTGGGGGCCTTGCCGTAGGGCGAGAAGGAGGTTTGTGTCGTGGTGGTGGTTGTGGTGTTTGCGCCAGCGGCGGTGGTGGGGTTGGAGGCGTTGGGCTTGGTGGCGCCGCCGGTCGGCCGCGATGACGGGTCGTAGGTTGTTGACGACGTGGTGTACGACTGCGTTGCGGGCTTGGCCGAAGCGGTGGTGGTGGAAGGCGACTGAGAAGTAGGGGAGGGCGCGGCGCTTTGGAAGGCAGATTGCGCGCGGAAGGCGGCGAGGAAGTTGGAGAGGAAGGGCCGATTCGCGTTGGTAGGCATGGCGGGCGTTGTGTGTGTAGGTATTGTGATGGGTGGTGGTTGATAGGTAGAAAGCGATGTCGGAGGTTATGAGCGGCCCCCGGGGGTGTCGAAGTAGCTACTTCTGGAGGGTGTGGGCGGACGGAGGTGTGGCGCGAGCAATTATAGGTGGTCGCGGCGGTGACGAGTCTGGCGTTTGGTCGGAGTGCGACTGGACGGAGTTTGACTGGCCTGCGCTGCGCCGTCGTGTGCCGGTGTGTGTTTTTCGGGGCGCAGGCTAGGCGGTAGGAATGGGGGGCGATCAACGGGCAGGCTACTGGCACGGCAGGAGCAGCGCGTTGCCCGGTGGTGTTCGAGTGGTCTTTCTTGGTTACGAGCAGCGGCGCGGCCGAGTCATGGAGGGTGGGCGGTAGGGCGTTCGCGATCGGAGCGATGGTGACTCGGCTGGATACGGGATTGCGGCCGGGCGGAGCTGAGGGCTGTGCGTTGGGGACGTCTTTTCTGGTGGGAGCGGTATCGTGATATTTGGGCAGAGGTTTCGTGGAGAAGACTGCGGGGCTTTTGCTTGGACTGCGGAGAATGGGGCGGTGGATGGAGAGCGGTAGGTAGGCCTGACGTCTGAAGAGCCGTGGCAGCCGGAACGAGAAAGAAACGGGATAATGGAGAGGATCTGATAGGCCGGCACGCCAATGCCCCGACAGCCGAGCAAAGAGCGAGACCACTGCATCAGCTGAGGAGGATCATGTCCCCAGCCCGGGGCGCACGAGGAGCACGGCGTTGAGGCGGCCGAGGCTGCGCGCAGAGCAGATGCCGAGCTGCATTTGGTGGGGTGGTGCGCATGCCCAAGAGCGGCGCGGCAGCAGCAGGCGTCGAAAATGGTCAACCCCACGATGCACCCCAGCAATCTGCGCACCCCGGCGCCTTGTTGGCCGATGAGGCACCTTGATTTCATGCGAGCATGCAGCCCGCGGCGTCGCTGGCGTCGTGCCGGCCGAAGGGGCCAATCTGCGCCGCCATATTCTGCATTACCTACCCGCTTCCCTGGTACGCGGATGGTCACATGCGGTGCGCCTGGAGCGATAGAACCTAGATCGTGCCTCTCTGCTGCGGCATCGCCGTCCTGCTAAGCACGCTCCAGGTCCGCCCCCATGCGCGCGATCGCGTCCGCCGCCCCGACGCCGCCAAAATTTGGAGAGTCCTGCAAGTCCCGCAAAGAAGGCAGAAGATCAGCTGCACTGATGCTGAATCACACCACCAATTACGATGTATAAGCAACCGCTGCAAGCCGGTGAGGGGCTCAGGGGCAACGTTAGGGGTCAGCACTGTCTTTCACGATGGGACGGATGGGAGCTTTCATGCGTGCAGAAGTACTGATCGATTCTTCTTCTTCCTAATGTCACACCTGTTGGCGGAATTTGCCTGCGCCAGCCGAGTCCCTTCTACCAATCGCCCGGAAATGCAACATTAGTCCTCTTAGTGTTGCAACTACACGTGGGCGTAGCGAGCATTGACGTAGACGTAAACCTGTGTGATGTGCATCATCATCGCCAAGTACGATGAGCCACGCACCGCACCGCACCAGTCGTGGCGCAACAATAAGCGAACCGCTTGCGCCATTTACTAGGCTTCCCGTCCTAAATACTTGACTGATGTCAGCAAATCAGATCCTAATAGACTGCTGTACAGAATGTATGTAGGAGTTGATAATTCAGAAGGAACAATTGGATTAGGAGTTGTTATCCGCATTGATTGACTCGGAGTGAGCTGAGTAAAGTGTGTCATCATGAAAGATGGGATGCGTGTGACGTAGAAGAATGGAAAATTCGCATACCTTACTGTTGTGAGCAGAAAGCGTGGCCGTGAAGTCACCAGACCTGTGTGGTCGACACCAAGCACATGCTGAACTTCATGTGAAGCGAACCGGCCGTAAGGTTTCCTCCAGCCTTGCTGTAAGGCACCGAGTCGACACGTGCAGCTCTGGACAGCGCCGGTTGCCAGGGCAGAGGAGCTCATCATCATCATCCCGCGCGCGCTGGCAGCCAGGCCGCTACAGCAGCAGCTGTCGTGGACATGCGGTCGCCCGTGGCCATGTCAGTTGTCGAAGTCGTTCCGTGAAGTGTGATGAAGGAAGAAAGGAAAGGGAAAGACGGCGCGCGAGAAGAAGAAAATGTCTGCTGGTGCGCGTTTCGCAAACTTCGGGCCGCTGATTGGCCGGCTGAACCCGAAGAGAACGGGCGCGCCCGGACCAATGCCGGCCAAGCAACCAGCAACCTCAACATCACCTCTCGCGCATCTTCCATCCATACCCGCATCGCCCCCCTCTCTCTCCGCACTCCGACCGACGCAGAGACACGCGCCCCACATCCACAATGGTACGCGCAACCACCCGCATCAGCACTCTTCGCCCACGCTACCCCGATTCCGCTCGAAAAAAGAAGTCCGAACAACCGCTGACCGAGGAAACGAAATCGATTTAGCTCGCACGAGGAAACCTTCTGGCCAAGAGCGCCCGCAGCGTGGCCCCCGTCACCGCCCGCCGCGGCTACAAGACTTACCAGTCCAAGTTCGGCCCCAAGTGCGTACACCCTCCTGGACCACCATCCCCCCTCCTCCCACGACAACGCGAATCTAACGACTTCCGTTCTTCCGCGACATACAGGTACTCCACCGCGCCTCACTTCCACGGAATCAGCCTTAGCAGCGCCGCCAAGATGTACGTTCTCGCCCCAAGTACTTCCCTATATCGTTGTTCGTCGGACGGATGGATTGGCTGGGGGTGACAGATGGGAAGGTTGGAGAAGAGGAATTGTTTGCCGGAGATCTGAAGGATGGGCTCGAATTGGAAGAGCAACGCTTGCTGACGCAATTGCAATCACAGCGGCACCACTGCTGCCGGCTTCGGCGCCGCCGCCGGTGTCTTCGCCATCTTCTTCTTCGCCGAGGTCCCCCGCGTGCGCGAGGACATCATGAAGAAGGTCCCCATCCTGGGCTCGTTCTTCGACGTCAAGATCGCCCCCGAGGACAACCCTTTCTAAGCGTATTCGCACTGCGAGAGATTCTTGGAGACCATGGCAGCATTTGGGGAGGGATTTGGGCATATCGTGGAGTAACTGCGGTAGAGGAATGAGATGAAGAGGTTCTGTGCCCGCCAGGACAACTGCTGTACTATAGACGTCCAGTGGGCTGTACAATACCTGTCGTCCGGGCTTGCGACGAATAGACTTTCCTTGCGTCATGTTCGCGGTCGACCGGAGCCTCGAGAGGTCCGTGAGGTCAACCATGCATTGAGTGAATCCCCGAGATACGCTTTCCAGGCCAATGCGCAGCATGTTCATTAGATGATCATTGACCGTCCGTCACAATTCTCTAAAATTTTGCCGATCTTATGCTACAGCATAAACGCCACCTTTCTCTCAATTCATCGTCGAAATCATGGCCCTTTATCTCTCTCCAGCAGCAGTAGCTTAGTTGGTGGGTAACCTGCCGACGACCTCGGCCATCTCATCGTCCGTGTAGATCCTGAAGCCCCTGTCCTTGGTGACGCTGGCCAGCTGCACGTTCTTGGAATCCAGCTTCTCCTCCATGACCTGCTTCAGCGTCTTCAGCACCAGCACCTCAGCCTCGCCCAGCGTCAGCGACTTGTGGAACTCGTTCTGCAGCTCCGCCTGCGCGCCCTCGGAGCCCGATCCTATGGCCTTGGCGTCGTATCTGTAGAAGGTGCCCGAGGGCTCAGCGTGGTAGCTGTCGTGGTGTGTCAGTCACACAAACGCAAGTGTTGAGATACATGATCGGACTATACTCACAGACTCGGACCATCCTCGTCATAGCCAGCGATGAGCAGGGCGACGCCGAAGGGGCGACTCATGATGCTCTCCTCGCCCTCGGCGCCCTCGCCGAAGCGCAGGGCCAGGTCGCAGATGGCCTGGGTGCAGCTCTCGACGCGCAGCGGCTCGGCGTAGTGGAACGCGTGGTTCTGGCTCTCGACGCGCGCGTGCTCGATCATGCTGCGCGCGTCCGCCTGCAGCCCGCTCATCGCGCACCCGATGTGCCGGTCGATCTCGACTATCTTCTCCACCGACGACGTCTCCAGCAGCGTCGACGTCACCCGCTTCTCCACGCCGAGGATCACACCCTCGCCCGTCGCGACCTATATTGCGATGTGTCAGGTTTTTGTTGTTGTGCGTGTGTTGAGGGGTGGGAGCACAGGTGCGGAGACGTACGCCTATCGCGGTCGAACCGAGCTTGATGGCTTCGAGCGAGTATTCAACTTGGAACAGACGACCTTCCGGGGAGAAGGTGCTGGCGGGTGGTCAGCGGGAGCTCGGTCGGAAGATGCAATGGTCATGGTCTCACTTGATACCCCGATCTGAAGGAAGATGGCATGATTAGCAGCAGTCCGAAAGCTCGGTGGTGGGCTGAAGCTTACCGTATTCCGAACGTGCGATGAACATGGTGGAAGAGCTGCGGTTTGCGGGTTCGCAGGGTGTGTTTCAGGTAGTGCAGCGGCGGACGAGCTGCAGAAAGCTCAAGGAACGAGAAATGGGTCTTGGAGGCGAGGGTGGCGGAGGTGGATGGGGCGGGAGCAGTAGCAGGCTCTAGGTTGTTGTGCTGGAGCTCCAGGCACTTGTCAGTTGCGTAGTTCCGCTGCCAAGCCCGCGGGCCGCGCTATGCCTGCCTGCACGTGACCGTGTTGCGACGACGCCAACAAACTTTTGACCACTTCATTTAAACTGTAGATCATCGCTCTCGGCAATACTTTCATGCAGAATTCTCGTGGTGAAAATATGCTCCGGATAGTTTTGTTCTTTAACCATATTTTGTTTAAAGCTTTTCACTTCACACTAGCTCCACGCAGAGCACAGCAAATATACGGGCACTAAAGTGCAAACCAGGAAAAATAATGAGATTCTACTTCATCAAAACACTCTACACTCTACACTCTTTACACAGCCTGCACCTTCCGATAACTCGGCGGCCGTATCGTCCTGCCAATAATCTTGCCCGCGTACGGCGGCACCAGAGCGATGGCCAAGATGGCGACGGAGCGCCACAAGAAGCCGACACTAACAACAAACTTGAGGTCGAAGTAGTCGCCGAGGAAGGGGATGCTACCGAAGTAGATGGCAGCGGTACCGAGGATGGTGAATATCATGACGGGGTGCCACGTCGTGATCTCGGCAGCGACCATGGCGAGTTCGTTGAGAACCAGTACCGTGAAGGAGACGGCGACCATCTTGGGGAAGTCGTCGGTACCAACCAGGATCTGGCTGAGACCCTGGATCATGCTACCCTGGTAGATGGAGACGAAGACCCAGATAAAGAAGGTGCGGTAGGACAGCGAGCGGCCCGTCGTGAGCTCCTTGTAGAGCTCCGGGTAGAGGTTGGCTAGCGACTCGTCGACGTCGCGGTCGAGGACTAGAGAGAAGACCGGTGCCATGGTGTACAGCGTCGCGTAGCCTACCAGCAGCCAGTCACGATACAGGGCGATGGGCTCAAACTTGCTGGCAATGCTGTAGATGGTCTGGCACACACTGATGATCAAACCACGGTGGATAACGAACTGGGCGAGCTTGGCGGACCGTTTGTAACTGTTCCGGCCGTGCCAAACGAGGAGCTTGGTGAGGTAGCAGAATTGTTCGATGGAGAAGTCGGCAGCCAGACTTGCCTGCCTACCTTCCTTACCGACAATACCCACACCAACATCGGCAGCCTGGATCATAGAGACATCGTTACCACCATCTCCAATACAGCAGATGCGCTTCTTGGTGTAAGCTCGGATGAGCTTGGCCACGTCGGCTTTCTGAGTTGGAGAACATCTACAGGCCACGACAGTTGGTAGACGAACTGCCACGGAAATGAAGTCGTCTCGGTAGTGGGTAAGCATCAAAGCCAAAGATTCACCATCAATGAGCAAGCAAGCATCAGGCTTTCCGCGGAGGAAGTTGAGCGAGTCGTTTGCGAGGTCTTTCCGCTTGACTATATTTTGTTAGTATGAAGCATAATGGGACCGAGGAATTGTGCTTACGCTTTGCAATCGTGTGGATGTATTGACCACGAGCGACGAGCTTGGAGCTGACAGCAACACAGCGTGCGGTTTCCACCTTATCTCCGGTCAACATCCAGATTTTGACACCGGCGTTGCGAAGAAGTTCCAGTGAAGGCTTGACGTCACGCTGAAGCTTGTCCTCAACACCAGTGACACCGAGCAGCTCAAGGTCATTCTCAAGGAAATCCTTCACCACGCCTGCCATGGCAGCATCGCGGCCATGCAGGGAAAGAGATGCATCGGAATGCTGGCGGCTGAAAGAATCATACTGTTGGGGAGAAAGCTTCTTGCGACCGACAACCAACGTGCGCAGACCTTCTCTTGCCATGTTGGCGGTTTCCTCGTCCAGCCAGTCGTTAGCAGCCACAATGGACGTCATGACAGTATCGGCACCCTTTTGATAGAACCAGATCTCGCTGTTGTCCATGGGGCTGGTCTCGGTTCCTTGGAAGAACTTGACGACGATACCCATGCGCTTTCCTTCCGACGTGAATGGGAAGACATTGAGAATCTGTACTTTGACAACGGTGCGTCCAGTCTCGACAGACTGTAAAGTGATGTTGTGGCGATCGCGTTGAAGAAGGCGAAGGCCGACATTCTCAGTCCACTTTACAATAGCGATTTCATCCGGAGAAGATGCTTGGTAGGCAGTGACCATTTCGCCATTGATCTCCTCTGTAGTTGGGGTGACGTTGTGGCAAAGTGCTAGCGCAAGGACGACATCACGAACGCGGGAACCAATCTCTCTCCTCGTCCTCGTGGCAGATGTTGCTGGAACGGTGTATGTTGACGATGGCGTTATAAGGACAGAAGCGTTTGAGCCTTCGGTAGGGGGGACTGAAAATGCTTGTTGCACGTAAGTGTTAACCTCGTCCATAGCCTCGTTGGCATACGAAACAGTTCCAACGTGGATCTTCTTCATCTCCATTTCTGTAAGAGAATTAGCAATGTCAAAGCAGATCGCTGAGAGAATAGCTCACCGTTCTGCGTGAGAGTTCCCGTTTTGTCACTTAAGAGATACTCAACGCGTCCGAGATCCTCAGGGATAGTGCTGGTCCGCACAATCGTTCCAGGAATACCTTGATCCTTCTCGATGAATCTGGCGTAGACCGATTTGCCCATATCGAGGTTGACACGAAGACTGATGGGGACGATGGTGGAGAAGAGAATCAGGAAGCGCATAACCGAGACGTACCAAGGACGTCCAGTCTCCGCGTCGAATCCCTTCAGAGCAACCAGAATGATCGAAAGAGCCAAGGTAAGGAAGCACAGAATCTTTGTGAGGGAGTTAATCTCCAGCTCCAGGAGACCGACCTTAGATCTGGAGGCAGAGGTGGAAAGAGCTTGGCGAGTTTCCGGGCCAGTATAGACAACAACACCCAGGACTGTGGAGCTTGAAGCGAGGACAGTATTCGCCCAGGCTGTGTTGTCGATGGTAAGAGGAGCAGATTTTGTGCTTTCAGAGGCCGACTGATCATCAACATGAGGATCGTAGCTATTCTTCTCCTTAGGCAAAAGTTCGACAGTGCCAACGAAGTCATTGACCTTTTTATCCGGCTTCCCAGCCACAATTCGTAAACGAGTGAATTCGGAAACGTCCAGCGATTGGGTAAGAGACGAAGCAATCCTCAACTTCCAGTCCGTCTCTCCGTCAAGTTGGTCAGTCCTAATGAAGGCTTCTCCGGATGAGTCGTTGCCAGAAGACGAGTTGTCCTGAGCCGGTTGCTGTGCAGGTGCAGCACTGTCGCCGTCAGTCTCGATCAGATTTTGCTGCGGAGAGACCGGAGGCTCAGGCTCAGTTGTTTCCTGGACTGCGTTGTCGCTGATGTAGGCGGCCAGAATAACCAGATCTGCAGGAACACGCTGATCTTTACCAAGTTTCAGAATATCACCGACTTTCAGGTCCTTGGAAGGCTTGGAAATCTCGGAAACGGATGCTGTTGGCCTGCCCATGCCTTCCTCCTCATCGGAAACACGGCTAGACCTATTCGTCTTGCTCTTCCTCCTGAGCTTATTTCTCTTTGACCCAATAGACGATTTTCCAGGACCAGCACTAGGATCTTCGAAACGCAGTACAGAGTAGGGCTCGGAATTGGCCTCAGCGTCCCGACGTCGGCGTTGAATATCGTCCGAGGCTTCTTTTCCAAGAGTAATACTGATGACGAAGGCCAGGGGAGCAATGTAGGTAGATAGGTAGCCAATTCGCAGGGCGGGGATAACCTGCGACAGGGCGACGAGCAAGAAGTACATATTGAAGAAATATGAGAATTCGTTGTACAGTGTGCGCGGAAGGAAGCTCCATGGGGTATATTTGGCATTGGAAACAGCATTTGCAGGAAATTTGGAGGACTGGATTTGACCGACGGCGATAGTACGGTTGGAGGAGGGATCGTGGTCGTCTACTTCAGCTTCGGCGGCGGGAGGCTCAGGAGGCGTCATGGGTCGACCGCCGGACATGAAGCTGGGGAGGCGCACATGCGACTTTAACCTGGCCATACGTCCTTGAGGTTTCGCCCGTCGGCTGGGCGAACCACCCGGCAACAAAGGAGCGTCGTCGTCGCCGATGGTACCAATACTATCATTGTTCGAATGGCGGCGCTTGTCACCCCCCTCCCCGTCGTCGACGAGGCCGCGCAGAGACTCGGCATCGGGGTCATCGTGGCGCATATGGCTGTTGCCTCGCAGGCGGCCCACGCGCAGGTTGCGGAGAGGGATGCGGGCACCTAGTTCGTGGAGCGGCCGGCGCTCGTTGGAGCTGTGGTGCGGCGGCGAGGAGGCGGAATCGTGGGTTGAGCTGATAGGGTCGAGCAGTTCGAGGTCTTCGTCACTATCGTCGGGCGAGTCCGGGGCATTTGACCGGTGATATTCGTGAGGAGCGGACATGGTGGTGCTGCATCGGGCGGTGTACGCGGACAAGGCAAGCTGGCGAAGCTGCCAGGATAGGCGGGCACGACGGCGATCGGCGAGGCGGCGGGGCGAGACAGGGCGGCTGCTGCGCTGGCGGAAGGGTCGAGCAGAATGCTGGCGGCGCGCTGGGCGCTCACTCTTTTTAGTTCAGGTGTGGTGGAAGCCTGCGCGCGGAGGCCGCGGGTTTGAGATGCGGACGAGTGTCGACATTGAGCGCGTCAGCCACAGTGTGGCGCGCAGGGATACGCGGCCAACCATGGCACGGCCCCGACGGTAGTTCCGCTGATGCTACCTGGTTGCTTGGCTCCCCTACATACTTGGCCTGATCTCAAGCCTCAACACCAGCATGCCCGCCACTCTGCGGCCCTCTGATTCCTTCCGTTTGTATTCCGCGCGCCTTGCCTAGCTGCTGCCGCCCGCGCCCAAGCCCGCGACCGTTGCCGCCACCCCTGCGCCTCCTTGTACAGGTGCGCACTTCAATCCGCGCTTCTTCTTTCCCGAGCGCCGCAGGCGCAAGCCGCCGCCATTGGTACCTCGTGCTGACAAGCGCGGGGCAGTAGTTCGCGTTCGCCCTGTAGATTAATTTAGCATAATGGACGACAACCCCGCCACATCTCCGCCCGCGAAGGCTCCTTCCGACGATCAAAGCGCGTCGTGGAATCCCGCGCTGCGCCCAGACTCCGCTCACGCCCCTGCGCCTCTCACCGACATGGCCACCACCACTCACGACAACATCGATTCGAGTGCGCAGATGGATGACGTTGAACCCCCATTCGACTCTCCGCCTCCGCGGACGTCTGAAGACCGCCATCCTCTGAACGATGACACGCCGCGCTTTGTGTTCGACGAGGAAGAAGACGACGAGTACTCGGCCTGGCAGAATGACGATGACCAACTCGACTTGGACCACGATGACACTGGCTCAAAAACCCCTCTGGCCGAAGCGCGTTCGGCCACTCCGCAGCCACCTGCTCTAAGCTTGTCTGTTCAAGAATCTCACGAGTCCCACGAGTCTCACGATACCGATGCGACGCCCGTTGAGCCGCATGCAACCGCACCCGAGCCCGCAATAGAACCCACGCCCATCGAGCAGCCTGCAGCCACATCGGAAACCACAATAGAATCTACAACCATTGAGCAGTCTTTGCCCGTACCTGAATCTGTGACAGAACCTACATCTGCTGAGCAGACTGTACCTGAACCAGAGCCTGCCGTAGATCAGACGCCCGCCGAGCAGACCTCAACTGAAGCAGACCTCACCCCAGCACCCGCAGAAGAGGCCGTTCCCACGCCGACGATAGAGCACGAGCAGCCCGACATCGAGACGATAGACACCGAAGCTCTACACGAGACGAATCCTCCCGCGGAGACACCAGTGGAGCACACACAGGAACAGCATTATGAGCATCAGGGCGAGACGACCACATTGGAAGAGGCTGTGCAGGAGAGTGCTCAAGTGCCATTGGCCAACGACACCGACTCTCCCGCCTTGGACTGGGGCGCATCTGACAGCACTTTTGATTTGGGATCACAACAGGCTGTACCTGTCGCGGAAACACAACAGGAATTGGCACCTCAACCCGTGAGTGAGCATACTGTTCAGGCGGAGGCGGAACCCGAAAAAGCAGCCGATATGGATTGGGGCAATGCGGAAGATGATGCTTTCGATCTGGGTGGTCAGAAATCTGCGGAAACGACAGAAGCGCCGCAAATTGAGCAGGACTCAGAGAGCCAACCCGGCCACGTGGAAAATGCACCGGCTGCTGCGGATTTGGACTGGGGCACGGCTGGCGACGAGGACTTCAGCTTGGGCGCCCAGCAAACAACCGCGCAAGAGGAGCTGCAGCCATCGTTGGACACCCAGCCTGCGCCGCAGCCTGAGGCAGCACCCGAAAGCTCGCATCCAGAGCAAGCACAGGCGGAACAGCCGGATGCTCCCGCGGATTTGGACTGGGGGACAGCTGGCGATGACGACTTCAGTTTTGGGGTCCAAAAAACAGCCGAACACGAGCAGCCACCAGTTGCAACCGAGCCCGCACCCCAGGCGGAGGCAGCATTCGAAAGCTCACAACCGGCACAATCGCAGCCTGAAGAGACAAATGTCGCGGCATCACTGGATTGGGGCGACGCTGCGAATGATGATTTTGACCTAGGCACAGCATCTGCACCTGCGAAGGAAACGCTGACGGAAGAATCGAAGGCGGAGCCAGCGCCACCGGCGGAACAACTATCTGAAGGTCCGGATCTGGATTGGGGTGCAGCGGAAGATGTTGACTTTGGCTTCAATGCGGCACCACCGACAAAGGATGCGTCGCAGCCTGCCGAGTCGCAAAACGAAGGAGCCCCCAAAAAGGAGGAGGAGGACCTGAGCGCAATGTGGGCTGAAGCTTTGGCGGACGATGACCTTCTCGAGGAATCCTCAGTCGATCCGTCTGCTTTCTTCCTCGATGATGATGAAGGTTTCCTGGACGACACCCCTCTCCCTGACCAGAATGGTGCTGCCGCTGCACCGGCGCCGTCCGCACCTGCGAACAAATATGCTCCGGTCGCAGCACAAGCACCTCCTCCCGCGGCTCCAAAGAACCCGTATGCTCCGCAAGGACTGCAGACAACCAATGCCTTTCAACCTGCCCCGGCTCCGGTACAGGCTTCGCCTTACGCTGCGCTGACCCAGCCATACCAGCAACAGCAACCCCAGAGGCCAGCCATGTCAAGCTCTGCGCAGAGTTTTGCGGACAAGGCAAAGGGCGGCTATTCTTCTCCTTTCGATCTCCCGGATGACCTGGCGAAACAGCCGCCGCGAAAGAAGATTGTCCATGCGCCGACTATTAACGCTCAGCAGTCGCGAGCACCGCCGCCGAGAACCTCCAGCATGTACTCGAATGCATCGTCGCCATCTCTGCCGCCGCCTTCTGCGAACTTCACCCCGTCGCCCATGCCTGTGCAATCTCCAATCACGCCTTCCGGTGGCTTCCCGGCTCAGTCTCCTTCGAAACCGCCGAGTCTTTCCTCAAAGCCAAGCACCGGTGACTTCTTTGAAGACCTGCCAGTCGTCTCCAAGCCTCGTCCAGCTGGCAGATATACTCCACAGATCAAGGGCCCCAGCCCCTCTCCCCCTCCGGGGGCTTTAGGACCACCTCCGAGACAAAGCTCTCAAACTTATGCGCCTGCAATTGTTCCCCCTCCTGTTGGTGCGCAGCCACAGAGACCAGAGTCGCAGCCTTCTTCAGCATCTCAAGCATATGCACCTCCGCCGGCCCCTCAGAGATCATCGTCTCACAATTATGCGCCCCCAGCAATGCCGCAATTACAAGAGCCTGAGCGCCTCAATCCATTCCCGGATCTGCCTCCAACTTCGCAGCCTGCACAAGGACTGGCCGTATCATCGGCCCCGCCTGCTGCCGCCTCCCGGTACTCGCCAGCACCGCCAGCTGCAGCCGTAGCTACGTCACGGTACTCTCCTGCTCCGCCGTCTGCTCCGGCCGCTTCACGGTACTCTCCTGCACCTCCGTCAGCTCCGCCAGCAATGCAAAATCGATACGTCGCCGAGCCCCCGAAAGCCCCGACGCTTCCGTTCGCTCCACGAACTTCAAGCCCGCTAGCATACCACAGCACCCCTGATCACCCTGTTCAACGACCTTCGTCTTCAGGCAGCCGTAGGGCTTCTCTACAGCCAAGCGTGGCTTCCGGAGATGAACCAGTTGGCCATCTCAGGTCTAGCTTGGACCTCGTACGGGAAATCCCAGAGCAAGAGCAGAAGCCGGCCACGCCGCCGCCACCGAGAAGCATTCCGAGTTCTGCGGTCGCGTCTCCTGCTAGGAGAACGACGTCCAACTACACACCGCAATACCAACAGGTCGTTTCTCCGCCTGGGCAATCTGGAGTCGCACCGCCTCGCCGCGCTCAGTCGCAATCTCCTGGTGCAACGATGAAGGGTCCTATGTTATCAATGGCTCCAATTGACCGACCGGCATCTACGAATGGGGTGACTTCTCCAATCGCTAATGGGTCGCCGTACACTCCTTTTGCCGCCGCTGCCCCCACTACTCAGCCCACAGCAGCTCCTTCGCAACCTCCTGCTGCGGCTCCTCAGCAACGCCGCCGTCGTACCTTCTCTCGTGACCTGAGTTACGTGAAGCCAACCGACGAGACTGTGAACGACCCGCTGGAAAGGTGGAAGGGTGCTCCTATTTTCAAGTGGGGTCTTGGCGGTACGATCTTGACCAGCTTCCCTAAGGAGATTCCTCGCTATGGAACCGGCACCGTTATGCCTCAAGTCAAATGCACGCCAGGCGAAGTCAAGCTGCAAAAGGCAAAGGAGCTGTGTCCTCTTTGGGAACCCATCGCCAAATTTCCGGGTCCACTCAAGACTAAGAGTCAGAAGAAGCAGGCTCTTACCTGGTTGAACCAGAGTATCGAGACCATGGAGAAGGACTACCAGAGTAAGATCTTCAACGGCGAACTTCCTGCCGAGTCTAGAATTCGTTTGGAGGAGAAGATCCTCCTATGGAAGGTCCTAGAGGTCTTCGTCGAGCATGATGGTCATTTGGAGGGGTCCGACGCTGTCCATGACGCTGTCAAGAAAGTCCTGTCGAACGGAAAAGAAGACGAGCCTCAACTATCGAGTCCAGTGGACATCATGGGATCCTCGGCTACTACTGGTTCGGTCAACACTGCTGAGCCGATTGATCCTCAGTCCGTTGAACAGCTACGTGTTCATCTCCTGAAGGGTGACCGTGAGAAGGCTGTTTGGGATGCTGCTGATAAGAGGCTCTGGGGTCACGCAATGCTTATTGCCTCAACGCTGAACAGAGACATCTGGAAGCAAGTTGCTCAGGAGTTTGTCCGCCAGGAGGTCCGCAAGGTATCCGGCAACAACCAGTCTCTGGCTGCACTCTACGAAGTCTTCGCTGGAAACTGGGATGAGAGCATCGACGAGCTTGTACCGGCTTCGGCTCGTGCTGGTTTCCAGATGGTCAGCAAGACGGATCGATCCGGTGCCAACACGAACATTTTCGAAGGCCTGGATCGCTGGCGGGAGACTCTCCTGCTCATCGTCAATAACAGAAGTGACGGTGATGCGCAGGCTCTTCTGGCCTTGGGTAAGCTCCTGGCAGGGTATGGCCGTGTCGAAGCTGCCCACATTTGCTATCTCTTTGCTCGCTCTACTGTCATACTGAGCGGCGTGGACGACCTTTCCGCACACGTTGTGCTCGTCGGCGCGGATCACGTCAACCATCGCTCTGAGATTGGCCGGGACGTTGAGCCTATTCTTCTGACCGAGATCTTTGAGTTTGCCGTGTCGCTCTCGGCACCCACCGCACCTCCGGCTATCCCTCATCTGCAGGCCTACAAGCTCGCTCATGCTTTCACCCTGTCTGAGTATGGCTACAAGACTGAGGCTCAGGCTTACTGTGATGCAATCGCGACCGCGATGAAGTCCACCACTCGTTCCTCGCCATACTACAATGCTTCGTTTGTCCAGGAACTCGATGATCTCATCAAGCGCCTTTCGGAAGCGCCGAAGGACTCGTCATCTTGGATTTCCAAGCCCACCATGGGCAAGGTCTCGACAAGTGTTTGGTCCACCTTCAACAAGTTTGTTGCCGGTGAAGATGATGACTCGGAGTCTACAAGACCTGGAGGCGTCGATAGTAGCCCCTTCGCCAAGGTCTCTGGAGACACCCCGACCGTCAGCAGGTCTCCTTCCACCGTCGACATATATGGAACATACTCAGGTGGCAGCGCACCCTATGCTCCGTCTAACTCGGTTGCTGGCTCCCGGTATGCTCCTGCGTCTGGTGCTTACGCTCCTCGCACTTCTGGCGAACAGCCACGTTCTCGCTATGATCCGGCTACCCAGTCGCCGTATCAACCAATGCGAACTTCGGTTGACACTGCAGAGCGACCTGAGATGCCAATGGATGCTTTGTTCGCCCAACAAGGGACACCGCCGTCATCTTACAATCCTCCCTCCTCAATGCCGTACGCGCAACAGCCCAAGGTTACAAGTCCGTATGCTCCATCAAACGGATCTGTGCCTGCCGGATCGTCTCCCAACCCTCTCGGCAGCCCGTACACGCCCACATCATCTGGCTACCAGCCTCTTGGTGCCGCGATGAATGACGGCAAGGGCCCGAGCGGTTATGAGCCGCCGACCAGCAACTTCGGGCCTCCTCTATCCTCTCCAGAAGTTCCTTCGAACTCCTTCGAGCCTCCTACAAGCTCGTATGAACCTCCAAGCTCGTACGAGCCACCGTCGTACCAGCCTTACGAACCTGAACCCGAGGCCGACGAAGAGAAGGAGGAAGAGAAGCCCAAGAAGAAGTCATTCATGGACGATGATGATGATGACGAGCTCGAGCGCCGTGCCGCTGCTCTCAAGGCGCAGCAAAAGGCAGAAGCGGACCGCATCGCTGACGAGGCTTTCCGCAAGGCAGCGGAAGCGGATGGTAAGTTCTATTATGCTAGCCCTTTCCCATCACAGAACCTCTACCTTTGTAACCCTCCATTTGCTAACTTTACTCCCTCCACACAGCTGCCAAACCCGCCGCACCGAAGAAGACGGGCTCCTGGCTGGGCGGCTGGTTCAAGCGCTCCGAAGGCAACGGCGAGCAGCTGGGCAACAAGCCCATCCGCGCCAAGCTGGGCGAGGAAAACTCGTTCTACTACGACCCGGACCTCAAGAAGTGGGTCAACAAGAAGGCCGGCCCGGCCGACCAGCAGAAGCCTGCCGGCACCCCGCCGCCCCCCAAGGGCCCTGCCCCGCCGCCGTCTCTCCGCAACTCCGCTTCCATGGCCAACCTCGCCGGTCCGCCCAAGGCTCCTGGTGCGGGCTTGACGCCTCCGCTCGGTGCCGGCGGCCCGCCCGGCGGCCCGATGAGGAGTACGAGCATGCCGCCGCCCATGGCAGCGAGTGCCCCTGGATCGGGTGCTGCGACGCCCGCAAGGACGGGGTCTCCGGCTGTCGGTGGCCCGCCGTCGGCGGCGGGTACGCCCGGTGGTGCGGGTACCCCTGGTGGTGGTCCTCCGGCTGGCCCGCCTAGCAGGCCGGCGACGAGCATGAGCAATGCGAGCAGCATCGATGACTTGCTCGGCGTGCCGGCGCCGAGGAAGGGTGCAGCGAAGAAGAAGGGGAGGGGTGCGGGGAGGTATGTTGATGTTATGGCGAAGTAGAAGGGTTGAGGTTTGGTTTGGTTTTTCGTTTTGGTTGTATAGATAAGAGTGTTTTGTGTGTGTGAGTGGGCGAGGAGGTAGGGACTTGTGGTGTGTTGGTGGTGCTAGGGGGGTGGGAGAGGTTCGGCTTTCTCCCTTTTCTTTTTTACCCTCTTCGGTGTGTCTTTTCTTTTTTTACTGAGTGGTTGCATGGATGGACGGACGGATGGATGGATGGATGATGGCAACGATGAGATGCACGCTCGCAATTACAAATGAATTGGATTAGGCATTGGGAATTCGTCAATTGCGATGAATGGATGGATTGATGGATGGGGTTTATGGGATTGTTATTGTACGATAGCCTTTTTTTGTTACTCAAAGTATGGGATTGTAATGATGCTGTAGTGCTAGAGAAATGTTCCGTTGTGTGCACGAGGTTGTTTTCGGGTGTCCTGGTTCAATAAAGCCATTCGGGTGACAGAACATTTTTCCTCGTCGATGGTAGTTGGATCGGCTCTGTGTATTTGTCGCACTTTGTGCTAGTCTTCAATGAATACCAATTCGGACACTACCCTACTAAATTCACCATTCTGCCTTCTCCTCATCAGGCTGAGCGGCCACATTGAATGAAATTTGCCATCCCAAAATCGACCAAGCCCTCTTTATCTCCCGTCCTTTCGGGTCTGGATGGCGCCTCTTCCACCAGGCTTTGATGTCCCCCTGAAGTACCCAGAGAAGCAAAATGAATGTAACCGGCAGAGTGATAGTCCAAAACACAAAGAATAGACGTTCGCCAGCTGCAAACTCACCTCCCATAGAGAACACGGCTGCAACAATACTGCATGGAACAGCAGCAGTGGCAAGTTTCGTGAGCTGACCAGCACTACGCGCTTGCCTGTTCGCTTCAAGAGCTTCCTCCAAAGCCGCGCGCTGAGCGAACATGTTCATCCATTCACCAATCTGTTCTTCGAGAAGGTTGAGTCTCTCCTCGAGGAAGCTCCAAACTCTTTTGTCCTCCTCTATGCCCTCTTGATCGTTTTTACTATCCTCATTTCGGAAGGCCCAGCTGATGCTCCTCACCGCCTTCTTGTCGAGTCTGACGCGGTGACACAGATCTACCAGCTTTTGGTAGTCTTTGAGAGCCCGATGGCTTTTCCCTCCGTGGTGCTCGAATGCCCTCGGTCCTTTGTGTTCCTTCAGATCGGCGAGCTCATTCTCGTGGATTGATGCAAGATTTCGGCTGATCCACTCTTCCCATAAAGAGCGTACCAAGTGGCGGACGTATATCGTTGCGGAGAATGGATCTTTGATGGACGGAAATGGAAAGCTCATTGTTTGAGACAGACCCCTGCTCGATGAGTCTTGTGTATACATTTCTCTGATCACCTCGCGGCATGATCTCCTGTAAACCGGGGTAGAAGTTGCCCAGCTCAGCTGTGACGTTTTATCGAATGGATTGACCGCGACCTCTGATAATACCTCGCGGTCGGAGGAGTACTCTTTGAGCTCATAGGTTTGTCTAGTTTCCTGATGTACAATCCGCGCTTCTGAAGGATCGGTGAGTACGACGGCTGAATTGTGCTTTTAGTAAACTCCCGGTCCTGATGAATATTAATTAGTAACATACCTGTCCAGGAATCTTCACCAATCTGCTGACTCCAGAAAGAAATAAAACTCCTGAAGTTGACACTTTTGTCTCCCTTCGACACGTGTATGGATGATCGATTGAATCCACTGTTGCCTTTACCAATCACAACGTCATAGTTGCCAGTAGGTCCTTTGAAGTTCTCAGGTAGATTACGACTTTGAGGAATCGGTACTTTCCAGTACCGCAAGGCACTCTGTTTTGCCCGCGTGTAATCCAGGATGTTGAGATCGGTCCATTCGTCGCAGTGGGCCAAAAAGAATGATGGGGGTATGAAAAGATCCGCTCCGATCAGTCCGACAAGGTCCGGTTCCATGCCCTCAAGCACAATCAAGCGCCTGTGCTGATGAGACCCTTTAGATCTCAGGTAGAGGTCGTACGCATCGGTGTGTTGGAGGATTTGACTGGCGGCTTCTGGAGAGGAGGACATGTTGATCCATATATTGCAGCTTTGGTCACCGCCATCCCAAGGGTGACGTCTGCCCTTTGGCAGGAGATGGTTGCTGCTGTTCTTGGCAAAATTTCTATACTCTTCGACTCGTCGTCGAAGGTCGGGATCTGCAGCATTTTCAGCGTTGAAATGAGTCCTACTCAAGCGTTCATCATACCCTGTATGCGGTTGGCCATTGCTCTTCGGTTTGAATGAATTAAAAGACGTTGGACGGAAGGTCAATTCGTAATACTAGACACCATGCTAAGGATGCGAGCAGGTTAATTCTTATAATAAGCCTGCAAGGCGGTGTCCTACTACTCATGTTTGCACTAGTTTGACCACTTACTTATGGCGTAACGATGCACCCCACTCTCTTGCAATGATTCCCCGCTTTTGAGAGATCACTGTCGGCTTCATCTGTCTTCGATTCAGCTGAGTATTAGTAGCATAGAGGACTAGATCGACGCAATTAACTATTGCATTTCTGATAATATGGCTGAGTTGATCTCGGCAGCCTCACAGCTCCGGCCTATTGAGATGCGGTCTCTGGAAGACCTGGCACCGCTCCTTAGGAGGCTGGTCGGCATCTCCGAAGCTCGTGTGGATGTGCCTCGTGTGGCGAACTGTTTTTTTTTTTTTTTCAATCTACTCAGCTCGCCGAGATGCGTACGGAGTACCGTACAATCTTTTCCCTTTCAGGCTTCCGCCTATCTCGTACACGAGTCATTAGCCTGTTTTCCAATACCCATTCGTACGGGCTTTCTGCTTCCAGCATGCGCTTCCTGCAAGCGCGCGTAGTATCGCTGAGTTCTTATAAAACTTTCGCAAGCTTTATCAGCTTGACATACCGGAGCGATGCATTCAAGCGGATGAGCAGGGTATAGTTGCTTTTGCGGACTATTGGAAGGTATTCCCACATTTCTAGTCATATCGATCAATGCACGCGTGGGGCAGCTTCAATTTTCAGCCTTTTCAGCTGGAAACTCGCTGACCCACCCGGCCCGACCCACTAGGGCAAACCCTTGAGATTTAAGCACCAATACCGTAGAGATGATGCCTCTTCCAAATGATTTACAGCGCCACAGACCCTTTTATTTTTGGCCCCCAAAGCCAATCCGATCTGCAGTGCCCGTGACGTGTCCACGATTTCTCTGCATTGCAATCAATCCCCGAAGTCGAGCCTTTCGTAATAATTCCAGTCGTGACTTGTTTTCCTGGGGTTGGCCTTTTCCCAAATCAGATACTCTGATGATCGCAGCCTAACCTTTGATTGTTCTTTCGTTACTACGTAGTGGTTGCTACCGGCCTATTAGGTCAGGATTATATCCCCCGTAAATCATTTTTGAACTAGTATAAATAATCGATTGAATAAGTAATGATACTGGACCTACAATGCTTAAAGAATCCATCAAACAGGGCATACGAAAATGACAGATCTCTCATGTTGATAGTATGTAGATCAGTGGGGGCCACGAATTGCATTCAGCAGCTCTGGTTTTAGCCTTGGCGATAAAGACAAGTGACAAGATTCTGTGGCCGACCACGCTCGTGATCACTCTCGCTTAAGATGATATGTATTCGGATTGGTGTATTGACAAAGCCCTATCCCCATCCCGCATCCGTAAAGATCAGGAAAAGCTCTCTCCTCCAGGGGGCTCTGAAATATCGGATGGAGATAGTCAGGCCTAAAGGACCGACCTGAACGATATCTGGGGCTTAGGATATCTCTATCTTAACTTCGTCAATTGGCTATTTGGGCTTCAAACTTAAGAAGAGATTTGGACGAGGGGTTTCGCACTGGCGTTGTACACGTATCACGCGCTGCGAGGTAAGCGAGCATGCAGGAAAATCGGAAAAACAAGCTAAAGCTCATGGCCGAGGCTACTCAGTACCCTCTCCGTAGAGCTCTACAGGATCTGCGGGGCATTCGCTTTCATAATCTGCCGTATGGCCTCTTTGCCCTCGCAGAAGTGGTTGCCTATTCAGTATCCCCTGCCTGCTTATGAAGACCGGGATATCCTCCGCGGCAAGGCCATCGTTCATCTCTCTAGTCTTCTTCACATTGCTTCCACGCAGAAGTGTCCCCACACACCCATAAATCATCAATATGGCGCTCGTAAAAACCTATCTACTTGCGCCCAGCTTCAACTTTCGCCCTGATGGACCGATCGCGTTGGGGAACATCATTGCAGATCCTTTCCGGCCGCACCGGGTCCTCACGAAGGCTGACCCGGGCACGGCCCAACCGGAGATCGAGACCGTCTTCGAAGATGACTTCGTCACTCACCGCAGTGCCGGGCAGGGCGTGAGCGTCAGTGTGTGGGCGCAGTTCCTGGCAAATGTCGGCATCAACCTGGGCACCAACTTCAGCAAGGAGACCAGCACAGAGTACAACATGAGCAGCCTCAAGACCATCTACTTCAAGTCCGAGCCCAGTGAGCAAGAGCTTCACAAGCGGGTGAATGTGCCGAGAGTTCGAAACGTGCTGCAATCCGGCCGTGTCAGATCATGTCCCGTGTACATGATCTCCGGCATCAAGATTGCCGAGAATCTGGAGATAGCCACCGAGCGCGGGGTGCACAAGGGAATCAGTGCTGGCGCCTCCGCTCCTGTGGTTGAAGGTGTTTCTCTCGGGGGCAACGTGGAACTCACGAGAGATAAAAGCCAGCGAGATTCATCTCGGGCCCGACAAGATGTTGTTTTCGCCTACCAGCTGCTGGAAATTCGACTGAAGGGTTGGAAAGAAAAGTCTTTGGAGACAAGGGAGTTCCGGTCGAAAGCTGCCTTTCTTGGAGACAAAGAAGAAAAAGAGCCAGAGATCGAGGTGGAAGCAGCGGATGCTACGGCGGCTGGCCTTTCGGCTCTTGATCGAAAGGACATTTCACCGAAAGCAGTTGAGGTCAGTAATGGAGAGGAAACGTGTGTTTGTATTTCTTTCCCTGACGAGCAGAGTTGGTGAGCTTCAAGACATCCTGCGAAGGACGTGTTGAATCATAACCACATTTGGCTGGCCCTCTTTATCCAAAAGATTTCGCGGGTTGATATAGCGCCTGCCCATAGGTTTTTCAACAGATATTGCGTGAAAAACCGCCAAAATTGCCTCCCTTTTCCGTACCGTTCGTTGATCGTCCTCATTGAAGTAAGCCGACGTGGATGCTACGCATTGTATAATCAAAGCTGCGATTCCGGCGGCTATAGGAGTTGCAATTGAGCATCCTGAACTCAGCTTGTCTTCATCCGGCCAGCCCCACGGCACGTCTTCACCAAGAGTCCCGTACAACTGCATACCATGTTTGAAAGGGGCGACCTCCGGATCGTACCGCTGAACAAAAGCACCAGCACAATCAGTTCCGCGTATAGGGATAACGGGATCGAAGTTGGCTGGGAAAAGGTCTTCCGTGTTTGATCCTTCGTTGGCAGCTGCGGCAAAGAAAATGATGGACCAATTGCGTTGTTCTTCTGCATTCCGAATAGCCCTTTTGATTGCCAAGTCTTCACGGGGAAAGCCGAATGACATGGTAATGATATCAACCATCCACTTTGTCGCCGCATGATCGATTGCCTGGGTATGTCTTAGTCAGAGTGCACTTGTTCCCAGAATGGCGTCTCACCTTAACGATAAGTCCACCAGCCGTGTCAAGATCCTGTTGGTTTCTCGCCACTCGCGCGACGAAAATTTCGGCATTCGGCAGTATACGCAGCAACAAGGAGACTATTTCAGTCCCGTGACCGTGTTCATCCAGTGGTCGAGGAGATTCATCAAGCCAGTCTCTCCAATGCCCCCTTAAGCGAGACTCGTGCCCTGGAACGTCAAAGATTGGTGCTGTAAGGTCACAACCGGTGTCAATTACAGCTACGCGGACAGGCTGGGAGCCATTGAGCTTTGAAAACGTCTCAGATATGGACACAAGTTCAGCAAGCCAGGATGCAGATGTCATCCTAAGAAGGTATTAGCAGTTTGAATGCTCCGAAGCACAGGGGTCTTACCGAGCTTTCCCATGGAGCAGACGTGAACGACCGTTCAAGTATCTTCCACCTGGCTTGGCTTTTCCGTTGTGGGAAGATTGTGAAGGCCTTGTTTCGGATATCGCGGACGTGTTGTTAAGGGCATTTGTCGATCCAAGATCAAACTCTTGCTTCATTTCGTCGATCCCCGCTAACCACCGAGTACCTTTAAGCAGCTCTTTCAAGGGCTGAACAACCTTCTTGTAGATGATTGCTCGGTGCTCTTCTAGACTGTTGTCTCTTTCTCTCGACTGTTGTGGGCCAGAAACGCAGGGAAGATCGAAGAACTGCCCGAATCTCAGGCAACTCTCTACTGCATCGCGGTACGAATCAAAGTCGTCTTCCTTCTTCTCAAATAGTCCGTCCTTCTCTAACGCTATCATTGCAGACTTGATGTATTGGTTGATAGAATCTTTGGAGTAATCGAGAGGAATGCCTGGAATTTCGAAAGGCTTTCCCTTGGCTACCTCAATCAGTAAAATGCCGAGGGCCAGAACCTGGGGATAGCGATGCCAGAGCATCTCACCCTCAATGTATTCCGAAATGCTTCTTGTATCTCCACTGAAGTCTGCAGCAAAGTACGGCCTGAACAGGTATGAACGTGTGCTGAAGCCTCGCTGTGGCATTTCATCATCCAAGAGGTGGATATTCTCCCTGGTCCAGGGATATTTCATCCACTCCGAGCCGTAGTATTGCCAAACGGATTTGGCAAGTGTGTACGCGAGGATGCATCGTGTCTTACGGCTCATGGATCGTGTCTTGAAAGCTTGGTAAAGTGGGATACTTTCCGTAGCTTTGGCCTTGCGCTCGAGAGCTTCTTCTCTGTCCATCTTGCTCAACTGCGGATGCTCAATATGAAAACACAACTGAGTATTTCCTGACGATTTCAACGCCGTGCAAAAATGACCTGGGTTAATTGTCACTGAACTGCTTTCCGGTAATGCTTCCGAAGCAGCAGACGGATTAGCAGCGGAATCATAGAAGGTAGGCCGCGTTTTCCTCGGATTTTTGCTGTACTGAAAGTCAATCACCCAGCCTAGGATACGTAATTTGATTCTGGTACCTTGGAACAAGCATCTTTGTCTCCATCCACTCCGTTGCGAGTGGGGGACGGACAAAATCCCTCTGCGAAGAAAAGAGCATATCGAAGCGAATTGCCCCTCTCTCTTGAACGCAATCTCGTGGATTCAGCCGCAACCTTGTCAGATGCTGGCACGAACAGAAGGATACGTGATAGCTCAACACATCGTGAAGCTCACTGTTGACACGTGAGGGATAGTCCGGGGATTCTTCCCCCTCTCCTCTAAATACCGCACTGTACTTGGAAGTTTCGAGGATGGTTTCTTCATCCTTGGGCATAGTGGTCTCCTTGATCACGTCCAGCATTCTCGCAAATTCTGCCGTGCTCGAAGCATATACCTTCAGGTGTTCGCGGACATTACTGTGCAATGTTCTTGCAGAAAACCATGCTTTCCAAGCAAAGATCTTTTGATTTGTTCTTCCTCTCTTCGCCAGACCTCTCAATGTAGAAAGATCGAGCGTTTCCTGCTTCTCAGGCCACTTCAAGCATGTCAATTCAGCCCACCAAAATTGTGACAGAAGAGGTATTCTGAGCACCTACAGTGCAGGCTTTTTCGACCTCTTCAAGGACCCTGCACAAAACCTCGTCCAAACTTTGGCAGTCAATCAAGCCCGCTTTCGAGCTAGGCAGCTCGGCGACGAAACAAGCTAGGCGCGCTCCGAACGCACCAAGGGGACGGCTCGCAATCTCAGCACCCAGTTCAGTTGCAATTTCACTGACAACGGGCAAGGCTTCTCTGGCAAGAAGTAGATTTTTATGATCCATGGATCGCCGATACAGAGTAGGAATAAAAAAGGTTGTCCGAGATGAAGTAGGCTGGGAAGTGCGGGCGACGATGACGTGAAGGCCAAGTCGGCCTGTATTAGCTGCGGTTCTTTGCTTGCCTCTGTGATTCAATTTTGTGTGGGTTACAGGGGTAACCCCGCACGCCAAGACTCGCTTCACTAGGTACCTCTCAGCCACAACAAAAAAGACGTTTTGCCGCCTGAACCACGCTATCAATAGAGCTACATCGTGAGCCATGCCTCCACGGTACTCGACCATCTTTGCTGCTACAGCTGCTTGTCGTCAATCTTTCGAGCAATGCATTACGATGCCTTACCTAGCGGAGAATGACTGGGCAGAAAACAGACTTGCAGACTTCAACCTCTGGTCAGAGGGTGCGGGTGCTTCTGCAACAGAGCGAGCTTCGCTTGACCATAGGCTCGAGTCAGAGCCCAATATCAAGGGCGTGGTCATCAACCTCTTACGAACGTTGATGGCACTTCTTGAAAAATGTCGCAAAACTGGCAAGTCCCGAGTATAAACAGGTATTCCAGTATATGTAATAATGTACATTTCAGCTCAAGATATGGCGAACAAGTTTCCTCTCGATCTGCCGAGCGTGAACGATGCATTACTTGAACATTCTAACGAAGTATCCCTTGTAATGCATGCGGAAACTCCACCGACCGTTTCAACTTCGCGAAGTGGCGGTGTGTTAGACAGCGAGAGATCTATCCTCAACCAAAACATCGAAGATGTTGAAGCAATTCTAAAAGAGATGATCCGATTGACGGTTGCCATCAGAAAAACGGGCGCCCCTTCTAGACTCCAAAAGGCAGACGACCAGTTTGATCCTAACGCACATCAGGATCTGAAAGTACATCTTCAGGTCCTCCTCATGGCGCACGCTTTAGAGAAGAGGGCCCATCCATTTCAACTGGAGTCTTTGCAACTGAGCGAAATCCAATGGCGGTTGATAGAAGCGAACTTGAGACGTCGTAACCGCTTTTTGTATCAACAGATTCATTCCAAGAAGCTTGCGGTCAAGGACACACGGCCTTCTCAGAATATCAAACGAGGAGAAAAGAGTTTTCGCGTAAAGCAAGATGCGAACAAGCTGCGAATCCTTTTTTCGAGTATCTTTCACAAGAAAAGGAAGCCACTCCTACAAACCGCACAACCCTGCTCCATGGAAGCGTCCCAGCCGGTTTCACCTACTGAGAACTTAACAGCCACTTCTGCCTCGAGAATTCAGGGAAACGTAAGGACAGTAAAACGAGCACCTACAACTGTGGTCTCATCGACAGCCCTTGGGGCGGACTATCCTAACCCGCCCAAATTAGCACTTGGACAACAGTTTTTCAAATGTCCGTGTTGCTGCCAATCTCTCGGAAGGGAATTTACGCAAAAAAACAAGTGGAGGTTTGCTCATCAATTTGCACTATTTTCTGCGACAATAGCTGACAGTGATGCACTAGGAAGCATCTCGCTGAGGACATCCAACCTTACACCTGCGTTATGGAGAATTGTCCAAAGCCATGGAATTTCTTCGAGAATCGAGAGTCTTGGACAAGACATATGCAGGCCGAACACAAAAGAGTTAAATACTGGGCGTGTCCCGATATGCTCTGCGAAGATAAGAGAGACTTTGAGCATGAGAAGGACTTTGTCTCTCATTTGCAAACAATCCATGATGGGTCAGTTCAGCCACATGACATACCTTTTCTCATATCAGCATGTGTTCGATCATCTCCTGCGAACATTCGGTCCTGCCCCCTTTGCCCGCAGTCAAACGTTTCAATGGACATGGACATTGAGCCTCTATTGAACCATGTAGCCCTCCATGTACATGATTTCTCCTTGAAATCATTACCATGGGTGCCGGATGAAAATGGTGTGAATGAGGTTGAAACCCCCATCGGGCGGGCCAACGGCTATTTCTATGAGAATCCCTATTTCGACATCGGCGGCGAAAATGGAAGCTCGGCGCAAGGTATAGACCACTCAATGAGCTCTAGGAGCCTACCTTCTATTTCAACATGGAATCAAGACGACTTTGCTCAAGAGAAAGAGATCATTGAGAATCAAACCACCGAAAATGAGCCAAAAGATGCCCCAGGTATGTTTCAATATCAACACGCTTCCGAAACGAAATACTCTTGCAATATGCGATAAGAGTGACCAATACACAACAAACCTTGCCAGACATGTATTCTCTAACGCTTTGACCATCAAATGAACGCCATAGACTTGCTAGAAACACCTCACTCTGACGTCGGACATTTCGCTGAAGCCCGCCGGAGGGCTGCCTTTGAACTTCAGACCAAGCTGTTTGCTGAGATGGTGGAGCGGCGGCCCGGAGCACAGTGCTTCTACATCCCAGAGGATAGAAAGGGTAAGATCATCACGCACGCTGCCATTCAGGAACAATGTCCGGTCGGTGTTGACTCGCGTTACGTCGAAAATGTGCACAACCTCGGCAGGAACCTCTTCGCGATTCTCGGTTACATTGGACAGGCGCCCGATCTATGCGCGTTCATCGATGAGGGGCTGACGGACGCCGATCTTCCGTTCGTCTACCAATCCGCCACAGGCATTCTAACACGGAAGGACGGCACCGAGATACGATCTTCAAAAGACTGGGAGAGCGCTACGCGCTTTGCATTTGTCAGAGACCAATGGAACATCCTTACACCTATTTTTTCGGACAAGGAACACTACCAATTCCACGACAACACCATTCTGCCTTTCACTCATGAGGAACTGGTTAGTAAAGGTGCTTACAGCGAAATGTATGAAGCAACTATCCACTCGGCCCATCATCACTGGCATCAGGGGCCTGACCAGTCTGTAAGTGGCATTCGAACTCTCTCTAATCCTATAGCTGTCGGCTGACTGGGATGAATCTCAAGCCGCTTTCGGTGGCGATCAAAAAGCTTCATTTCCATGACGAAGATGAGTTTGAAAAGGAGCGAACGATCCTTGTTGCACTGGAGGGGAAGAAAAACAACCATCTTGTTAAGTTGCTTTTCTCGTACGAATACAGAGGCATTTACCATTTGGTCTTCCGGCGTGCGACGGGCAATCTCAGGAAATTCTGGGAACTCAACCCCGATCCGCAATTCATACCGGATACGATTCTCTGGTCACTCCGACAGATGATAGGCATCACACAAGGATTACGGATAATCCACAATTTTAAGGTCACAATCCCTCTTTCGGTAACCGAAGTGGAGATGGAAACACCGCAAGGAAAGGCCATCATGAGCGTCAGCAATGGGGAGGAGAGATTCGGCAGGCATGGTGACCTGAAGCCAGAAAACATCCTCTGGTTTCATGATTTCACAGGTGATGTCTGCCAGATTACGGACTTTGGACTTGGAAGATTCCACGGTCGCGACACAAGGACGAAGGCAGCACCGTACACCATATACAGCTCGCCAACCTACGAGCCCCCGGAGTGCCATATATACCTGCCGGTGTCCCGCGCCTACGACCTATGGAGTCTCGGCTGCCTGTTTCTCGAATGGGTGAGCTGGATGCTGGCTGGATGGCAGGCGATCGAGGACTTCTCTCGAAGCCGCGTGGAGCAGTCTCTCATCATGAATCAGGATGGCGCCATCTACGACGACTACTTCTGGAGCTTCGTCGTCGAGGGGAACAACAGAAACGCCCGCGTACGGGACGGAGTCGAGCAATGGGTCCTGAAGCTTCGCCAGCACCCGAAATGTTCGCAACTCATCCATGACGTCCTCAGTCTCATTATGCAGGACCTTCTTTGCATCGTCCCGAGTAGACGCTCAAGTGCAGCTTCGCTCCACAACGACCTGGGCGCCCTGGTCAGCCGCGCTGAGCGTGACCATGGATACGCCCTCGATCCATGCCCTGAGTTCCCAAGCATATAAAACATGTTAGAGACACTCCACGAACGTTCATTACCATTGCTGACCCAGAAATCTAGTCTTTTACACGTCCTCCCTCGCCGTTAAGACTAAGTGCAGGTGACGTCGAGCCTCTACCCTGTGGCAGAAAATCCTTCATATGAGCCGCATCCTCCAAAATACGATTTCAAACCCCTCCGAACCCGAGATCACATCAACTGGACCAACAGCTGCGTCACTGTCTCGGTGAAAATAGCTCACTGAGTTATAGCAATCTCATCTGATCTTCTGATCACTAATTCTTCTTGTGTGTTCGTTCGTATGTTTCATGATGACGCGCCGGCGCCTTGCGGGCCGTAGCTTCCGTCTTCACGTCAGCCTTGCTCCGTCGCGGGGCCGCAATGGCTCAATTACGAAGACCCTCATCACCCTTGAGGAGGGTAATTAACTTGCGTAACAAAGCTGCATTTAGTGAAGGGATTAGCGGTTGAGAATTTAAGTGGGTCGGACCCTTGACACAGTGTATTATTAGCCTAATTCTTGTGGCTTCGGACGGAAACAGCTATCTGGTCCGAGCAGCCAATTTAATGGCCAGCCATTCCGAATACCAACCCCTCTTTGATTGATCCACGACAACAATGAGGCTCAAAATGTCACGGGCTTACACAGCACACGGCCACGTACATACGCAACAGCAGATCCGCTCAGGCTGCTGCAGCGAGTGGCAATTGCTGCATAGCTAACAGTACGTCGTTGCGCGCGCATAAAGAGCCTTGCCGCATATGCTTCAGCTGTAGATTTTCTCAGCCTTTAGCTCCCACCCGAATCAATATCTGCAGCCGCAAGCCATCGCCTGAACTGTTTTCGCCCAGACCAGCGCAGCAACAACCATGGTTGTCACAACCGTTTCCCCGAGATATATCGACGCAGAGGGGTTGATGGCGCTGCTGGGGCGCCTCTTCCCGGGCCAAGATTATACCGCTAGGGTAGGTGCGGGCTAAAATCTCGTAACGCGGCTTAGACACCCTCGGGTGCTGACCTTACCGTCTCATGCAGATCAAGAATGGGGTGTGGGTGATCAGCACGCCTAGAGCTCTGACCCAAGTAAGTGGCAATACTTTTAGGCACTCAAAACAGGGCGATCGTTGTTGGGAAAACATCGCAAGGCTCTTGTCTATACAGCCTCATACCTAGTAGCTCTGCCTATCCTCACCTTCCTATTAGATACGCCCGTCATTTTACTTATATCTCTCAGGATGAACTGGCTGAGGCTGCACCTGATACAAATTAAGGCGCAGCTGCATACGTATGTGACACACTCTCACAGGACGAGGGTGGTCAGATCGGCGTCTCCGATTGCAGCAGTTTGTTGGATGACCGTAAATTGGTGTAACTAAGGCTGGGGCTTGGCATTCCTTGTGTGGTTACCTGATTTTGCCTGCTTTTCAAGACCGTTCTCGGCGTGAGGAGGAGCTGAAAAACGCGCAGAAGTTCATTAGCACTTATAGCAGTTCTGCCGATTGCTAGTCTCAGAATCTCCCCCAGCAGAAATCAGAATCTTTCCAAGCACCATGGCCTCAGTCGCAACTAGACATCCACAAGTCTTTGGGGCTCAGCCCATGCAAATTATCGAGGGTCAAAACATTGATCCACGCAAGCTCATTGGCCTGCTCAGTGACGTTTACGGCCGGGACAATTTCCGTGTGGAAGTAGGTCTTTGCCCCGGCCCGCAAGTCATCTGAGCAGCGCTAATGGGAGTATTTGTTGTAGTTGCGGTTGAACCGCTACAAGATATACCATCAGAAAGATAGTTCGAACAAGTTGACACCAGTATGAGAGCCCAGACCTGCAACACTATGAAGGAGGAGAAGTTAACTCCTATCAGGATCAGATCCACAAGTGCCAAGCTCAACGGAGAGGGTGGTGATCATGGGTTGCAGTTTGTCAGGAGAACAAATGAGTCTTGTGATTGGATTTTCCCTTGGAGTTCTCATTGGCGTAGCAATTCTGGGTGTGTTTTAGCCTTGCCAATAGTCATATCCTTCCGTCCACACAATGACCTAATGGTGAAATGGCTCTTTATCAGCTGCTTACAATGCATGATGCAGGGAGCCGATGCGCAAGGCTGATCAAAGTAGGCAACACAGTAAAATGCGGAGAGCCGACAGCGGGCGACACAACTAAACACACCTCCGCAAGGCAGAGTCTCATGTGAAAATGGTGAGTGCGTGAGGTCAGCGTCAGGAGTGTCAGGCTGAGAGAGGGGTAATGCATGCTGTGGCTTGGTTCTCATTAATGATTGGTCATGACCCTGCACGACGTACAGCTGCAGGTAACGCAACCGCCGAAGCGGTAATTGTCTCGGCAAGGCTGTGCTACAGGGACGAGTACTGGTGAAGTAACAGTCGTCCAATTGCGCGATTTCCCGCTTCGATCAGCTTCCCTAATCTGCCCCTCATTGCCGCATGCCAGCTGAAGTGAAAGACACTTTGGGCTCCAACCAGGGATCCGGCGTGCGGTGGTCAGTAAGTGACGCAAAAGACCTAAACCCATCATGGCTTCCGTTCTTGATCTGGGAGAGGACAACTGGGAGCTTCGGGCCGAAATAGACGAAAGGTCAAACAATCTGTTCAAACCCAGAGCAAACGAGCCCAAACTGAAGCTCAGCCGTCTGTTCTGGACCAGCATTGTCCCAACTGCTGAAGCAATGTCGTTCGAGAAAGATTTGGTCGTGCACAATACCTCACAGCTCAAGAATCTGAAAGCAGTAAGTGATACTACTCTGAACTCACTCACTGAAAGCTCACAAGCAGATAGGGATCAAATGACTTCTTGCAAGTGTTCGTAATTCGCCAGGAGCGTTCATGGTCATCCCTCGACATTTCTAAAGAACTTTTCGAAGACTTCATTGACATCTATGCTGTGTTCTCTCCGTTTTGGAGATGCATGTTCACATTTGGCAAGAAGTCTAAGGAGGACGAGTGCGACTTCCCTGGATTCAAATCGTGCGGACCTTATCGTATGCATGAACAGCAGTCAATCGGTGTGTGCAGCTCCTCAAATGTTTTCTCAAGATAGCTAATGAGAATACAGAGTCATGCTATGTGATTAGACGCGCTGAACTCAACCATCGCAAGCTTGGCGAGGGACAGAGCCCTTGGTCCATTCGTCAAAGTGCAGTCTATCATCGTTACAGCGATCAAAACGAAAAACAAAAGGGCCTGGATATGACACATGAATCACAAACGCTTCGATCCACTGTGCTTCTAGTCTCACCATCTGGGGCTGTGGACAAAAAAATTGGCCGGTTGCTTAAGCTTCCACTTACAGAAGGCGAAGCAGTCAGTCCATCCGTTTTGCACAGTCTCATTGTTGCAGATAGTGTAAAAGGCTGGATGAGGTACATATCCTGGCTTGAGAAACACGTGAAAGAAATGGTAGGTCTCTTGACCCACTACTAAGCGAACTCGTTTACTGAAATAATTGGACCAGTCTGTTCGAATCACGTTTGCGGACCTTCAAATAGGATGCGATGGACACAATGAAGGGTTCACCTTCGATGTCGATGATAGGCAGTCCCTCAAAGTCATCGAAGATGCAGCCATTGATCTGCAAATCATTCTATCCACTCTCCGTAGCACCATTGAAGGAATTCATAGGTACTGCCAGAAGTGTTGCAAGATGTCTCGCCACTCAGGAGACTGTGCTTGCGCCGCCGCACTTGACGAGTTTGACGGATACATCAGAGAGGTAGAGCTTTGTGCTGAGAGAGCATCAATTCTGAAGGAGCGAATCGTTTCTACAACTCAGCTAGTATGTGGAAGTCAAAGGTTGATGGAGAGCATGACTAACTTCTGACAGCTTTCCGACTTGCTACACTACGAAGACCAGAAGTCCTTGAAAGACCTGACCAAGCAGTCCCAAGAAGAAAACCGTATGATGCGATCATTGACGGTAGGCTGACAGTTGGAATCGCAAAAGATTATTCTGACAGCAGTTGCAGGAGAAAAGTACGAAAGATGCTGAAGCAGTCAAAGTACTGACAATCATTGGTTTGGTGTACTTGCCAACCACATTCGTCGCGGTGAGCCAAACCAATCTCTGAAGACCTTCACTACTGATAATAGTGACCAAGAACTTTTTCTCCACCGAGTTTGTTCAAACAGATGAAAGCGGAAGAATGAGCGTAACGGCAAATACCTGGCTTCTTGCGGCCATTGCACTGCCCCTGACAATTCTTACAATCACCACCTGGTGGTTGTGCGTGCAGTACAAAGTTTCCCAAGCCTCGCTCAAGTCATTGAAAAGCCTTCTGCGTGGAAGCGGGGCTAGGTGGGCGCTGCGGTGGAGGCGTAGGACCCAACCGCGTGTAGGAGATACCGAGAACCCAGAGACCCAATCGGCCAGGCCTAGTATCTCCCACACCACGACATGGTCCTCCGGAAAGACTACTCTCAGGGACCGCTGATTGGTGGATCAGGATCAGCGGATTCACGTGGGACGTATGCAGGCCTCGTCCCGACGATGCAAGGCAGCGGGGCACCTGTTGTGGCTGGCAGGTTATGGTGTTCTTGGCACATGATGTAACGAAAAGTGGTTTCCCGATTCTGTTCTCGGCGGTTCGATCCCGCGCTATATAGTGCTTGCGCCTCGTTGCCTCGTTGCCTCATGGATTGATGACGGAGCAGGCGGCCTCGGACACATGGAAGCCTTCTTCAGCAGTGCGGCTCAACACCGAAATACGTGTTTTCCGCTGACCACCATGCCCGCTCACCGGGGCTTGGTCATGCATCCTTGATGCAGGCGAAGCCACGCTAAGGCATACTTGAATTTGGTGGTGGAGGCTTGAAATCTTCTCGGAAGCTGAAGCAGTTAATCTGCTTCTAGCTGCGGGCTGACCACACTCTCCCGAATTGAACGCCTGCACTGAGGCTGCGTCTCAGCACAGCAGCGCCAAAAATGTTCGATGGTGGCAGCCTCGTAGGCGCCCACAAGGCTCATAATATCGGCCACACGCATTCGCGCAATACGCAATGCTGAACTGATTCCAGTCCACAAGACTGCCATAACCCATTACACAACCTCTCCACGGGGCACCCAGTCATGTTGAATGTCCGTTCCTGTGTTCAAATCCTGAAGGGACTTATTGGTTGGATTATCGGCTTTGACGTTATCATCTTTCGATGCTTTCAGAGATACTGTGCAAATATGATTTGCTTGGATCTTATCTTTTGGGGGAATAGAGATGGAGATCGCCAGACCCAGGTACGTGGAAGAATATTATGAATAGGTCGTTCTCGAGCTTTACTTACTTTCTTCAACAGACAGATGCGACAACAACTGATAACGCCTCACGTCCCGATCAGTCGACTGCCGAAAACCAGATGCACGAGAGAAATAGAGATGGAGACCACCAAATCCAAGTACGTAGAAAAGCGTTGTAAATGGGTCGTTCTCGAGCTTAACCTACTCCATTCAACAGACAGATGCGACAACGACTGATAACGCCTCACATCCCGGTCAGTCGACTGCCGAAAACCAGATGCACGAGAGAAATAGAGATGGAGATCACCAAACCCAAGTACGTAGAAAAATATTGTAAATAGGTCGTTCTCGGGTTTAACTGACTCCATTCAACAGACAGATGCGACAACAACTGATAACGCCTCACAGACCGATCAGTCGACTACAGAGCAGCAGATATGCGAGAAACTACGAACAGAGCTTCAAGAAGCAAGGATCGAATATCCGCCAGAGTCGCACCATTTCTTTGTCCCTGATAGCGCCAAGGATTCCATCATCACTGCAGAGGTTATCGCTAGCGAGATACTTGCGGCGGAGCCCTCTTTGGGATGCGATAATGCAAAAAAGCAAGCAAATCAGGTACGCGAGCAGGCGAGAAATCTTTTCGCTATTCTAGCATACCTAAGGAAGGGGAGAGCAATCTGTGCGTTCCTGCAAGAAGACATTGGGGACAAAGATTTGCCTTTCGCAAGAAGCAAACACAAGGACCGTAAATGCCCATTCTCATTGCAGCGTAAAGGTGGAGAAGAAATCAAAGCCTTGGATGATTGGAAGCCCGCTGACCTAGAATCATTGGGCCGAAAGCAGTGGCACATGCTTTCTCCTATCTTCAACGACGAGATGGAGCACTACAATCTTCATCAAAACACTATTCTTCCTTTCGTCACCATTGAGGAGGATACTGCAGAGAGCATCATCAAAAGCGGGGGTGGATACAGCGACGTTTTTGTCACTCATATCCATACCTCGCACCACAGGTTTTATAAGGACTCGGAGCCAGAAGTAAGTTCTTCACCGAAAATTTGAGAGATATCAATTACTGATGCGGAGCTTTCAGGATGAAGGTGACAGGATCGCAATCAAACGACTACACAATCACGATGAGGCGGAATTTCAAAAAGAAAGAAGCATTCACGTAATATTGGGGAGAAAAAGGATCACAAGCCCACACCTCGTCAAACTCCTGGCAACGTACGAGTACAAGGACAAATACCACTTCATCTTTCCAAGAGCAAACTGCAACTTACGCAAATACTGGGCCAAAACCCCGGCGCCTCCCTTCACCGCGAAGACCCTTCTTTGGTCGATAAAGCAAATGGTGGGCATTGCAACAGCTCTGAACATCATTCACAATTTCCGTACGACTGTACCCTTGGATGGCAAGCGGGGCTTCACCCCCACTGGCGATGTGAAATTCAGTGTGGAAGAAGGCGAACAGCTGTACGGGCGACACGGCGATATCAAGCCGGAAAACATTCTGTGGTTCGAGCGCTTACCCCAGCACCAGCGCCAGGACCAGAATGGAAACAACTTCATCGACGATGATGAAGGAGGTATCCTTCAGATCACCGATTTCGGTCTGGGCCGGTTCCATGGACGTGATTCGAAGACGGAGCAGCAGCCGAACGGTGTCTTCGGCTCGCCGACGTACGAGCCACCCGAATGCAAGCTACGCCGACCAGTCTCGCGCCTGTACGATCTCTGGAGTCTCGGGTGCCTCTACCTTGAGTTCGCAACCTGGCTCCTCAAGGGTGATGATGCCATAAACGAGTTCTCCGACCACCGAGCATGTCAATCAAGCATAGACCCTCGGTTGAGCGATGACTACTTCTTCAAGGTGGTTAGGGATGAGCCCGTGATGGATGCTGTTGTTCGTGATGGTGTGAAAGATTGGGCACAGAGCCTTCATGCAGATGAGAAATGCTCCGAGTTCATCCATGACCTTGTGGACCTTGTCATGAAAGACCTCCTACTTATCGACGCCAAAGACCGGATCAAAACGCCTGCGCTCTGTGAGCAACTTAACAAATTTCTGGCAAAGGCGAAGGCAGATTCTGAATACCTGTGCAAGCCGTGTCCAAGGCCAGTGGAATCCAATACGCCTACCGAACCCAAACCTTTCAATGAGTCCCCAGCAAATACACAGAAGAAACCCACGTCCCCGAAAAAGGTCGCATTCAGAGATCAAGGAAGTCGGTCTTCCAGGACTGGGTAGCCGAAGATCCCGAAAAGTTCTGTATTACATACTGCGAACACGCCGAGCATGATCAATATAGGTGAATTTTAGCTTTTCCCAGAGCAGAAGTGTGTGTTTGAGTGTCATTGGATGAGCACACTCCTCAACTATTTTACTCCTTTGCCAAGAGTTCTATCCACTCGTCCTCGAGGCATCTTGCTGTATGTACATATCTTGGTACAAAATATCTTTGACTGCGCGGGAGAAACGATTCTTATTTATCCTCGATATGATCATGGTGCGCAACCCCCTTATATACTCTCTTTTCTATAACTACCGTGCTTTTCTGTATACTTGTGTAAAAGCTCCCCGCAATGGCGGGAATCTTTAATTTTGTACTGTAGACCTCGATCTTTGAGTGTTAAATCTTAGTTAAAACAATTTTTGGGGGGCCACCTAGAGCCTAAATGTAACAGGTGTAATCATGATTCATAAGTTCTAGTACACTGCTCTTAGCTAGGGACGAGGACAAAAGATTGTTTCAATTAGGTAGATGCTTTGCGTTACAGACCTATTAACCTCATCTCTTTCTTATATCTTTACCGTAAATCAATCTGACGACTCTAAAAGTTGATGCTATTTAGATACCCGTTAAAGCTTCTAGTTTCAATCAATTAGTGAAGAATCTGCGTAAGATAACTCATAGAATATCTGTAGGTAGTGCAAAGCATATACGGTGTTGGTGGCTAAGTAGCAAGTAGTAAACGGCAAACAACCAACAAAGAGAGGCGAATATCGTCATTTGCACCAGAGCGGTGGATTCAAATCTGCATATACGTAGCACAGATGGACTTGGAATCACAAGAATATATCGGCTCAAGAGATCGCAGGCCATGCATTTATTTGAATTCTCGGAATGGGGGTATACACGCTACTTCTCAGAGCAGAGCACTCTCCGCCACCGCAGTTCAACTCTTTCCCTCTTCTCCCTTTTCACCACCCTTCTCCTGCCTCGCTCTCCTCGCCCTCTCTTCCGCCGCTCTTGCAAGCACCTCCCTCCTACTCAACCCATCACCGGCCTCAGCCGTTACGGTCCCCGAACTCCCCAAAATCGCCGCGCCACCACTCCCACCAAGCACGAACTCTCCTCCAGTCCACCCACCATGATCGAACACATCGCCCCTCCTCTCCGGATCATCCGCAGGCTCATACACCTCATCCCCGCCCACGCCGCCCACCGTCCTTCCACCACGCCTCCAATCATCCCTCTCCACCTCCCTCTCAATCTCCCTGCACAAATTCCAAAAATTCCGATCGTGATCCCCCCACACATTATGCGTCAACTCATGACACAGCGTCCGCCGAATCGTCTTATAATCCCTATACCCATCATACGCATCCGTCCGCAACCGCAACTCAATCACCTCCCCCCTATTCCGATTCAGCCCCAACGTCCGACTCTCATGCGTCGTATGCATCGCCGGATCCATCTCCGTCAACAACCCCACACTAAACTTATGCCTGCGCATCACCGCCCTTATCCCCGCATCGTCCCGCAGCCGCTCCAGAAACGCCGTACTCCTCTCCGGCCGCGGCAGGTACGCCAGCGGGCGAATCGCATGAAACGTGTACTGCGCCTCCTCGGACGCCTTCGCGCTGCCCAGCGCACCCCGCCCAGCCGTGCGCGCGGGTGTGGCTGGTGCCACGGCGTAGCGGCGCGAGGCGCGCGCGGCGTGTTGCGCTGTCGCGTGCGAGACGGACGCTTGCAGCGACGAGACTTCAGCCGGCGTGCTGCCCATCAGGACGATCTTGCGCTTGGCGGCGACGAGCGGGGCGAGCGGGAGGGCGGCGGCCGGGTTGGCGTTGTTGTTGTCGTTGGAGAAAGGCGGTTTGAGCAGGCCCGGTTTGGGCGTGATGAGGAGCTTTTGGTGCGTGGGTGGGATGGAGAGCTGCGCGGCGATGGCGTCGGAGAGGGTGGATATGGTGGCGGAGGACGGGAGGCGGAGGGTGTGCTTTGCGCCGTGGTGGGTGAGGGTTATGCTGAGGGTGTCCTCATCGTTGTCGTCGCTGCCTTCGCTGCCTTCCGAGGACATTGCTGCGGGAGCGGCGGCGGAGGGTGGTGGTGAGGAGGGCGCTGCGTCGGCGGAGGAGGACATGGTGACGTCGGTCTCAGCGGCGAGGTTTGCCATGTCGTTGTCGTTTGGTAATGTTTGTTGCGGGCGATCTTGCGGTTCAGCGCTCGAGGCCATGATTGTGGTAGAGTAGTGTGTGCTTGCGCTTGAAAGTGAGCGGCGGTGGGCTTTTGTTCGGACGTTGTGGCGACATGGTGGTGAATTATTGATTATGTAGGACGTCGGGGGAAGCTCACGGTTCGCCCAGCTTCGGAGCTGTTCGCCTCCCGTCATCCAGCCTCATTTGTCATCATCTTCACCACCACTAAAGCCGACGTCGCCATTTGCTGCCTGAGGAATCAAACCACGCGGCTATTACGAGTCAGGCATGCTACGAAAATAAGTTTCTCGTCCGATGATGCCATGCTTGCCTTATACGGCGCAGCATCTCTTAAGGCTAGAATTATTGCACAGCCAAGCAACGGCAATCTGAGAATCACTCGGACCGGCCCACCCCCCTCGTTTCTCGGCGCATTCCGAGAACCCTGATATAGGAATGCATTGTACATATATGTGCATGTATAATTTTTTTTAATTCCTTGGTCTGAGACTGCAGAGCACGACGTTTATCGGAACCATGTAGCTCCGTCTCACGCTCTGAAAGTCTGGTAACGCTAGAACCTGCAGCCAACATCTATCAGGGATTGCCGTCACACCACGGTCGAGCAACCTGAAGACGCCAGCAGCAGACGTCCTACGTTCCCTCCGTCAGAATTACCACCACCATTCGCATCAAGCCAGCCCTGTCTCATCACGCCGTCCATGCAAGCCAAGAAGCTTATAGAAACCAAGGCGCCAGCAAAGATATGCAGCCACCCCAACCAAAAAAACCCCGGGTATCATGCCTAAGATGCTCACACGCTTATGTGCGAAAAATTAAATATACAAAAAAAGCAGAACAGCAACCGCCCCGAGCCCCAGCCTCATAATTCGTCAGGGATCATAAGCAAAAAGTTCAAGATGTCGGCCTCTGCGGGTCTTCGGGCTCCTTGAGCCACAGCCGCTGTTCGGAGTTCCATCGGTGTCTGTGCCGCAAGGTTACCATGGCGAGATTCGCTGGGGAGGGGAAAAAAAGACTACGCTGCCGGACTTACCCTTCGTATTCCGTTGCCGTCAATGCTTTCTCCTGGTACTCCTCGACCAGGATTTTGTCGTACGCGTAGGGAATCAGTGCCGGGACACCCTCGTACGTGCTCTCCCGCATCGGATACAAATCGGCCGTATTGTACCGGTGGTTATTCTTGCAAGACCATACACCGGGGTTCACGTCCGGCTCCGTCTCGCTCAAACCCGTTATGTCGATATACAAGCCATTGCTCTCATCAATCCACCTCGCGTCGATGATATTCATACCATTCCCTCTCACGCGCTCCTCGGAAAACGGGTTCACGTCCAGCAGGTAGGTCCGCTCGACATCGCTCCCATCAGCGGCGTGGTAGTGGATACGGGTGCGGTTGTAGTTGAGCCGGAGAAAGGCCAGCGTGCGATCGGCGACCTGCGTGTCGACGTCCCAGTCCCACGGCAGCATGCGGCCGCTCCACCACCAGCCCAGCAGCGTGCCGTGCGCTATCCACGTCTCCAGGCCCTCCTTGCGGAACCAGGTCAAGTACGCGCGCGTCATGTGGCGAATCGTCGTCTTGCGCTCCTCGTCGGAGACGACGCCGCCGAAGTAGCGAATGTCGTAGTGGCCGAGGATGTCATCGCCGCTGCGTCAGCACGTTAGATCGTGGTCGAGCGAATTGGGTGAAAAAAGAACAGTGAGACGGTGAGATTCAGGCACAGCTCTCCACGACGTTCGAACTTACCCAGGCTCATCTGCAAACGAGTCAGTTACATACCTCGATCAAAATATGACGGGGAAAAAAAAGTGGAACTTACGAAAATACTTGGCCGGATCCAGATCTGGACCCTTAGGACGATCATCCTCTTGATTCCCCGGATCCGCGTTTTCCTCCTGGGCGGCGGGAACGGCGGCTGCTAGAGCGGCATGCTGGGCGAACAACAGACAAGCTGCGGCAGCATACCGGAGAACCCTCATTCTGTAATTGCTGCGGAAGAAAAAGCAGCCGGATGTAGTTCCGCGCTCGTGTCACTCAGGAAATAAAGGGAAATGGGAAACACGCCAGGAGGAATGCGCGCTTATTTGAACCTTAGCCTCGGTATTTACGGTCTGCGTCCGGCTGGGGACGCGGGAATATATGCTGGCGGTCGCACCTTCCTCGAGGATGCGTGGACGGCGCGATTCACTGAGGGCGGTGAAGAGCGGGCGCCACAAGGCTGCGGGAATGCGGGTAAAATGGTGTGGAGACGGGCACGACGCGCGGCGGCGCTGACGTAGAGGCGTGAGAGAATATATTGAGCGGACGCAAAGAGGCAATGATTGCTTGAGATGCCGGTGGTAGAGGGAAAGGCGTGGCGGGCTCCGGCAGTCGTTTTAGTCAGTGGGCGAGGAGGATGGAGGAAGATAATAAGGCGTGCCGTGTTGGACGAGTGGTGCAGTCAGGCGCGGGCCGGCGAGCGAAGCCTTCTACGGCGCGAACTCGGGGGGTTTACAAGCGGGACGTGAAAGGAAGAGAAGGAGAAGAGGCTGGGGCCAGGATATAATAAAGCTATTATGGCGCAGTCGCACTCGGACGAGCGACACATGTACGTCAGGATCCATGGGGGCGGCGGTTGGCGGAAGACGATGAGGGCCGTTTATCATTCAATGCCCGGGCGGGTACGCAAGTTTGCGGGCGCCCGAACGGGGCAGTCGCTCGCGTGAACGCGTGAGATTCTGGAGGTCGAGCAGCCATCTCGATTGGCTCCGTCAGGCACCAGCAGCGGGCACCGCCCCAATTGCCCTGTTCGCCGTAATCCTTCCGGTTAGTCGGCAGACACGCCAAGAACTACCAAGCGCGCGCCGGAGGCGTTTGGGTAGGCAGCACGACGACGGGCGAGGTGAGAGGTGGGCTTGCTCAAGTGACGCGGCGTGCGAACTTTCTCACCACGCGACCTCTTGCCTTGCGCAGATGCACTGCCAGTGCCGAAGTCGCGGCGCCGCTCCCGGTGCCACCCAGACCCAATCTCCGCCGCAAAATGCGGAGAAACAACAGCCCATTCATCATTACTAACCCCACCCCGGGCATCCTTTCTACACAGTACAGGGCGCCCTGCTCTTGGCGCGACGAAGCGTGCAAGGCGGTGCTCCTCCTCCCAAGCTTCCCGCGCCCTTGCGCCCAATGGCAACAGGACGGTAAGCCAAGCGCAAACTCCGGCGCCACGAGGCATCTATGTCGGAGATAAGCCTGCGGGAGAGACAGTCACACTACCGAACATGGCTAAAGCAGCCATCCGGTCGAATCCTCCCTCATCCGGCCCTTTCCGCCCAAGCAGAGGAGAGCAGAAAAAAGAAACGATGATGCTGATGCGAACAGCAAGGATAGCAATGTCGCAGAATAACAATATGGGCACCGCCCGCCAAGCCTCCCCTCCCATCCCTTCCCCTGCAACACATCCCCATGTCCCCGCAAGTGGGCACGCTGACTCGTTGCCCGGAGATCCAATCTGCAAACAACCACCAAATATCCTCCTCGAGCCGGGAGAGCGCAGCGAATGTCGCACAAAACGGATGGATATGGCTGTCCTGCCACAAGCCAATCTTCAGAAACATATCAAATAGCCGCCCGGCGTTACTGCAACACAAGGACCCGATCTTCCGCTCTTGCTTGCGGCGTAGACAAGTACAATGCCCTCAGGGCGGCAAGCAATGTCAGAGAGCAAGGAACTACAGAAGCGACCACCTAAAAAAGAACGGAGCGCACGTCCCCCTTCCTTACTCCACACGCAGCGCGAAGGGAAAAAAAAAGGTGTTCAAAGGTGATCGACGAGCGAATCACGAGCGAGGCTGGTGTGGCACAGCAGGTGGTCGGTGTCACATCCCGCGTTCGTCTGTCTACTGCGTACAGCTGTGCCTCGGTGAACATCACATCCTTAAGTGTCTCACGTCCCTAAAACGTCCCCTCGCCTGGGGGCCGAACCAAAGACAAAACAACAGCGTCCAAATTCCTCAATGCCTCTCTCGTCCCACCGTACTCGTACGCATTGAATTATGTTCGCTAGGCAAAGACCGCATTTTGGCCAATCGCTTTGAATGCGGAAAATGGCGTATCTTCGATGCCCCCCCATCGTTCTCGTATTCATGTCCTCTGACGCTCTGAAGAATCCGAGCCCCACCGCCCCATCCGAATTACAAGAGCGAAGGAAACAAAAAAGTCTATTAAACGTATCCATTGTGCATATATCCCTACCCTTGGCGGACTGCGCCACGGCCGTGCACGCGTTCAAATATCCCCAACTCCCTTGCAGCCCCACTGCCAAGAAGTAGGGGAAAAGGTTATCGCATCAGACACCAAACATCTGGGCAACAAAACACTGTGCTCTCACACACAGACCCCTCCCTTATTCTAATAATTCCATTCATATTCTTCAACTTCAAATTTCCTCCGCTTCGAGAACCCCTGAAGCCTCTCCTTTTGCTGATATAAAAGCAACCACCGTGCTCTCCGCCTTCTATTGGGTCTAATATCATATAATATCCACAAGCCTTCCTGACGTAAAAAAAGGAGTTCGGACAAATAAAAGCGGCAGGAACATCCCGGAATATTGACTTGGCTTTTTCTCTTGTTTGTTCTTATTTCCACTCGTTCACTCTGCCCGTCGGTCAAGACCCGTTGGTAACCGGCATGTCTGCATTCAAAACGGCCTCACACGTGAGACATATGGAAACGGGTGCAACATTCACTTCATTCCAAGCAATCACAAGCATCGATGAGACTGGTGTAAAGTGACAGGCTTTTCAATTTAGCCTTTGGTAGTATCATTTGTCGTACTACATGATCCTCATGCCAACATGAGCTGTTCGAGTCCCGCAAGACGAAGGCGCGCAGCACTAATCTCTGCCGCCCACCGCTCAGAGTATCTTTGGTAATAAAATAGCAAAATATAAACAAAACAAATGCGTCAAACGCCAACGAGTTTTTCCCAAAATGGATGCAAATGCCATCGCTCAAAATCGGCAGTAAGAACCGGAAAAGAAGCCATTGTCCAACGACAGTCAGCCATCCACCTATGCCTTGATGACCTGCTCGAGGCGCTCAAGGAAGATGTCGGCGTGGTGCTTCTGGAAGATGAGCATGGGCCTCAAGCGGACGGCGGCGACACCGCTGCCACCGATGTTGATGCCGACACCCTTGGCGCTCTTGAGCACCTCGTCGCGGCGGGGGCTGTCCCAGGCGATGAAGGTACCCTGGCCCTTACCACGCAGGTTCTGGATCTCGTTGGGGTACTGCGAGGCCAGGCGCTCGAGGCCGGCGTACAGGTAGTCACCGGTCTGGGCGGTGTTCTCGACGAGGTTGAGACGCTCAATCTCGTTGATGATGCCGCGGAACAGCAGAGCGCGGGCTGGGTCACCCATCCAGGTGTTGAACTGGCGGTAAGGCTTGTTGGGCTTCAGGTCGTCGCGGGCGAAGTAGTAACCGGCGGTCTGGGCCTTCTTGGAGAAGGTGACCATGTCGGGAGGAGACTGGAGGTTCCAGTGCTCGTGAGCCCAGAACTTGCCGGTGGCACCGACACCAGTCTGGACCTCGTCGACGATCATGAGGACGTCGTTGCGCTTGGTGATCTCGCGGAGACCGCGGAAGAACTCGGGCGAGGCGTGGTTGTCACCACCCTCGGACTGGATGGGCTCGATGATGATGGCCGCAGGAGGGTTGTGGAACTCCTTGATGAGACGCTCGGTCTCCTCAAGGCAGCGCTTCTCCTCAGCGGCGTTCTCAGCAGCGTGCTGGTCAAGAGGGTACTTCAGGCTGGGGAAGGGAGCCTGGGGCCAGTCGAAGGCAGGGATGTCAAGCTTGTGGATGGGCTTGCTGCGGGTGGTGGAGAGGGAGCCGAAGAGACGACCGTGGAAACCGGACTTGAAGGACATGATGGACAGCTTGGGGGCACCGGGGACGGTGTTGTTCATAGCCGACTCCATCTCCTCGGCAGTGAACTCAACGTCGGGACCGCCACGCTGGACACGCCTCTTCCACATGAAAGCCGCCTTGTATGCCAACTCGTTCGCGTCAGAGCCAGACTGGGCGGTGAAGACCTGGTCAAGACCCTTGGGGGCAACCTTCAGGATACCGGTCTCGAGGATGTCGGCCCAGTCGTGCTGGGGGAAGTTGCCGAGGGCGGGACGGTTGATGATAGCGCTAGCCATCTCGGGAGAGCTAGCGCCGAGAAGGAGGGCGGCGTTGTTGTAGCCAACAGGGATGGAGGCGATCTGGGCGTAGCTTTTCCATTGTCAGTTTTCCCGTATAAAATTTTGTGCCATCAAGGTACTCACACATCCAGGAGGACGTTGCCGTCCAGGTCGGCAAGGTAGTTGCCGTAGCTGCGCCTGTAGTCGGCCATCATGTTCAAGCTCCTGGTATCGAAGACCTTGTCGAGCTTCTGAATGGCCTTGGTGCTCTCGGGACCGGGGATGGCGCCCTTGACAACAGGGCCAGCAGGCTCATCGGGGAAGAAGGCCTGCGAAGCATACTGGCGGGTGGCAAGGGCAGCAGCCGGACGGGCAATGGCACGCTGGGCGCAGGGCCGCAGCGTGTTGGCAACGCGAAGGGCGGAAGACATTTTGGAAGCTGGAGCTGGGGAGGAAAAGTTGCGGGAAGGGTTGAGCTTTAAGCTCGGTTTAAGCCGCCGATTGCCGTGAGGAACGGATGCGTGGCGCTCTTCTCCGCGCAAGCTTGTATCGCGGATGCGCTGTTGGTACGAGCTTCGGAGCTCGTCACGCGGTGGTTTTTAGTGCACAAAAAAGCGCGCGCAGTGAGCGTGAAGAGGACCTGCGGAGAGGAATGAGGCAGGGCGCGAGCGGTGCGGTGAGTCAATGGCAAACAAGAGTGGGAGCCGCGGAGGCAAGAGGTGAAGCTTTAAAGCTCCCCCGGCCGCGGCGGGGCTGGCTATCGATTGCAGGGATGGCGCGGTGCACGCGAGCCAAGCTTGCGCCCTTGACGCCGTTGCGAGCAATGCGGTGAATTTAACTGGCCGTAGCTGCTTTCGGAGAGTCGACGCGAGCCTTAAAACGGCTCCAGATCCAGCAGGCCTCCGCGATCGCTCCATCTGCCCTTCCCCAGAGCCACCCTGCGGCGTATCTGGCGGCGGAGCGTGTACGGCGGCACTCCAAACCGCCTGAGCACATGATACGCGCTACCGGCGCCGCCTGCACCCGAAAAACATTACCAAATTTTTGTCCTTATGTATTCGCCGCCGTCATGGACGACATGCAACCTTGACAAATGCCTTCCGCCTCTCCGCCTCTCGCGCACGATACCTACACCTAAAACCCCATTTCTGTCCCCGCAGTCGCCGCTGAAATGCAAGACTTTACCAAGTTCCACAACGCCGTCCGGATAGGTGCTTGGCCGTAGCCATCCTTTTATTTGGAACCGCTTAAGCAGATCCACCAACTCAATGCATGCCGGATTAAAAGAAAGAGTAGTGTTAATCAAAAGCTTCGACCAGAGAAAGTATGGACCAACGCCTCCAATTCCAGAAAGAAAAGCTTGCATCACCTGCCGTTAGCGACACCAAGATGGCGAAGACGATCCGAGTGCATGCCGTCGAAGTTGTCGTACGAGTCGTTGGTTGATGGCGTAGCGAGCTGCATCGGACTGGGATGGCCATTCGCTCCCGAGACGTCTCCGAGCTCCGCCTTGACAGCCCTGTTCACCTGCACGCCAATTTCGTTCTTTGCTTGCGCACCGCGAACCGTTGCGTATCGGATGGGTGGCTCAAAAGACTCATTCTCAAATGAGTCGAGTGCAGCTTGTTGAAATGCATCAGGGGTGTCTGCATCGTCGATCGCGTCGCCTTGTTCGTCGAATGTTGTGCTGTCAGCAGGCGGGGGAGGCGGAGGAGGTGGGGGAGGAGTATCGACATCTGTCGATTTCAACCTCTTGAACGGCGATTCGTCCTCCCCATCCATTGGAGTGCTGACGGAAGTCTCGTCGTGCCTCTTGCGCTTGCTCGAGTTTCCAGGAGAATCCTCTGAAGTCTCACCCTTGGCCCGCGCCCCTGCCGACGCGTCAGGCATATCATTGTCCTGGCTTCCTGCAACACCTGGATCGCCCGGAGGGGTGGTGCTACCCGAACCATCCACTTTTTGTTTATCGAGCTTCTTCTTCTTTTCGCACGCCTTCTCCAATGTCTCGTGGACGTGCTTCTTAATATCTTTGACGTGCTTCTCCGAAAGCTTTGTCGGGTCCTCGACACGGCCGCGCTTGTAGTCGGAAGCGACAATCTTCTTCGAAATCTATCGAGTGTAAGCAAGGAGGGCGGGTCAAGAGGATAGGAAGACTGACTTCCTTGCCGAGGCGCTTCAAGTCTTCCTTCGGAAGCTTCTTGCTGAATTTGTTCAATACATAACTAACATGCGGGAAGATCTGTTTCGCATTAGCGAGCATTCGAGAGTAAACGAGACGTCCACATACAGTGTTCTCGTATATCTTCTTCTGCTTCTCCTCGCTGTAGGACCTCCACTTTTCTTCGCTAGGAGGTTTCTCTTTCTTTGCCGATTCAGGCTGAGGAGTCCTGCCTCCTGGACTTTGAGTTTTCGGGGTACCGTCGGTGATCTCACGAATGATTTCCTGAAGCTTTTGCTGATGAGTCTTCTCCTTAGATGGAGCAGGAGCCTGCGGTGCTGGGGTTGTAGGACGTTGCCAACTAGTCGCGCCACTAGCACTGTAGTAGTAGGTTCTCTTGTCCGCATCCTGAGTCATGAACCACCCATGGGGCAGCGGATTGAAATGAGGGGGACGGCGGAATTGCCCTCGTCCTCCTGGAAAAGGCCTAGCTGGTATAGGGTTGCGATTGGAAGGACCCTTTGGTGCATCTGGAGAAGCTGAGCGCTCCTTCGAAACACGCTCGGTGCGCTCAGCCCATCTTGAGTCGTAAGCACTAGGGCCGTTTTGCTCGCGCTTGACCCGGGGGATCCTGTACTCCATCTTAAGCTGGCTCCATTCATGGAGAAGTCTAGATGCCTTGCTCGAAACCCTCTCATCCTCGCATGACTGTAGCTTCTCAATGGTTTCTTCAATGTTTGAGTTTTGAATCTTGTTGCGCGAAAGCCGAGGCATTTTGTCGAGGATCTCGAGAACCTGCAAAGCGACGTTCTGGTCATCCATGAATGTGTTCAGAGTGGTCTTGAGGATTTGGTAGCCGTGCATCCTGATGACGCGGTTCATGACCTTTTCGTCGTCGCTGCGCTGAATGCGGCTCAGCAGCTTAACGGCAATCCACTTCTCCTTGCACTGCATTAGCGTGGCCATGACCTTAGTGACGCCGCCCTCATCGAGGGACTTCGGCTGCACGTTGTTGACGTATTCTTCGTCGTCCTCGGAAATCTTCTTCTTGCGGGGCTTCTTGGCGACGGCAGTGTCCCAACCGTCCTCATCATCGATACCAAGCGCCTCGATTGTGGCGTGGGACAGCTTCGTAGCGTTGTCCGTCTGCGTCTTGCCTCCAATGAAACCTGTGCAGTTTGCTTCGCCGCAGTAGCATGGCTGCGGATCTGCGCCATAGCGGTCGACGTTGTAATTGAAAACGAGCTCTTCGCCGGCCTTGATGTGGCGCTCGGCAAAGATGCCCATGCGCAATTTGTCCCCAACCACCCATTTGTCCACAAAGCAGTTGGGATTGCAGGAATGGTTGCAGAAACGACCGAGGTTACCTTTCTTTGTCGCATCGACAAATTCTCCCTTGCTCAGGGACATGAAATAAAAATGCTTGATCTTTTCGTGGTCATACTGAACCATGCGGTTGCGGAATGTCCGTTCGTTAATGACTTCTCCGATATATTCGTATACAAAGTCATTGGGCTTGAGGTCAGTGTTCGCGCGGAGTCCATAACCTTTCTTTTCTGTCTTGAAGACCGTGACGTCGGCGTACTGCTTTCTGAGAAAACGTTGGTTCTGGCAATTGGGGCCGCACCCACAATCGCCGACGCATTCCATCTTAGTTGCGCGATTGATGCAATCGGAATCCTCTCCACAGGCAAGGTTCTTCCTGCTCTCTGCATCTGCAAATGACAGTCAGACTAGCCGGCTCTAACAACAATGATGGAGTTGATGACATACCCCACTCCTCGGCACAGTCGCACTCGAGCGCGTGCTCGGTTTGACCCATGGACTTGTTGCCATAGGTGCAGCTCTCAATAACATCAAACGTCTCCTTGGCTTCCTCGGTCTTGTTCTCATGGTCCAAATAGAGCGGCGGCGGCCTCGAGACGACTTTTTGCGACGTGGAGCGGGCGAGCTTGGGGCCCTTGCCCGGCTCCATCTTGACGGTAATGTCGCCACCGAGGATTTCCTCGCGCTCCGAAGCCTGGCCGGGTGAGCCGCTGCTCCTTTCGGACTTGATGGGGGTCTGAGTTCTTGACGCCGCGGCCTGGCCCGGTGATGCAGCATGGCCATTCGGCGTGACGGCGACGCGCCCCTTCCCGTCCTCTTCCACGCTTTGCTTGACGACGTCCGCATCTCCGTCCTCCGCAGGGGTGTCGGGCTCCAGCTTCATGTCGCGGACCTCGGGCTCCAGGCGGGACGCCTTGCTGTCGGCGTCGCTGTCCGACATGATGGGCGTCGGCAAAGGGCGACGGAAATCGGTGGGTGCCGGCGGATGGGGGAGGGAGGTTGCGGCGAGTGAAGGGAAGAAAACCACGCTCCAAGCCCGTCGAGCACTAAGCGATTCCGTGTCTACTCAGGGTCCAAACTCGCAGCAGCATGACCTCTTGTCGCTCTTCCGCACCTGCGCATGCGCGTCGGGGGGGTGTCTGGGCCGAGGGCAGCGGTTGGGGTGCGCGGGTGCTGGGTTTGCGGCGGAAGATGCGCGTCGACGCAGTGCGGCCGGCTCGGTCTGCGGGCGGCGGTGAGGGCAGCGAACGGCGACGAGACGGCGGAAAGGGTGTCGCGAGAGGCGTAATTGGCGCGTCGAGTGGCAGCGCGGGCGGCGGGCGGGCGGCGGAGGAGAGAGCGTGGGTAGACTTGGGAGGAGAAAGGCGAGTGAAGGAGCGGTGCGGGAGACAGAAAGACCCTTCTTCGTTACGGCATGCTCTGCCAGTTACGCGTTCGGCGCAGCGTTACCTGTACCCGGATAACTCCCGCAGGGGCAGACGCTCACTGCTGCGGCTGTGGCATAGATAGAAGCGTCAAGTCTGCAGACGCGGCCCTCCATGAGGCTCTACAGCCGTAGCTTGAGCGACATCTCGGCATTGCCTTCTCCGATGCGGCAGGGGTCTGGAGTGAGGGCTGTACGCCACAGGGCTCCAAAGAGAAATCCTGATTGGCATGTGTGAACGATCACTTTGCGCTGTCCTTGCGGCACCGGCAAGCTTTCCACCGGCTAGGCCACGGCTTTTGTTCTCATCATGCGGCTGCGACCGCGAGTGGATCGGAGACCGGCATGCGGAGGAAGCATGCTGCTCGCTTCCTTCTCTGTCTCTAGACCACCCCAGACTTGGACTACGCTGGCGACAAGCCTACTCGAGTCCAGCCGCGGTGCAACGTGAGGTCGCTCACGCAATATGTCGGGTCGTATGCGCTGCGCGTCGACAAGAGACAGTCACGCGTCACGGCAGGATGAAGCCCGCCCGTGAAGCAGGTGAGAGCTGGCTGACACACCCTCGCTTAGTAGCGGACTGCGTCCTGAGGCATCCTGAGCCGACGATGCATGCCCGCATCTGCAATTTTCACGGTCCGCGGCGCTCGCCCGAGTTGTTGAGTTTGCAGCAGTTCCGGGAGACATTCGCTGATCTGCGCTAGGCCGACGAGATCCTGGGCTGTCGCCAGGTACAGGTGCGACCATCCTGTCGGCTCTTTATGTAATACTCGGCTGCGATTGGAGCAGGCTCGGCGGCCCAAGGCACCAAGGCCGCCTATTCGCAGCAGACCGCCCTCAAGCAAGAGTTCAAGAGATCGTCCTCTGTACCTCGCCCTTGGCCCAAAGCTAGAACGTGGCGATGCAGGCTTGCTCATCCACATCCGATTAGGAAACCCGGCAGCCGGTTCGTGCATGATGCACTTCCTTGCTCATTCGTCGCCAGCACCCAGCCTTTTATGGAACCATTTGCGAAATATGACCGCTGAATGGCCTGCCCGCTCGCCGTTTCAGACGCTGGGTGCGGCACCGCCTGTCGTACCATGTAAAAGGACGACGTATATTTCCCTATAGGGAAAGGGACTAGGCCGCGGACAATAAGATAGCGCTGGTCTGTGCCGGCTTCTGCCGTACTTCCAGAAGCCGAGAGCAAAACCTGGTTCACGGATGAAAATGTGTCTCTGCATGGACGGCGGGCTGGACATCTCTGACACTGTGGTCCAATCGTTGGCCATCCACCATCGACTGTGGCTCAGACGCCCTCCCCGCGCTGTACTCGCCCTACAACAGGGCGAGACTGCTATCCGCAACTCTCTGGCGCAGGGCTCGCACAGCATTGCAGCATTTTAATAACGGCAGCAGTAATCGGAGCATTTAGCCGGGTGCAGAGGGCAACAACAGCCACAACAGCCTGATCCGGACGACTGCTTCAGGCTCCGTGCTGGCAATACTCAGCGAATCATTCAGCACGGGATAAAGCTCTCACGTTGCGATGGTGGTCGTGGCGTATGTCTCGTATCAAGTTGCACCGGTGGTGCTAGGGAGATCTCTCCGCCAGCACGGCGATCTCGAAGCAGGCGCTCGCGAAGCCGGCGACTCGCGGAGGCCATCTGTGCGCGCCCATCTGACGGCGGATCGCCTAAATGACGCGGTCCTGGACATGATTGATGGTGGAGGCGCACGAGATGCTGCAAGGTACACGGGCGGCTCCCCAGAGTGAGGGCGGGCTGTATGGTGCTACGTGGCTCTGCAGGCTCGGCAGTTGCCATTGGGCGTGGTGAAGGGGCAGCTGGGGAGCCGGCAGGGCGGGTGCTGTGTATAAAGAGCGGCCGTGGGGGGAGGGTTGTGTGCAGAAAGGCCGCCGCCCCCCAGGCGCCTGGCACCCTATCTGCCCTCCGGTCCGTAATAGCCGTGTCGACACACCTCCGGGCGCTCGCAGCGCCTGTTCGGGCAGGCGAGCGGGATGCTGACGTTGTTTTGCGCAGGAGTGCACGGCGCGGAGGCTGGACTTGGGGCACGACGAGCCCTAGTGTTGCAGAGAGGAGTCGTGAGACGCCCGCGCCAGGGGCTTGAAACTCGATAGCGACGAGCTTAAAAAAGTTTCAGTGTTTCGCGCTGAGCAGCGGGGCGGCTGATTGGCCGGCGCTTGAGCCGCTCGCTCTCTGCTCTCTGCTCCCAGCCTCCGCCCACGCCTGCGCCGTCGCGCATTGCCCAAACCGGCCCAGCACGCTCGTCGTACCAAGGCGCACCGGGCAGCAGGCGGCGAGCACAGCCGGCTGGCCCGTCGTGGGCGCGGTGGTGTTGACGAGCAGCTAATTATGCACGTCACGAAGCTGCAAGCCAGCTCCATCCATGTCTGTTTTTCTCTCCCATCTCTCTTCTCGTCCCTTCTCGCAGCAGTTCCTTCATCTGCCGCTCTGTGCGCGTCTGAGGCCGCCGCATGCAGACATGTAGCATACTCCTTTTCTGTACATCTCCACAACCACTCTCCCGCACGCTCGTTTCTTCATCCGTTTCACTCACCCTCGTTTGGTCCTGTTGCTTCCAGTCCCGCCCGCGCTGCCGCCGTATCGCGCGCGCGTCTGCATCCTGCTTGACGGCCTTGTGATCGCCTTTTACTCATTTAGTCCTGCTGCATCGACCCCCCGTGTATGGACGCGAGACTTTCTTTCCCTACGCCCTCCGTACTACTCCGAATTCCTCGCCATGGAGCCCTCGAGGGACATCCCTTGGGCTGAGCACGAGAAGGTGTGTGCGAAGAGCCGCCCGCACAGCCGCCCAGCGGCGCCGCCCCCTCCCCCCCAGGCTGATTGCCCCAGGTCTACCTTCTGGCCGAGATCATGAAGGCCGCGCCCGTCTCGTCCGAGACGCTGTTCCATTTCATCAAGAACGCCGGCATCCAGCCAAAGTGGGCGGAGATCGCGCTCCCACAAGGTACCTGACAACCCTGCGCCAATCGCGCCCACCGACCACCACCCCAAAAGATCGCCCGCCTCCAGCGCTGCTGTCGAGTGTGTTAACCCGTTCAATTCGCTTCCAGGACGCTCCCTGCGCCAGTCCCAGATAGCATTCCAGGACCTTATCGCGCAATTCTCCGCCCACGATTCCCGCGGAGCCGGCACCGCCAGCGCGGGGCCCGTCCAGTACCACCACGCCCACCAACCGTCTCCCCAGCAGCACCCACAGCACCAGCATCCCGTCTTCCACGGCCACCAGCCGCCCGTCGAGATCCCGCGCAAGCGGCCGCTCGCCCCCGACGTGTCGACGCCGACGGGCCGCCTGCTGCAGCCCCGCCCGCCCAATCCCTACCCAGCGGCAGGAGGAGCAGGAGTAGGAGCAGCAGGAGGAGACGCCGCCGCCCAACAAGCCGCTCACCACCATGCCGCCGCCGCCGCGTCGTCCATGCTCCATCACCAGCAGCAGCACCAACACCACCACCACCAGGGCGCCGCCGCCGGTCCCGCGTACATAATGTCGCCGACGCTGGGCGCCGAGGGCACGAGCAAGAAGCGCCGCGGCCGTCCCACGAAAGCAGAGGCCCAGGCGCGCGCCGCTGAAGCTGCCGCGCGGGGCGAGCCGTATCCGCCGCCGAAGACGGGGAAGCGCGCGTCCATGGCGTCGGCCCTGAGCAGCAGCAGCGGTGGCGGCGGCGGCGGCGGCGGTGGAGGAGGCGGCGTAGAAGCTCCAGGCACCGGGCGCGCGGCGGGCGCGGGGACGGCGAGTCCTAGCACGCCGGGCGGCGCTGTTGGCGGCTCTGGCACGGCTTCCAGGCCCGAGCGTGGTGAGCACATGTCCGTGAGCAGCATGGTGACGGCGGCCACGCCGGCGGCAAGTGAGCGTGGTCTTGGTGAGTCGTCGAGTAGCGCCGTGGTACATGGGCGAGAGCGGAGGCAGTCTAGCCTCGACGTGCCGGTTTCGCCCACGGCGAAGCCGGAGGTCGTGAGCGAGAGCGCCAGATCAGGCCCTCTCGCGTCGCCGACCAAGGCGGGAGCTCAGGCGCCAGAGGGCCGGCGCGACACCCTTTTGACCCAGGGCTCTCCTCTCGCCGTGTCGACGACCTCGTCCCCGGGCGAAGAGCGAGGGAGAGAGACGCCGCGCGAAGCGAGTGAAGATCACAAGCGCCGTGCGACGCCACATTCGTTTAAAGACACCGTGGGCATTTAACCATCTTCAGCAGCATCACCAGCGCCGACGAGCAGAAGCACGGCGCAGCAGGACCTGAATCAACATCGCAACTCACACCCTCGTTACTAACCAGAACCACCATTGCCCTCGCTTAAACCCCCCATTGACCCCTCAGGTCGCACATCGATGCACCAGGAAATGAGATCCAAGAAAATACGACTCTCTTAGGGCGGCGATATCTTGTCGAAAAAAGCAAATCCAGTAAGCACGTTACGCAATTATGCAGGACGACCAAGCACAAAACCTCTCCTCCTTCCGAAACGCTATCATGTCGACGAAGAGCAAAAAGAACACTTCAGCATAACCCCCCAATTACGAAGTTACGCGGAGGATTTTTGGCTTCGCATACACTCCCCATTTGCGCTCCATTCAATTATCAAAAGTGTGTTTCCTTCAAGTTCGCTGGGTGTTTTGGGATTTCTCTCTCATCATTAAAGTATTCCTCCTATCCGGCGGCGACCTTTCCCGCACATCTGTCTTGAGCGGTTTTTTTCCTGAGGAACATCTTCGTCATCTCTGTCAAGTCCTCCATGTGCTCTTTTCCCCTCCTGTCCAGTTTAGCTCAGTTGTCTTGGTCGTCCATTCTCCCGTTTTCCAACGTTTCAGCGGTCTACGAGCCAAAGATTCACGACTCTCCTTATTGCACAACTCATCAGGGAAAAAATTTCTTCGCGCGTCGTTGTTCTCTTCTTTCTCAAGGGGCATACCATCATGTATAGCGATTAATGCTCTCTTTCGTTCCTCCTTCGCCCATTTCCTGCGGGACGATAGGAGGCGCGGATGAACCAGGTTAATATGTAATCATAGTTCATCTTTAAGTCGTTTCTGCTTGCGTTTACATACGATTTGACGGCTCTCCTTGTCTTTCCTGCACATGAAGACTCAATTCGCACCCTGGCATACGTTTGATATTTTCTTCAACGAAGTAAACGCACGTCTGGTCATTTTCTTCAATTTTCGGAAACCTTTGCTTTGCTTTCCGGAAACAGTGTAAGAATATCTTGGTGGTCTTCTTCATCCGATTAGGATGCGATCTGTCCTTTCTGGCAATCTCCCCTCTGCGCTTCTGTTCTTCTCTTTGCGCACACGGAATTTTTGCAAAGGATGCTATCTTTCTCGTTTACCAGTAGTGACGGCCGCGCAAAAGCTTCAGTATACACACGCATCCGTAGAGAATTTCCGCTTGAGCGTTGGCGTGAGCTTCGTCTTTCTAATTGCACATTGACTAGTACGGGCGGCAATTGTAACCGTGCGGTCGGCATTAATCGTTCTTTTCATTACGCATTACAGCTACACATCTGGTAGTCATTATAGGGGATAAACTGCAAAGTCTACGAGAGGGAAAATTCTCCCAATGTTGTTTGCCAAAACCGAGCCCCCATCTCACTAACCCACCATTTCTCCTTTTTTTTCTTATCCTGGCGCGGAACTCTTGACCTTTTTTTCTATAAATAGCCCAAACACCGGGTTCCAAGTTTTGGATGGGCGGCACAGCGCGGAAACCCTGCAACTATACTTGAAGCATCCTTCCGCATAATGGAGGAAAAAGTCTCCCGCTAATGCAGGCAAAATAGCCACAACCCCGGTCCCCTTTCACACCGCGAACCCAGCCAGCGCGTTTTCGCTCTCCGTCAGGGGCCACAGCAACCACCAAAAGCCGAGCGCGCCGCCGACCAGCAGCGTGTAGTACGCCACAGTCCAGCCGATGTGGTCGTCATAATGCGCCGCCCTACTACTTCCATCCGCCCTCTTCCCTTCGCCATTCACTCCGGCCGGCCCGATGGGCACCGCTTCGGCCGTTGCTGATCGCGCGGGGCGGACGCGGCCCCACAGCCGCGGCAGGCCCATCCAGTTGCAGAAGGCGTGGGCGACGACGACGGCGGGCAGCGAGGCGGTGCGGACGAAGACGAAGGCGGCGAAGAAGCCGAAGAGAGACGTGTAGGTGAACTGGAAGAGCGAGCGCGCGATGCCGGTGACGACGGGCGTGTGCGGGTGCGTGATGCGGAACTCGTAGAAGTGGTGCACGTGCGCGATGCCGAAGTACAGCGGCGTCACGAAGACGGTCGTCGTCGGCGAGACGTGCGCGGATAGGTGGAGCGGGATCATGAGCGAGCGCCAGATCAGCTCTTCCGTTGTAGGGCCCTGCGTGCGGAGATGGTCGTTAGTTGCGGTGGTTTTAGGGTTTGTGGTTGGAGGTTGTAGGCTGGCCGCATGCGGAATATATAATGCTAGCTTGGTGATGGTTCGCACTTACGGCTACGAAGTTGCGCCAGCCGATCCAGCTGCTGAAGGTCTCGTTGATGTGCGTTCCCTTGACCCAATCGCGCCAGTCTCCATCTACAATGCCATTCTCAAATAGCGGTCCAGCAAATAGGACGCAGAGTAACAGCAGCACCTTCACTATATCCACAACCGAGATAGGCCACCAACCAAGGTGGTGTAGGGCGTCCAGGAAGCTATCATGTGCAGACTGGGCGAGAATGTAGAGTGTAATCAGTGTGCATATGATGCACGACGTGGTGACGGCGCGTATGCGCGCGCGGATGACCGAGGGCGCATCTCGATGGAGGGTCTGCGACGGACGGGTGGTTTTGGAAAGGTAGAAGGGCACGACGTAGATGACGGTGAACAGCACCTGGTCAGTGGACGTTAGAAGAAGCTCAGTGCTGGGCAAAACGGCGCATGGCCAATGGTTGGTTGCTCGGCGCTTCGCGGTAGGTGGAGGTAATGCGGAACGGGCGGTGTAAGGAACTCACAGAGAGCAGGGCGGCCGATCCCGGGGTAATGGCAGGGCCGGTGGCTACTGATGAAACGGAGGCAAGTTAGTTTTGCAACTCGTGCTGTAAGGCGGCGGCTGCTGAAGAGACGCACCTGGCTCGCTGCGACCGACGCGCAGGCGCTGGAGAAAGTGGACGGGCGCCATGGGGGAGGTCGCGAGGGTCGGCGCTACGCCGTTCGGAGAGCAGTGCAGGCGGAGGGAGGCAGCAGAAGAACGCTCGCTGGGTCGTGTGCTCTTTGTGCATCCGCGTTCGTCATTGTCGTAGTGGGCGGCTGGCCCTTGCAGCGAATCCGCAATTGCCGGAGCGAGGCGCCCCGACCGGCGCTAGCGCTCAAGCCTCACAGATTAACGGCCAAACGATCCCACTCCAAGCGCGCGCGCGCCTCAGAAGACTCGGCCGCTCGGCAGCTAGCCACCAGCCACTCGTCCCGTGTCGGCCAATCTCTCCGCATCCTCTGCAGCACCAATCGCCGGCCCGCGGGCGACTGGTAGTATCGATAACGGCCGCCATGTCCGTCCAATCTCGCCAATGCACACCAGCACCTCCTGGGCCACCACGCGTCCAGGGCGTGCAGGTGCGTTTCGCTGTCGCCGGCCAGCAAGTGAAGATCTACTGCTCTCCTCTCTCGCACCGGCCGTTGTCCTTTACTCCAACGTCGTCCCGTCCGCGCTGCTGCCCGTCTGCAATCTCATCCTTCAGTGTGCGCGCCGCCCCGAGTCCAGCGCGCGCCTCTCATACGCCCCGTGCCCTCGGCCTCTTCCTGCGTCCGTGCCCCCCTAGTTGCAGCTGCAGGCCTGTTTCGCAGAGTGCGCCGGCGCTGCTGAGGCCTCCTGAATATTTACAGCCAGACGCTGCCCGCCGACCCCAAACTTTCAAAACCTCAGACGTCGTTTCGCTCCCTCGCGCGGCCCCCAGCGCCAACACGGCCAATTCTCTCCCCTTTGCAATGCTTTTCTAACTACAAGTCGCTCTCTGCACCTATTACTATTCTTGCATATCTATTTCCCAGGATTTTTGCAGCCGCTGCTTTTCTAATTTAATGTCTCTTCGACCCGGTCTTACGCCTGTTCCCCGAGCATTTGCCCCCGCCCCATTCCCATAGTAGGCCGGGGAGAGACATGTCTTCCCAGCCTACATCCGACTCATATTCATCATCGCCGCCGTCAACTCCACGCGCTGCCCGTCCCGCCTCCCACACAACCACCGCCCCCGGCGGGCCCACCATTCGTATTGTCGAGGACCCAGGCTCGCCTGTCTATGGAAAATCCCCCTACTCGTCAGAGCCGTCGCAAATCCTCTCGCCTGCTGCCGCGCAAGGATCACGTCAGGATGGCCTCGCCTCGCCTGTTTCAGATGCGGGACGCTCCGCCAGTCCTGGAGCAGACTCGCAACGGGGATCGTTTGTGCAGCGAATGGCGGCTCGCTACGAAGGCCTGGGTCCTAAGGCGTCGGCATCACAGCCACGACAGTCTTCCGCGTCTTATCGCATGTCGACGTCAACGACGACGTCTACTGCAGAGACGCTGACTACGCTGGCTGCACCGTCATCTCCGTCTTACAACAACCGCTTTTCCCAAGGCACCACCCCGCCCACTTCGCCTCTGCCCTCATTTTCCGACAGGAAGCATGACAGCATCGGAAGTCTAGGGTTGCTTACGGAAACAGAAGAGAAGCCTCCGGTTGCGCCGGTTGCGCCGACTGTGCGTGCTGTGATTCCGTCGTCGTCCACAACCGGCGAAACGTCATTTATCCCCTCCCAGGAAACCACGCGTCTCTCTGAGGATTATTCGAACGATACAACAGAAACTTCGTTTGAGAATTCCGACGCTTCCACTCCCACTCTGACCTACCACCACAAGGTTCGTGGTTCTTTCAGCTCTTTTTCCTCACGCTTCTCTTCACGCGACTCGCCAGCTGATCGACCATCCACCCGCGGAAAGGACTCTGATAATCAGCAAAGCTTCTGGGCAAGCGCCTCTGGATCAGCGTCCGATGACAGACCGCCGACCCGCGGTAGCAATTACGTTCGCCACGGTTCCGACTCCGACGAGCCCGAGCGGCCCCCGACCCGGGGCTCCAACAGCGTTCGCAGTTTATCCTCTACCCATACTGTTAACAGAAGACCCTCGAGAGCAAATCTCAGGGAAGCTTCGGACCAATCTTTCAGCAGTGGGGAACCCAGCGGCCGTCCGCGGTCAGCAACAAGCCCACTTGGCACTTCACATGAAAACCGGTCAATCGAGGATAACTCTGTGATACACTATCCCACATCTTCTGGCGAGGAATGGTCTCATCGCTTTTTCGCCCCTCCGCCTCCTATGCCAGAGCCCGAGTCACCACCAAGGAGGTACAAATGGAGCCCTCCACTTTCAACCATCGAGTCGGTCTCCGAGCCGCGCACCGGTTCGGTAGCCAGCACGATGGCTCTCAGCGGAATGACTCGTTCAAACAGGAGACAGACAATGGGTAGTTACGGCTCGTCTGATCCGTGGACTTCGTCTGAGCATCGTTCGTCCGAAAGCCGCCCGGACGTTCCCTCGACCCCGAGCGAATTTTCAGTGTGGCCCCGCCCTGTATTTGCTGGATCAAGAACCGGAACTGGTCAGTTAGAAAGCCGGCATTCAGAAGAGGGTAACGATACCGTCGGAGAGCTGCATCCTCAGCCTCTGCGCCTTCAGCGGTCTGGTCTGTTTCGGAGAAGTTCGAATGGGAACTTGTCCAATGACGGGCGTCCAGACACTGCCGCGTCGGATCGTAGCTCTTACACCAGCTTCTTCGCCAATAGTATCCCGCAATGGGCGAGGTAAGTGTCGCACATGCTCAGGAATGGTTGGCTATCTGAACGAAGGGGAGCTAATTTTACTTAGGCTATACTACCGTCGCAGCGAACGTGTCTCTCTGGCCACCGACTCCTCCAGTTCCCCAAGCAATAGCCCGCTTCCCAGCCGCTCTGCAACCATGCACTCTGGCACCAGCCGCTCACCGACCGAGGCCAATTTCCCCATCCACCCCATCTGGTCGCCACGGCGCCGTCCGCACCACCGCGACAACTCGGGATCCTACTCCGGTCACCTCTCCCTGGGATCGAACATCATGCCGTACGATTCTCAGGATTCAATCTCCGCTGCGCCGCCGCAGCGGAAACCCTCTCAACAGCCTCATGGAACGAGCGGCCGCACTCGTGCCGACACGGCCGGAACGCGGAGCGTGCCTCCGACGGCCGGCGGAAGGGAATCCTTCACACCGAGATTGCGTCGCAACCGCAAGAGCATCACGCTCAGCGTGTGGACGGCGCCGAGCATGGACCAGGCGCTCGGTGCGCCCGCGAATAAATACATCGTGCTCTTCGCGCTCGGCTTCGTCCTGCCGCTGTGCTGGTTCATCGCGGCGGTCCTCCCGCTCCCGATGCGGCCCAACGACGAATTCGAGCGCCTCGAGAACGAGAAGGCAATGATCGAGAAGTACCACGGCGGCACAGGCAAGGGCAAGGAACGCGCAACCGAGTTGCAGCCGACGTCGGCGCCGAGCACCGCTGCTGGTGGGGGCGTTCTAATGATGGGAAATGAAACTAATATTGAAGGGGGACTGGGCCTGGATCTACGAAACAAGACACAATTGCACCAGAGGGACTGGGCGCAAGAGGAAAGATTATGGCAGAAGGCCAAGTGGTGGCGGAGAGTGAATAGAGTCATGTCGTTCGTCGGACTCTGCGTCATCGCGGCTGTCGTCGCTCTCGCAGTGGTTTACACGAGGTAAAAAGAGACATTTTTTTTCAAGAAAAGTTTCTTGGGTGGCTGCATCGAATCTTCTTTCCTGGGGAAATCTTTTTTCTGTTTCGTTATTTGTTTTCTTGATATCCTGCCATGTTTTTCTCATGGCTCTGTTCTTTTCGAAAGATCAGTCTTCATCTGACGTCTACCTATCTACTACCTACCTACCTACTCTACTACCTTACCTACTACCTATCTACATACAACAACAACAACAACAACCTTCTTACGCCCTAATGGCCGTCACGCAGCCTTCAAAACTTTATTCTTATGCTTCTTCTCCTTCTCTTCTTCTTCTTTTGCGCTTGGCTTCGTGTCGGGACGCTTGTTTTTGTTAACCTTTTTTTCTTCGTGAGTTGCTTTTGGAACGAAAAGTCGATGATATGATAATGCACGGCTCGCAACGGCTCCCCACCATCCGCGGTCTTTCATAAGCATCTTATAGACGCACGCATGCACGTTCGCACGCTCGCACGCGCTGTTTCTCTTTATTCGTGTGGTTTCAGTATCTCCGTTTGCTATATATCTGTCACTATCTCATTCGCTCGACGATGGTTTACGCCTTGCGTAATGATTGTTTTTTTTTCCTCTTCTGACTGTACCCTTTCATTCTCTTCATGGGTGATGTGAAAGGAACGTTTAATGTTATCTGTATAATGAATTGAATTGAGATTTATGTATTCACATTGTGGCCGGGGAAGCGATCGTCGCAAAGTGTTCTTTGTGCTACCCAACTTGACAGGGTAGCTGCTTATTTGCACTCTCGGCAAGGCTTGTTCTTCGTATTTGCTCCTCGAGAATCATAGCATGGCAGGATCTTCGATTGATTAGAAGTAGTGTGCCTCGGAGAATTTCTAGCATTGGTGCAGCACATCGAGAAAATCAGCACATGTACTCGAAGCTACGGGCAGATAAGAAAATACCACGATGGATGCGAACACAAAGAGTAATGTCTAAATCGTATCATTGTTTCGACAATCATTGAGCTCTATGGCTACCGTGAATGCTAGGTTTGTCTTGCCATCATGATCATCATGTCATGCAAAAAGGTAGCTAGTACCCATGCTACTGTCCCACTTCTGCCTTCACTCCGTCACTCCATGCAGAAGTAAACATTACAGGTAAAAAAAGAATACAGGGTAACAAACATTAGAGGCCTGGTCTCCCATGCATGCATGAAAACTTTTCCGTTCGTGAAGTTGGTATCAGTACTACCCGTCTACCTACCCTGATGAAGAATCGCTGTTGAGAATTAAGTCCATAGGAAAGAAAGGTAATAGGAAGTTGGGTGAAGAAAAAAAAAAGGAGAAGAAAAGAACATCGCTCAACATCGCTCAGGGTGCCATGAAAGCATCGCCGTCGAAGCGGATAGCAGTCACGTCGGTGAAGAGCTTCAGGCTCTCCTCGAAAGAGGTGTCACGCTTGGCCATGCGCGGCACCTGGGCCCTCCTGCTAAGCTGATCGCTCCTCTTGTAGCCCGCACTACTAGCAACGCAGTGCTTGTTGTCGCTCCACTTGCTGTCAGCGGCAGCCTTCCAGACGGCCGTCATGTCGAGCGTCATCTCAGCGGTGTAGAAGATGCGGCAGTCGGCCGGCTCATAGGTGAACTGGAGCGGAGTGCCAGCGGCATCGCCCTCACGAAGGCCATCACGAACATTGACGTTGGGGTCAGTGGCGGCACGGTTGAAGGGGACGTAGCTGGCGTAGTTGGCCTGGTAAGAGGCGTTGTACTTGGCCTGCTCATCGGGGTTGGCGTACTCATAGGCCTCATAGACCCACTGTTGGATAGCGGCCCAGTTGAAGTTGTTGAAGCCCTTGACACCACCGACGGACTGTTGTTCAGCGTACTGAGGACGTCCACCGAGGACGATGGATGACACGTTGCCTTGCTGGCGCATCAGTTCCGAGAAAATGGCACAAGTTGATGCGCAGTAGCCGTCGTAAAGGAGGACGATGTTGGTAGACTCAAAAGGCTGGTCCGTGAAGTTGCTGCGGTTTCCATATCCGCTGATCTCGATACCGCCGCTGTTCAAAACGTTGAGCGGATCGGACATGTTCCAGCGGATGATGGAGGTGAAGTTGTCATATTCGTTCGCATGAGGACCGTACTTTTGCGCCCAAGAGGTGAAGGGCTTGTAGTCAACATCGGTGTCCGTGCGGTAGTTGAAGACGCTGGAGACAATGTCGGCCATCGTGTAGTTCTCCTGCACGATTTCGGGATCACGGGGAAAGCCTTCGGAGAGGTACGAGAACTTCTGGCCGAGCAGGTCGAGAGTCTCGTGGGCCCTGAAACGGGTGCCACCGTACGGCAAGAGGGAAGGGAAGAGCTGCTTGAACATGTCATAGCCCTGGAGAATGGTGCCGCCTCCATTTGCGCTGAGATCAATGATGAGCTTCTTCTTGCCATCAGCCTTGGCACCTAGGATGAATTGAGTGCCGATGCGCTGGAATTCGAGCTCGGCATAGCTGGAGCTGACGAAAGAAGGAACGGACAAGACAGCAATATCGTCGTAGCCTTCGCCCTCGAGGTAGTAGCCGGCGATGAGGTTGTTTCTCTGGTAGGCAACGGGAGTGGGATAGCCAGGAGCGGGCGTGGCACGAGCGCGAGCGGTGGTCGTGGCGGCAGCATCATCAGCAGCGGCGATGTGCACATTCTGATTGACGGGAGTATCATCCGTGGGGCCATCGACGTTCATGTTGGCAGCCTGGATACGGGACTTGTCCTTGGCGTCAGCGGCCATGGCCATGGCGTGGTCAGTGGCTCCGGAGGCGTAGAGGAAGTAGCGATCGCTTAGAGCAGTGCCGTTCTCAACACCGCGGAACGAGACCAGGACACGGGCAAAGTTCTCGTAAGTCTTGGTGGTGCCGTTGGCGTACTCGATCTTGGTCTCGGGACCAGGGTAGACCCAGCGACCACGACCACCTCCAGAGAACATGCCAGTGCTGGCGCCAGTGGAGCCAAGCTGGATCTGGGGCAAGCTGTACATGACGTTGTTGTACAGAGCATCACGGTCCTGAAGCGAGCCGTACTGGCTGATCTTCTCGAGGTAGGTGGCGGCATCTTCATCGTTGATCTTCAGCACGGCCGAGGGCGTGTAGGTGGAGTTGGGGAATGAAGCAGCCAGGATGTCTTGGTAGACGAAAGGAACAGGAAGCTTCTTGCCGTCCTCGGAGATGGAAACGAGAGAAATGGGCCTTCCCCAAGTGACGATGGCGCCAACCGAGTCAGGAACGTAAACCAGATGACCGTCGTGAGCAGAGAGGATGTGAGTGTAGAGAGCCCAGCCGAACTCATACTCGCCGAAGAAGTCGTCAGCATTGACCTTGGCAGCCAGATCGTCAAGGCCCTTGAAGAGGTCGACGGCAGGCTGGACCTTCTCAGCGTACTCGGCGGGCGGGTTCTTGAGGTAGGACTGGGTGCTCTGCCAGGTGAGGTAGGGCTTCATGGAGTCGATGAGCTCAATGGCGGCCGTCTTGTTGAGCGGGGCGCTTATGAGGCAGTCGTAGGCGAGAGCGGCCGGGACGGTGGGAGTAGCAGTAGACTTGGCATTGTTGACGACGGAGCTGAGCACCGAGCATGGGGTTCCCGTCTCGTTCTGCCTGGCGTGAAGCTTCGCAAAGGGTGCGGCATTAGAGGTGGTCAAGGGAGAGGCGGCGGCCAAGGTGGCCAGGGCGGCGGCCGCCAGGGTGAGCGAGGGAACCTTCATGGCGGCGGAGGATCTTGAAAGAGGGAAAAGAGAGGCCGGATGAGCGTCCTCCCGTTGGCTGATATAGGAAAAGGAAAGGAAAAGAGTGGCGGGAGGCTGGGCCGGCTAGACGATTTAAAGGAGAGTGTGGAGAGGTTGTGGGGAGGCAAGCACGACCTAGAGAACGAACGGATAGGAAGTGGAGCCCTGCCAAGGATGGTCGGATGATGGATCGATGCGCTTACTGCCGAAGCGCAACGGGCAAACGCAGAGTCCAAGGGCGCGGAAGGCGCGTTGTTTGGCGGAGGGATCTGCGGTGCTACCGTGATGGTCGCACCCGCGCTTGCCTAGTCGCACCTACCTCCTTTGCACGTCAGGAACAGGAAGCGGCAGCTCACCGACGCGCGCAGGGAGAGCGCGCTGAAACGTGGCGCGCAGGCGCTGGCCTGCAAGATCGAGTGAGCACTACGACGAACGAGCGGCGACCGGGCCCAATTGCGCTGGCGCGGGTGAGAACAGCAGCGGCGCAGCCAAAGTCAGTGAGTCGGGCTGTCTGCGCCGTTGCGCGCGTGGGCCGTGGCGCGACGTCATGATTGGCGCCGGGCAGCACGGCAGCCGCGATGGAGATGCTGGTGCAGCAGCAACCAGCGGTCGCCTGCGCGAGCCTTGCAGACTGTCAGACGCGTTCCCGGCCGGCGACGAGGCACAGGCCCAGACGGTGCGAAGTCCACGGCTTGGCTCTGCGCTTGGCTCATCTCAGCGGCTCAATGCGCAAATCATAGCGGCCGCGAAGCATGCCGCCGCTACTTTGCATTTGCTTCGCATCCAGATCTCCCGCGCCCTCGCACACCCGTGGAATGTTGGCAAGAATAGTACGCGATCCAGCAATGTTGTGCTTCCGCGAGCGCGTGCCGTCACATCTGCTCATCTCGCGTCGCCCTCCTGCAGCTCAGCTCAGCTCACAAGCCGCTGCGAGTCGTGGCCCCGACTCCCGGCTGGGCTGACGGCCGCAGCTCTCCACTGATACTCGCTCCTTTTGTGGATCGCGAAAATCGTTGCCAGTTGGCGCCCCGCCTCCATCGTACCCAGCCCCTCCACCAGCCACCGCCAATCTTCATCACCACCGCCACGCCCATCACAAAGCACACCGACCGATGCTCTGATCGCGAAAGCTTGACGCGATTTACTTTTACGGGTTCGATCGGTGGCAAGGAAGCCTCGTCTTGAATCACCTCCCCTGCCTGTGTCTGTGCGTCTTGCCTGAGACGGTATCTTAACTTCACAGGACGAGGCGAGAATTCCAGATATGGCGGGACATCACAGCAGGGATCTTGAACTATTCTTATCTCGTCATCTCGTGGCAATCTCAAGGGTAGATTCTGTGGAATTCCGTCTCACGAGGCCACAGATGCCATCTTGAACAATTTGTTTCCTCGAATCCCAGGTCGAGTCGCACATGGCACAGGTCAGCGATCCATTCCACTGGCCGACGAAACCCGTCCCCGCTCGTGTCTTGGGACAGACAACTGCTGTCATCTCAGGCAGGTTGCCGCGTCCGAGCTGTACTCGCTCTCAAAGCCATTTCGTAACATGGACCCGCGGTGCGGTTTAGATGCTGCAAGCCTTCCGTCCCGCCTTTCCCGAAATCAGTAGCACGACATGGGCGGACCGTGCGCCTCACGCTTCCGCGGTGTCACGTCTCCTCGCGACACCTACAGCAAGATCCGCGTTAACCTTCCCAATTGAAGATTCATCTAATCAAACATCTTTTAGTCTTCAACAATAAAATTGCTGAAGGTCCATTGTGCGACAACTATTTCTTTTGCACAACCGCCCTTTTCCTAAATGCACCACTCTCGGCAAACCTCAGCCGTTGACCGGTTGATATTCTCCCCCCTTTCTGTTACTTCTCTGCCCTTCTCTGCATTAACAGTCTCATATTAATACTAACTGCGAGACCGACGTACAGCGGATACGAACAAAACTCAACGCGGTACGAGGTCCTTCTGGAGATTTGTCTCGGCCTCATCGGGACGCAAAGGTAAAATGCGGAGTCCCGAAAGCAACACCAATCATGAGGCGAGACCAGCGGTCTGCATGTCAACGGCTGTCTCCGGTGTCTCGGTGGTCGAACAGCCTCATGACACAACTCTGTTGACCACATGTGCATGCATTGTCACACTCTCACCCATATCGAGGTTGCACTCTGGCTTCTTGCCCCACCACGATGATTTCCCAACGAAGTCGTAAGCTAGGCCATCTTTTATTTCCTTAGATTTGAATTCTCATACGCATCGTTGTCGTTCATATGCTCAGCTCCCGGGTATCCTCACTACAAACATAATCAAGTGAAAGCTCTCAGTGTCTCTGCAAGAAAATAGAGAGCCAGATGCAAAGAAAAGGAAAAGAAAGCAGAACGCAGATTGAAAACAGACCAAGTACGACGACCTGTGGTCTTCTAGAATGACAATGAAACATCAACCGAACCCATCCTCTAAATGCACCATTCTATGTCTTTCATCCTTACCTTCCTTATGGCAGTTCGAGCGATTCCATGCAATTTTTTCTCCCCTCTCATCGGGCCCGCTGCCGTTGATCATTCTGAGTCCAAAGCCCGTGCTCCCGTACGCCAACAGGTCGGAAGCGCGGGGACGGATGGCGCAAGAGGCTTTCCGCCCTCAGCCGCAACCTTACCTCACGCCGCCGCCTCAGCGCGCTTCCGCTCCTCCCTCCTCTCCCTCCCCTCCACCTTCCTCGCCTTCTTCTTCGCATCCACGTCGTCCCGCCACTGCCGCCCATAAATCGTCGTCAACCACGTCAACAGCATCGCCGCGACCAGGAAGCCCGCCGAGATGGTCGAAAACCACCCCACGCCAATCACCTCGATCGCCGGCAAACACAGCGCGCTCCCCAGCGCCGCAAACACGTACCTAATCACATAGTTCCCGGCCACCACCTCCGCGCTCTGCGCCTGCATGACGTCCAGACAATACGTGTTCAGGCTCGGAAAGCAGAACAGCTGCGCGACGCCCTGCAGGAACATCACAATAACCGGCAGCGGTATCCCGCCCTTCTCCATCTCGATGCTCCATCCGTAGACGAGCATGCACGCGGGTATCACGCCGCCGAGAAAGGGTAGGCAGGAGTTCAGCCGGTCTTCGGGCACGCGCTCGCCGTTGCGCTTGCGGATGTAGCGGTGCACGATGTGGTCGGCCCAGCGGCCGCCGAAGAAGGTGCCGAAGAGGTAGCCGCACCCAGGCGCGATGTAGAAGAGGCCGGATTGGATGGGGGACGTCAGGTGGAAGCGCGGGTTGAGGACGTAGCGGATGGGGGTGAGGAGCGAGTACATGTTCCAGACGAGGGAGGAGGAGGCGAGGCCCTGTTGTTTTTGCGCGTGTCAGTTTGTTTGGACTTGCCTGGTAGACGTAGGGTAGGGGGCAGAGGGGCAGGACTTACGACAGTGATGAGATTCGGGTACTGGTACAGCCTGAGCACGCGGAACGGATTCGTCCACTGCCACATCTTGGCCGCCTTGTCCGCGGCTTTGAGGCCCTGGAACTCGACCGACCGCTTGTAGTGCGTCGTCTCGGGCAGGAAGAACAGGATCAGCACGCAGCCGAAGCCGCCCAGCGCCGTCTGCAGCCAGAAGATGTCGCGCCATGACCGGAACGTCACGATGATGCCGCCGATGAAGGGCCCAAAGGCTGGCCCGACCAGCGTGCCCGACAGGAACCAGGAGAGGGCTGTGCCGCGTTCGGTCTGGGTTTGGTGTTAGCGGGGCGGAGAGGAGAGGAGAGGAGAGGGGAGGGAGGGGGAAGAGGGGTGTGGGTTGGAAGGCTTACGGGTCGGAAGATGTCGCCGATGCAGGCGGAGCCGATGATCAGGAAGGAGGTGCCTTGGAAGGCGGTCATGATGCGGAAGATGAAGAAGGAGGCGAGGTTGGGTGCCAGGGCGGTGCCGACGGAGAAGGCAGTGAAGAGCGCTGCGCTGCCGAGAGAGGCCTGCGGAATTGGAATTAGACCGGTCGTTCACTTGAAATATCCGAGGGCGAAAAGAAAGTGTTTTGTACGTACCCATCTTCTGCCGTACACTTGGCCAATGGGCCCCCAGAACATGGGGGAGACTCCCATAAAAAGCATGTATAGAGCATTGCTGATATTTATCGTGGTACCGTTGCTACCGTACGTCTCGGCGACTTCGGGGATGGCTGCGAGCACGGTCGTGCTGGAAATGGGCGCCAGAAATCCGCAGAAAGAGAGAACAGCCGTTATGATATTTTTGCGGGTCAACGAGAATCTGTCGTAGATTTCGTCGCTGATGGGCGGGCCGCCGGTTTGGGTGGTGGGGACGTGGGCGATGTCGTGCGTCGGGACATGGGAGATGGTGTGCTCAAGGGTGGGTCTGCCCTCGTCGACGGTCGCTTGCTTCTCCAGATCGATGCCATCGGCGTCCGATCCGCGACGGTCCGCTCCCGAGGGCGGCGGCGACGTCTTGGCTTTTGCTTGTGGAGGCGGGCATGGTGTGGGTGCGTCCTCATGACCCCCCTCTTCGACCGCGGCGCTGGGCGCGGAGATGGGCTCGAAGCGGGACATGGCGTGCGAGGCAGCCAAGAGACTGTTATTGGAAAATGATAAAACCGGAGAATATCACGGTCAAGGCTTCTTATACATGAAGAATCGGAAACGAAGACATGGAGGCTGCTACAAGCTGATGTTGCATCAACCACAGGCAGTGCACTTGAGTTTAAAAAAACACGAGCGAATGGCGAGGAATGCATTTGCTTATGAGTCAATTTCGAAGGTTGTCATAGATGCAGATCCTAGCACCGGTGAATTGAAAGATTTCTGACAGATGGTACTGAAAGACCATTTCGGGGTGGGTTCTAAGGCGGGTTGATCGCGGATCACCGAAGCATTTGGGGCGGTGGCGCCCTCTTGCGGGTTGGTTGCCGTTGTAGCCGCGCCTGTGCGTGGACCAAGCTTCTGGCCTGCTTATCACGGGCTTTCGATCCGCATGTCAAAGCCAGGGGCGGCGCCGACAGCGGACTGAAGGTGCGGGTGGTGTTGCTGGCATTGGACCTCGGGAGCAAGTCGTGGTCGGCAAAGCTCGTGCGGCGCCGTGTAAACGGCACCGCACGAGCGATATCGGCGCTGCTGTTGCATCACAGCCAACCGCAGCTGTTTTGTATCAAATGTTTTATTCCCGTCTTCTGCACGCTCCGATCCACCGGGCTCTTTCCAGGCCTGGCCGTGCACTTCGTATCTCTGTGCCCCATTCGTGCCACTCCACCACCACTCCGCACACTTACTTTTTACGTGCATGCATTCTGGCGGTCTAGAAAAGGGGCGATTTCGTGTGTGCATCGTGGCAAGTCTTGAGACGTTCCTCACTGGCTTTGTCCAGGGCAGAGGTGCATGGTTGAAGTCGGATTCTTTTCCGTTACTGCGGCAAATTCGCCACGCATAAAAGGAAGGTTTCGGCTGATAGGCGGGGGCAAAATTCCACAACAACAATTCGCTCATCGCTTATTAGTTAAGCCGCAGACGTCGCTTGTTTAATCAGCCGAACAGTCGCCTGTTCGAACAAGTGAGATCATTTATCAGGGCATCCCTTCGTCATGTCTTCAGCCACCGAGGCTGTGATGACGCAGATTGACTTTCGATGATGGCGCAGATTAAGTTTCGATGCTACCCGACATCCGTATTTCTCTCGTACCCTCTCTCTTCTATTCTTACTTATAGTTTCCCGCATGTAAGCTTTTTCCTTGGACTAATAATATCACAGTCAGCACTCGGCAGTCACTCTGGGGGCGTAGAAGAGAAGCAACTCCCTCGCAGCCATGAGGCGCAGCGCCACCTGCATGTTGAGGCTCATTGCGATGACAAGTTTTCAGATTCAGCAGACGTCGTCGTTCGCGTCCTGGTCGACTCTGGCTCCGCTTGTGGTCGCACCTTCAGAGAAGTTCAAGACTCATTGAAGTGCACTTCGAACCGCTTTCCTGAGTAATGCTGACAGTCAAGCGAGAGTTTGACGACGGATGAACCCCACAACGCCAGTACCCCGCTTGGACCCTGACGTGAGCGGGACGCGGATGCTAAACAAACTGCCGACAACCTATATTATGAAGACAATAAAATATCGTTGGGACAATCTCCCTCTTCTTCCTTTCAACATTATTTTCTTGCATGATCAACACCTACTTTTGCCCGTCACGTCATCCGTCATCGGAGAAGAACTGACTCAGGGACCCTCTGAAGTAAAGAAAACATTGTTTCATCTTTCTATTCGAACTTAACCTCCAGCTCTTGCTCCTATATCACATTTCCACGGCAGTCGCAGAAAAAAGTAAAACTACATCTCCAGTCATTGTCCCCCCCGGACGCCCGCAATGTCTCCCTCCTCACCCCCCACTATCCACCCTATCGCCATCATCGGCGGCGGGCCCGTCGGCCTCTCCGCCTCCATACTCTTGTCTCTCCGCGGCATCTCCAACGTCGTCTTCGAGCGGCACAGCGGCACATCGATCCACCCCAAAGCATGCGGCATCAACCAGCGCACGATGGAAATCTTCCGCACCATGGGCCTCGAGCAGGCCATCTACGCCGTCGCCGCACCATCCGACATCGCCGGCCGCACCGCGTGGTACACGGATCTCGGGTCCTCCGGCCGCGAGATCTACTCGCGCGACGCGTGGGGCCTGGGGCGGTACGCGGACGAATACGCGTCGCACAGCCCGAGCCGCTACGCCATCCTCCCGCAGATACGGCTGGAGCCGCTGATCTCGCGGCGCGCGAGGGAGCTGAATCCGGGGGGAATTCACTACGGGATGGAGGTGACGGACGTCGTCGAAGCCGCGGACGGGGACCACGTCGTCCTGACCGTCAAGCCGACCAAGAGCAGCGACCCAGCAGACACCCAGGCCATCCACGCCCGCTACGCCATCGTCGCGGACGGCGGCCGCGGGCTGACGTCCCACCTCGGCGTCGCGTGGGAGGGCGAGACGGACATCTTCCACATGGTCACCGCGCACATCCGGACCCCCCAACTCCGCCAGCTGCACCCCGACCCCAGCAACTTCCTGACCTGGTTCACGCACCCAAACATGGGCGGCAGCACGCGAACGGGCTTCCTGTACCAGATCGGGCCCTGGCCGCTGGCGGAGCACGCGCCGGAGGAGCAGGAGTGGGTTTTTGCGTGCGCGCTGATCGCGAGTGATCCGAAGGCGTTTGATCGCGAGACGATGGTGGGGAGGTTGCGGGCGACGCTGAATTTGCCGGAGCTGCCGGTCGACATCGTGAGTTTGAGCCACTGGAACGTCAATGCTATCGCGGCGGAGCGGTACCGCGTCGGGGGCAACGGGCGGATCTTTCTGGCGGGCGACGCGGCGCATCGCATTCCGCCGTGGGGCGCGCTGGGCATGAACACGGGTGTGCAGGACGTGTATAACCTAGTCTGGAAACTCGAGCTGGCCCTCACGGACCCCGCGAAGTACGCCGGCGCTCTGCTCGACAGCTACGACGCGGAGCGCCGCCCCATCGGCCGCGCCGTCGCCGCCTCCTCGCTACACAACCTGCGCAGCCACTCCCTCAACATGGACCGCGCGCTCGGCATGAGCGGCGACGCTTCCCCAGAGGCCAACGCCGCCGCTATCGCGCCGTTCTTCGACGAGAGCCACCCCGAGCACAAGAGCAAGAAGGAGGCCGTGGCCGCCGCGCAGAAGACGCTGGATACGGAGTTTAAGGCGCCCGGGACGGAGGTGGGCTGGTTTTATCCGCAGGCGGACTTTTGGGGCGAGGGGGAGAAGACGAGGCATGCGGGGCAGGTGAGGGAGGATGGGGCGTTTGAGACGGAGTGGTATTATGCGTCGACGTTGCCGGGGCATCATTTGCCGCATGCGTGGGTGGAGGGGGGAGGTAAAAGGGTTGCGTTGAGGGATCTAGTTCCGGCAAGTAAGTTGTTGTTGGTGGTGGGGAAGAGGACGGGGTGGGAGGGGGTTGAGGGGGAGTTGGTAAGGGTGGAGGTTGTTGGTGAGGGGGGCTGGAGGGATGTGGATGGTAGTTGGGCGAAGCAGCGTGGCGTTAGTGAAGAGGGTGCGGTGCTGGTGAGGCCGGATGGCATTGTGGCGTGGCGAGGGGAGAAGGATGATGGGCTTTTGCAGAGGTGGCCTGAGATTTTGGATAAGGTGCTTTATTTGTCTGCGTCTGGTTGAAGTGTTTATTTTGGAATTAAATGCAAACTGTAGCGATGTTTGAATACCACAACCCATTTTCATCAACACGTAAAGCATTTCAACAGAACTTTGATCATCGAGACAATTTCATCTTTCAGATATGTACAACAGCCAGTCTTCTGACGCACGGCTTGAAGGTTTGGCATTTACCACGGAATCTCAGATCCATCGTACTTGCTAAAGCCCGTCTTATTCTCCCAGCCAGGGGCATGAATGTTAAAGAACTTCCTTGAGATCTTGGGTGTAGCGTTCATCAGGATGTTCAGCGTGGCCTGCGCACCTTCCTCAACCGACAGGTCAGCCTGCGAGGAACCAAGGTCCGTTCGGAGCCACTATTTCAAGCTTCAGTCAGCGCGGGCCAGGGTTGGAAAAAGGATAGAAAAATATGAATTTACCCCAGGAGTGATGGCGACGACGGTAAAGTCGTCCTTTTCCAGCAGTTGTGCGTACTGCACGGTGAGCATGTTCAGGGCGGCCTTGGAAACCTTATACGCAGGGAATAGGTGGGGGGCGGTGAAGTGCGCCCAGCCCATGGAGCCGAGGCCAGAGGAGCTGCGGAGCATAAGTGTCTTGCTAAGGGAAAGAAAAGAGAACTCCGGTAGGCCTTTTGGGAGTGACTGACATGTTAATGATCTTTTTCTGGGTCCCCTTCCTCAACTGCGGCAGAAATGCCCGCGTCACGTTGTGTACGCCCACCACATTGACATTCAGAACATCGGGAAGGTCGTCACTGTCTCTATCAGCGGGACACTCGCGGATGAAAGGGCTGAGAAATAGAAACCATACCACTGGTCAACCTGGACGGGTGCCTCCATAATTCCGGCATTGTTGATGAGCACGTCCAGGCCCTTTCCGGCCTGAAGCTCGTCAACCTTGGCCGCAGCCGCCTTGATGCTGTCTTGCGAGGTGACCTCGAGCGGGACGAAGACGACCCGGCTGGCGGCGCTGGCGATGACCTTCTTCAGAGCCTCAGACTCGCTGCGAGCGGCTGCGTATACCTTGGCCACTTCGGAGGTGGGCTTGGCCGCTAGCATGGTGACAAGCGTCAGGCCGATACCCCGCGAAGTGCCCGTGATGAGATACGATGCCATTGTCCGTGTCTTGGTTTCTGCGGGGTGACGATGCGATACTTGGCAGATGGTGGTGCTATGTATATAAGGGACGCTTGGTATTAACTGAAGACATCATGGTAACGGGCGGCGATAGGCACTTCGAAAGTCCGAATTTGTTAAGCATAGGTCATCGCCGAAAGTACGTCATGGAGAAGTGCAGCAGCGCCGAAGGCACAACTCTCGAGCGAGGGTATTCTTCGGGAGTGGTTGGAAGGGCAGAGACCCGTGCTCCTTTACTTTCAAGGATAGTATTTCGTCTCCGACACTGAATCGTAACTTCTGAACATCGAGCACTGATATTTAATACTACAAGAATAAGGTTGGTTGTGTCGTTAACTACTATTTTAGCCCCTGAGTAGCCGATTTAGGCCCGTGCCTCAATGAAACCACTATTCAGTAGGAAAACGAATACTTGGGGAATTCGGCTTGCAATGACCAAAACCATGTATTTAGCCTGATTAAAGTTGTCACGTCTCACCCTTACTGTCCGAAATTGGATTGTTACGGATGACTTTTGCCAGTTGAGTTTGTCATACTATCTACAAGTATCAAATCTCGTCAGTGCTCATTTGAATCTTCAGGTAAAAGCTTTTGCCGTGTTTGACTCGAAGACTGGTCTCTGCTCGGTGGATTTCAGCTCCGAGTACTTCTGTAATCATGTGTCTAAGCCCTTTGGAGTTATGGAGTGCCCTGCTACGTTCTACCATAGACCTATACGCCGATGGGTGACCGAGGCTAAACTTCGGCGCTATCAGCAGCATGGCAGCCAGTCTCTAAACGGTACCCGGAAACATCCATCGAACTGTATAAGTATAGGGATTTCTTCTCCAGAAACATTCTCTAAGCACCGCTTTCTTTCCTACCTCCAAGATAAATCACCTACACATCGCAATGACTGCCAAATATCTCGTATGTGCCCCTCACCTCTCATGAGAGCCCATACTCATACCAAAGAAAGATCCTCTTCCCCAGAGGCTCCATCTTCAATAAAGAGCACTACCTCAAAGTGCACATGCCTCTGATCGCCAAGCATTACCCGGACGATTTCTTGAGCTGGGAGGCCGTTGAGCTGGCTGCAGATGCTGCCTACGAAATCGCTACCCGCGTCGAATGGACCACTGCTGAGGCTTTCGAGTCTCTGCACCATTCCGAGGCTGGTAAGGAGATCTTCGCCGACATTCCGAACTTCGCCAGCGCTCCTGCCATCTTCATCAAGGAGGAGAAGGTTCTTGGTAGCGGTCCCTGAATACCAGGTCAGTGAATGTCAATGATCCACAAACTCCATAGTCTCCGTGTAGACACTAACTCGTATGGCAGATTAATGGGAGTTACAAATGGATTTGGGTGGACGGAAGCGACTGCGGTTTTATCCGTGCAGAAGCGAGGTACAACTTTAGATAAAATTCCACTGCAAATTTCCTCAACCCCATGACTGGATCGTGATTCCAACTGTGGAACCCTCTTGGATGCTGATCTTCGTTTGATGCAAAGTCTTTGGGGTAATAACGGTGGTTATTAATACCGTGAAGACTGGCCAACATCTCAAAATTGGAAACATCACCCCCATTCTCATATAATGCGAAGTATAGAGACTACGGGACGAAGCTAAAGAGATGTACTACATATGTACGTCGACGCAAAAGCGTACTGTGTACATACACTAAAGTGAAGGCTAGCCTTAGAGAGGGGCGTGGCTGAAGACCCGGCTATTTGAGCCAACTGTTTCGAGAGCATCCTCCCGAGGATTTACCTCGGCCGACAGCATTCTATACCATTAGGTGCACCTTGATGACTTCAACCTTTCTCAGCTGATGTAACTCTCATCGTATCGGCAATCGAAAGTCTATTTCAGCCAAAGCGTAATACATCCCAGCCGATCGGGCGGGATCTCGTTGTGCACGGTCTCAAATGCGGTATCCGCCGGACTTAACCTTGCCCCGAAGGCGCGACAGCGAGTTTGCTTGCATTCAACCGCCTTGACTCGTAGAGTTTCCTCCTAGTCCGCTTATCAATCCGCTTCTGTGATGTTCGTCACCATGAGCCCCGTTCGCGGCGCTTCTCATAAATGAAGAGAAGCCTCCCAACACAAAGCAGTAAACCAACTTCATTCTCCAGAAACCCAATTCTTCTTTCCGCAAGCTATGACGAAGAACCAAGCAGCTTGGATTGATGGCCCGCGAGTCAAGCCCCTAAAGGTGGCAGAAGCTCCGGATAGGAGGGCTGGACCTGGAGAAGTCGTCATCAAGAACGCTGCGTTGGCAATCGTAAGCACATCACTTCCACGAGATTGTATAGCATACTGATCATCTGTGAAGAACCCAATCGACTGGCTAATTCAGTAACATACCTTCACTGATCGAATGAGTAGAGCTAAGCAGGCACAGGGATAAAGAGACTTTGCCTGTCACTTATCCTGCCATCCTCGGCTCCGACGTTGCTGGCGTTGTTGAGGAAGTCGGGGAGGGCGTGACTCGCCTCAAAAAAGGCCAACGCGTGATAGCGTACGTCTATCCAAACATCGACCCTCAACAAAGTGCGCGAATCCCGCTCATGCATGTAAATAGTCTCTGCCACGCTATATTGAGCCAGAAGCAAGGAAACGGCGGCTTCCAGCTCTACAGTTGTGTCCCAGAGATCTTGGTGTCTCCGATACCCGACGACCTTTCTTTTGAGCAAGCTGTCGTCCTCCCTTTGGCTCTCGCGACCGCGGCAGCTGGTCTCTACGGAAAGACGGTCCTCAACCTGCCTCTGCCCCCAGCCGACGGCACCCGCTCCACGACCGACAGCGGTACTCTCCTCGTATGGGGTGCCGCATCTTCCGTCGGTACCGCTGTCATCCAGCTGGCCCGGGCCTCCGGTCTCTACGTCGTCGCCACTGCGTCAGCCCGCAATCATGACTTGGTCAAGTCTCTCGGCGCGAACGAAGTATTTGACTACAAATCTCCAGACGCCAATCATCAGATTGTCACCGCGTTGGAGAAGCGGGCCGACACCTTCGTTGGCGTCTTCGACTGCATCTCCGAGCAGGGTACCTACAACCAGATCGGCGCCATTCTCGACGACTTCCAGCCCGCCAAGGTGGCTGTAGTGCTGTATCCCTTCCCGGAGAAGATTCCCAAGAGCATCCAGCCTCTTATGAGTAGGTTGCATGAAAAGCCCCTCCTGATTGCGGAATGTTGGATTGCTGAGATGTCTCGAAACAGCCATATCATATACGATACCCCTTCCGGAAAACGAGCACATTGCAGATGCCATATGGCGCAAGTATCTCCCCGAGGCGCTGGCAAAGGAGCTGTTTCAGGCCAAGCCTGACCCGCTCGTCTTTGGTTCCGGGTTGGAGGCGCTTCAGGGTGCTATGGAAAGGCATAAACAGGGTGTGTCGGCACAGAAGATCGTTATCACTTTGTGATATCAGCGGTCGGGTTCTTTTCACATTCGACGTAACTTTTCCATATAACAGGATGATCATTACAGCAAGAAATGTGCGTCTATTCTAGTCGTAGAGCTCAATGATTGTTAAAATAACGATGCGAAGCTGACATTACACATATATCTGCCTTTATCCCAGGCTCTTTCCTCCCAGTACGTTTGAAGTATAGGAAGAGTATGGAGTGGCCCGAAATTTGGAAATGGCTCTTGATTTGTCGGCATGTGGTTGAAGCGTCTGTGTCTCCTGGCAATCTGTGAGGGTATTATTTTGAAACTGACTGCGGCTACGGCGATAAAGCTCAAAGGTTCGTTTCGTAATCCTTTGCTCACAGTTGTGTGATCGCGATTGGGATTACCGCTTAAGGCTCGCGCCATTTTTAGTGATTCCCATACTTTACAAAAAGGGAAAAGGTCAACCAATGCATTGGGATTTCTTCACGAACCACCGAGCCTCCGCTCCGCAGCTGCCCCATGCGCCACAGGCGTGCCATGGCGGAAGGAATGGTGAAGCTGGTGACCAGTCGGCCGTCAACCCCTACCCGCCTGAAGAATGCGCTTGCCAGCATGAGGCTGGCTGAAAGAAGCTTGAAGGAACAGTCGGCGAGACAATTTTTCTTGGCCCGATGGCAGAGAATCAGGCAACACACGCCAGGCTGACTATTTTTGCCAGACGCTTCTGGCCGCCGCGCATCCACACTTCTTCTCAGTACGAACTCCTGCAGGGCAAAATAACCGGTGATACACCGGTAGTCAAAGTTAGTTTTGAGGCTGTGCTAACTACCGTCGCATTCCGATTCGAAGGCAGCAGGTTTGCAGCGGGTTGCCCAGCTGTGGCTGTAATCCGACACTTTCAGTTCATCCCCATTCTTGTAGCTTGAAGAAAAATCCAGTTATGACTTTTATTGTTATTTAGGCGATGGCTCTCGGTAAGTACTTATTCCCGTAATTCGTTCACATCCTTTGCGTGACGACTGTGCATGCAAGGGTAGGAAAAAAGCAATTCGCTTATTTGCCTGCATCCAGGCCGCGCTGCGAGATCAGATCTACGTCTCATCTCTTTACGGCAAACACACTGATGGTCCTTTCCCGAAATAATAGATCTTCTACTTTTTGTAGATGGCCTAATTGCCTTATTCCTTCCGAACGGCAACTTGCGAGATCGTACTATTCCTATCTATTCACTGTGGGGCGAGAACGGAACATCTGAGCTGAATAGTGTACTATTTATTCTCCTTGGCTATAGTTGACGACATAACCCTTGGGCCCATCTCCCGCTTAGCATTATTAATGATTGGGAGTTTCTGAGCCTTTGCAGTTGCAGTGAAATGATCGGAGCCCGGTGTCACTAAAGGTTTACGTGTTGTTCACGATGCATTGATGTTCAGTTTCCAATTCAATGCACTTGCATATTCCTTCTTTCAATCAAGATAACCAACGCCAGGATCCAGCAGAAGGGTCAAGGTCAAGGTTCGACCCACCACACCAGATCCTGGCGGCTATAATGGGCGCGTGATCAGATGAATGAGCTGTGTTCCTTCGACAGCAGGTGAAGTATATAACGGTATTCTATATCTTTGAACTTCCATCATCAGAATACATCCTTATCTGTTCTCCTACATCTTGTGTAAATCCATTCCTCTTGTTGCAGTCACTGTATCTGAATCTCCGCCAGGAAAACATGGATACACCCCTCGAATCGAGGCCTCAGGCTTCTCAGGAAAGGCAATGGTCTGATAATTCAGCCTACGGGAGCTCAAGGCAGCAAAACGGGTCAGCATCCAACGCACGTCTTATGGAATGAACTGTGAGCTAAAAGGACTAGCGATTATCACGATCACTCGCGCACGTACAACATCATTTTCTGCTCCCTGAGAACCACAGCTCGGCCGTTTATCAATCTCTGGCGCCGGCGCCTCAAGCCCTGGTTCCTCAAACACCAGCCATACACCACCATCGGTGCAGTCTTCCTCGTCCTCGCGATCTTGGCGGCGTCGATTACACCACCCGTGTACCATGCCGTTGAGAACGCGCGCGCGAACACGACAGTTCTCTACTGGGATGATGCCTTCTCGACATGTACACGGCACGGCAAGACGGTCTGTCCGAACGACGTGTGCGATGCGCAGTCAGTCTGCATCGCTGAGAAGACAATGACTGTGCCATGCTGGCCTGAGGGAAAGTGTTGCACCGCTGCGTGTCTGGAGGGCTGGACTTGTAAGGAGGATGGAAGGTGTGCGCCCGGTCTGGAGTGCAGATCCAGAACAGAAGGAAGCAAGCTGGTGTCCAGGTGTAGGACTCCGAAGATTACGGACGCAACAAAGACGGCGGAGATGTCAACGAGGCTCGGTGTGACCCCGGCGAGCGTGATGATTGACACTGTGACTGCGGCTTGAATACATTTCTACTCCACCGTAACATTTGTATAGACTAAGTACATATATTCTTTTCTATTTCTCTTATAATGCGAAGGGGGCACACAATAGACAGATGACACCAGAGGATTTTGAAGTTCATCTGATCAGATGCCAGTGTTATTCTTCGGGTTGCTTAATTCTCTCTCATTGATGAATGCTACGTGCGCTTATTTCCATGTTCAAGTTCTTATTTTGAAATTTTGTTGCTGTAATGTTGAAAGTTCGATATCGCAAAGTTGAAAGTGCTGGGAGGCATGCCATGTTTTATATTCCATTCAGCCTCCCCTGAAAAACAGAACACTTGCCCTTGTGTAAGCTGAGACCCAGCGTAGTGGTTGAATGGTCTGTCGTACTCGGTTTCTCAGACCAGTGATTAGGTGTCATCTTACTACTATCTATTGAAGTGTGTTTATTGGTCCATACGAAAGGCTGAATGAAGCACTGCAAAGTGAAAGTGGAACAAACGATTCAAAAGGTCCTCAAGCATGATCTTCAAAAGACAGTGCACGCCCCAGAAGAAAAATCGAAGATGCGCATAAGTGCATAAAGCGCGAGTGAAGCAGCGCGTCCCGGAAAGCACGAAGAATCTCAGCCGTGCGGCTCAAGACTGGCGGCTTCTTTTCAATTGGCTGCTCCCTCGCAATCGGCGATGATGCGATCTCCGCCGGTCCGAGCCATCGTTGCGCGCACCATCCTCGCTTGCACATCACTGCCCCGTCCCGCACGCGAGCCGGCGTCGTGGCGGGCGCGTGGCTGACTGACGAAAAGGCCGGGGTGGTGCGGGCGGTTACACACGGATTGGGGGCTTTTGCTTCGCCGCATCGGCTCAGCTCCCCCGGCTGATGTTCGTGCTCCCACCACTCCCCTCACAGCCTCTTTTTCTCGCATATGCGCCCGTTGCTGCTGCTGCATGCATATCTTTGCCCGCTCATTTCACACAAGAGTGGGGACGTTGCTGCCTCGCGTATCCCGTCAGTTGCCTTGCGCCCCGTTGTCAGCCTCGCAGTGGTCTTCTGATCCGGCTGGTGCCACGTTTGGCAGAGGGGGTGGTCAGACTGCGAGCACAGAGGAGGGCAAGGCTGAGGCGAAGCGCTTTGCAGCAGCTGCTATCAAGATACCAGGAGGCTCAGTTCAGCGTGTACTGTGATATTGCTAGGATTTATGTATAATGAACGCAGCCAAAATCCCACCAGTACGGTAAGGAGAGTAGAGAACGTATGTCGGGAAAGTTTCCATAAAGCGTTTGTGGGGCTCTGAGATGTTAAGACAGCGTTCCAACAGTAAGCTAAGCAGCTGAAGGGGTCTGACAGAAGAAAATGGCAGCAAATTTGGCATCCAAGATCTCTCCGTTGACCTGCTTGCTCCGACCCTTCGCCTCGTTCTGACTCCAGTGGCAGTTGACCAGGGCTGAGTCGATGGCGTCTGTTTTGCCAACGTTCCCGTTTATCTGCATGGCCCCCTCAGAAGCCGTGTTCCCCGACCATGACCGATTTGATGGAGGAGACTCGTCGGCAATAGTGGTCTCCGGAATGCTTTCGTATCCGCTGTCGCTCCTTGCGGGACTGCGCGGCTTCATGGCGAAGCGTGATTCGGACATGTTGTCGAAACGTCCGTCGGCGCTCTCCGTCTCAGAAGGTTCATGTCCGTTGCAGTTCTCGGTCTGCGGCATCGGCTGCACATCTCGCGGACCTCGGATTGCAACCTTTGGATCTCGTCAGTAACCATTAAAGGCTTGTCACATTTAAGAGGAGTGTAGAGAGCATCAGTACGTACTTCCTTGTTGTATCCGTCAGCCTTGTGCATTTTGAGGCGGATCTGATGAGGGCAAGCACTCTTGTTGAGAAATCTGGAAACTTCTTGGGTTCTCTCTTCCTCTTTCACAGAGATGGAGCAGTTGCTTAATGTCCGTTCAATCTTTTCGACTTGCTCTTGTAGTTGGGGAAGGCCATCTCCGACATTCCTGTCGATTCTGCTTATAAGGGTACCGTAAGTTGCCAGAATAGATAGGGCAAGGCAGCTCTTGTCTCTTTCCAGATCCTCGAAGCCCCTCAGGATGGCCTCTTCTGCCTTGCCCCACCGCACGGCTTCCAGGCATCTTTTCCATCTTCTTGAAATATCTCCGGCGCATCCTTGTCTCAGCTCTTTGTCAATATTCTCGATAGTCCTCAAAAGGGCTTGGACGTGGGTCGTAACAACTTCGGAGCGTAGTACTTCTTTTAATGAATCTACGAGGCCCGCTATCTTCAAGAGTTCATCGATCTGTTCCCGATACAGCTTGCAGCGTTTTCCGGATTGTTCAACATTGCGGTATAGAGCGTGGAGTTTGGAGATGAGGGTCGCTGTATATTGAACAAGCTGCGAGACGCTAGCAATAGCACCGATTGCCTCAAGACCGGACATATTATGGGTGTTGAAGGGAAAGGTACATAGCAAGTGAAATCAGGTGCGAGGCGACGCCACGATGGATATGGGAATACTCCCTTGCAGGGCATTTTTCTCAGCCACGCATGCTCTTGTTATGGTCAAGATAGAACACCCGCTTAGGTGATGCCATGTATGCCGTGCTGGATGTGTGGAGTACCGAAGGTGAGGCTTGCACGGCTAAGCGCGAGGCTGTGTCACCTTCCATTGGAAGAGGAGGCACTTGGGATGCGGGGAGCCCAGAACAAAAGGAGGCGGAGCAGCGCTGCGCTGGTTCCAATGTAGCCAAATATCACACTCATGCCCTTACGATCGAGGTAAATCAAGGCGCCTGCACCTGCAGCGGGATGGAACGGGCCAGCGGCTACACACGCGATTTGCACCGTGCGGGGCTGGGCTTCAGCCTTGTGATGTGTTTTTCTCGGCGCATATCTCAACTGCAACAGGCCAGATTCCCTTGTATCTGCATATTGGTCGGCGGCTGAGGCATCCTACCCGGCACAAAATATGGCAATTCCGACCGAGGTGAGAAACGCGGTGGAACGGTATCACGCACAAGCATTCTCGCGCAACACTCTCAAAACAGCGAACGCCCGAATTATCTTTCTCCAATTGGTAGAATGGCTATGACCCTAGACTTGGTGAGGAATGCTGATAAGCTGCATGCTGTGATGGTGTTGCCGGCCGGCGAAAGACTGCATTGGAGTCATGATAAAGAGCAGCCAATCTGCCACAGCTGAAAAGTTGGAACTTGAAAAACTCACGGCGAACAATACTCGAGAATCGAATAGAGCGTCATTTTCAAGATGCCGAGAAGAGGTAAAGCCGTCTCGACCATTAAAGAACAATCCACATCTTCAACAGACCTTCATCGGGAAGACAGCGCCGATAAAGGGAAGCAAATTGCACATCGTCCACTAAACCAGCTTAAGAGGACGAGACAACCAAGTCAAGATACAGATGAATCACACCAATCACTTCAGTCTCGAGATACTGAAGACGTCACAGACACCCACAAAGGTGACTCTGCAGGATATCCACGCCCAACCGACACCAGCCACCGCCAGGAGGTCCCGGGTGGCGGGGTAGATAACCCCCTCCAGGAGCACGGATTCGAAAGCGAATTTTCGTCCATTTCTTTCAGTAAACGTGAAGCGGATGAATACAAGGTCGAAAAAAACAAAGCTTCGGGGAAGTCGACACAGCTCAACGCTGGGCATAGTAGTGACACGCAACACACTATGCCTATCAATGCGGCCGTCCGAGAGAACGAATCTTCTGAAGATGCCTGGCAGATAAATACCGGTACCATTATCCTCAAGGGAAAAGATATTTTTGGCTTAAGAGCCAAACAAGCTTTTTCAGCCAGCAGTCCGGTCCCTGAATCGAAAGAAGAAACGTCTAAACCTGCAACAAAGAAAGCGCGCAAAGGCGAATGACACACATAGCGTGCCGACCACGATTCACACGATGAGCCTACTCAATAAGAGTGATGGCCTTGACTTTGTGGAAGATTGAATATCAGCTTTACTCTTCAGTAAATTCTCTCTTTCGAAACCTACTTATTCTACGATTCACCGAGGAACCGAGGTTGTGCATAACTCGAAACACCAGGTGGCATGGAGAAGGAAAAGGGGATATGTTGAGTAGGACGATTACGAACTAGAGAAAAAATCAAAAAGATCTTCTAATGGTGACTCTATTGTACGAGTTTGTTACAGTGCAACTGGTAGTATCCGGGATGTTCTCGGAGCAACAAAGACCCCAGTGAATGTGGATCATGTCCTTGGCCCACTATAACGACTTCCCTGTGATGCATGTCCACCATGACCGCCTAGAGAGCATTGAGCCCATCAAACTCATCAGAAAGCCGGAAGATCTCCTTCGGAAAAGCGCCATGTTCGGAAGTATGGGTTTATACACGATCCAGAAGATGGTCGTGATTGATACTCCAAACATGACAGCGAAAACCCAAAAAGCACGTCTATATGGACACGCTTGGAGCCGAGACCATATTCTCCTCGTTGTGCCATGTTCTACCGGTTCGTCGGCCACCGGAAGAACTTGGGTTGGGTGAAGGTAGTAGTTGAACTGCAGCAAGATTGGCCTCAGTACTGGTGCGACCCTGTGAAATCGTGTAAGAGACTACAAATAAAAAATGGTGAGGCTGTCGGACCTGTTATAGACATTACCGTTCACTTGGATAGCCTGCTCGTGTGCCTCATTGTCGACTGCTTCATGTTGTTGGCCATCAAGAGCGGACATTTAGCTCAATAGGATCGCAGGACTGAAAAAATGCGGTTTTCATAGAGCCAGGTAAAAGGGCCAGTGTAACACAATCGATGAGTGGGCGTAGAGCAGGCTTGAAATCTGAAAGATTGTTTAGGCGAGCCGCGAGAGTGAACCTCTGCCTTGCTCATTGTACAGGGATGGGCTGACCACCGGATACGAAGGGCGACATGCACCTATTTGCCAGTGAATTTGAGCACAGCCACGTTGATAATTACAACAAAGTCACTTCTGCTGAGGGACGATGAAGTTACATCATTAATGAATTAATTACTCATGCCAAAGCTCACCGGAGATCGAGTTGGCACTCTGCGTAGCAAATTGCCAGTCCCAGATTTGCTGGGTAGCAGGGATGTGTATGAGACCGGAGCTGGGCGGAGCCACGAAGAGGCGCGGTCATATGCCATAGTTGGGCAAGAATCATGGGAAAACTGTAGAGACGGCCTCTGCGGAGTGTCTCAGGCTTTTTCAAGGCTGCTTCTAGGGTGACGGGAGTCTTGGTTTTTCTCTGCACAGCCCTGCGTAGCAAAGGCCGCAAGGCGTACTCGCATTTGCGAAAGGCGGGAGGCTCTTATCTTATAAGCTCACTACAGCCTTAGGCAGATGGCTAATACAGAGTCCTGCACTGCACAATCTATTTGATTCAAAGGGGCTGGTAATTAATACAAAACGCAAAATCGAGCACCATGACTGGAACTCCAGTGAGGAATGCATCTACAATACCCATGGGCATGAGTCATGCACATACATTTACGATCATGAATACTGAACTAGTAAATGGTAAGAAGACATTCTCGATCAGTTTCTGACTCGTGTTCACAAACTACGGCAGATATATTCAAGCTGGCGATGCTAACAGGTAAACCGAAACAGCCTAAAACATGCGAAATTGAATAAAATAATATGTACCAAAATTTCACCCCACCAAACGCCATATCAGATGCTAACCGTAGAAAGACTTTTGATGCAAGATTATTACTGCCTGGAAAAGAATGCAGATGCGTCGAATAGGTCTCCGTTGACTTGCCGACTTTTCCCGGTAGCTCTGTTATTGCTCCAGTGCGAGTAGGCATAACCATGCTCGGTGAGTTCCCTAGTCCCGACATTACCATTTACTTGGAGCGCCTCCTCTGATACCATGTTTTCCGTATAGGTGCGGTTTCCAGCTGATCTGTACTCAGGATGTCTGAGATATTGCGAATGGTCGCCGAATCCATTGTCAAATACCGAGCGGTGATCGGATACCAGGGTCTCGGAACCTGTCGAACGTGCGCTTAACAGGGTTGGTCTCGGCTCGTCGTCAGCGGAATAAGGTTCCCTGCCTACACATCGCTGATCTGGTCAGCAGGATCATCGGCAAAGATAGACCGGTTATTTTAGGATGCCACTTACATAGTTTGAAGCCTGATCCGATTGAGTATGCGCCATGAGAGGCTGGGCAGCGTAGTTTAGGGATCTTCTGCCCTCGTCCGCAGGAAGCCTGAGGCAAGCCCGGAGAGTGCTGTCAATTTTCTGTATTTGCCTTTGAATATCAGGCATGCTTTCGACTTTTGCATCGATCCGTTGGACATAACCCCCAAGGTTCTCCAAGAGTGCGAGTGCAAGGGTGCTTTTGTAACGCTCCAAATCATTAAATTTCTCTGAGATGAAGGATTCCGCTTGCGGAATTTTGGCCCCTTTAGCCCAGTTCTTCCATCGCTTCGAGGGGTTGGATGGATCCACAAACTTCTTCTTTAGTGTCTTCATGATCGCCGCGATGGTTTGAAGAAGTGCGTCGATTGGGCGTTCCAGCTTGTTGGATGCGAGTCCCTTGTTTTCTTCCAGGAGGCGTACAATTTGCTGTAGGTCTTCGGCGCGTTGTTTATAGTTTCTGAAGTGCTCGGACGACCGTTGAACATTTTCGGATAGGTCTCTCAGACAGATGATCAGCTTTCCGGTATACTGAGCGAGCTGCGAAATGCTGGCAATAGCCCCCACGACCTCAAGGCCTGACATAGCCCCGTGCCTTCAAGAAAAGCGTGCGCCGTGTTCTCACTCAAGCAAGGCTGAGGGATGGCGCCAACAAGCCCGCCGTGAGGTGGATGTGCGGAAAGGGGCGGAGGCTGGAGTGGCAAAGGGCGCTGGCGTGAGACGTTCCATCGCATTCGCGCGCGCATTCTCTCCGTTCCCTCAAATGGTCGCACAAGCGTCGTACACGCCTCAGGCCCACATCTTTCAGCTCAGACCCTGGACGCTTCCCAGAGCCCCAACAAATGTGGAAGTGGTTGCCCGCCGACGAGCTTCAGTGAACGGCAAAAGAAAATGCAGACGAGAAAGAGGGGAAAAACAAAGAAAATGCGTCGTGACCGATGCGACCGCTCAGTCAGCCCGAGTTTGCTGTCCATTGGCGGCGCTGATAAACCCGCTGGCTTGGTCATGCTGACGCTTGGCAAAGTGGCTGCTTGCCAAACAAGGGTTCTGATTGGAAGAGCGCCTTTCAGGCAGCGAACCCGTTGCCTGGATATGCAGGCAGAACAAGGCATGTAAGTAGCGAATCAAATCGGGAAGTCCGAGATTGCGTGCATGCAACGCGCGATCGTGTGCAGGTTTGTTCGGGTTGTAGTGTACATACACCAGAGCCTCCTTCCTCACACATGCTGCATGCTCCGACAACCCTACCCGCTGTCCCCTCATCACAACCCCACATTTAC